CAGCAGAAAGTACTACAAGGGCAGAAAGTACTATGCCAACAGAAAGTACTACGAGGGCGGAAAGTACTACACCGGCGGAAAGTACAATGCCAGCAGAGAGTACTACAAGGGCGGAAAGTACTACACCGATGAAAAGTACTACGCCAACAGAAAGTACTACGAGGGTGGAAAGTACTACACCAGCAGAAAATACTGCGGCAACAGAAAGTACTAGGCTGGCAGAAAGTACTAAACAAGCGAAAAGTACTATACCAGCAGAAAGTACTACAACGAGCAAAAGTACTATAGTACCCACAAACCAGCATTGCGCACTTTTACTAGCACAGTACTATACCATAGTGCCCCAGAAGCCTCAGTACTCTAAAGTACTGAGACGAGTCACTTTACTGAACCCTCTGGTTTCAATGGCTAAGTATACTACGCCTTCCTTGATATATCAAGGAGGTGGTGATTTCATTGACCACCTCAGCTCTGTCAATCACTCCAGCATCTCTGTATTTCTTCTTCTGAGCAGTCATGTGTTTTGACAGTGTGACTAGTCAGTACATAGACGATCGTAAAGTTGTTGGCTTAGGCAGCTTATTATGAGAACTGACGCGTCATTCTACTAAGGATTATTCACAAGAATGGACTCGATAACTCCGTAGCAATAGAAGTCGAAACTCTGGTGGCGTACTAGCTCATTTCCTCAAGGCTGTGCTATTCATTTCTCTGAATGAATCTTGACTTGTGCTCTCATACTCGAGCCACATCCGTCGAGCCCTACAAACTGTAGGCCACCGACGGACTTATGCGCCACTGCCCTTCGGTGAACTATCGCCATGATCATCTGCCGGCACTGACTGCAACGGCCTTGCTGACCTTTCTACATGGGCGCTGAGGGCTTACGGCGTGATCCGTCTTTGTGAAACACATTGTACCCTTCAATTGACTGCGCTTGCCGGTGCTCTGTGCAGCAGCACTACACAAACTGTGCTGAGATCGGGTATCATGGCTCAGCTCATGGCTCTCGTGGTCTATATAAACTACTCTTTGACTCACTTCTTCGCCCAACCACTCCTAGCAGCCACCTTACCCCTGAGTTTTCCCCGGCTCAAATAATTTTTCCTCTTCTGCCCTCAATCATGCAGTTCCTTTCCACAATTTTGTCCCTCGGCTTTGTCGCCTCTGCATTCGCTCAGACTTTAATCATCTCCCCTGCGGACGGTAGTTCCGTCAGAGCCGGTCAGACAGTTAATGTGACTGTGCAAGAGGACGTACGTATGGCTCCCCATGTCATATTGTATTTCTGTATCCCATATATTTTTATGGTGACAATATCCAATCACTTTGCCGGTTGCTAACCGTCTCCTTTATTAGATTTCCTCTGCACCCACCACCGACGTCTCAATAGTTATTGGCATATCCAAGTCTTCTGATTCTCACACAGCATTGGAGCAGATTTTGTACGCTGGCACATTTGCCCCGACAGAAAACATACCGGGTCGGACGACAAAGTTCGAGAGCTTCAGCCTGCAGGTACCAGAGCAGTTCAGCGGAGAAGAGGTCGCGATAGGTGCTACACGGTTCTTTTTGTCGGAGGGAGCGGTGAGTACAAATCAAGCTTGTGCTTTTGTTGCATATTGCTAGGCTCCGGTATCTGATCCGCGTTCCGTGTCACCTTGTGTAGGCCGGATGGTTCCCCGTTCTCCAGTCCGTCGACATCACTCTCAATGTCAACTAAGCCACACGCAGGTGTAGTCTCATGCATCTCGCAGCATTAGATGTGTTGTTGATGGGCGTGAACATATCGAGCTGTAAATGCCTTTGCGTGATATTCATGGACGTCATTATTGCACAATACTTCTGTTTATTCTGCTCTTCGAATGATACGAAGCGCTCGGGTAATCTGTATCACAGGTACGGTCTTTGAATTGATAGTGTGATAGTCAGTGTAAAACTTAGTACGTGTCTTGTGAATGTTTGCCGTGTTTGAATTATATGCTGGCTCTGCGCTTGTCGGAACCATTTGTTACAAGCATTTTGGCTCGAATTCGAATCGAGTGGTTTTGCTAATGCTTCATGTAGTGTGGTGCTGCGTCATGATATGGTTCCATGTCTGTCCAGAGGCTTATGCCTTTTTGAAGCCTGTAGGTATCGATGGTGTGGCGCACCACCCCAGCAGTCTCCCCGGGGAATGCCGGGGGCGCCACTTTGAGAAAAATCGGACGTGAGTTTCCATCTTGTTCCTCTCTGCACTCAGTCTCCTTCAAGCCTCTGGCGAGCTCTCCCTACTGCTTATCTGTGAAATCGTAACTTTATTCACGTTTTTACAGACTTGGTTGATGCTTGTATAGTAAGGTGCGTACTTTGGCCTCGTAGGACCCACCCGATTCGCCGTCGCCTTACACAGACATGAACAAAGGCTGCTTCCAAGCATGCTTTCTTCAGGTTGTATATCATACATATTCAGATTTCGGAGTCTTACAGGAACATCCACAAGTGGATTCTGTGCTTTTCGTAAGAGGTACACGGGAATAAGTCCTGGCAGAAATGTCACAAGTCCGTTAGGGCATCCTCGTCTATGGTCAAATCCATGTAGGGGGGGGGGGGTTGCGAGGCATAGTGTATAGCATCCTGAATTCTATGCTTCTGATTCGATATAAAATTGCCTCCACACTTCCGCATTACCCTGGTGCTGTGGACTCGCGCCAGAATCAGTACGCGATTAGCCCCTATTTCGCGACGCGTCCGCGAATTTTCTGCTGCCTTCGCTGAATTCTACATCTCAAAAAGCACTCTCTTTGGGTCTGACGAGTCAAACTAACTTTATGCCTATAAATGAATAGATAACCTGATACCAACATCCCAACATGGCGCCACCAACCCTCGACGACTTCCCAATCGAACTACTCCTGAAGATCATATCTATGACCAACCACTTTCGCTCGCCCTTCGATTTTTCCCCCAACCGCACTCTTCCTCGCCTCGCCCGAGTATTCAACAAAATCCACGCCGTCGCCGTCAAAATTCTCTACTCCGACGTCTACATCTCCGGTGGCGGGGAGACCCCCACTCTGTGGAAGATTCGCGCGTTCTCACGCACTGTCTCCGAGAACATTCACCTTGCCTCCCTCATCCGATTCATCCACTTTACCTCAGCGCGCTACATGAAAGGAGAAACGAAGACTTTAGCGAAGGCGATCCAATTATGTCCGAATTTGGAGGGCGTAGAAGTCTCCGGATGGAACGGGTATGAGCTGGACGAGTTGAAGGATGTCAATGCGATGAAAAGTAGGAAGGGAATGAAGAAGATTGAGCTCTCCAGAAGAGGAACGACGGATATCGAATGCGATTATTTCTGTTACTTGGAGGAGTTCATAAACATGCTTCAGGGCTGGCCTTCGCTGGAGCGTGTGGTTATTCAAAACGATACGATTGGCTGGGCAGAGTTCGATGATACGGACGACGAGGAAGAGAGTGGAAGTAGTGCTAGTGATGACCCACCAGCTGGAGAGGACGGTGAGTCTCGTTTTTTGTTGTTCAATACACGATCTTTAAACGTACGCCACTTCACCATCGCTCACTTCATTTATTGCAGAACTGGGTGAAGAAACTCGTGCCGAACGGAAGGCGATGCGCCAAGTGTTGGTATGCGAGCTGCAGTGTATGCGAGGGACAAGAGAGCAAGCAAGAATGAATTATGTATAGCCTATGGGTACGGTTCAGGGAGGCAAACGGATAAGACAACAGGAGTAGACGAATGCGAAAGTAAAAGCCACGACCGGGACATGCCGGCCAACTGTACAGTACGGACCGAACCTTTGGCCAGCTCGCCACTGTGGCGCCAGTCCTTCACCAAGAGTACTTCGCCTCCGTCAAAGCCCTTCCCCGTCTCTCCGTCACGCCCAATTCCTGCCTCGCACTTACCCATTTCGACTTCCGCTGTGGCACCCTTCAATCTCACCAGATCGTCGCGCTCTCCCGCATCGCTCCCAGCGTCGCCTACATCCATATACGTGGCGGATCTTGTGGTTTCGATAACTCCGAATCCCTCGCCACCGCTCTTCGGAACTGGAGCAGTTCGTTGCAGACGTTGAAAATGGACTTTTATTACAGCGAGAAGCACGACAAACACAAAACAAAGGATTGGGTGTTGGATATCGGCGATGCACTGTCCAAGATGGAGGTCCTGGCGTACGTGAGGTTGAGCTCGTCATATATTCAGCCGGAGGACTTCAAAAAGGGTTGGAAAGCGCTCGAAAGGCCGAAGTATTGTACTGTACTTTTTCGATCGTAGGTTCGTCACACATCACGCAGGGTGCGCCAGCGAACATATTTGCCCCGATGGTCACGCATATGCGCGGGCCCACGAACAGCAAATCGTGACCGATTTGCGCCAAAATCGCCCAAAAATCAATTTTTGGATCCTTCCGCGAACAATTTCATTGGTTCGTCACGCGTGGCCCAACCAAACGAACCGTGGTCTGGCGAAGGTCACGTCTGACGTAATCTTCCCACGAACCTACGGTCGAAAAAGTACAGTATCTGGGACAACGAGCTCGCGAGATTCGCAGAGGTGTTCGAGTCTGCCGGTGTCCTACCGAATTTGAAGAGGCTTTACATTAGAAAGAGGCCGAGAGAAGGAGAAAGTCATCGGACGGCGTTTCCATCGACGGTGTGGAGGGACATCCAGAATCTCTGCAAGAAGAGGGGGATCGAGCTGGAAGAGACGGATGACTGCGATACTGAGGATGCGGAGATGGGAGGGTCGATCCACGGGCCGAGGTATGAGATGGATGACCCGGATATGTATGAGGACGAGAGTGATGAGATAGGTGGAGGTGGTGATAGTCTGGAAGATGAAGAGTCGGAAGAAGAAGACTATGATGGGGAAGATGACTGCTGGGAAGATACCGAGGACGAGGGCGATAATCGTTAACGACAACGAAGGGCAGATAGGCCCTATTAGTGTATTCATTACCTCCTCAAAGTCGGCTGAGTGGACATGCGAAGGAGAATACCGCTAGTTATATCATTTTCTCTTGAGCCCACCGTCACGGACCACCACTGTTATCGATGCCACCTGATCATTTGCAGCAATTTCTGCCTACGGCATGACCTCCACCGATCTCCGCAAGCTCTTCAGATACGGAATAATGATTCCCGCACGGTGGAGTATTAATATTGCGGAGGGGGATCCAGAGATGTAGAGGCAACAAATGCGCAGGTCGAGGACGACAGCATCATCTCTCACGACATGAAAGAAACCATTTACGGTCGATTTCCTCAATACAAGAGAACTGGAGCATAGACACACGGCATCCGAAAAACCAACCTATCATGCCCATAACCGCCAACAATAAACCAACCGGTCCCGCGTCATGTCCCGGAGAAAAAAATGATGCTCTGGGGACTACCGTTGTACTGATACTAGCTAGGCTCGTAAAGACGACAAGTGCGTGAGAATCAAATACTGTATTGTCAGTTCAGTCTCCGCCTAAAATCAGTCGTGCGCATTTCTTCAACCGCCCCTCCTTCCACACGAGCATTATTCTTGTTACTTTCTACTCGCTTCTACTTGCTGAGTAGTCGAACCGCCTCACAGGGCGAGTGTATTGTGTTCCTTTCTGTAGGCAATATACTTATTTTGGCTCGACACAGTCCATAGACAATGACAGCAAGTTGAAACACTCGTAGGCCTGGTCCGAAGGCCCGCATCATGGCGAGTTTTCAGTGAGCTCTTCATTCTGACCGTCACTTTCGTTCTCTCTTTCTACTGTCTCTTTGCGAGACGCAGCCACTTCAGTTCCTTGTATCTCCCTCTTTAGCTCATCCAGATTGGCTCGTCTTCGCTGATACGTCATCGATCTCAGGCTCACAGCAGTCGTATTCAAGACGACCCCGCCCAACATCTTAGCTCCGCCGACGTCTTTTCCAGCACCCTCCAGTTTTTGATCCGCTAGTTCAAAGCCTCCGCCAAATCCATCTCCAACTTCCCCGGCTCTCTTGAACCCGCGTAGTCTCCTTGTCGGCGACAAAAGTGGCAGGCGCTACACCACGACTTCGACCACGGCGTGTATGTGGACGTCGCAAATTGGGATCCAAAGGGACGGATTTTTATGGGCCGGCAATGTATCGTTGTTGCATTTTTAGGGAGTTTGGAGGGTGCGAAAGGGTGCGAACGGTAATGAGGGCGATGTAGGATCTGTGCGCTGGGATGGTGACGTATGCTGGGAGTATTGTATTGGTGTGGCACAGCTGTTGGCGAAGGAGGAATAGGTCTTTCAGCAGTATAATGTGAGTGATATTCCGTCGAACCTTTAACCATTGCTATCGATGGTTTCAGTGGATGGTTGGCGCGAGGCGCGAGTCAACTACGCTCTCCGTCGAGGTCTCGGACGGTAGCCTACTTCAGAAGGTGCTGCTGATACGCTTCATTTTGATAGCCACCATACGACTTTTTCCACGAAGGAATTGATCGGAGCGTTAAACCGTGCTAATTAAGTAAACTTGACTTACCCTCACTCAACACACGTCTAACCTACACCAACTTACAGTCGGAATGTCAGGCAGGTACTAGGTTGTTACACTCGTCAATATATCATTTTGCCGATTTTCTCTGCGCGAAAGCCCATCGCAGTTGCCTCAGGTTTCAGGAGCGACGTTCGATGCTGAAGGAGAGAATTCCTCGAGTCAGGAAGACGTCCTTCCAGAGGATCGTACGGGTGATGTACATAAGTAATGAATTTTGAATTGACAGCATGGCGAGTACCGTACATCCTTCATATGCGTCTAAGGGCCCCTTCGGCAAGTCGAGTCGAGTTGGGTTGAGTTGGGCTTCCCCGCCAATTCTCGTGGGAGCTCGAGTTGCTCTTGCCGTCGGATCACAGGCCCGTTGTCACTCTTGGACGGAGGAAGCCGAGGTGACTTCAGGAAGAGTCGTCCGTGCTTTGCGTGATTTCCCGACCATTTCCGCGCATTGTCCGTGATAGCCCACACGCACTGGCACCATCTCCGGATGGCACTAAGGTGCACTTACTGTAGATCTGAATAATACAGCAAAATGTGTGGAATAATCGAGGCTTCTCCATGATACTTGCCTCGTTCAGTTTCATTCGGTGGACAGAATTCTACAAATAAAGCACCTTCCCCATCGTTGAGCTCATCGAGGGCGGCGATGAGGGAAGATAGGCACGGTGTAGACCGGCCCCTGTTTTACCGGGTGACCCTGGACCCCATCACACACTGTCACTAGGTGACTCCGCGTGGTCACGAGGCACAACTCGATCCAACTCAACTCAACCCGACTCGACTCGACTTGCCGAAGGGGCCCTAAGTATCGCTCTGCCTGCTTGGTCTCTGTCCGCATTCTCGCACCCAAAAATATTCACTCTTGTCCTCCAATTTCAATGGCGATATGTTCGAGATTGAAACACGTACCACCTTGCTTTGAGTTGGACTGGGTCTCTTTCCTCAGGCTTTTTTGCCCTTTGTTTCTGCCTATGGCGACGTATGTTCTGCCCTGTTGGGTCGGTCAACGTGTCGGCCTAAACCTCTTCGCTGATCGAGCTGAATGGTGTGCTATATGACGTTGTCTATCGCTCTATGTATTATAATCCATGTGATTCAAAACGCAGCAATAATCAAATATATGTCTTCAATGTCTGGCAAAATATGTGTGTTCCATCCAGCTCAGAGGGTTATCGTTGAAGGGGCGCATTTAAAGGGAGGGCTATCTCTCTGTTGTTCTTGCGCGTCACAGCCACTGACAACCGAATAGGCACCCTTCAAAGCATTTCGTGCACTCCTCATCGCGACACAACAGTCATATCGGTACTTGTGCGAACCTGTCTAGATGCGTAGTGCTCAAACTTATAGCCACATTTATATTGCTCATAACGAGGCTTTCAGATTTGTTCCAGGGATCCCTAGATCTTCGCACTAGCACGTCACCGTCGAAGTCGTCCTGCTTACAGGAGCTCTTATTTCCAACATCTCGACGGTAGTAGCTTATGATCTCTCGGTGCCACTTAGGTGCCACACGACGACCTTTTCAGTACCTAAGGGCCCCGGAGACTCTGTGAAGTATTACCTTTGCCCTATCATTCCGGCTCACCTTACTCTCCAACACACGCTGCCGAACTCAAGCACAATCGCAAAAAACGCTGGATAGAATGGGACCAAACTTTGTACGAGCGCCTCGGTTCTCTTCCTGCACATAATCGCAACCTAATCGACCGCGATGTTTCTCGTGTACGAGATCTCAAAATCATAGACAGTCATCACACCCGTTATTTGAACGGCAAACAAGGAACCTTCCCACGGCAATGGTCCTCTTTGTATCGTAAAGAATCGCGCAAGTATGTTACAAAAGCGGGGCAGGTTGTAAGGTAAGGCACAAGGAGAAATTGTCGACATCTATGGCGGGACAAGGTATATGTGTCATGTATTTATTGGCAGAATCATAACGCACGGAGGGTATGTCGTTCACTTGATGTCTAGAACATCGTTTGCCAGGAAGTGGGATCCACCAGCACAACGATACCCTGAGGTTTGCTTGATCCACTGGTAGCCTCGGATACAAACTCCCAACTGCCGTATTCTGCTCTGCACTCGAGCCTCCTCTCTCTGCTTCCGTTCCTCCTCCTGACGTTTCTTCTCCAATTCTGCGACTCTCCGTGCGTGCTCCTCATTCTCCTTCTTGACTCGTTCACGGGCCTCTTCCAAACGTTTCTCGAACTCTGCACGCTCTGCCGCCGCTCTGACTTTCGCCTCCGCACGTGCAGACTCTAGCATACGCACCGAGCTCTCCTGAGATATCCTCTTCTCCAACAATGCCGCCTCCTCTTCTGCGGCCTTCTTTGCCGCCTCGGCAGCCTTCTTCCTCTCGCTCGTCTCTAGCACTTCCTGCTCCATCACCCGCATCTCCGCTTCTGCCTTCTGCCGAGCTGCTTCTCCAAGAGCTTTATCGATTTGAAGCTCGCGCCACACCTCGTCTGTCACTCCAGGGTCTCTCCCGTCCGTCGTCGTTCCAGCTGCCGCGGGTGTGTCTGGACCCTTAGGCTTCTTTCCAGATTTCGCGTTGGATTGGTTCGGAGGAGGATTGGCGGAAGCTGAGGACCCCGCACCAGAGGACGGAGGCGGCGGGTTCGACGGTGGAGCGTTTGCGTATGCTTGGCCCCTATTCCCACCCGAACGAGATTGTCGAGGCAAGTTGAATGCTCGCTCGCGTCTCTCCACCAACATACGAGTAACACAATCCACCGCGTCCTGATCGGGCATGGTAAGAATTTGGTCAGGGCCACCGCCAGACGGTTGAGAACCTGGTGGTGGAATTGTGGAGAAGACATGGGTGACCATCTGCTTCGATATTGTTTCGATGTCGCGGGCGTTACCCCATGAAGGAAGGCGCGAGAGATCGTCTATCAAGTCCAATAGACGCACATACGCGGACAGAGAAGGATTATCCAGTGCATCGATCACGATGCTCTTTTTCTTCAGCTTGCGCTGCAGGATTTCGAGACATCGCTCCGGGGAAAGATTCTCGAAAACGACCTCTTCAGGAAACCGGCTCGATAGTCCAGGGTTCACCGACATCAGCTGGTTCATCTCCTGGTCGTACCCAGCGAGAATGACGATGAGCTTCCCGCGGAATGTCTCCTGTGTCAGCAGGCCGACTAGCTCGTCCATAGCCTCCGATGCAAATCGGCCCTCGCCTAGACGGTAGGCTTCGTCGATGAACAACACGCGGCCGAGCGCTTTCTCGAACATCTTGCGAGTCTTGGGTCCGGTGTGGCCGACGTACATACCAACCAAATCCGATGCTGAACATTCGACTACCTCGGTAGAAGACAGGAATCCCATGTCGAAATAGACCTTTCCAATCTTCCGAGCGGTCGTCGTCTTCCCAGTACCTTCGAGATAAACAAAGAGGAGAATGTTTTAGTCGGATTTGTGGGGAATATAAAATATAACAAGCCCACCTGGAGGCCCTTTGAAGACGAAGCTGGTAGGAATATCCTCTCTTGGATCTTTCCCCGCAGCTTTCATGTTCCTTGCCATGTTCTGATACTGCGACATCTTGGCGACAACTTTCTCGCAGCCAACAACGTCCTCAAACAGCGTGGCGAGATTTGTGGCAGCGTTCTTGCTCCTATCGAAGTCGGGGTCAAAGTCCTGGGGCTCGAACGGTGCGTCTGGTGATCTTTGAGCAGCCGGGAGTGAAGATTGACGTCCTTGATATCGGGTTTTGGCCGTTCCGAGCAGATTCTCAACGTCGCCAATGTTACCAAAGTTGGGGCGATTACGCTGACGGCTGAGGACCTCCATCGCAACTGTCTTTGCGTCGTCGGTGGCTGAAAGATCCTGCTCGCGCATTTTGTATTCGAGTGCCTGCAAGAGCTCGCTGTCGGTGAAATCATTGAACATGAACGGGTTGTCGATTGCAAAGCGTCTTGAGAGGCCCGGGTTAACGTTCTGATGTGGTCGCACCCAGTAAGACCGCGAATGAATAGCGGAGTAGCCATGGAGAAAACAACCTACCTCGAACATTTCTTCCATCTCTTTCTTATACCCCAAGAGCAAAACACAACGATCGGCACCAGGCTCTGCTTGAATCTCAGCTACCAAAGTGTCGATGACGGCGGTCTTGAAAGAATCTGTGTTGCCGGCGCCATTCGACCCTCCGTTGCCGAGCATATAGGCCTGTTTTCGAATACAGTCAGGTCAGATTGACGACATAAAATATTCATGATATCAAGCACCAACCTCATCTATAACAAGAACTTTCCCAAGCGTGGTGTTCAAGATCGCTTTCGTTTGCATCTCCGAGTGGCCTATATATCCACCAATGAAGTCTGACGGGTTCTTCATGACGACTTCCAAAGGAATTCAGCTAATGGAATAGCGATCGTTCTCAAACATTACATACCTTCGCCGTTGCTGAGCATACCGAGATCCACCAATATCTGACCGTACAACTTTGCTACCGTCGTCTTCCCAGTCCCAGGAGAGCCCAAGAACACACGGTTGAGAGTCACCAAATTTGGCTTTTTCTCTAGAAGCTCGCGCTGGTAGTTTGCGTCGAGCATAGCAAACATACTCGTGACCGTCTTCTTGACCGCTCCGAGCCCAATCATCCCTTGCAGCTTCTTCCAGGCCTCGCTCTTGATCATGACATCTGCAGGGTCAGGCCCGATAATATCCTCCTTCGTCATCCAGAAGTCGTCCGGCGTGCCCCCATTGGCTCGTTCGCGTGTCAATCTGACGGACTGGCGCTCCCGAACTTTGGCGAAGACATTCTCCAGCGCACGAGCATTCCCAAATCCAGGAGAACCGCGACCACGTCCAAGGCGACTGACAAGTATACGTCCATAGAGCCCTGCAATACCGTCCTCTACCTTCATCTGAGCACCCCAAGTCTTCGCAAACATACCCTGAAGAAGACCCATCAACTCTGTGTCGCTATAGTCCTTGAATTTCAGCGTGTATGGAACACGACTAGTCAGGCCAGAGTTGTGCTCGAAGAACTTCTCCATCTCCTTGTTGTAGCCAGCGAAGATGAAGACGATTTTGCCGATGAGGTTCTCGATTTCGGCGAGGAGATAGTCAAGGACTTGGCGACCTGCTGAAGCGGCGTGTGTGGCTGTGAGCTGATATGCTTCGTCGACGAAAAGGGTCCCGCCACCGTTGGTGAGCATCTGCTTTAGTAGTGATTCGATGCCAGTCACGCCGTCGTTCGCGAGGCGAGCGCCAGTTGTCTCGACAAACATCGATCCGGAAACGACGCGAACAGATGCTAGGAACTGTCCATAATGACGGGCAACTGTCGTTTTCCCTATAGATTGGTCCCGACTATAAACAAAAATTCATCGAGATAAAATGATTGAACAATGGACGTACCCGTTCCAGGATTCCCGAGCATCGATACGTGGAACCTCTCTCCCGTAAGATCCGTATTCTGCCGATTGCTGGTATCCACTTTATCTTTGATTCTCAGGACTTGTTCCTTGACATCCTCCAGTCCTGTCATGGCCATAATCGCGTCAATGGCGTCATTGATAGCCCCTCTCGTCTTCTGCGTCTCCCATCGGTCGCGCGCCGCGGAGGGGAAAGAAGGGGGTGGAATCGGTGGCTTGGGTGCGGATTTGTTAGGCGAATTCGTATTTGAGCTGCTGGGGCTCTTGGTATTGTTCGAAGAAGAAGCATTGGGAGTGTTAGATGTGTTAGAACTGGAGGGCGGGTTCGAAGGCCTCTGGAAGAACTGCAGAATACTGAAAGAGGAAGTGATACTTGGTGAAGAACTAGGAGGCTGGGTTGTAGAAGGCTGAGAAGCAAACGACGGTCCAGCAGCGGAGACGAGGGAGGCCTGAGCTTGGGTTGTGAGGCTGGCAGCGGCGAGCAGTTCCTTCTCCCTCTTTTTTATCTCCTCCTGTCTCGCCAAGTTGAGCATTGCGTCCCGAAGCAGTTCCTTCTCCCTCTCCTTCTGTAGCTCTATCTCGGCCAAGCGCTCCTCATACGCCCTTTTCACCTCATCCTGCTTCGCCTCCCGCTCCAACTGCTCCAACTTGAGCTTCTCCGCGCGTTTAGCATCAGCCTCACATTGACGACAATTCGTAGGACGGCCTTGGTGACAAGAGTACCTTTGCGGATGACCCTTCGGGCATTGAGTGGACAACGAGACCTTGCAAAGAACGCCCGAGTGGTCTTTGAGTTGATGACACTTCAGTGGGCACTTGTGCACGCCACACTTCAGCATAGTCGGGCTGAAGAACCACACATATGTGTCAGCAGCGGCAAACTATATAGTTGATGTCGTTCGGAGAGACAGAGGGATTCTGAGCGTACCATAGTTCATCACAGCCGCCGTCAGGACAATGTAAATCAAAGTCGTCTGGAGACGAAAGGAGAGCAGTCCTATCGGGGTGGCGTTCACACTTCGTGGGAAGACCCTCGTATATATGTCCGCCACTTCTCAGCAACTCAAAAAGCTTCACCCACTTGTCGCTCCCCTTCTTAGCCTTCATGAAAGTATCCGAGTTACCGATCATGACCAAAGCATCGCGAGCCCGGGAGAGGAGAACAGTGAGCCGCTCATGGGAAGACATGAAGCCAATGTCGTGTTCGGAATTGCTGCGGGTAAGGGAAACGAGGACGATCTTGCTTTCCTCGCCCTGGTAGTTGTCGATGGTAGCGATCCGAATAGGTTTGTTTTGCGTTCTAGCCGCGGAGGGGGTGAGAAGCCCGGCTCGGACAAGCTCTGCAGTGTCCAACTCGCTGAGGATAGGATCGTTATCTTTCTTGAGCGCTTCCTGGAGTTTCTTGAGCTGGCCCAGGTAGGGAGTGAGAATAACGAGATCGTCCGACGTGTATCCCTGCTGATTTAGATAGCGCAGGATCTTCAATATCATTCTAACTTCCCAACTAGGCCGCAGACAAATGTAAGCATATCGTCTTTGGTGGACAGGTCGCCGAACGGTAATTGTGATAGGGCACATACGCGTTATGCTTGGAAGCTTTCTCATTCGAGTCCTTTCTTTCGTGCCCATCGTCTCCCTCTTGCTTCGAATGATTGATGAAGACCAGATTGTCCTTCACGCCACGTAAATCCGGCCGGTTCTGAGTTTTTGCAGCATCGACGAGGTCTGGATAGGTGAGTTGACGAACGAGATCAGAGATCTCCGGACGCATTCTGTGCTGGGCACACAATGTGGCGTGCGGGAACCCCTTCAAGACGAGGCGTTCGAACAAGGATCGATTCAGGTCAAAACCCTCGCCCTTCTCGACGGTCAACAGGTAGTGATTTACTTTCGGGCGGAGTTGTCTAGAAACAGAAGGCGCGTGAGTAATTAAGAACAAACAACTGCCGCAAAAGAGAGAAAGGGATCCAACATACTTGTGGTCCCCGATCAATATTAGTTGCCTCGTCTTCGCACTCAGCGCCGTCAAGATATGACTTTCCAATATCTCACCCGCTTCCTCGACGAGGAGGACGTCCGGCATGACCGTATCGAGCTGGTCACGATACATCGCCGCCGCTGTCGTCGTACACCCGATAATCCGCTTACTCCTCAACATCGCACCGTCGCTCTCTCCAAACTTCCGCTCCACCTGCGACAGAATTTGGTCGTACTCGTGTGCCTTGGCATGGAAGGCCTCCACACGATCCTTGAGCATGTCTTCCTTCCACTGCGCGAGCTTCTTCGCGCGCTCCTTCGTCGGCATCTTCCAAATCCTAGCGCCTTCACCCTCCCGTACGTTGTCTTCTCTCTTGTACATTCCCGCATCCCAGCCCCTAATCCACCGATCGACGAGAAAGTCTGGTCCTATGGCACGACCGTTACGACCCACGGGCTGCATACCGTCCGCAGGTGTGGGCACCTGAAACGCTTCGAAAAAGTCTCCATCGTCGAACTCGATATGGTCAAGGATATCTCGGTTCTGGATATTGAAGTCCTTGTACATCTGAAAGACGGAGGACATCTTCTCGCCCGCTTTGACACATTCGGCTTTCAGACTATCGATCTCGGTCCAATCCGTGCGAGAGAGCTTCGTCGTTCTGGGCTGGTTGCGAAGAGAGAGAGAGGAGGTGCGAGGAGTCGATTTGCCTCCTAGGCGGACGAGGCTTGTTTCGGGGATTCCGATGTCGAGGAGGTCTTCGAGAAACTGGTCAAGGGCATGATTCGTGTAACACACGATGAGGATGAGGCCGTCCGTCTTGTCGTGGATGGCTTTGGCGAGGAGAGCGCCGATGAAAGATTTACCCGTACCTACATATCGTAAAAGGAGAGGTTACTTAGAATATGATAAGCATCTCGTGAACTAGTTTGAGAAAAGAAATACCTGGCGGTCCTTGGATGAGCGATACTTCTTGCGTAAGACCGGACAAAAGGGAAGCGTGTTGGGCCTGGTCGAGAACAATTTGTTTGGGCGTGTCTAACAAGAACTGGATGTTCTGGTCGGGGTCTCTTCGGAGCTTGTCGATGAGAGAATCCGGCGAAAGCGAGGACATGCCAGGCGTCGTGCCCGGGCTCCACAATAACAGATCCGAGGAGAGAGGGAGACCCTGTTTCGCTTGCAGGGCAGAGAGGACGGGCTCGTATGAAAATATGGCCGTGTCGATCTGAATGAGTCTGACGCTCTTGGCGGTCTTGAGCTTGAGAAGAGCTTTAATGATACTCCTCTCCCCGTTGAGCTGGAGAACAATGATGGGCGGTGATTTCGCCAGGAGGCCCTCGTCTCTGTTGACCGTCGTAAAGGCAACAATCTCGCCATCGACCATGAGCGCGGTGCTCGACTTGTGGCGAAAGACTCGTTTGTTGTCGAGAAGCCACGACTTGCGATTGTCGGGTTTGACGTCTTTAAACCAAGGCAAGTCAGCACTGCATTGGAGCGTAATGCCCCACTTGCATTGCTTGTCTGACGACGTCGTTTGGGCGTGAATGCCGAGCAGGGTCAACCCGTTAATGATTAGCCCGCGGAATTTTCCCTTCGAATTACCGAGAGCGATGTCTAACTCGGATCTCATCTCGTACAGCATATCCTCTCGCAACAGGCGGAACTGGTTATCGAGGTGCGTGACGAGCCGTGTAGGAATCGTCTCCGGATCGTCGATCACGGAGGCTGGTCGAAGGAACGGTCTAGTCTTGCATAGCAGCTCTTCTGCGGTCGGGAGGATGGCGATGTCGTGATAATCACCGAAATCATTGTCGTGGCGTCCTCCCGGGCCACGTTCAGCTCCAGCGACAGACACCTTCGCCTTTACAACATCTAGTATATCCTGAATTTGGTTCGCTAGCGCCTTCACACCGTCGATGGGAGATGCGTGGAGGGTGTCCGAGACTGCGGAAGTGGAGAAGTAGTCGCGGTATGGGAGAGCTTGGTTTGGATCGGGGAGGGATACGAGTCGGAAGAGAAGCCACGAAAAGGATAATTGAGCGTGCTCCTGAAGCTGTCCGTTATGAAAGGCTTTCTTGAATGGGGACCAAAAGACAGGAGGTTCGACGACAGCAAATATAAGGTCGTTCAGAAGACTGCCGCCTCCGATATTCGCGATATCTGGGGCCGAGAAATAGGTGAGAACGTCTGTGGCGAGGCCATTGAAGAACGTGATGTTGAAGTCGAAACGGAAAGCAGATTGAAGGGCCGTCAGACCATTTGGACTCGTCGTTATCCTGCTAATGCATGCGATGCGGTCTTCCTGGGCACAGATTGCCTGGAGAAAAATGATAGAGTTTTGTTTAGTAAGAGCTTGTTTGCCATCGACGATGGCGAAGAGTGTACGGTTGAGCTTTGCAGCTCGGACGGGGTCTATGGTACTCATCGAGGTCTCGAGATGGCGGAGATGGGTAGTACGAAAACTACAATTCGTGGACGCCCACAGTCAAGGTGCTTGCGCGTCAGGCTGGTATTTGTGTGGCGTGGGACGTCGACAAGGGGTTGACGAGGGGAGTAAAGCGAGAGCTGTTCTTACCGATCAGGTTACATTGATTGTTGTATTCATACATCCTGATTCGATTCAGAGTAAGTGATTATCCTGCATCAGCGCAGAAAAGCGAGCATCGAGATAAATAGTACTGACTACGATCTTGAATGACTAGTTTCTTCCAAGTTTCTTCACTCGCCAAGCCGGTGTTCTACCCGGACCGGCTAACGCCGTCAAACGGCTTGCCACACGCCGTCACTTGTCTTCCCACCTCAACAACTACCTCGACAACTTGCCTTATCCTCTTCGACCCTTCCTCTCTGGTAGTTCCGAGTCGATCTCGGTCTCACTGCAGTCAAGTTGATGATTGCACCAAAGTCTTACCCCCAACATCTTCCAGCCCTCGACTGAACTCATCTCCCATCGCTACGGCTATCTTCCGAGTGCTCTTGGCCTCCCTGTCGGCAGAAAAAGGCCATGCGCTACTAACGTCGAACATGCTATGTATGTGAATGTGACGCACCGGGATACAGAAGGATAGAGCTTTACGACGCGGCGATGGATTGCTCTTGGACTTTTTGGGAGTGAGGGAGGGTGCGAAAAGGGTAGAAAATGTAATCAGGGTGATCTCGCATCAGAGCGGTGGGATGTGGATGCATGCAAGGGAGAGTACATCTTAGGCTGGTGTAGCACGGCCGTTGGTGAAGGAGAGCTGGGGCTCGAAGCAGTATGCTGTAAGTCATATTCCGTCCAGCCTTTGACTATGTCCGTCGACGATTCCAGTAAATGGCGGCGCGAGGCCCGAGCCGACTACGCTCTCCGTTCAGCTCTCGGACGGCAGACTACTCTAGACAACGTTGTTAATACAGTCAATTCTAGTATCCCCTATACGATTCTTTCGGTGGAGGAATCGATTGAAGTGTTCGACCGTGGCAAAGAGGTAGGCCTGACGTATCCTCACGCCTCATGTACACAACTGTTTTTCTTGGAGATACTCACATGACCCGCTTTTGGACTTTCACGATGCCGATACGGACTCGACTCAACTCGGAATACCTGATACTTAGTTCCGTCCATCTGTTACCAGCCTAGCTTCTACCAACGGCCCTGCGTGGACAAGGCCAACCGGATAATTGACGCGCGGTGCTTGCTCGCCTCTTTTCCTCGTCATCCACTCATGTCTTCGTACGAAATCTCCATTCTTCAGAGCACACTTGATATTTATGATGTTCTATGCTCGCATTGGCTACTTTAGGTGATAATATATGACAGGAAATACCATTGTGGCTGCGCAGACGTTTCGCTCAGATCATGATGTCTCGGTCATATGTGCTATCATCTTTAGGGCCCGGCTACAGGAATATGGATGAGGAAACTCTTCAGACTTATTCCGAGTCGCTGGATCGTACTATTCTTCACTCGGTTACGATCCTTGGAATATAGATGGGAAGTAGTGGTCAGTAATCTCGTATCGACATGTCCAAGGGGTTCCGGAGGGGAATATGAGCGGCGCCACCTCAATAAGGACCGGTTTTCAATGGTGGAGATGTAGCTGACTGCCTGATACGAAGATTTCCGTGGCGGTCCTTGGAACAGGGGATCCTAGGATATTGCATCTATGTGGCGAGGGCCATGTATAGAGCCTCTCTAGTTCTTTATAAATACTGGCCTTGAATTGGTGTACCCTCGCTCACAGCATTATTGTCTAGATCAAAGAACAGCCAGGTGCGAATCTCTCAGCATCCATTACCACATATCGTCGTTGTCCTCATAATCCCGTTACCAGTCGAATACAATACCCGGGCAAGCATCGGCTGTCTCTTCTGAGCAGTCGTTCTCCGATGTTACCTTGAACTCGAGTCAAGATGGACGTATATCATCCAGTGAATACGCCCAGAGGCGTAGAGAGCTGATGCAACTCATCACCGGTCTCCTTGGCCAGGAGTATGTTCTCCTCTTCGTATGCGAAAGGACGCCATAGCATGATATCGTTTGTTGTAGCGCTCACCAGGTCATGGATATTCCACGTATCGCGGTCATTGGTGGGCAGTCTGGTGAGCACATTCCTTCACAAGCTTGTGTCTTGGTTACCCACAACGCTACATAGCCGGAAAGAGCTCCGTTGTCGAAGCCGTGACTGGCGTAAGCCATACTCTGTGTGACACCTCGAACGTACATGCTGAATTCGTCGGCTCCTAGATCAACGTACCCAGGGACAGTGGTACTCGTACTCGGTATGTCTGGCTCATCCATGGATCAATGTACGTCTACTAAGACATGGCTACTGTTACCAGGTGCCCAAGGTGCCCAATGTAGTGCACTCTTTCTAGCTTCACTGTGTCGTGGTCCTGTCAGATCTCCCCGCTATTCGTGTACGACGACAGTGGATCTCGTATGAACGCGACTCAGCACGTTTTCAGCCCTCTTCTTACTGATCGAGGACAAGTCGAGCTCTGGATCCGCAGGGGATAGGCTGCTATATTGTCTCCCCACCGCAAGTTATTGGACTTTGCTGGTCTCTCCCGCTCAGAGCTTCAACAGCTCCTACGTGACGATCATGACATGCTCAAGTTCTCGAAGAACATACTCTGCATCGATATCAAGGATCCACACGCCACTGACCTTTCTTTCATTGACTTGCCTGGTACGCCACTAGATTATCCTTTGACAGCCCTATATACCAATCTCCTCTGCATATATAGGTCTGATACAGAATGAGGACCTGGAAGTCGTCGACCTTGTCAAGCACCTGGCTGTTTCGAATATCACAAACGAGTCCACCATTATCTTGGTCACCATTCCGGTCACAGGTTTGGCGAAATTTCTTTCTCTTCGTCGTTGTATCTGACGAGCTTTGTTGTAGACGAGATGGAGAATCAGTTGGCCTTCCGCTTGGCTAGGGAAGCGGATCCAGAGGGCAAGCGCACCGTTGGTAAGTAACATTGACTGCCCGCACTACTTCGTGGAATTGCTCATATAGTCTCCGTCGGTGCAGGCGTTCTCACCAAACCAGACAACCTTCGAGACGGTGACGTAGGCGCACGTGAGCGATGGAAGGATGTGATAGAAGGGAAAAGCCATCAGTTGAAACACGGTTATTACTGTGTTCGACTTCCCGATGACGCTCAACGTCAACGCAACATCAAGCCTATCGAAGCTAAAGAGTTTGCTAGGACCTTCTTCACTTCGAGTGCTCCGTGGAGTCAGCTGGGTCCAGCTGATCGTCGTCGACTTGGAGTGCCTAATTTGGTGTCCGATCTTTCGCGACCGTTGATCCCCTTGTCCAGCCCTTTGATCTCGGAGAGGTCCGCATGATCATAAAGAAGTGTACCCGTTCACTTTACCAGACGTGTCTCGAATTGTCCAATGAGTGTCTGCAGGCATATCGCATGGGAGCACCTTGGCTATATACCCTTCGAAGCGCCCAAGAAGCTACTTGAGGCGTCGATCAAGCTTTGGGAAGTACTCTCGAGGATGTGCCTTGAGTCTGCCTTTTCCACACTTGGAGTGACGCTCGAAGGTCTGGTGAAGAAGTATTTTAGCCAGTTTACGCGGATAGATGCAGCTGTCCAGTAAGTTATATTTCTTCTCTTCTCTTCGTCAGTTTTTGGATACCATCTTACGTCGGAAAAATCTTTCTCACAGGAATGTTGTGCGCACCGAGCTTGAGGAGATTCGGGATATTGCTGCCAACGACGTGAGGCGCACACTCCAGCAGGAGCATTGGCCGTTCTGGACCCAGAACGACCACTACTTCGAATGCACGAAGCTAAAGTGGTTACTATGAAAGTAACTTTTTTGGTTGCTTTTTTCCCATAAAGTTAACTTTTCCTAGCTTTTGTGCCGAAGTTAGCTTTTAAAGCTAGCTTCGGCACAAAAAGCTAGATCGGAAGGCTTCCTTGCTTTCCTGACTTCAATGTCGCTTGTGGCCTTGTCTCTCTCGCAAGGCTTCTAGGTAAGGTCCACTGAGGTCGTGTGCTACAAGGGTATTATTTCTATATTTTTGAGTTTTTCTTCTAAGTGCATAGGGCCTCTCATAGCCGTCGTCGTCGCTGTCGATCCGGCACGTAACACAAAAGTTCACATTCTTGCTTTTCGCCAGCCTTTCTTAAGTCCACCTTGCGCATCTCTTTAAAGTACCTCTCACATATGGGCACCGTTGCTCTGAACATCTTGGGCAGCCTAAATATGTCTGTGTACTCCAGAAGATATGTCATGATTGTATTTTCAAAGGGGGAGCTGTGCCGGGTGTGACAGCGACGACAACGGCGGCGATCACTGCCCATATCGCACTTACAAACGTACTCGACCTCAGCACTGCTTCAGGGAGTATACTCTGCATGAAGGAAGCTACATCAACAATACCAGCTGACGGCGCTGAACGACGTCGTTGTTGGCGATGACGACCGTGGGGCGCAACCGGCACGGGCAGTCATCACCAAGAACGGTAAAGGTTGGGTAAAGGCTGGCACCGCTGCTGATGCCGAATGTGAAGCTACACTGTCTTACAAAAATGTGGTTCATTGACGAGACAATGGCTGTGTACAGGGTGCGAAGCACACCAAAAGCAACGACAGTTACTTTCGTGAAGCGTGGGAAAAAGCTAATGCACGGATCGCACCTTTTTTTGGCGGGGAAAAAGCACCCAAAAAGTTACTTTTATACGTACCAGCTAAAGTGGCGTGCGGTTTAAAATACCACACGCAACCGGCCTGGAGAAATTTCGCCCGACGCCCCGTACACCTCAAACTATGCAGCGCCAAGGTCGTCGGTTTCAATACAGGCGCGCCAGACTCAGGAACTGCAAGCTTTGGCCGCACTTGGCTATGAAAGCATTTGCGCTGAAGACTTCCATAGACTGTGGCCTCCCGACAGGTACGAAGAGGAGCTCAGAGTTATGGCCGGTGCTCGCGCTTACTTCCAAGTGGCATACAAGGTAGGTTTGCTGGGTTCTTGCTTATAGCGCGCGCGTCAAATTCATAGAGGATAATCGACCACATCCCCATGACGATTGAGCACTCCATGAACCAACCCTTTGCCGACAATCTCCATGCCGCACTGTTGAGCGCTTTGGACATTGCGTCGAGCGTAATACAAGATGGAATTGTTGAGCGAGGACCCAGACATAGCGAGAAGCAGGGCGGAGCTGGAGCAGACGAAGGCGCGTCTCGTTGATATCAGCGTCGGTTGGAACGGTTTTGTGTTTGATGCGCTGTTGTGAGTCTGCTGTTGACGTCCATTTATAATCTCGGTGACTAGTTTTGGTGTAAAGCCTTGTACTGTATCACCATTCATTCATCGTGTCGTTAGGTCGAGTCTCTGTACGATGATTGGGTAAAGTCTCTCTGATTATGCACTCTTTGAATATATGTCGAGTTCCTCTATAAAGTCGACTTATCTGCAAGTTCTTTGTCTCCACCCATGGTTGTTCATGCGACTAACTGCCTTCTTGAAAACAAGTTATTTTTCGGGCTCTCCACGGCGCACTGCCCTCATTTAATAGGTCAAGCCCTCAATGTCTCCCGATCGACTCCCTTGGGGACTACGCCATATATCTCCGATAGATTTCTAGCTACTACTAAGTCCGTCTCCACTAATAGAACCAGATCCTCGGACCCTGTTTCATCAACTGCTGATTCGCAGCCCAATCTCCGCTAATGATCTTTTCGTGGATAGCTACTGTTCGCGCATGCGTAATAATACTATGCGCAGATCGTCTTCTATCTGTGAAATTAGCCAGCCTCGATTCGATATCAGAAGGTATGGTTCATGGATTACAAACTGCCTACTTATGCGTTGCATTCGAAGCCTCAGCGGAGATCCCTTTGTCCAAATTGGAATATACAGCGCTTTTGAATTCCCCAAACTGTCCTTCGATACGGTCGGAACCCTTCGATTCTCCTGTCTATTAAGCGTACGTCTACGTTGCTTTTACATGAGGCCTACTTTTGACTGATGGCCGCCTCTTCGATACGGCGGCGCTCTCATGTCGGCCGCGCCACCTGAATAGCTATTCGCTCCGACTCAATACTGACGTTGAGCAGGTAGTAGACTCCCTCTTGCCCTTGATATCAGTGGCAATCGTGCGAAATACTGCCCACGACTGCCAGAATGTTCTCATGAAATGCCAGTGGTTATCGGAGGCCATAAATTCGACGCCGAAAGCATTCGTAGAGGTCTAACACTTCCCCACTGTGATGACAGATCACAGTAAACGACGCACATTGAGCTCATTTCTTGGAGGGTAAGCGTCTTGGTCACTGCGAAATTGTGCCATGACCGCTGATATACATTCGACGATACAGATCTATGACCCCAGTGTGTTCATCCGAGTGTTTCTCCAAACCCGTTTGGCTCTCCTAACCCCTGACCACAGACAAACAAGTCCGACGACTCTGACCCATCGAACTTCTCCGCTCAAACATCTGCCGATACCATCCCGGAGCCTACTCAAGATGGAGGTATCGCTACGACGGAGTACGCACAGAGACGCAGAGAGCTCATGCAGCTCGTCACAGGCCTTCTTGGCCAAGGGTATGTTTCGCTCACTGTCCTTCATGATGCTCGCTGATACTTCCTTTTCATGATAGTGCTCATCAGATCATTGATATACCACGCATTGCCGTCATAGGAGGACAGTCCGGTACGTGATACGATAGCATTCCAGAGAATCCCTACTAACTTAACATATAGCCGGCAAAAGCTCTGTAGTCGAAGCAGTCACTGGTGTACGTATTTGTCCCACCCGTGTGCTCAATATCTCTGTTCACATTGAATTACTATAGCTCAATGTGCCACGGGACAGTGGGACGTGCACGCGGTAAACTCGCTTTATCTTTAAAGCAATTAACGGTGGCGAATACTCACACAAACTACAGGTGCCCGATGGAGTGCACTATGTCGAGCTCTGCATCCACTTGGTCTTGTCAGATTTCTTTGCGCTATGAGTATGACGAAACTGGTGTCAAGATGAGCGCCACGCAGCATGCCTTTAGTCCCGTGCTCACCGACCGAGGGGAAGTCGAGTTATGGATTCGTCGAGCGCAGGTTGCCATTCTGTCTCTTCATAGAACGGTCACAGAGTGTCAGAGCCTCTCGCAGGACCACCTGAAGGAGATTCAGAGGCTACTTCAGAAAAATGGCGACCGCAGCATTCTGCAGTTTTCCAAGAATGTCGTATGCGTTGACATAAGAGATCCTGATGCGACAGATCTTTCCTTCGTGGACTTGCCCGGTATGTTTCTTCACATTCCATGATGAAAGTAAGACGGTCTTATCGCTCACGATGACTCATGACGTAGGCCTGGTCCAAAACATGGACGCCGACATAGTTGAGCTAGTGAAGAACCTCACTGTCTCCACTATCGAGCAGGACTCGACCATTATTCTCGTCACTATCCCATTGACAGGTATGTAGAATTATTATGCTACAGCTGTGTTTCGTGTCACTCAACCTCGCACATACATAACTCAGATGAGATGGAAAACCAGCTGGCGTTTCGCTTGGCGAAGGAGGCCGACCCTGAAGGAAAGCGTACTGTCGGTAAGCAATCACCATCTTACCTCTCCCACTATTGCTCACATACATACGGCCTGCGTCTTGCTCATCTACAAATTTATTTGTAGGAGTGCTCACTAAACCCGACAAGCTTCAATCCGGAGACCTCGGGGCTCGTCAGCGCTGGAAAGACGTCATACTTGGGCGAGCTCACGCATTGAATCATGGTTATTATTGTCTTCGTCTCCCCAGCGATGGAGAACGCGAGCGCACCATCACCCGTGCACAGGGCGAAGAGATTGCCACTGCGTACTTTGCTTCTGATGCTCCATGGAATGAACTAGACACTAATCATCGTCAACGACTTGGTGTTTCGAACTTGGTCTCTGACTTATCACGACTTCTCATGCACGTCCTAGAGAAAGCGTAAGCCTTACGGTTTTTGAACATCCTTTGTCTCACGACAATGTGTCTCATTATTCTCTGGACAGACTTCCAAAACTTCGCAAGGACATCGCGTGCCTCCTCTCTGACTGCAACGCCAATCTGACAGCCCTTCCTATTGTGCCAGAGACCGATAACGCTGTTGCGACTGTAATTCTCAAAGTCTCGAAATTTACGTCGGAACTATCGCGAATGGTTTACGGTCGAGGTGATGTCAGAAAGGATCTCATACAGCGTAATCAAGGCAGCTATGGCGTTCTTCGTCGTAAACTATATGGTACTGCGCCTGATCTTAGGCCATTCGACGACCGCTTGATGCGGCCCGGTCGTCCTGCGTATCCCGGAGACGAGGACGGTGACCCCGATCCGCTTGTGGACCCTTTGGATCTGGGAGAGGTTCGTCGTATTTTGAAAAAGTATGTCCATTTTGTACAGGTGGTTTATCGTGGCACGAGCTGTATACTTATGCTTCAAAGACATATTGGTTGGGAGCTTCCTGGGCATATTCCCTTTGAAGCCACAAAGGAAATGTTGGACTCGTCTCTCAAACTGTGGTCGGAGCCTACCCAGACTTGCCTTGAATCTGCATTCATGACACTCGCCGCAACGGTTGATGAATTAGTCCGGGGGCATTTTCGGCAACTGACATTGTTCGAGAGCACCGTTCGGTAAGTGGTACTTTATATCTGATTCCGCGTCGCTTCATCTCCACTTAATGATGTTTATAATATATTAGCGATATCATCCAATCGAAGCTCGACGAGATCTGGGAAAAGGCATCTTCTGAAGTAGACCACACCCTTCAACGAGAGCGAGAGCCGCTTTGGACGCAGAACGACGAGTACTTCTTGTCATCGAGGTCGAAGTGGCTCGGAATATACAAGACCGAACGTCATGCGCCTGGGACCGCCCCGGACGACCCCGACGCGTCTACACCCCTCCCGTTCCAGATGAGATCTTCACCGTCTCCCAACTCAGTGCAGACTCATCAGACCCGGGCTCTGGAAGCTTTGGCTGCACTCGGATTCGACGGGCTCTGCGCTACAGACTTTCATCGACTTTTCCCTGCCGATAAATATGATGAAGAACTTGGAGTTATAGCAGACGTTCGTGCTCATTTCCAGGTGGCATACAAGGTTTGTTCTCCCATACATCGTCTCCTTTCAATTAATTCATTACTCTACTATCACTTTCGTAGAGGATTATTGACCAGGTTCCCCTCACGATCGAGCATTCCATGAATCAACCTTTCGCCGACGGTCTTCACGCAGCACTCTTAGGTGTTCTCGACATCGGCTCTGCTGAGAAGATGGAGGCACTTCTGAGCGAGGATCCAATCATAGCAAGGAGGAGGGCGGATCTGGCTCAGTCAAAGGCACGTTTGATAGATATTCAGCGTCGGTTGGAGCGGTTCGCTCTGTGACCGGTAGTTAGATTTCGTACAGGGTTCCAGAGCCACACATGTTCTCGGTTTGAGCTGCAACTCGTATGTATATGTCGTGATATGTGCTTGGTTCGATCGCTCCGGTTTGTAATCAGATCTTGGTCTTTGACGTAGGGGGATTCTTCGTCAATATTGGTCTAGCTCATGCGTAAAATAGTTTCATTAAGGATATCGTTCGGTGAAGAGGAAATATACAGGCAACGATATATAAATACAGATGTGTTAGGCACGAATCAGCTCAACACAACCGTGCTGATGAGTATGTGAAGATCGACTATTCAGGCAGAAAACAAGCAAAAGTCTCGTCACCTTTACCACTGGAGCGTAGTCACCGCGATTCCGGGCTGATCACACATGAAACAAAGAGCTAGAGAGGCGGATGTATATGACCAATGGGCATTCATATAACGCACCATGCGCACATCATTCTCTATTTTCTGAAGATATTTTATCCAAATTTTATCTCAACAGCTCTGATACCGCCGACTGTAAAATAAGGGGACCAAGGGACAGGCTCTATGGTGTTGCATAACAAAAAACACATATCTTCGTCTACGCTGGCAGAGAATGATGACATCAAGATGACATCGGATAGTACGATCGGGAATAGAGTAATTAGCCCAAGGTAGACGACGTACATATGGTCGTGGAAAACTACATGCTTCATCATTTGGTTCGGTGTTGATGTGGAGGCGCTCCAGTAACGCAGACTACTCCTCAATGGAGAGACTAATACTGACACATGTACTGAAATCATATATGGTAGAGCCTTCCTCTGCCTGGAAAACGACAATCTCCAGCTGACTAGTCGAACTCTGACATAACGAAAAGTCCGTTGCATCCGCATTGACACCGAGAAGGGGTGGTGACCTAGCCTATGCACAAGACAATCATCATTTAGCAAAGCGGTGTATATACAACGAATTTTGGCGTGATTGCGTACCACGGAGAAATATGTTCCAAAGGGCCCTGGCTGGAGGTGCGCCGAGCGAGAAGGCTTCGAAGGTGATAGGATTACCAGCCGTTGCTTCCGCTCCGAGTTGTGCCGTCGGAAATGCACCAGTGAAGAGAAATGTATCAGTTAAGGTGAAGTTACTGTTGAACGGTGCTCCTGTCATAAAGCTAGTTGTCTGAATTTCAGTAGTATATGGGTAGTTAGTACGAGTGCTCCATGTGCGTAGCTTCAAACATACTGCGAGTATGGCCGTAAAATCGACCGCCACCGGCTGAGATGCTCCAGTGGAGGGATCTGTGGCAGCAAGAGTAAAGTCATGAATTTCTGTGTCATTGGCACATAGCGATTGACGACTAAGAATGGTAGACGGTGCTGGCGATGCGTGGGCTGTGAAAGTCAGCGCCAAGAGGACAATCGAGAGTGCAAGCATCGAGTAAGACAAGTATGTGGGTGCAGAATCAACGTGACGCGGATGAGGAGTATCTGTTGTTGCAGAATACTCATCAATCCTCTACATCTTTTATACAAACAACCGAAACATGAAGATCGGAGATACCTTCTTGTGCCTGCGGGGAATTATTCCTTTTGGGATATGCAGATCAAGCCTAGAACATCGTTGTTGATCAGCTGTTCGAACACAGTCGTTTCAACAGCCATGTATGTAAGACTGAGATAGAATAAAGCACTCATGAAACGAGTTTGCCCTTACAAACGATTTATGTATAACCAGCGTGAGCACATGGACTTTGGAGTAAGTACTTGGTGAGGGTGTCGCTTCGGCATACTCAGGACGGCGAACGATAAAAATGAATAAATCATAGCTTGGCACTCTGCGGTAGCAGGTTTCCCCAAAGCGCAAGGAAAATTCAGGTCATTTGTGGCAGGAGCTCGCAGTAGCGCCGAAGTCGAAGGCTTTATGATTGGGTGGCGGTGGCCTCACCACTCTCGAAAACTAGCTATTTTATACGCCAACCGAGAACTCCCGCTGACTGTCACACATTGCTATGCATACCGCTGAAGTGTATCAGGATCAATGCTAGTATCACATGCGAATATATGAAAGGGAAACCTGTATGAGATCGGGCTCCGTGAATGACTGCTAATCATTCCAAATGATCCCACCTAGGTAGTGCTCAGATCGTAACAGCAAGAAGAAAAAGTCGCACATCAAAACCGTATGTCCATTTCAACATCGGGCGTTCTCCACAAATTAATCCATCTTGCCACAGCTTATCTTAAAGAGCTGAACTCCTGTCCCTAGCGTATCAAATGGCCGCGTTATAGGGACTTCAATATTACATTCTCGCAACATAAAGACAAAGTATACGGGAGCTGTTCATACCACATCCGTCATATCTCCTCCTCGATGCGCCTCTGTCACACCGTGATTATCTACGTCTTCTCCAGAATGCTCGTATCCAATCCCCTGGCCCCATCGACTTCTAATCAGCACTTCCCTTCGGTCGTCCGTGCTGACTGAGCGCCGAATAACGGATGAAAATGTGATCGGACCGATTATAGTGCAGATTAGAACGGCCCATATGCCAATGAGGTATACGTCCTCTGATATAACAGTCAAACCGGTGGGTACGAGGGAGGAAGCATATCCAACTTGAAGGATGAGGATTCTGCGAGACGTGATGAATCAGCAGAGAAGAAACCCTGTGTAACAGTGATGTGAAGATGAGTAGGACAAACCCTATTTCTCCTCTCGCCACCATAGCAGTAGAAAGCATCATCGCTGGCGCAATGGACGACTTAGTGGGCCATTCTATGGTCCATCTTCCCGCCACAATCCTCGAGGTCTTGTCCGCACCCTTCTCCGTCAAGCTGACGTCTTGGGAGCCGACAGAGTCCGTCTTTGTAAATACCGAGCTAGACCTGCGGCGGACGCGTATTTCAGCAATAGGGATCCAAAATCCTACGACGAGTTTGCCTATAGTCATGAAAATTGCAAAGACGAGTCCTTGCCAGAAACGAGTGATGGTGAAAAGATCTAAAAATGGTATTCTAGAGGAAGAGATAAATCAGGTTCAATATCGCCATGTGAAGTGCAGTTGTGTAATAGAGTTCAAACAACGTACGAATACCCGATTGAGGCGAAGAATAGAGGCGAAAATATCTGTAATCCGAAGGATGAAAAAGATGGTACGGTCAACGCGAGGAAAAGTATTGCAAATGAACTGCTCACGTGCTTGTGAACGGGCCCGACCATCCTGTGGAAGATGCTACGATATGATTCACTCTCAGGATCACTCGGTAATACTGAAAGCATCACGCCCGAAAGGAAGGAACCGAGTAATACCGTCGAGCCTGCATAATATGCACTGCAGGAGGAGCCAATATCATTATAAGAAGAGCCATCGGGATAGAGAAAAGTGTACGTACATGGCTAAATGTGCAGACAGGACACATAGCCCAAGCGACAGGGCCGTATTTCCACCTAGCCGTATGATGTGTTTCTCTATGAACCGCCTATATAGGGGTCGAGCGAAAAGGTAAGTAACGGCTGGACCAAGGACTGCCAGAGCAACACTCGCGACTATGGGGCGTCCGATCGTCCAGCCGAGACTCGTGGTAATGTCATGGCCAAGCCCATCTATGACTCTGTACATGTTTCCACTTTAAATTAGTACCAAATGCATATATCGACGACGCGCTAGAAGATATATGACAAACAGCGGACGTACGAGAGCAAGACGAGGGCGATGACATCGTCAACGAGAGCCGCGCCCATAATGACGCTGCCGATCCGAGTGGACATAACGTCGAAACTGTCTGACTGGGCACGAAGGATGGAGAATGTCGTCCCGAGAGAGTCAGACGCTAGCGCGGCTCCCTACAAGTCTGTTCAGTTCGACAGCCGACATCAAGACGCAGTAAGAGGGACATACACATGAAAATGCATGCAATGCTGAGTATTTGAATACACCGGACAGAACCGCAAAAGAGAGTGCCATTGGAAGCAGTACTCCGGTAAACGCAGCGATGGTGGCGAGTGGTAGACAAGATAGAAATAGTCGTGCATCAAAGTCTAACCCCCCTGTGTCATGAGCGTAGCAGTGTTTTCAGTCGACTAGAAAAGGTAGTGAAATGATGGGTCACGGACCTTCGAAGACAATGAGTACCAAGCCCCAATATCCGACCACCAACCATGTCTCCTCCCAGCTATGCTCCAATATTCCCGAAAGTGGAGAGCCGTAAATTACACCGAGAGCGATCTCCCCGAGAAGACCTGCAGAGAGAAGGGCATCTGCTATGTATCTCGAGACTTGGAGTAGATATAGAAAGGAGCTGAGCGTGAGGAGAACAGGGAGCGTTGGCTCCTCATATATGACACCGAGAACTGAGGACGACATCTCGGTAAATGTCGATGTGATGTGTAAGGCGACAAAAGTGAACGCCGAGAGTTAGTGTACTCACGAGATATACGAACGACCTTATATAAGATAATGAGCAGGATGGGATGATTAGTTCACGCTAGAGTGACGTAGTCCCAGATCATGTAGTACGCCACAATGAAGTCCGAAAGATAGGGGAGGATAGGGGTGAAGTTAAAGCACGACTTCCAAGAGCCCACAAAACATAGAGTTGGACAAATATGGAAAGCCGAGAGGCTATGCTGCGGATGCGTATGGGCTCGACCGACTTGGAAATGAGACATCTCCACCAGTTGGGTCGGTGACAGGGGTTCAAAGCAGAGTCGAGAGAATGTTCAAGACAAGTGTTCCGCTTCGCCAAGAAAATCGCCCGAAGACAGCGCACCATTCAGGATGTACCTGACAAAGACGAGAACATGCTGGCCGGTACATTTGGGTACATTTGGAGAGTCAGCCTCTCGGCCGCTCTGGAGATTAATGCTGTGTAGACTTTGGCCACACCCAAGAATTCGAACATAGTAGACATGCCTAGAATTGCGAAACAGATGCTTTGTCCAGGAGACATCACACAAGCAATTCGAGCCTTGGCAAAGATATACAATCAACCCTTCCAAGTTCCGAAACACCCCTCAGACTCGTCTAGTGAATCGATATAATATTCATACAAAACGGCCAGAGATGAGATGTTAGTACGTGCTTGTCAAGGTGACTCAGTTGCAAGTAAGGAGTCTGGTTTCGTGCTCGACACCCGAATTCAGTAAGGAGCACAATGAACAAGTAGGCGACGCCCGTGATTACGCAGGTGATGGAGGATGGCGGCAGTAAGAGCGAAGGGTGAGCTACAGCAGATATCTTCGGCATCGCTATGCCTGGTCGTCGCCGTCAAAGTGAGAGTACTCGTCAAGAACGGGCAAGCGTGGGAACTTCCAAAACTTTTCTCTTCCACGTGGAGGTCGCGGTTCGCTCCGAGAACGCGTTTGTCACTCCGCTCAAAGACCAACAGACACGCTTACTGTGCGTTTTGATGCGAGGCCGCCACATAAACACGGATTCCTTCGTTCAAGGCCGTATGGTTCAGGCAATGTTCTGGTCATGCATAAGATATTGCCTCATATGTGCTTTTTTGTGGCGTTCCCTGGGATTTATGCATACACGTTGCCAATCGCTGTCTCGACTCTTTATACTCTGCACTACAGCTGGATTAGCATCCTTCCACCATCTCTTCACACCATGACCGAGCGCAACAAACGACGTGGATTTGGACTCTTTCTCGGAGGGTCAGTATGCGTCCCTTCGAAATATTAGCTTTCACGCTGACTCGTTGTCTGTCTTAGATCGAAGAGCAATGAAGTGAGTCTTCCAACATTCTTATCATTATTTATGTATTTATCTCTCCAATAGACGGAGCGACGAAGCGACCCTATCATCTCTGACTCCTCCCGAAACTCGTTCTCCGATGCTTCCCCTGAACCGACCCCAGAGGTGCATCGCGATATTGCTGCGACGGAGTATGCTGTGAGGCGTAGAGAGCTCATGCAGCTCATAACAGGTCTTCGTATGAAAGGGTGTGTCATGATTATAATACTTCTTTGAACTGTTCACCGACACTATCCTTTGGTGACAGCGCACATCAACTCATCAAAATTCCACGCATCGCCGTTATTGGAATACAGTCTGGTACAGTGATCTCATTGCGCAAGCTGTGTCATCCGTTTAATGGTTCCATTAGCTGGCAAGAGCTCCGTTGTCGAGGCCGTAACTGGGGTGCGCATTTACTCGCTAACTTCTTGAGTCCTCTTCTGACGATACGGTCTCGTAGATCACCGTTCCCAGAGACAGTGGTACTTGCACGCGGTATGTAGGCTTTGCTTATTACTCGAGCGTTCAAATGAATTGATGTTTAATGCCGATACAGATGCCCAATGGAATGCACCATGTCAAGTTCTGCAACCACTTGGTCCTGTCAGATTTCTTTGCGCTATGAGTATGACGACGCCGGTGTGAAGATGAGCGTCACCCAGCACACGTTCAGTCCTGTTCTCACAGACCGTGGACAAGTCGAGCTCTGGATTCGCAGAGCACAGGTAGCCATTTTATCCCTTCACCGCACGTTGACGGACTGTCAGAATCTCTCCGAAGATCAAGTCAAGGATATCCAGAAGAATTTTCCGAAAGATGGTAGAAGTATGCTTCAGTTCTCGAAGAATTTCGTCTGCGTCGATATCAACGATCCCGATGCGACAGACATTTCTTTTGTGGATCTGCCGGGTCAGTCGAATATCACTCTGAGCTATAGTGCTATTATTCAAACTCGCTCTGCTCGTTCATATAGGTCTAGTGCAGAATATGGACGTCGGAATAGTCGACCTAGTCGAGAATCTCACCATCTCTGCCATCGAGGATGACTCCGCCATAATCCTCGTCACCATGCCCCTCACAGGTAAGATGACAACGGTCTACGCAGTTCAAAGCTTCATCTCACATCGCTGCCTTTATAGACGAGATGGAGAACCAGTTGGCGTTCCGCTTGGCCAGAGAGGCTGATCCCGAAGGCAAGCGTACTGTTGGTAAATAGAACCTTTCGCTTGGATACAGGTTGATGCTGATGTTTTGCTTGGCTATCCTGCGCTACTATTTATCTGAACAGGTGTTCTTACAAAACCCGACAAGATTCAAGCGGGCGATTTGGGAGCTCGTCAGCGGTGGAAGGACGTGATATCGGGCAAAGCTCATCCGTTGCATCACGGTTATTATTGCCTTCGTCTTCCCGATGACGGTGAACGCGCCCAATCGATTACTCGTGCGCAAGGTGAAGAGATATCGAATGCCTACTTTGCTTCGAACACTCCGTGGAGCGAGCTCGGTCCAGCCGGACGTCGCAGGCTCGGGGTCGCGAACCTCGTTTCTGACGTATCCCAACTCCTGATGCGCCTCTTGGAAGAAGCGTGCGTATTCGTCTAAATCGAATCATTTACAGAACTGAAACCATCTCCACAACCAGACTCCCGAGGATTCGCGAGGAAATCAGTTCCCTCCTCTCCGAATGCATTGCCGATATCGCCGCCCTTCCTGCCGCTCCCGAGACCGACAACGCGACTACGACTGTCATTCTCAAAGTTTCCAAATTCACCTCCGAACTCTCTATGATGGTTTATGGCCGAGGTGATATGACCAGAGACTTCATACAGCGCAATCAAGCGAACTATGGCGTCCTTCGTCGTAAAATACGTGGTACGGCTCCGGATTTTAGGCCGTACCATGACCGCGCTTTGCGCTCTCGTCCCTCGTATCCTGGCGATGAAGACGGCGACCCAGACCCACTCTTGCAACCACTCGACCTTTCGGAGGTTCGATATATCTTGAAGAAGTATGTGTTTCCCGAATGCGGACCGACATGGTACTGACGCTTCCAAGACATATCGGCTGGGAGCTTCCAGGTCACATTCCCTTTGAGGCTACGAAGGAGATGCTGGACTCTTCGATCAAGTTATGGGACGTACCCACTCGTACCTGCTTCCAGTCCGCGTACATGACGCTCACGAACATGGTCGACAACTTGGTTATGGATCACTTCCAGCAACTCACGCAATTTGAGAGCCTTGTCGCGTCAGTTGACTCTCCCTCCTTACCATACTTGATTGTTTAACTTATGTTTTGTCGCACAGTCAACTCGCTCATGAAAATCTGGCGGAGATATGGGCGAGTGCGTCGAAAGAGATCGAAAAAGCACTTGCGCGCGAGCGAGACCCGCTCTGGAGCCAGAATAACCATTACTTCTCAGCGGCCAAGTCTAAATGGCTCGGGATATACAAGTCGAAACGCCACGAACCCGGGTTTTCCGAGGCCGACTTGCCATCGAGGGCAGTTACCCCATCATCAGAACCTGCTTCCCAACAGCCATCTCCCCAACCGCATTTTCTATCAATGCCTTCTCAATTCGGAGGGTTCGGAGGGTTCGGACAACAACCTTCTGCCTCAATGCCTGCTCCAACTGGAAAGCGGGGAATCTCCAAATCCGTAGAAACGCATCAAACTCAAGCACTGCAAGCTTTGGCGACACTCGGATATCACGGAATCACTGCTGCCGATTTTCATCGTCTTTACCCCGCCGACGAGTACGAAGAGGAACTGAAGGTCATGGCGGGCGTACGCGCCCATTTCCAGGTCGCATACAAGGTGCGTTACCATCACCCGTAATTTCTTTACTTACCTTTTCATGCTCCTGATCGTATCATTCTCCCTCTCGCAGAGAATCATCGACCAAGTTCCCCTCACGATCGAGCACTCCATGAATCAGCCTTTCGCAGACGGTCTTCACGCCGCGCTCTTGGGTGTCCTCGACGTCGGATCGAAGGAGAAGATGGAGGCGCTGTTGAGTGAGGATCCGGCCATTGCGAAGAGGAGGGAGGAGTTGAATGAGACGAAGGCGCGTTTGATGGATATACAGGCTCATTTGGAGAGCTTCGTGCTTTGAAGGGGGATTGTGGACGATTCGTTGTATACGTGGGTGATTTTGTTGAATTTTTTTCGGAGATGATTAGAGATGGAATTTGAACTTAGAGTTGTATGCGCTTCGTGATGTGTCTTTGGTTGTAGAAATTAGAGCGAATTGGAGGATGTATTGTGGAAAGGTTCAGAGTTGCACGTGCACATCACCGGCTTGTCGCCACCACAGCTTCGAAGGCGCCCTGTGTGAGAGAAAAATTATATTCGGTCTCCTTCCCACCAATTGCGGGCGGTGTAGATTCAAACGCCTGCTCGGCTGACTGAGTGTGATTCATTGTATGACACAATGAAATGACACGAATCCTTGAAAAGATTCCTCATGCTGTCCAATTCTATAAAAGGCTGTTCTTTTAATACCATTCCGTGCGAGCCGAAGTGTTATATCTGGCTTCCTCGTACAAGCCACTTGCTCATTGCCCAGCACAATCCTCATCCCTCTGAGATCACTCGTCTGCGGTGTCATTAACCTTCACCACCATAAACACCTCACACACTCCTATAAACACAGTCCTTCATATCGATATGGGCTCTATTCCTTCCAAGCTCGGACTCGGTTTCACGGAAGAGGAGAAGAAGATCCTCAGTCGAGGTACCCCACTCGAGAGGGAGCGGCGCAGGACAGAGGCGAAGTCCCTGACGAATGGGTATATGGCAACGTCGATGGGGACGTTTGGGAGTTCGGGCGGGAAGTTCATACCACCGCGGAAGGTGTAAGACAACGAAGAGATATATGCGACTTTGATGCATACAGGGCAAAGGAAGAGAAGCTCATGTGTGTAATAACCTCTCTTCTTAGCCAGCGTTACTCGTACTCATATATTTTTATGTATTGTTGCTGCTACCTGTGTTGATATCTATGGTTTACTTACAGATTTGGCGAGAGATTGGAACTGGGCGTTGATCATTGTGCGAGTGGACACAGCGTGGAGCCAGCGCAATTTAACTTGTGGCGAACTTGTAACTTGACTTGCCTGCCAAATCGGGCATGACTTAATGGAACAAACTTGTGGCACTTGCGTACCTCTCACTTGTGGCGCACTTGTGCTCCTATAATCCTCGATAACCATGTAGCTCACCAGCGATGACACCCATAAGTATCACACCTGGTGTGCCCTACATCGTTATTCTCCCTCTTCCCGTGTTGACGCGTATCTCAACTACGAATCTTTGTTACTCCTGCTCCGACTCGCTCGTCGATCACTTAGTCTCGGTTATAGCGGGCTTAAACCTCCACTGCGTACACTCTTGCGTAATGATTTCTCGAGCTAGCGCTGTAGCTGGAACCTACCCTCGGAGATTTGATTTGTCTAGACGGGCTATAGATGTCCAGCATGGCGATACGGGCCATTGCAAAGATGGAATCCTTGGGACCAACTTGGGACTTCCATCGATGATATAACCCTCCCGTTGAGGTCAAACAGAGCGGTAAACTTCACGCGTACGGGTTATATCTGAGTGGAGTCCCGAATTCATTATGACCTCTTTCGACCATGGCGAAACACTAGCCTTTTGTTATCTCGATCTCTTAACGTTCTCTTCACTCTAGTTTTCCCGGTCAGCATGTGTCTGAAATACCTTTTCCGCTGCTACATTCAGCACACTGATCAACTTATGACATGGTGTATGATTCACTTGCGTGTGCTTGTGTCAAACTTGTATGACTGCAGTAATGCAAACTTGAGCAAACTTGTAGGGCCAAGTTTCTCAAGCGAGCTTGTAAAGCACGCATGCTGACTTGCAAGTTAACTAAGGTAGCCTAGTCTGTCGAAGTAAATGTGATCATCCAGTATATATCTAGTCGCTATGAAAGTCTCGCTGTACTTGGATACTGGGGACGCCCAAGTCATCGCTATTGGCATGCTAAAAGTGATGCTTTAGTGGGCACCAGTAGTGGAAAGCTCAGCATCGGTCAAGGTACTTAGTAGGAGGCAGGCAATACATTGATGAGCTAGCGCTTCTGATAAATACGATGGTCTTTGACTACTGTGTCCGCGGAGGCATCATCTACAGTATCCGAGTCCTTACTTGTGATGCTTGTGGTACAGAGGCAAACGGCCAGCTACCCGTTGGCGATTGTGCACGCGAACTAGTCAAACACGTGATTACATGTAGGTATGTCCGACAAGGCATGGTAAGTGTTATACCAGTGGTAGAAGGACATATTGATGCCTCATGATCTCAGAAGTTTCACAAGTGTGCCAAGCTATACAAGTTCGTAAACGCAAGTTTGACAGCCAAGTGAGCTTGCAAACTTGCAAGTTAACTGGGACAAATTAACTTGTACACCGACAAGTTTGCGCAAGTTAACTTTTGGGCGTCGCAAGTTCGTATTACAAGTTAAAATGTGAACCCTCAAGGCCATACACTGCCCATGAAGAGAGCACACGTATTTCTGAGGAAATATTGATATATCGCACATCGCTCATAAACATCTTCAGAAGACCAAAACGTCCTAGAAACCAGAGATTCGTTGTTGTGGGCGCAATTTTCAAACAGGGTTGGCGGGCACGGGGCATGGAGACTCGGAGAGCGCCGTGGGCACGGGCACAACCCAAGAATAAAGTTGACGCAAGAACATCTGGATGGTGATAGGGCGTCGATATCGACGCACTGACATCCACGTTCACAAGAAGAAGACAGACAGAGAAGTGTATGTAACGCACGGCTGCACGGCATCGAGGCTAACGAAGCCGCGCTGTCTACAGTGGGCATCAGCACCTCCACAAGGACCAGAGTTCGCGATCAGAGGTGAGGTCCGCCTCATGAGCGCAGCGGCAACACGCCGACAACGACAACAACGACGGGTAGTTCAAAATCTATATATGTGGCACCGTCCAGCACCTAGAATCCAGCTCCAGCACCCAGGTCGGAGATAAGACGAAATGAGCAACCTGCAACTGGATCCTGAAACTGTAACGAGTGAGAAAGTGAAAGACTAACAGAGCGAAAAGGTCGAGTCATCGCCGGTCTAAAGCCATCGAGTAGGATCAGTACTAGGAGTAGTATTTATGCTTAGGCTTAGGACTCCCTACCGACGCCATCATCATCCCTTTAGAGGCTTTCCAGAAAAATACCCGGTCAGGAGAAGCCCACAGGTTAGTTCCTCGACACGGGTCCAAGAGGGGTAAGGCGCAATCAGGGGCTTGAGCCCTGGACCTGAAACCGGAATAAGGACAAAAGTGTCGACGGAAAGAGCAACAACAGCAGAAATAACTCTGAAAGACGCTGTTCCCTTTTATTCTTCTTTGTGGATGAATCAGAGAGAGGAAAGAGAGAGGAATATGGAATAGAGTCAAAGGATGATTAATGATCCACAGAGTAGGAATCCTCCGGTCAAATCTGTCAATACCAATACAGAATTGCAAGCGTCAGAGCCAGAGTACTTATGGAGAGAACGAGAGCGGCAATATTGATCCAGAGAAGAATAAAAGGAAGAAAGAAAAAGTCCGCCACCGACATCGCGGGAGCATAATTCGGAATATTAATCAATCTCAAGGCTCGAAGTGTGTTCAGGTACCGTATCGGGAAGAAGCAGTAAACGATAGCCAATGCGGGAGACAAACACAGGGTAAGGTATCGACTAGCGGTGGCGTTTGGGCCTTCGAGCTTCCTTAGCGATTCCATCATCGTTTGCCCAGAAGCTCAGAGCCCAGGTCGCCAACGAGTCACGACGGATAAAGCACCGGTAACCACTACTTACCCTGAAAAGAGAATAGGACAAGAGAGTCGACCGAAGCAGGGACACCGACGGCAGGAAGACGAGTAACAAGGGCATTGGCGCGGGTATGGTGAGAAGTGCAACTGAGAACGAGAAGAAACGAAGGCGCCAGTTAAAATGGCGTCACCGCCCTGCGAAGAAAACCGCGAGCACGTAGGGGAAGATCAATCAGGTCTCCGGGGGATAAAGCAGTTGAAGGCCAAGGCCGCTAACTAGTCGCAGTAATAGGTTTAGGCCTTCAAGCGTAAGTGTCCCAGGCTCCCGACTCCATTATCATATCCATCCCACTTCCAGAAAGCAAGACCGACCTTCCAAGCATTTTAGTAGCGGAAGAAGACCTGTAATCTGAATCAGAGTTCAGCTCTCCGACATCAGCGCAACACGACGTACCTGTTGAGTTTAAATTACGAAGTGTATAACACGCAAGGGACAAGGACATTGATTACAAAGGGAAACAAGGTCCTGATCGAAGGATACTGTAACGCTGGTGAATACATAGATGAATTGAAGGGAGACAGAGAGACGGATGCGGATCTCGTATAGAGTCAAAGTCTGGTCCAGATCAAGTAACGTAGAGATTTTGTGCACTGACGCGAGTTACGAGCGTCAGAGACAGCGACGATGAAAACGAGTAGCGAGTACGCTCGCCCAGAGATTCAGAAAAGTATGTATGTCCGCCACCGATTCAGACATCGTCGCATCATGGCATTGACATACCACATACACCACAGTACAATGAATAAGACCGCAAACAGTCCGAACGCTCGTCGGTAAGTGCACCACATCGTGATCCACATAACATTCTTCCCATTAAAAGAAAAAAAATGACCGGCCTTCCAAGCTTTATAATAATAGCGCTCGAAGACTCGTACTCGGAATCTTTCTCGACATCAGCGCAACGCAACGCAGACCAAGAACCAAGAACCAACCTAGTATCTACATAGCACCAGGAATGGCAAGAAGAACAAGCGCGTCGACTGAAGGGGTAAGAAGGGCCTGATCTTAGACTAAAGACGCGTGAGGGGTTCGTTGTTGATGGAGGCTTTTCTACGTAAGCGAAAAGGATCGACCCTCCGAGCGTTAATAGCGGGAGAAGATCCAATGCTAAGTTCCTCGATAGCAGCACAACGACAACGCAACGTACCTCAGGCTTGTGACTTACGTAGTACCAGGAATGGGAAGACGAACAAGAGCGTGGACTGAAGGGGTATCAAGAGCGTGGACTGAAGGTTGAAAGAGCCTTAGACTTGAATCGAAAGTTGAAAGACATCCAGATCCGAATGCAGAACAGAGTGAAAGCCTAGTTCGAATCGGGTTAAAATTTATAATAAGGCCTCGGATTTGAATTTGAGTACTGAGTACTGGGTACCGAGTTACGAACGTCAAGTCAGAGTCAGAGCAGCCATAGCCACGGTGAAAACGAGGAGAAAACGAAAGCCTTGAGATGGATGTACGAACGAACGATATCCGACACCAACATCATATCATCATATCCTACCATCCAATGAATAGAATAAGACCGCAAGGAGTCGAGCAGTTCGAACTTCGAACGCTCCTTCGTAAGAGCGGGGATGCTTCCAAGTTTCCCTGCCGACTGCATCATCGTCATCTGCACCCGTCAAGACCGACCTTCCAAGCGTTAATAGCGGGAGAAGACCCAAGCTCAGAGCTGCACTTCCTCGGCGTGAGCACTGAGCACAACGACAACGCGTCTCGTGACGTAGAACCTAGCACCAGCACCAGGAATGGGAAGACGAACAAGAGCCTTAACTGAAGGGGTAACAAGAGCATGAGAAAGGTTCGTTGTTGGAAGGAAGGTTGAAAGAGAGACGAATATGAAGCAGAATCAGAGAGTAGAAATCACAGGACTCTTGGCTCCTCCTGAGTTACGACTCAGAGCGACTAAGCCAAATCACGGTGAGAACGAGACTAAACGAAAGCGCCAGCCCGAAAATCTCTCGCAGAAAATGATGTCCGCCACCGACATCGTCGCACCCCCACTGTCTAATGAATAAGACCGCGAAGAGTCGAGCAGCTCGAACTTCGAACGCTCATTGGTAAGTGCAGGCACGCTTGCATGTTCATGTTTCCCTGGGGACTGCATCATCGTCATCTGCACCCTTCCAGGAGTTCATAGCGAGAGAAGACCCAAGATCAGAGCTGCATTTCCTCGGCGTGAGCACTGAGCACAATGACAACGCGTCTCGTGACGTAGAACCTAGCACCAGCACCAGGAATGGGAAGACGAACAAGAGCCTTAACTGAAGGGGTAACAAGAGCATGAGAAAGGTTCGTTGTTGGAAGGAAGGTTGAAAGAGAGACGAATATGAAGCAGAATCAGAGAGTAGAAATCACAGGACTCTTGGCTCCTCCTGAGTTACGACTCAGAGCGACTAAGCCAAATCACGGTGAGAACGAGGAGAAAACGAAAGCCTTGAGATGGATGTACGAACGATAAGTATCCGCTACCGACATCATATCATCACATAAGTATCCCACCATCCAATAAACAGGAGGACCGCGAGGAGTCGAGCAGCCCTGGACCGTTCGTTCGTAAGAGCGGGCACGCTCAGTGCAAGTTTCCCTGCCGACTGCATCATCTTAGCCTGCACCCGTCAAGACCGACCTTCCAAGCGTTAATAGCGGGAGAAGACCCAAGCTCAGAGCTGCACTTCCTCGGCGTGAGCACTGAGCACAACGACAACGCGTCTCGTGACGTAGAACCTGGCACCAGCACCAGGAATGGTAAGACGAACAAGAGCGTGGACCGAAGGGGTATCAAGAGCCTTAGACTTGAATCGAAAATCGAAAGAGATCCAGATCCAGAATTTAAACAGAGTGAAAGGCTGGGCCAAAAAGAGTAGAGATCACAGGACTCTTGACTCCTCCTGAGTTACGACTCAGAGCGACCAAGCTAAATCACGGTGAGAACGAGAAAACGAAAGCCTTGAGATGGATGCACGAACGATATCCGGCACGAACATCACATATCCCACCATCCAATGAACAGGAGGACCACGAGGAGTCGAAGTCAAGCAGCGCGAACTTCGAACTTCGAACGCCCTGGACCGTCCGTTCGTTCGCAAGTGCGGGCACGCTTGCATGTTCATGTTTCCCTGCCGACTGCACTGGCGTCATCGTCACCCATCACACGTCAAGCTTCCAAGGCCGACCTTCCAGGAGTTCCAGGAGTTCATAACGGGAGAAGACCCAAGCTCAGAGCTGCACTTCCTCGGCGTGAGCACTGAGCACAACGACAACGCAACGTACCTTCCGACTTACATAGTACCAGGAATGGGAAGACGAAAAAGAGCGTGGACTGAAGGGGTATCAAGAGCCTTAGACTTGAATCGAAAGTTGAAAGAGCCTTGAAATCGAAAGTCGAAAGAGATCCGGATCCAGATGCAGAACAGAGCGAAAGCCTGGTTCAAATCGGTTTCGAATCGGGTTCAAATCGGGTTCAATTTAAGGCCTCGGATTTGAGTACTGAGTCACGAGCGACCAAGCCAAATCACGGTGAGAACGAGGAGAGCGGGGAGAACTGAAAGCCTTGAGATGGATGCACGAACGATATCCGGCACCGACGTCGTCGCATCAAAACCCACCATCCAATGAATAGAATAAAACCGCGCGGAGTCGAAGTCGAGCAGTTTGAACGCCCTGGACCGTTCGTAAGTGCGGTCCCTGCCGACTGCATCATCGTCATCTGCACCCGTCACGCGTCAAGCGTCAAGACCGATCTTCCAGGAGTTCCAGGAGTCCATAGAGTTCATCGCGGGAGAAGATCCAAGCTCAGAGCTGCATTTCCTCGGCGTGAGCACAACGACAACGCGTCTCGTGACCTATGTAGAACCTAGCACCAGCGCTAGAAAAGGAAATGATGGACAAGAGCTTTGACTGAAGAGGTGATAAGAGCCTGAGAAACGTTCGTTGTTGGAAGGTTGAAAGAGATCCGGATCCAGAACAGAGTGAAAGGCTGGGTCAAAAAGGGTAGAAATCACAGGACTCTTGACTCCTCCTGAGTTACGAGCGACTAAGCCAAATCACGGTGAGAACGAGGAGAACTGAAGGCGCCGCAGAAAATCTCCCGCAGAACATCATGTCTGCCACCGACATCGTCGCACCCCCACGTGCACTGTTTTATGAATAACACCGCGAGGAGTCGAGCAGTTCGAACTCCCTGGACCGTTCGTAAGAGCGGGCACGCTTCCAAACTTTCCTGGCGGCTGCATCGTCATCTGCACCCTTCCTCTCAATCCAAGAGAAAATGACCGTGATTGACCTTCCAAGCTTTTAATAGCGGGAGAAGACCCATAAACAGAGTTCAGTTCGTCGACATCAGCGCAACGCGACGTAGCGGGTGATCGTGTAGCACCAGGAATGGCAAGAAGGACAAGAGGGTTGACGGATGGGATAACAAGAGCCTTGAATCGATGGGAGAAAGAGACAGAGTCAAAGGCTGGTCTAAATCGAGTCAGAATCTCGTGAGCGACCACAGTGAGAACGAAAAGCAAAGAAAAACGCCAGCCCAGAGATCCATCTCAGAAAATCACGTCCGCCACATCGCAGACGAGAATAGCCTTGTTCAGAGTGCTCATATCGAGCCCTCATAAACGCGGTATATGAGCTCGTATATGAGCTCGATATGAGTTTGATATGAGCTCCAGCACAGCCAAGAGGCTTTGCCGAGCAGAATCTTCCTAATGGGGCAGCTCAGCTCATATCGAGCTCATTTGGAGCTCATATACGTGCCTCATATGCGAGGCCTCAATATGTGAACTTTGAGCAAGGCTAATCCCCAGCTCAGAACCGTCCGGGGAACAAACCCTTTGACGCCGCCTCGCGGCTTGCATCGAGCGCACGGCGCCCATCTCGGGCCCGAGATAGCCCCGGCCGATTCCCACCTCCATCGCGGCAAATCCGTGCAAGCGCGGGGAGGGCGATGGCAAGGGCGGGCGGAGGCGGGTTCTGAGCGTGTATAACGGCGGTTGCCACCGACGCATGGCGCACGGCGCAGCGCGAGGACGGAAGCGTCCGGTGTGATTGCCTGGGATGGGCTAGTGCTATCTGCGGCGCCTGTGCGGGATGACGCGAAGGCGCGGGCGGCATGGGGCGCCCCTGGACCAACGACGGGTTGCCCAACCAGGGCTCGGGCACGAACTTTACTGACGAATGATAGCGGGCCGTGGCTCAGGTGACGACTGGGACAACAACGTCGGGGGAGCCCGCGCCCGCTTGCTTCGTCTACCGCGTGGATGCGCCGCGCGTAGTTGGCCGTGAGCGAGCGATGGTCTTATAACGACCTGGCTGGCGTCCCGCGCGACTGACCACTCTGAACCTGCTGCTTCTCTCCCTTTGCTTTCAAAGCCTGCCCGCTTCCTCGTGTTTGCCCTGCCTGCCTCCCTCTACACACGCACCATACGCCCACATCCACATCCATAAGCATACGCAAAACAAGGGAAGGGATGTCTCTCCAGCCTCCGGAGCCCCTTGGCCCGTCGGCTCTCGCTCTCCCTTCTCCCTCTCCGCTCCCAAACGGCCATTCAAAGCCCCTTCCTCTTTCGAAGAGCTCGTCGCCCATGAATCCACCCCCGCCACCGCCGCGGTCTTCGCATACGCCGACTTCGAGACATCAGACGCCACAGAGGACGCTTGAGCCCGCCACCTCTACTATAACTCAGGCTGGACCTTCAACAACACCACCTTCGACCTCCCGTCCACGAATGTCGCCACCCGCCCGTTCACCACGTCCTTCCTCCTCCGCATCGCCTTCCCATCCCATCCCCTCCTCCTCTTCACACCCACCGCCACCTTCATCCACTACACGAACACAAACACAAACACCGACGCCTCCCTCTCAACTCGCTTCAATACTCAGCACTGTCCTGTCCGAGAACGAATCTTTGAAAGCGGAGTTGGAGACGCTTAGGGCTCGGTTGGCTAGGAGTGAGGATGTGAGGGAGTTGGTGGGGTTGTTTCCGGAGGGTGTTATGCCTGTCGTTCCTTCGTCTTCCATTTCCACAACTGAGGAGACGGGTGCGGAGGCTGCATCACAAGAAACAGCACCGTCCAATATCGATACCGACGCGCCACCGCCACCTACCTCCGCCCCCGCCCCTTCTGCATCCATATCAACAGAACAAAGACAACAACTCCCCCATCAAATCATCGCCCGCCTCGCAATCCTTGAATCTGAACTGCATACCACCAGAACCGCGCTCGAGGCCTCCGAAACTCGACTACGTGAGTTCATCCTATCATCTTCCCATACTGTCCTCTCTGCATCCTCATCCTCATTCTGTACTGCCCTCTCTTCGTCGCATACTGCCCTCTTTGCATCGCATACTGCCCTCTCTTCATCGCATATTGCCCTCGTCATCGCAATCGCAATTGCACGATATCACTTCCGCCTACTCACCCTCACCTCTCGCGTACTTACCCTCACCTCACCTACAGGCGAAACCGTATCCCACCCCGCCACCGCACCCTCCGAATCCTCACGTCTGCGAGACCTCCGCGCCGAATACGAATCCCGCCTCCGCGCAACTAGCGAATCATACGACGCACGCCTCCTTAACCTCCGCGCCGAATACGAAACACGCACCCGTCAACTCACGGAATCGTATGAATCCCGCATCCGTGCAGCAAGTGAAGCGTGGGCCGAAGTAGAAAGATGGATGGGAGGGGTGGAGAGGGGGGTTGGCGAGGCGAGGGGGTGGGTTGGTGCCGTTGGGAGTGTTCATTCAAATTTTAGTCTCGGTGGAGGATTTGGGTTTGGGGGGATGAGGGAGATTGAAGGTGCGACAGAAAGCATGGGAACAGGTGTTGGTGGAAGGGGATTAGGACTTGGGCTGGGACCGATACCGACGATTCAATTCCCGCGACTACCCTCCACATCCGCCTCCACATCCGCCTCCACATCTTCCGCCCTCGCACTGACACGAAGTCATACCTCCGCACACCCACATGGACATGGACCAGGAGGAGTTGGAGTTGGACCAGGAGGAGCGGCGTCGTCGGCCTCGTTGAGTCAGTTGGCGTTACCGCCTGTGCCGGCGCAGCCTTTGTTGCAGAGTGGACAGTCTTCGGCGCAACAGTCTTCCGCACTAGCTCAATCACAACAATCACAAAGTGGCTCGCAATTACAAGGTCAATCACAAGCACAAGCAGGAGGAGGAGGAGGAGCAGGAGGAGGAGCAGGAGCAGGAGCAGCAGCAGGAAGTGGAGGGAGGAGACAGAGGACGGAGAGTGTGGTTTCACGAGATGGTGGTGGGAGAGAGGGGAGAGAGGGACGGGAGGGAGAACCGCCGATGAAGAGGATGAGGGGGGAGGTACGTTCTTTATTTATATGATCTTCGTTTTTCGTGCTCGTCCTCGTTGTCGCTTTTGGAGAGGTGAGGGGAGAGGGGAGGGGAGAGGGGAGGGGAGGAAGGCTGATTTTTGCTCGACTCTCCGCTCGAGTGCGTTCCAATGCGTTTCGTTGGGATGCGCGACTCTTGCTCGTTTGAGTGTTCGCGTTGCTTTTGTTCGACTCCGTTCGACTCTGAGTGTGCTCGGCTCTGTTCGTTCGAATGCATCCGACAGTGGACACGACCGATCTCGTCTTTCTAATCCGCATTAGCGTCGGCACATGCGTTGTCGGCCTGTATGTCAGGGATATCTTTTTGCTTTGACTTTGACTTGGACTTTGAATGCGTTTTCCAGATTTATTGGCTGGCCGTGATCGTGGCGTTTATGTCTGGCCGTGATCGTGGCGTTTATGCTTGGCCGTTAATCGTGACGTTCGTCGGGGCGCTTTCGCGTTTGCGTTTGTATTTCGCTCAGTGCTACTGCGTTTGTTGGCTTCAGCGCTGTTGCGTCCGCCTGGACGCTTCTACGCGGTTCTGCGTTCTGCGTTCTGCGATTTTGATCATGATTTTGGATCCTGATTTTTTTCGGGTGTTCCGCCGATGCGTCGCGATGTCCTCTGCGTCCTCTGCGTTCATTCTTCCTGCTCGTCGTCGTTGACAAGCCACCCATCTTCTTGTCTTGAGGGAATACTTAACTTTCCTTTTGACGCTCTACGCGTCCATCATTCATTCATTCCATTCCCCGTTCTCTATCTATCTCTTCACTTTATTATTCATCCTTCTTTCTCCACACAGAACTGTAATGCTGACTTTGACCGTTTCTCACTCTCACTCCAACCCGCTCTCAATTTCTTCAATACAGCCAACCTCGCCACTTTCCTTCCGCCCCCCATCCCGCTCCCACCCACATGTACACTCCCGCCCACACTCGCACTCACATTCCCATTCCCATTCACACTCACACTCACATTCGCATTCACATCAATCCTCGCCTCTATTCCCCCATCCTCCCTCTTCTTCAGCGTTACCGTTATCAGGATCATTATCCGTGGCAGCTGGACAGCTGCCTCCGCCGCCTAGCCACATCCACGCGCACACACCGACCTCGATCGCACATGGACATGCACAACTTCAGGCGCATCCGCATTTGCTTATTAACCCGAATACGATGACCGGGGGTACGATGAATACGCCGCTTTCGGGACATCCGTCTGGTTCGTCGATGGCGATGCCGGGGTCTGCGTTCCCTGGGCAGCCTCCATCCGCGTTTCCTGGAGGCAGGGAAAGGGAAAGGGATGCACGAGAAAGAGAAAGGGATGCGCGCGAGAGGGGGGTGGATATGATCGATTACCGGGCGGGTGTTGAGATGTTACAGCGCGAACGAGAGAGGGAAAGGGAAAGGGAGAGAGCGTACAGGGATAGGGAGCGATCGACATCCCGTGCGTCAGCGAGTGTGTCTGTTTCGCCTGTGATCATGCGTGCTCCGAGACCTTCTTCTTCTTCGCATCATCATCAACAACATCCTGGAGGAGCAGGAGGAGCCGGAGCTGGAGCTTCGCCGCATTCCTCGGGAGGATCGAGTCCCCACGCCCGTGCCCGAGGAGTCAAACGCGAACGTAGCAGGAGTCCCACTCGAAGTCGGAGTCACAGTCACAGTCGCAGCAGGAGTATAACTCCTCGCCGGAGTCGCGACGGAAGCATGGATATCGACGAGATGGTCCTCGAAGCTGCAGGGGATCGTAATCCGAATGAACTCGATCCGCAATCACAGGGAGTTCCATCTGGTCGTAGCCGTGAACGTATGGATAGGGAGAGAAGCGAGAGACAGCATCAGTACCCGATCGTGTATTCGGGTGGGGCGGCGGGGTTGAACGTAGGTGGAGGGCCTGTTTCTGGTTCTGGTGGAGGCGGGCCTGGATCTGCTGGCGGTGCTGGGCCAGGGACAGGTGGAGGAGCGGGGATAGGGGCTGGTGGTGCAGGACAAGGACAAGGACAAGGACAGGCGTTGGGCGTGAAGACGAGAGGGGTGTTTGGGGTTGGGAGGGAAGGTATGTTTTCGTCTTTGCTTTCTGATTTCCGATTTCCGTTTGGTTTGGCATTGGAAGTGGATTTGGGAATCTTGGCAAACGATGTTGGGCGGCGTGGTTTTGTTTTTATGTGCCGTTCGTCCTCTTTGACGAGGCGGAGGACGATGGACGCAGGGCAGGTGGTGAAGACGCGATATATGCGTTCTGTTCTAACCGTCATTCGCTGGGTACGAATCGAACGTGGACAATCGCAGATCGGGAGGCATATAAGTGCTAGATGTATGCGTTTACGTTCGCGTGATTGTGCTGGTCGTCGTTCATATATTCATATACGACGTCTGTTCATTTCTTCACTCTATTTCGTATATACTCCCTCTCGCCCGCCGTTCCTTTTCCATCTTACTCTCTCTCCATCCGTCCCTCGTCCTCGTACTAACCACACACACCCTTCCCCCCACCTCCAGACGCCCCCCTCTCTGCCAACCCCCTCCGCGCACACGCAACCTACCCCTCGCACTCGCACTCGCACTCCCTCTCGCAACAATCCCATCACTCACAATCCCAATCCCAACACTCCCAACACGGCTCCGGCTCCTCACCCTCCCAAGGTCCCCTTTCCTCCCCCTCACATGCGACTCTCTCGCCTCAGACCGCACTTCGTGGACATCCTTCGCAGATCTCGCAGTTATCTCCCGGACAGCACGGAAGACTTTCTCCCCATTCGCATTCTCCTTCGCATGGGATGTTATCGCCCCAGCAAGCCCAAGCGCAGGGAATGATGAGTTCGCAATCGCAGTCACAGTCGCAGCCGTTGATGCATTCGCAGTCTTTAGGATCTGGCTTGATGGAAACAAGGGGTGGGTTGGACATGGGACGAGGCGCAGGTGCAGGGGGCATTGAAGTCGGAAGAGTAGGGATGGGCATGGATGTAGGAGTCGGAGGAAGAGGGGGAGTGGGAGTGGGTAAGATGAGCCATGCGGCGGCGGCGGCGGCGGCGGGGTTGCCGCCTGGGGGGTTTCCGGGGGTTAACGAGAAAGGTGCGTTTTTTGATTTCAGTCTGGACGTAGGGATGGGTTTGTTGGTCTTTGGGTTGGGTGATGCTTGGATTCCGGAGTCGGAGTTGAGATTGAGGTTGAAGGGTTAAGCGGGATTTACGCTGACGACATGTTGAATCATCGCAGGTCAAAGAACGTGCCGTCAATGCGGCGAGACGGGGCGGTATAAGGACGGGAAGTGTGTGGAGAAGTGGGGGCCGGGGCCGAAGGGGCCTGGGACGGTATGTGATCGGTGAGTCGTCTCCCCATCTTTCTTCTTTTGATTGAGTGTCTCGTCTGTGGATGTCGAACGAGACTCGCTGGTTCTCGGCTGTTGAGCGTAAGTCGTGATGTGAGAGATCAGACGCATGTCCTTGATGTCGATATTTTCCGCTTCGTGATGCACGAAAACAGATATCTCCCACTTCTGATGTTGGTGAATAATTGCGCATATATTCGCATTGCGGATAAGCAGAGCTCTTAGGTTCGTCTGCGACAGTCGAGTCTGCGCCTGTGGTGTTTGCCACGTTCCTTTGTAGATAGTCGTATTGTAAATACTCGCGAATTCTCTGATTCATTTGGAATAACCAAATGACTGACCTCAATCTCTCATCTCCACCTACTCCTCAGTTGCCGCAAAAAAATGAAACGCTTCGAACGCCGCGGGACCATCCCCTCCTCCACCACCACAACCCCGAACGACCCCCTCGCCCACTCCCAATCCCAACTCCAATCCTTCCCCCGCCCCCACTCCCAATCCTTCTCCGCCCTCAGCTCGCACCCGACTGGGTCCTTTTCCGGCGGCGGTGCTGGTGTTGGGGGGTTGGGCCCGCAAGGGACGATGCCGAATATGAGCTTTTCAGGTTCGGGTGCGGGTGCAGGGTCGGGACAGGGACAGGGACAGATGCATCCGGGGTTGAGCCCGACGCAGACGGCGATGAATCCATCGGCGTTTTCGAGTCCTACGTACGTTGGCAGTGGAGGTGGAGGTGAGAGAGGAGGAGGAATGAACGGGTTCAGGGAGAGTCATCCGCATGGAGTTTCGCCGTTTCGGGCTGAGAGGGAGAGGGAGGAGTATAGGACGGAGAGGGAACGGGAACGCGAGCGGGAGCGGGAGAGGAGAATGGAGAGGGATAGAGGGCGGGAGGATAGGGAGCGAGAAAGGGAGAGGGAAAGGCAGTTGATGAGGCAGGATACGGTGCTTCTTCCGCCGCCGCCTGGGGGTGGTGGTGGTGATCCTGGTGGTGTCAGTGGGGGTGGTGGATTGTCAAGTCGGAACTGGGTTGGGCATGCTGGGAGTGGAGTGGGTCGGCCAACAGGAGAAGTCTGGGAAGAAAGGAGAAGGGACGACTGGAGAGGAGAGCGAGATCATCGTGATCGGGACGATGCTTATGGACGGTCTCAAGCTCAGTCGAGAGCCACGGGCGGCGGAGGCGTAGGCATGAAGACGTCAAAGTCGGCCCCTGGATTCCCTTCTACACTATCACCGAGAGATAGACAGAGGGCGAAGATGTCCGTCTCGCCTGTGACCGGTCCAAAGTTAGAGAGCAGTGGAGGTGGCGGCAGTGCGATGGAGATCTCGAGCCCGGAATTGTTAGCCCTCGTAGAAGATTCGCCGCCCCTTGCTCATGCGATAACCCATGGTCAAAAGAGGAGCCCGTGGACGGAGGAAGAGGAGGATGCGGAGGGCGAGCCGGATGAAGACGTGTTGGCATTACCGAGTCATGCCCTTCGAGGTTCAGGAAGTGATGTAGGTGAGGCCGCACACGGGCACGGGCATGATTTGGACCTGGATATCGATCTGGAGATGGCGGCGGCGGTGGATGGGGCCGAAGCAGAACAAGCACAGCAGAGGAGTCGAAGTATGAGTGTCGGTGTTGCTGCCATAACTAATGGTGGTACGGCTGAAAGGATGGCGGAGAATGACCACGATAACGATATCGATGTGGACGTGGACGAGCTCGTGGATGAGGACGATCCGCTTTCGCCTTTGCCGGCGAGCAACGGGCCTGCGAGTTTGGGACATTCTGCGGGTGGGAGGGGAGGTGGGAGCGATGGTGAGGGGTTGGATGACGATGATATGGACTTGTTGGAGGCTGTGGAGGCGGCGGAGGAGAAGCAGGCGGTGGTGAAGAGGGAGAGCGGGAGTGGGAGTGGGAGCGGTGGTGAATCGAGTTGAAGAGTTGGGTTTGAGCTGGGTCTCGCTCATTGACTGGTTCAAGTTTGTGCGTTTTCTTTGGTCGGTTGCTTGCTTTGATCTTTATCCCGTTTCGTTTCTCAGTTGTGCCCTATGGTCTTAAACTCTCTCATCCTGGTGTTACAATAGCGTTGGTTGTACGAATACGTCGATTAGAGTCGGCTCGAAGAAAATGTACGCATATGAAGTGTTTTTGTTCTTTGTCTAATTAGTCGGCTATGCACATACTCAGTATACATATAGCGCTACCCCTCCTATGCTATGCTTCCTAAATATCCTCCTTATGCCCAATATCCTCTCGGTCACCAGTTCATTTACCCTGCCAGTCGTTGTCGAGCTCATCGTGTTCTGTCGTGTTGTTTCTATGCTTGCGATGTCAATATACTGCTGTTGAATCTCGTCGCCCCGAGCGGGGAAGTGCAAGTTCTGACTTAGTCTTGGAGCGTCATTAGGTGAGTTCTCTTTTTTTTGATTCTTTTGCGTATTGATGTTCGTTCAGTCTATCAGTCTAGTACAACCTCTCTTCAGCTCGTAGGTTCTTCATCTATGTCCTCAGTGATCCATTGGCTTTCTTCCGTTTGATACTGTCTTCGCCTATATTTGACCGACCTTTTCTTCATCCGGATGCACTAGTCCAACGGCACCTCTGCACCCGACGTTACCGCTGTCCCCCCTATGCCCCATCAAGAGAGATCGAACGGCCACAACGCCTTTACCTGCGCACCGACTATTCTTGCCACTGTGACCTGGTGCGGCCGGCCATACCTCCCCCGTTCGTCTCTGCGCAAACCCGTACGCCATCCAGGCCATTCGTTCGATGCACGTACACAGCGCTGCTTCCTCTCCTTTTCCCGTCTCACCCAAGCCCATGGACTCTCGGTCGCAGTATCACCCACTAAGCCCATGCATTCGCAGAAGCACCTCCACCCACACGATGTCCGCACCCCCATTGATGTGCCCAGCACATCGCGGCCATTCACGCTCACCCTCGCCCGACCTCCGAGGCACGACAACGGCGTGGTCCTGTCAGCAGATACGGAGAGGAAGGCATGTCGGCCTTCCGCTCACGTCACGGCGAGCGTACGACGCATCGTATGAATGTTCAGTTGACCTCGAATCGACCTTGCGCTGCCTTGTTCGGCGTGGTGGGGGCCCGCTGGGAAGCGGGCTGCATAGGCACCGAGGAAGCGCTGTTGGCCTCGAGGTTCGCGTGAGGCGCGATAGGGCGCTTTTCAGGCTTAGTTTGGAGAGGGCTGTGAGGTCGTGGGTGCGACCGTCGTGGACATGGACATTTGCGCATGGATGAGGCGGGTCCGGGGTGAGTAAGAAGTTGCGCGAAGAGGGACGAGGAAGTGCGGGATGCCACGGTCGTCGGACGGGCGCTTGCACTTTGTCACCCGTTTGACCCGGTCGTCGCGGCGGTGAACAAGGCAACAGCTCTGGGGTGGCGCAAACGCAGTCGTGGCGGCGGCGAGACGGGTAGGGACCGCCGGCACGAGAAGTAAGAACGTTATTCGTCCTCGGAATTGATGTCGGCGATTTCCTGTGATCTGAACTATTGTTGATTTATCCATCACGACCGACAACCTGGCACGGCGCTGGAAAGTTTCTTGACATCGGACGGTAAGAAACCGCACGGACAAGTCGCTTTCGTCTCTTTTCAACCAGAACTGGGAACCTAACCTGGCTATGCTACAATCAGTTATCCACGGCCTTGCGTCAGGTTCCATCACGCATCACTGGTACAGTGGATGACGTTGTCTGCGTTCCTATGAGAACCATTCTTCATGGGTTCAGCCTTACTCATACTACATCTCGGTGCACCCTAGTTCTTCCTTACTAGAGCGCGATACGTCTTGGAGGCTTCGGGGTCGTGGTAGCAAGGCTTTCTACGTGCGTGGTTTCGTTTCGGCAAGAATCGAGAGCATCGTGATGGGATGTTGATATGAACAGTTCGTTGTCATCTTTTCCTTGGCATCCCCCATCGAATATCTGGAGTTGCTCAATTTCTGAGCATGTATGTCTTTCTTCTCCGTAGTTCTTCACTTTTCTCTCATCATTTCTGTGAACTCCGTAGGCTCTTTTTTTCCTTCCTGGTCCCAAATCAGCACTAATTGTCTCGATCAGTCTTCCCAAAGATTGTCCGCATCCAAAGAACCGCCGTTGACCCGATATTTCAGCTCCTCCACGCCGCAAAACCCATCTCGGAAATCTGCCAGGCTGATCAGACGTGAGGTCAGGCGGAGAAATGCTAAGCCCTCCCTCTCCCCAAGTAAATTTTCCATTTTTCTCGTGCAGCCTTACGTCTTCCCTTGTCCTCGATTTTATCTGCTCTACCTTTTGGATGGAAAAGGCCGCTATGTCATCCATACGGGAGATTTTCACGCTCTTGCGTTGACCTACTTTTGGGCCGTTACTATAGCGGGCGCGCCAATAATATACGCCCTCCGTACGCCTATTGCTTGCGCAATGCACCTCCACCTCAATGATAATCTCTCTAGAGCAAGCTATTTTACATTTACGTCCATTGGCTCCACGAACGCACATCGAAATTGGTATTTACATAGTTTATGGCTCAGCTTGTTCGGGCCCTTTTCGCTCGTACACATTTCAAAGCCTGGATTACATACGCCTTGTTGCCTAGATTCATCCATCGCGGCATGGGCGATTACTACTACATCACTCCATCCAATTCGCTCGAATTTCTACAACCATAGACACGAACGCCTACAACACGGGCCTCGAGGTCCATCTCTATCGAGCTCTAAGCGATACCCCAGAAACCATACACATATCAAACGAAAGAACGCAGAAAGTCTCTACAATCGCCCTTCAAAGTACAAAGCTCTCCAAATGAGCCTGGATGTCTATCAAACGCGCCTTCGTCTCGTTCAACTCCTCCCTCCTCTTCGCAATGGACGGGTCCTCACTCAAGAGTGCCTCCATCTTCTCCTTCGATCCGACGTCCAGGACACCCAAGAGCGCGGCGTGGAGTCCGTCCGCGAAAGGCTGGTTCATGCTCGATTGCGAGGGGAACTTGGTCGATGATTCTCTGGGAGAGGGAGAATGATACGATCAGGACAAGGAACATGTAAACAAGAAAACGACGGGTTATCGTAACGCACCTTGCATGCGACCTGGAAATGGGCGCGTACGCCCGCCATGACCTTCAGTTCCTCTTCGTACTCGTCGGCGGGGTAAAGACGATGGAAATCGGCGGCGCTAATTCCGTGATATCCGAGTGCGGCCAAAGCTTGCAGCGCCTGAGTCCGGTAGTGCGTTTCCACGTGAGATTGCCCTGACTTAGATTTGCGTCCAGGCTGGGTAGAAGATGGGGCAATCGGTGGTGAGAGTATAAGGGACCGGGGGTCAACTGCTACATCGAACGACCCAAAGGTGCTTGCCCCCCCAACCTGCTTGGGGATCAGTCATCGCAGCAGGTGTCGGTGTCCAAAATTCGTGGCGTTTCGATTTGTAAATCCCGAGCCATCTCAACTTTTCTGCTGAGAAGTACTCATCGTTCTGGCTCCAGAGTGGGTCCCGCTCTCGGGCAAGTATCTTTTCCACCTCGTTCGACGCACTCGCCCATATCTCCGCCAGCTTTTCATGAGCGAGTTGGCTGTGGGGAAAGCATAAGTTCGCCAATTAACTATGTAAAGGAGGGAGAGTCAACTGACCCGACAAGGGTCTCAAATTGCGTGAGCTGCTGGAAGTGATCCATAACCAAGTTGTCGACCATGTTCGTGAGCGTCATGTACGTGGATTGGAAGCAGGCACGAGTGGGTGCGTCCCGTAACGTGATCGAAGAGTCGAGCATCTCTTTGGTAGCCTCAAAGGGAATATGACCTGGAAACTCCCGGTCGATATGTCTTCGAAGTGTCAGTACCGTGCAGAGGCCACATTTGGAAATGGCAAACACCTGCTTCTTCAACATGTACCGAACTTCCGAAAGATCGAGTGGTTTCACCAGTAGATCTAGGTCGCCGTCTTCATCGCCAGGATACGAGGGACGAGAGCGAGTTTTGCGGTCATGGTACGGCCTGAAATCCGGGGCCGTAAAGGACGCCATAGTTCGCTTGATTGCGCTGTATAAAGTCTCTGGTCATATCACCTCTGCCATAAACCATCATAGATAGGTCGGATGTGAATTCGGAAACTTTGAGAATGACATTCGTAGTCGCGTTGTCGGTCTGGGGGAGTGGCGGCGATATCTGCAATGCATTCGGAGAGGAGGGAACTGATTTTCTCGCGAATCCTCGGGGGTCTGGTTGGGGATATGGTTTCGGTTCTGTAAGTGATTGAATTGAGACAAACGTTCACGGCACTGAGAAAACCATATATAAACTCGCTGGAGTCATCTACCATGGAGAGCGTCATTTTCCAAGCTCGAGTGATAGATAAACAGTCAAATGTGTGGCGGCATGATGGTATCAAGAATAACACACTAGATAACAGGACAGCGTGCATGGCTGTGTATACTTCCATATGAGTAGCATATCAGCCCAGTGACAAAGTTGCCGATTCAATGAACAATTAGAAAGCGGCAGAACAGGGAGTCTACTGTGAGATACAACAGTAATTCGGATGCGTTGACGAGTCACAGAATGAAGCACTGTCGCAGTGCTAGTACGCACCAGACCTACGGTAACAAAGCATTGATCTGAGGACGATCACTGCTTCGAACAAGGGACTATGTGGTATAAGCATGCATTGGATGCGAAAAGTCAGCGGGTTTCGTCCGTAGCCAAGAAGATACTTAGAGTGAACATGAACGTCAAAGATAGCACTGCCGGAATGACGCACAGTGCTTTTCAAAGAGTGATCTACCATATGTCAGTACCAACGATAAATAGAGTGATCGTAGCGGCAATGCCTTCGGTGCTGCAACCACAGCTGGCTAGACAAGTATACTGTGGCGACAAAAAGTATTGCTCAAAATATTTCGGTCCACAACTCAGCGGGATTCAGTCGGATGAGAAAGCTGTATATATGAAAGATGTACCTTACTGTATACATGTGAACACCATGATGTGAATGATGTAGATTTATTAGTCGGTTCTTGAGATACAGAAGAGTGTAAGTGTTGTAGGGGGATATGACTTTCGAGAATTCATGAGGTGATATCTTGCTCAACACAGTCCCGGAAAGTACTCTCAAATACGATCAGAGGCCATATTCTTTCGCACATTTTGGATGAGTCGTTGACTTCCTGTATGCCATCTAAGTTGCCCTCTCGTGCCACTTGTGCCAGTGGCCCATTTTTGCTTAAAAGCCGCCACCTTGCACAGTGCGTAGCAACTCAACCGCTCAACCAAAACTCACGAAAAAATATGTCCTGTGTTTTTATTTGAGAGTACTTTCATGGGCTATGTCCAGCAAGGTATTATCTTATGAATTCCCAAAAGTTGTATCCCCCTGTGAGACTTACACCCTCTGTATCTCAGGAACCAACTGATAAATATATGTCATCCACATCATGGTGTTCACATGTATATGGTAAGTTACATCTTTTATATATACATGTTTCCCATTTGGATGAGTTCCGCTGAGGTATACGCTGATATATTTTGGGCAATACTTTTTTCGCCACAGTAGATACTAATGCCAAGATCGTACCCGTTAAAAAAACCCAGACTTCTCAAGGCACACAGGCAGCATGAGTGGCTAGACAGAAGCAAATAAAGACACATCTCCAGTAAGGATACTATATCCGCGTAGCTTATGAGCTCCGAGAACGAGACAGAGTTCGAGGAGAGGAGAGCTACAGCTAGATGATGTGGCGAGAGAGAACGAAGTCTGAGATTTGCGCACAGACGAAATCCAAAACGAGTCACGACTCGGCAATTTACGGATCTGCCACGCGAACTACAAAGGCTGCGATTGGGCTGCAGCTCAGCACTCGCCAGTGCAAATGGGCAAGGATTAAAATGAAGTTTAAGGCTCGGTCAATGCATAAAATCAAAAGCATATATCCCCTTGCATCTTTTTGTGAAGAAAAAAATGGAGTTTCTTGTTGAACTGAGCCATGCAGCACAAAGACAGCGAGTGACTAGTATTGAGTAGTGCGGAGCCTTGCCGAACATTTGGATCTTTAGTTCTTTTTGCAACCTGTGCGCAGTACCAGTTTATCTCACCACTAGATGACCTTAATTTGATGGGGAATCGTGTCCAGGCTATGCGAGAGCATGGCTATATAAACGAATGTTCAATACTGAAGAGGGAAGACAAAGAACAAAAGGAAAAAAGAAAAAAGAAAAAAGAAAAGCTGGAATGGTACCTCCACTTTGGCTTTCACTTGTATCAATTCGAGCATCGGAGATGTAAGGCAGGAGATACTACTGTTGTGAGTGATGCCTTACGGTCATCGAATTGTACTCGCATATAACTTTCTACATTCAACCACAATTCGCCTCATCAAAATTTGTCCATGCGCTGATCCTCGATGGACAAGGACACTCGGAGTTCTTTCATATGCTCAACATCTAACGCAGACAGGACGTCAATCACGAGTAGGATACGAGTACAAAGCGACTTCGAAGGCCGGGCTTCATTTGATAGCAGACCGGTTGTAGTCTGAATCGAGTCTACAGACCCCATCTAGTCGACCCGGAATCCGGAGAGTGCCTTGAGTATATGCTGATAATAGCTTTGGAAAAAAAAAAGGATCGATGTAACTGCGCTTCACTTCCATTTTTGCTGTCGTGTCTATTATCCATTCTGCTTGGTTATGCATGATGACCAATATTTCGCTTACTTAGGTCCCTTTTATCCACTGTTGGCCACCGCGTCGCGGCCGAACTAACCTCCGTTATCGGGAGACTCAATTGAAACTACATGTTTCGAAAAACATTTCAAGTACCGCTAGCGATCATCATTTTTCGTGTCTCCTGAAGTTGAAGGTCGGAGCCCGGTGATTCATTTCAAGCTGGTTACGGCGTGAATCTCTCTGCGCTTTTCGAGACCGTTTAGCTGTTTTTCGGGCCAGAATACATGACATGTATGCTCAAGTAACATTCATAAATGACATGCAAAAATATTGCATACGACTAATACTATCTCTTTTCTCTTTCTAGCCACCCTCTATTCGAGACATGGTGCTGAAGAACAAAATATTACATTGCTCGCCCTTCGTTTTACGATAGTGCCTCTCAAACGTCAGCCAGAAATCATGAATGTGTATCCAGGTAAGGAGCATCCATTTTAAATCACGTTTAATCAACCTCTATCGATGTGGACCCCTGTCCCTTTCATCATCAAGAAATATGCTTCAGCCCATCATCAATGATTTATCGGAAGTGTTGACTAAATTATATTTCGTCTCGGAGGCGATACGAGTACTTGGAAGAGATCCATTTAGTCTGCTTTCCGCCGCTGTGCTCCATCTCGGCTCGGAAGCTTGTATGTTCAAGGAATGGCACAGAGGCGAATTCGTGCTTGTGTTTCAAAGGTTATTATATTATTCAAATGGAGCTGCTCACCGAGGATTTTTGTATATAAGGTGGTGTTATCCTTGTCTCAAATCACCGACCTAGCTACATCAAATCCCATATCTCACGAGTTCATCAAAGTTAGCCATGTCTCTCGTTATCGCCACTCGCGGTCCTCAGGCTCCCAATCGCCTTAACATCTGCGACTTCGTGAAGAACATACATCAATTCTCTCTGTTTATACAAGCGCTAAGTAATTTATCGATTAGTTATTAGACGTTGCTCTCTCACGCTCACCTGTCGTCTTTACTTGGTGGTGCAGCTCGGATGATGGAGATGGACCCGGACGATCCGATGTCATATTACCAGCTCGCAGCTATACATGGTCGGCCCTATATTAGATGGCCGGGTGAGGGTAAGGGTGCGGAGGAGGAGGAGGTGAAACAAGGCTACTGCTGTCACGGTTCTGTGATTTTCCCCACTTGGCATAGGCCTTACCTTTCCCTGTTTGAGGTTCGTCCCACCGGTCACCCCTGCTAAACCACATAATTTACGTACATTCACTGACGAGGGTTCGCTGTGACCAGCAAGAAATCCAGAGACAGGCCCTCGAGATAGCGAATCTCTATCACGGAGATACAAAGAACCGCTGGAGAATGGAAGCAATACAACTCCGTTTACCTTACTGGGACTGGGCGTCCGATGCAGTCCCACCTAAGGAGGTCATTCTGGACAAGACGGTCGAGATCATAACGCCGGAGACGGAGATCGCTGGGCATAAAACTACTACCTCCATGGTACCGAATCCCTTTTTGAGCTTTACGTTCCCCAAGAGCATCGATCTCAGCATATTGGGGCCAAACTTTATCAAATGGCGCACGACTTTGCGTCATCCCTTCCCTGTTGACTCTCCGCAGGCGAAGAGCGACGTTAAGGATCTCGTTAGGTTAGTATCTCTTCTTTATGCTATTTCCACAATGTTGATGATCATTATAAATTTTATTTCTCGTATGGAAAACAATTCAGTACTCTACAGGCAGGCCGAAAGGATCTTAAGGACAAGGTCTTCCATATGTTCCAATTGGACGCTTGGCATCATTTTAGCCATCATCTCCGTGAAGGCAGGAAAAAGGGGGACCCTGACCACGAAGACGAAGACGACAAAGGCCACAACCATAGCGCTAACAGTCTGGAGACCATCCACGACACTATTCATATGTAAGCATCCGGTCAAGGGTTCATTTACTGCCTTGACTACTTCAGGTACCTAAATATATTATCTTACAGCGTCGTCGGTGGTGTCGGTGGCCACATGGCAGACACTGCTATAGCTGGTGAGTCTTTTTCATCTGGTCAGCATACTCGGTATCTTCTCACTCAAGTATTATGTGCGAATGGAATAGGCTTTGATCCACTATTCTGGCTTCACCATGTGAATACCGATCGCATACTTCAGCTTTGGTCCTCTCTGCATCCCGAGACCTGGGTCACAGAGGGGTTTTCCGATAACGACGGAACTGTAGACATTCCTCCTTGGACCGCCGTCAACGATAAAACTCGTCAGTTATCAAAATTCTCTGGTTTCCTCCCAAGTTCCGTTATTTATATGGGCTCTTCATCTTTAGCACTCACTCCATTTATCAAATCTTCCGATGGTGTTACTCCGAACTATTGGATCTCTGCTGACACTCGTGATACCGGTGCCTTCAACTATTCGTATCCGGAGTATAACGACCTCGATCTGGACAATCCAGATGAGGTGAAACACTATATTCGGGAGACCGTCGATCGACTCTACGGCGATCAACAGCATGAACGCGACAGGTTCCACAAGCTCAGCTCAGAGGCTCACGGAAGCAGCGGCCAAGCTGACGCAGGAACTGTCTACAAGGACTGGACCGCCCACATTACCGTCGAGAAGTATGCCCTAGGATCCTCGTTCTCGGTTCTCATATTTCTGGGTAACAACGAAAATGACCCTGGGCAGTGGACCCGCCGAAGCACCACATACGTAGGCGCGCACTCTGTGTTCGTCAGTTCCGACACGGCACAGTGCGTGAATTGTACCAATCAGCAGGATGGGGCGGTGATTTGCGAAGGGTTCGTGCACTTGACGAGCTCCATCGTGACGTGGCTAGGGTCTCTCCACAGAGATGAAGTGACGAAGTATTTGAAGGAGAATTTAGCGTGGAGAGTGGTAAAGGTATGTTCCTCCCATTTCGAAAATATGTGGCTGTCATCGTATCTCGATATCGGCACGATTTCGAGGAAGCATACGCTGATAGTAATTTAGAACGACAACACAACAGTGGATCCCGCGGTTATCCCCTCCCTTAAAGTGGAGGTCTTAGTGACGGACATCGAACTAGAGGAGCCAATTCCAGAACCAGTAGCGACCGGTTCGTCAGCCTCGCGCAAAAAGCGCAAGACAGGAATGATTGGGCACCACAAAAGGGGCAAGGTGGAGCCTATTCAAGATGTAACAGTTGGTAAACCTGGAGGATCTGTTTGAAGGCAAGTATATTAGAGATATCGAGTCTCAGAAATGCGTGATATCGGATCTGACCTGTGATTGTTTTTCCTCTATAGGCATTGGTTGGCGATCAACAGTTCAATATCAATCTTTGATTATATAGGATCCCATATCCTGAATTTCTTTACCGACGAATGTCTCCAGTAATTGCATGCGAAATTCCTCCTTAATTCTCCGTGTTGCGTTTATCGTTTGCGTCACGATGCCATCCAATTCCGTTCATGTTTCTGATGACTGGTACTCTCGAATACGAACCATAGCTGATTAAATCCAGATATACTTCCCCAGTTACGAGAAATAGAATAAAAGAGAAAAAAACTACTTACAATACGTGCGAGCTAATATGGACTTTATCCCTTATGTACTTATATGACAATCACCTTGCAGTGTGGCAGTTGTTTCCGAGATACAGTGACCAGTCTGCTTGAACTTATGACAGACGAGATGATCAACGCCAACTATATTTCGCAAAATTGACATAAATCCCAAACCACAGATTCGCATTAAAAGAAGAGACATTTATGAAGTTGTTCAACAGATTAGAACAGAGCAGAACAAGCAAGAAAATATGACTGATACCATCCCCCATTCCTCTCAAACATTGACTTCCCCGTTCATTTCACAGCCGGACGGTATCCGAGAAGCTGGAAAAGAAAGCGGTTGACGAGAGCACATGTATCTAGTGCTCCGTCTCCTCCCACGTCCTTCCTACAGTCTTGATAAGATCGGCTTCGGCAAGCTGTTTCCCGCTCGTGAAGTACCCAGCGGCTATCTTCGCGTCGATCTCTACGCGAGAGTCCTTAGGGATGAGGTGGGCTGTACGAGTCGAGGGAGAGAACAGAAACGAGTGAAACAATCAACAGTGAAGAATAGTAAGCGAACCGAACGCGACCTGGATGAAAAACGGGAGAAAAAGAGAAAGGGGACGTACCCGGAAGACCATATCGCTTCAAGATCGGGATCCCACTGCCCACTGTCGCGTCATTTTTCCTACATTACACAACAAACACATCAGCATTCACGCAACGTCACACTGCACCACGACTCAAGCGTTCGTAAAAAAAAAAAGAAGAAGAAGAAGAGTCGCAACTCAGAACTAATAAGAGATACAAAAATCAGTCAGCAAATCGATATCCCACCTAACACGAAGGGAGAAAAAAAAAGGGGGTAAAGACCCACATCCCAAACCTGTCCGCAACGCCAGGCAACCACCAAATGGGCTCCACCGCTGCCTTACTGACCCTAATCACCACCCCAGGATCTTCCTCCGTATTCTCGCACCCATCTGGATTCCTCAACAGCTCACTCTTCAACACGGTCTTCCCATCTACCGGAATCTCACCCTTGCGCGCACTATCACCAATCTCGCTCATCTTAATATGCGCATCCGTCACCGCAGTAGAAGGCCTCACATCCAACCCCAACCCGCCCTCTTCTTTCCCGTCCGACTCGTGCATGAATACCTGGGGCGTCAAGTGTCCCCACAGATCAAAGGAAACGATCTTGGACGGGTCGTACCAAGAGGGCTGAGGCGGGATCTCGACGGGTGGTTCGGTTTTGGGGTAGTCCGACTTGTGTGTCGGGATGAGGGCGCCCATTGCGATGGCGAGGGCACGGTAGATGGAGTAAGAGCCGGAGTGGGCTCCGATGGCATTGCGGGACTTGAAGGAGGAGAGGAGCCGAGAGGGGATGATGGGACCGCGAACGCTTGGGTCGGAGGTGCCCCTATTGGAGGGGGTCAGAGTGCATACCATGTTGGTCGGGATAAGCTAAGTATAGGGAAAAGGAGGCGGTTTTGTGGTTAGTATGAGGATTTTTGAGATAGAGGAGAGGAGGAGACGGGATGGTATCCCAGAACTGAATACGCCACACGGCGAAGTTCACAACGAAGTGGATAGGGGCTAGTGTGGCGTATGAGAAGTTCTTCGAGCCAACCTGCGGGGGTGACCTGAGGAAAAGACTACGATAAAAATATAGCGCCCATAGTTCGCATGACGTATGCGCATTGCAGAACGTCACAAACGTTATACGTAGATGACAAGATATCATCTGAGGCCTATACCGAGACGTTCACCGTGAAAAATGGGAAAGATACCCGTTTATGCATAGACAGAAACGAAAAACAGAAATGTATGCGACCATGCAGTAATAGTCTTCCAGAAAAAAAAATACAAAAGCAAGTTAGGGCACAGGGAATGCGGTCCTTGCTCCTCATGAGCCACTGTGGCACCGCCGCATAACAAGAAGACTATGCCTTGCCGAACCACACGCCTACATCGCACCGACATAGACAGCATGCGTACTCCACAACGATAAATCGAAACACGATACTGTACTTTTTCGACCAAGTGTTCGTCACGCATCACGCAGAGGGCGTCGGCGAACAGTTTTGGTCCCGGGGTCACGCATACACACGGGTTCACGAACAGAAAATCGTGACGAATCTGCGCTGAAAATCGCCCAAAATTCAATTTTTGGGAACTAATGCGAACAATTCCGCTTGTTCGTCACGCGTGGCCCGCCCGAACGAACCGTGGCCCAGCGGTGGTCACGGCTGACATAATTCTCCCACGAACACTTGGTCGAAAAAGTACAGTAACAATCTAAAAATGACCCGCCAGGCAGAGAAACAAAGGAGCGCAGAACTCACTCGTCAACATGACCCTCCCGTGGTACAACAACTTCTCCCTCTGCTTGTCCGTCAGTACCCCGTTCGCTTCGGCAGCAGCCAACTCGTTCATCTTGGGCAGAGTAGGAATAGAAAAAGTACTCGAAGGAGGACCGGAGAGCAGGTCCAAGGCAAGAGGGATAGGACCAGCAGATGGTTTCACGGGCGGGGATGTTGGGTTGCTGAGGCCATTGAGCTAATTGCGTCACAAGCCATGTCAGCATGCATGCTTGGAGATGAGAGGTTGTAATAAGAACCATACATGGTATGGTATAATGGGTGACAATGTTTCTAGAGTAGGGGATGGGGATGGAGTTGCGGAGGATATGAACGATGACGAACCTTAGCCTGCAAAGCCTGGTGAGAGACATGCAACGACCGAGGCTGAGACAATATCTGCGTGAGCAGAGCATTATTGACAAGGATCTTTTCTGGTGCGGAGGGCGTGAGAGAACAACTTTGATATCAACGTTCCAATCTCCGCTGCAAATGTCCGGGTTCACCCGATTTTGTGGTCGGCGCTTCGTTGGCGCTTCGTATAATCGACCACTCCTCATTGTGCATCCTATTGGACCATAAGGGGTCCTCCTCTTTGCATTGAATCTTATGGGTTGTTTCCATACTTTATCTCTCCATGACTGGCTATGGATGACTCTGCCCACACAAGGGAGCTTTAGGAAGCTTCCCCATGTGACCTGTGCCTGAGAAGAATTGCGCTATGTCGCTCTGGCTCGATTCTTACTGACGCACTCGCTTTCCCTCGTACTGTCCATCCCTACCTTCCTGGCCGCGACCACTTGGTGCACAGCCCGCCATGACTAGTCTCGACGCTTCTGCCATTGCCTCGTCTTGGATCACTAGCTTCGGGAAGGCTGTAGAGGCTGGCGATGTGGAAAGTCTTGTCTCCACTTTCGTGCCAGACGGTTACCTCAGAGATATCCTCGTCTTCACCTGGAATAATCGCACTCTTCATGGTCACGATGATATCTCCTCTTTCCTTCGTTCAACCTTTGCGCATGCGAGCATAACCAATGTCCAACTGGACGAACGTCAATACTTCAGCCCTACATATGGCCAGATTGGACCTGGAGTCTTTGGTGTCTCAACTGGGTTTACCTTTGAGACCTCAATAGCTACCGGTAATGGGTATGCGAGGTTAGTTGAGGACAAGCAGAAGCAGTGGAAAGCGCTATCAGTCTTCACTATGATAGACGAGTTCAAAGGCTATCCGGAGATAGGACAAGAGTCGGGTTCATACGGAGGACATACTCGTGCGTACCTAGCGATTACGATTACTCGTATGTTCTCATGACTGACTTTTACCAAAGTTGCCTGGGATTTGGTCAAAGACGAAAGGTGGCGCAGAATCGAGAGCGAACCTCATGTTGTCATAGGTCCGTATCTCCGTGTCTTCACGACCATAAATGCCCAAGCACATCACTCAGGCTCATATTTCAGTCGGAGCGGGTCAGACTGGTCTCAATATCGGTGCTCGGTTGAAGCAAATGGGAATATCGACACTGCTCATTGACAAAAATCCTCGTATCGGAGATGTGTGGCGCAATCGCTATCCGACTTTGGTTCTTCACACACCCAGGCCACACCACTCAAGTGCGTCTCTGTTATCTCTCCTCCACGCTATCCGAAACTAACCGGCTTGTAAACGCTCATGCAGTGAATTATCAACCCTTTCCGTCCAATTGGCCCACTTTTAGCCCTCGCAACAAGATTGGGTGTAAATTTTTATCCTTACCAGTTTTCATCGCTTACTTTTCGCCAACACTCTAGGCAGACTGGCTTGAACAATATGCCATATCTCAAGACCTTGTCGTCTGGACAAACTCCACATTACAGCCTGTCCCGAGCTACGATCCTAGTACCGGACGCTGGACATGCATCGTCTCTCGAAACGACACACCCGTTCTCCTCAAGCCTGCCCATATCATCATGGCGTGTGGAACTCTTGGAGCACCGCGCATCCCTTCCGTTCCCAAGGCCACCGAATTCGGAGGTATACAGCTTCACGCCACACAGTATCAAGGCGGCATTCCCTATACGGGAAAGCGTGTCATTGTCGTCGGTGCTGGCAACACTTCGGCGGACATATGTCAAGACCTCGTGTTCCATGGTGCGAAGAGTGTCATGATGGTTCAACGGAGTTCGACATCCGTGGTATCACAGGAGAAGACGGCGAATATGTTGCTTAGGAACTGGCCTCAGGATGTCCCGGTCGAAGTCAGCGACTTCAAGTTTTGGAGTCAGCCGTGGGGTATGTTGAGGAACTTTGCCATCGAGGCTAACAAGATTCCTGAGCGCGACGAGGAGAGTGAGATGCTGGAAAGGCTGGCGGCGAAAGGTTTGAAGCTGAACTCAGGGACAGACGGAAGTGGTCAGTTCTTGCTTGTTTTCGAACGATTTGGAGGTGCGTCGCGTAGTTTCGTCTGTTTATGGACACTACAACGATAGCTTACACACCCGGGGAAATGTGAGGATAGGGTATTGTGAGTTTCTCGTTCGATGTATGTCAAGCATGGTTATGACACAGGATATGCGGGTTTTTAGGGTTAGATGTCGGCGTCGCGGACCTGATACACAAAGGGAAGGTGATCATCAAACAGGGTGTCGAAATTTCGACCTTGACGCCCTCGTCTGTCATATTCACCGACAAGTCGGAACACAAAGTTGATGTTATCATCTACGCGTGCGTGGTTTTCTCCGTCCGATGCATCTACTGCTCCCTTAGCCAACATCGGGGCCTACAGGACCGGCTACCATAGCGTCTTAGAATCGCTGAAGCCCGTCTTTGGCGAGAACGTAATCGCAAAGACACCTAGTATTTGGGGCTTCGATGAAGAACAAGAGATCAACGGATGTTATCGCCCCTCTGGTCAACCTGGTGTGAGTAGTGTTTAGTCTTTTCGGGACGTCTCACTCGTCAAAGGAAATAACGATAATTGCACTATTTAGCTCTGGTACGGTGCAGGAGACTTTTGCAACTCGAGATTTTTCTCGAAACAGCTGGTGCGTTGCCCACAGTCACGGTATGCACGTTTCCTGCTCACGCTCGCACCTATCGTTAGGGTCTCGAAATCAAAGCAATTCAACTCGGTTATATGACTCAGTAATCTCTATGCGTTGTCGTCACTTTATTGCGCGACAGGCGCGGTCTTCCAATATATGTCGTATCTTATTGAGTGTTGTCGCATTGTCAGACCAGTCACAGGTGCTCTCGTCAACCTGCGCCTAGAGCTTACAGACGGACGCTTTAGGCTGACTTCTTGAAGCGCTCGAATATCATGTCTGCAGATCGGATGCTGAACTCCTAACCATCAACCCTGGGGTATTTTGCGCCACTTCTCCATAGAGACTGATAAGATTGTTGTCGAGTGTGCTGTTGAGGAAGTTGACGGAGAAGGGGCTGAAGTTGGCACCGCAAAAGATAGTAGGAGCGGCCAGTTTTTGTTGGTTTTTGAGAAGCTGGGTGCTTTATTTTTACACTGTAACTCCTTGTTTAGCAGCCGAAGTCCACCTTGAATAGTTGAATGGATGCTCTCGACCATCTGGTCAACTCGACTTAGGAGCCTCTTACTGTGGCTACAGTCGTGACTTGAATAATGACTTGCTATATACATTAGTCGTAGTACGGAGCTGGTGATTTTTCCAGCTCTTGATTCAATCTTGATCCTTCTCGAAGTCGTTGGTCCGTTTTGCTAGCGTTCTCGACAATCAGGAGACTGACCTAACGCGATCATGACAGGCTCTTCAGATCAAGGCTATCGAGCTTGGGTACATGAACCAATGAGGCTTGGGGCTCGCACTGTCAACGCCAATCCAATACGAATTCGCGACACGTTCCATAAATCTCTTGAAGCATCATGAAAGAATATTGTGCAATGATTGCTAGTTCTATGTTGATTCTCTCCGTACACCCTGCCTCAAATGCTCACTATATCATCGTCAAACGATGTGGACCAGAAGACTCGAACTCTAAATCACACGGCTTTACTTCTATATACCTATCGTCATTCCCCCGTCCATGTGTCACAACCGCCGCAAAGGGAAGTGGAACCTGTAGCATGGGAATAAGCAGCACGGTCAGTAACCCTTCAGTATAATCAGGATCAGAGCAGTCAAGTCATACACACCGCCGCAATAGCCTTGTCCACTTCCTTCGCCAACGCCTCCGTAAAAGTCGGCATATCCTCCAATAAACCCCTACAGTGCACACACCCCGAGTCCGCCACACTAACCATCACATTCGTCAATGCACTCCCATCCCTAACCACCGTACCCCAATCCGGCGTGACCATCAATGCCCTCGCCAAGTCCTTCTGATAGCGAATGGCCCAGTTCAGAACAGGACTGCTCCACAGGCCCGTCTCAATCCATGTGGTACGGCATTTACAGTCGCGTTCATTGGCATAGCAAGGCAGTCCGATTTCTTCGGGAGATTCGAACCACTGGAAGGAGGTCACGATGTTGGAAGCGGCAGTTCCTGCTCGAGTATGATACCGCAGTATGGCATTGTGTTGGGATGCGGTCATTAGTTTGAGGTCACCACGGGGAATACTGTCGGCTAGGATGGGGAACTTCAGAGAGGCTTTCGTTGCTGCGTTGGCAATGGCGGCCAGATCGTAGGCACAGGCTATCGCACAGACTTTGAGAGGGTATTTTTCGAGGTTGAACATCAGCGTGAGGGAGACCGAGTCCGGGGTACGTCGCACGTCGTATTTACGAAGAATTTTGAGCGCGAGGCGGACTTCGGCAAGATCGGAGAGGGAATGGTCTTCGTTTGGGTGACAAAGCCTATCATTAATAGTTTAATGTAACAAGTCCATAGACGCGTAAGTTCGATCAGTCACTTCTGCCGATAACCTCCATTGCCGAGAAATGTCAGCACGAACCTCAGGAAGAGATATAGAGACTTCTTGTCTTCTGCGACTGGGACCACGGAGAGTCCATCCACGTTATCGTTGCCAGAGGTGGAGGAAGATATGCATTCGGGCTGCAACAGAGAGAACATATCCTTAAAGAATCCAGAGACTTCGGAGAGAATGGACTTTCGGACACGGAAATCGACTGAGTCGCAAGAACGAAGGATCACGTCAGCTAGAGGATCATCGAGTCTGGCATCGGTCGTTGATCGCCTTAGGGAGCTACTTGACAGAGTTGAACGGGACATAGAGAGTCACCAGCTTGGACCACGATGTAGAACAGATGGTGGTGGAAGCCTAAGGAAACCAAGAGTCGACACGACGCGACGTGATTTCGTTCCGTTTACTGTGGCTAGAATTCCAACTCCGCTCTGGGTCCATGTATGTGGCGCGCCACTTCACTGCGTAGGCATCACGAAGCCTCACGGACACAGCGTAACTTGAAGGATTGCACTGGTGGCTCCGTGAAATTACTTAAGCTTATACGCATGCTGAATTACATGGCATAAACCGGTATATTAATGACTACAAGCGACGCTACAAGGTATCGTGAATAAATGTGAGATACAGACAAGACGAAGAGTCAATAAGCAAGAAGGCTGATGCGATACAAGTCAACGTGACTAGCTGATTCAACGTACAAGATACAGAAAAGAGGGATGCACTTGGATATCGTATGCGAAGAAACGGCTCAGGGCAGAAGTGAAGGCGTGAATGGAATCATGGATGAATGTCCAGAATGAACCGATAAAGACAAAAAGGTCGTGTGGGCTTTAGAAAAATCAATCAGTAATTCTCGTCATGACTTATAACCACACAAGAAACCCACAAACGTACCATGGGAACGATTCCATCGCTCAAACAGCATACCCTCCTCCTGTAGTCGTCCCCGTCCCCGTCGTCCCAGCACCTCTCCCAGCACCTCCACCACCAAACAACCTCCCCAAGATCCCTGGCCTCTGCGCATATCCACCAGCAGGCGCAGCACCCACTCCCTCAGTCTTTCCATAATATCCGGGCCCTGCGCTTCCCGCAACGCCGGGACCTCCCGCCATCGCGGGAGCACTGCCGACTGGACCTGCTCCTGGTCCGCCTGCATTGAGACCTCTACGGCGGCGGGTGAAGAGACAGCAGCAGAGGAGTAGGAGTAGGAGTGCTACGACGATTGCTGTTATTGAATAAATCATGATGATAGGTCAGTCAGTCCTTGAGAATGCTCGCAGCGAAGAATAGCTTTGGACGTACCGACGACTATACCCGCAATAGCTCCACGTGCGAGACGACTTCCACGTCTCCTGGTGCTCGTGCTCTGAGCCGCGACGATGTGTATTGTGTTGAAAATGAGGGACGCGAGGACGAGCGGGTGGGTGATGATTTTCGTGGATGACATATTGTTCGATATCTGGTTCGGTTCAATACCTGTCGACGGTATAAAGGAAAGTTGAATGGAAAGATGCGTGGGGCCATGGAGAGGTGGTACCGTCTTATATAGTGTACAGCAAGTCGAACGAGGTGAGAAACAAGTTGACTTGGCGGGAAAACGAGTCACTGTGCAGGAGCTGATGCGGCGTAAAAGGATATGACGTCACCGATGAGCGCCACCCGATTTGACGCCACCCACTGCACGCGCTGATGAGACATTGAGAATGCTTGCGTGCGACTTGCGTTGCTTTACCAGAGGCACTGCTGTTGCTGGTCCATGGGGAATATTGCTGTGTGTGTGAGATTATATACCATCAACTGTGTAGGTTATTCACGCCATAGCCACAGCAAGGAGTAGTCACTAGTGCTGACCCAGCTGTGTAGCGTCCAGGTATTCGATAGATCGAACGCCATAAGAGGCCTCGAACGGCGTTGAATACAATTTATTTGGCTACAGGATAATAGCTTTTGTGTCACGATCAGTGTTGACGAGGGGGAGAAACGTATCAGGTAGAGTGAGCTCACCAAAGCAGAGCAGGAATGGTCGTACCGAACACAAGGTATAAAGAGCCAAACAGACACAACAAACGAGTTCAAGGGATACAGTATCGGGATGTTGATGGGAGGACTCAAATCTGAGTAGCGTGGGCCGGGCGCATCAGAACGGAGGATCGACCTTTGAGAAAAATGCGGAAATAAGTGATTTATAAACGAGAAGAGCCAGACCGACAAAAAGAAAGCAAACCCCGGCGTGAACGTACCTCCGCAATCACAAACTCGACCTGTTTCCCAATCCGTTCCGCAAACAACGGCAACTTCTCGACCTCCTCTCTACACGGTACACACCCACCCGCCACCGCCGCCACCGACCCATGCATAATCGTCGTTCCTCTCTTCATCAGCACCTCCCAACACGGCGTAACCTTCAACTCCTCCGCACACTCCTTCATGAACTCAATAACCCAGTTCAAGACCGGCATCCCCCAATTACTCCCGGCCATGGCGCCGGAGCTAGGGCTTCGGATGGGTGTCGTTGGACACGTACATCCTCTACGTTCCCTGTGTTCCGGCAAGGGGAATTTATAAATGTATTTCATCCAGTCGAAGGACGCCGCCGTTTGTGAGGCGACATCGCTACAGCGGGTGTGATAGCGGAGTAGGAGGTCATATTGGTAGGCTGACATGAGATCAAAATCTTCGCGGGAGATGGTATCGTGCAGCAGTGGTTTCTTCAGCGAGGCTCGAGCAGCCTTGTTAGCGATGGATGAAAGATTATAGCCGCATGCGATGGCGTATACGGTGGTAGGATGATGTTCGGCTTCGTTTGATAGGAGGAGGATGATGGAGTCAGGGATGTATTGGACGTCGTATTTTTGGAGGGTCTTCAATGCTGTCTTCACCTCTTGCAGAGAGGATATTGTATGGTCTGCGCGTGGATAGCACAACCTACAAGTGGATGGAAATATACCATTACGATATCCATTCTGATAGAGGGGAGAACACGCACCTCAAGAACATACTCGTCGTTTCCTCGTCCTCCGTGACGGGTATGACAGCAAGCCCATCGACAAAACCTTCGTCCGAGAATGAACCGTCAACATGCAAATGATCGTTCTCAATAGCATTGGCTTGAGGCAGAGTAAACATCTGCTTGAAGAAATCAGACGCTTCTGAGAGTACGGCCTTCCTGACTCGAAAGTCGACAGAATTGCTACTGGACCGGATGATGACGTCGGCAGCTGGGTCATTCACAAATGGGTGAAGGTTAATGTAGATAGCTTCAGTAGGGGTGGCCATGGCAGGAAGTAGTCTGCCAGAGATATGACTTGGTTTAGCTAGGTAGTGGCTGGTAGTGGCTGAGACGAAGAGCGCCCCAGCGCCACAGTAACCTCGACGCGACAGGACGCCACGCCTTCCTCAAGAATCTTTCTTTGATTTCCTCGTTCGTCATTCAACCAACGTTCAACCATTGTTCGACCGACATTTGACTGCTGCGGTACGGGATGCTCTCCTCTGATGCTGACTTCCAACTTTTCCTCTAGATATCTAACCAAAAATGATCCAAAAGCTTGCGGCTCAACGACACTGGAAGTTGGCCCACACTTACCAAACACTTACAGACGGTCTGAACAGAAACTGGCACTACCAACTTGAAGCTTGAAGCCCGGACATCAGCGAAGCTGATGGTCTCTTGGAGAGCTAGCCAAAGCTTGGAGGAGCTTGCTAGCGCTTGCAAGGCTCGCCAAGGGGCTCAAGGGGCTGTCAGCTTCGCTGATGGGTCTTTCCCCGTCTTACCCACATAGATGCATACACGGTTCCCTACATCACGGGATATCTTCTACTTGAGGTCAGTTTCAGTGCCTTTCAAGTAGCTTATAATTTAAAAACAGTTGACATCATGGCAGATTCAGAGGACGTATCACGGAGATGCTGTGGTCTAATACCTGTCTCCCATAGCGTCTAAGTGATACGGCAATAGCATCGGAATAACGGTCAAGTTGTATAACTTCCAGCCAGTCGAGGCAATCCATCCTTTTCCTCACTAGCTTCTCCCCTCCTCTTTCGCCTCTTCCGTTACTTGGAAAAACCTCGTCATGCACTCAATCGATGTCGTTCTCGTTTCTATCTTTCTTGGACTCTCCCATCTACGTCTCGCCTTAGCCTTCACACACGGGAGTACAGGAGGTGGTGGTCCCGGCAATCTCTCAAGTGGTGCAATCGCAGGAGTTGCAGTAGGTGAGCCCGAAGCTCCTCTTTTCTTGTCCTCATCCACCCCTCTTCACGCTGTCGTGCATGTCGATAGCGCCGTCGGCCGTCTGAAAGCCACAATACCACCTACCAATAACCCTATGGTGCTGATCCACACGATATTCAGGTTGCCTCGCGATCCTAACGCTTTTTATTTTGGTCGTTTGGTGGGACGTCAGGCGACGACAAAGATCTATCTAGGTAACCAGGAGTAGTGCGACGGGGCCTCGGATCCAGAATGGTGAGACGAAGAGCGCCAGTTCTTCAGGGTACGGATATGCTGTCAGGGGAGGGAAGGGAGGTATGGGTGCGGATGAGGTGCAGACCGTATAAGGGACGAGTGGGTGCGAGGTGAGTCTTTAGATCGTTCTGTCCATCGAATGCTTCCTGACACGCAGCGTTTGTAGATCGTCCTGTCTCCAATGAACTAAGTATGGACGTTTACAACAGGTTTTCAGTTTCGATGGGTCTCATTCAACCAGTACAAATAGTACACTTCCTTGGGAAAATGTCATGATCACGAAGAACACTGATGCGCCGTGCCACTCATAACTTGAATGAGCGCATGATGTTTATTCTTCGGCTTACTTCGACGCCACCAAGCACTCGCGATTCCCTTGAAGAGTGTTAGCAAGGGCGATTGCATCCTCTGAACGACGGAGAAATCCAAGATGTGTGGATAGATTTCCTCCTCCCACGATACGCGCTCTTCACCTACATACCTACACATCTAATGTAGAGCATGCTACATGACTCGAATGTCCGACTCCTACGGATACTCCGGGAATGGCAATGGGAGCTGACGGATAGAAGGTGGATGACAAGTCAGAAGGATTTGTAGCACAGATGATGGTAAAAGAAATCCTACATCGGAAATGATCGAAACCACCTCGTCCCCAAGCTGCGAGTGAAATCGCAAGAGGTTCCTCACCTCGGCCTCCGCGCTGCAGTCTTGATGCAGACACCCAGAGCGCCCTGCAGCACCAGCAGCATGCGCCAAGGCTTTTCCATCCCGAGTGGCCGCATCCCAGTTCGGTGTTCCCTTCAATGCATTGGAAATCTCCTTCTGATACTCTATCATCCACTTCTTCACATCGTCAATCCATTCGGAAGCGTCGACTTCGATGCAGGGACAGGTACAGGTTTTGGATGGACGGACAGGAAGATGAACGTCCTCCGGATCATCGAACCACTTCCATGATGTTGCGACATTTGAGGCAGCACTGCTGGCAGATACATGGTACTGAACAAGTTTATTGAAGTGCGAGGCCGTCATAAGGTTGAGAACCTCGGGAGAGACGAAAGAGGCGCCAGCGAGGATGGGACGTCTAAGGGTCACTTTGGCGGCGGCGTTGGCGATGGCGGGGAAGTTGTAGCCGCATGCTATGGCATATACCCTAATGGGATCTTCCTGGGCAACCAACATGAGTGCTAGGCCGATAGCATCAGGAACACGTTGAACGTCGTATTTTCGTAGAACCCTCAGTGCAAGCATGATTTCTGAGACTCCCGCGAGCGAATGATTCGCATTTGGGTAACACAGTCTAGTTAAATTGAAGCTGTAAGAACACTTTGGAACGGATAACCATCAACCGTGGGTGGAGGCTCACCTGAGAAAAAGAGAGAGTTCGCCCTCGTCCTCTGCCACGGGAATCACAGGGAGTTCTGCACCTCCGGTACTGTCATTTGAGGAGGACAAAACAAAGGTGTCTCGGCAATCTTCTTGCGGCAGTGAGAACATCTGCTTGAAAAATGCCGAGACTTCTGCTAAGACCGTCTTGCGAACTCGGAAGTCGACGGAATCCGACGAGCGTATAATCACATCTGCATCAGGATCGCGAGGAAAGACTTTCTCTGGAGATACAGCATCTTCTGCCTGTGATTTAGGTGCTTTTGATGAGGGCATGAAGTCAAAAAGACTGTACGGAGGTTAGATGGTGGTGGACAAAGCGCGAGACTACAGTACTCATAATTTGACGTAGTACCGGAATCTAGCGGGCGGTAACTCAAAAGAATCGTAGCTCCGCTCATCCATCTTCGGAGGCTTTCAATCCCCTGCTAAAGTGTTACCGTTGCCGAGCCCCTTTCTACTTTGTTGACCTTGGAGATACTACGAAATGCCACGATCTATCTCTGCACCCTCGAGCTCGGACTCTGCGATTGACATGCCTGATGCAGACATTATCGTCCGGTCAGCGGATGCCGTCGACTTTCGCGTCCATAAAACCGTGCTCTCCGTCTTCTCGTCTGTTTTCGGTGATATGTTGCCCATGCCTCAGCCTCTTACATTGAGATCGGTATCCAAAAGGCTTTCTGTTGTTGATGTCCCTGAAGAGGGTCCTGTGATAGACATATTTATTCGGTGCGTTTCGTCGTCAGACCTAGTTGCGCCCTGAAAATATTGTGTGGCGTCTGAGTCTGACCGTGGAAGCACTGCTCACATCCTTTTCCATATCAGACTATGTTATAGACTTCCGTTACCACCGATGTCAATGAACGACATTCAACGTATTCTTCAGGTACTCGACAAATATATGGTCGAGCGGACACCCGCCGAGGTCTCCCAGGCTTTGACCGCCGAACTCGACGAGAACCCCCTCGATGTGTATGCTATTGCATGTCGCTATAACCTTCATGGAATAGCCAATTTCGCGGCCAAAACATTACTCAAACTTCCATGCTCGAGACTGTACGGTCTAGACGAAGATTTCTCGACTCATGACAGTCGAACAGTACGAGCGTTTGGTCAAATACCGCATTCTGGCTGGCGCAACAGCAGTCCGCGCCGTACGCAATTTTCCTCGTAGAGATACTTGGACGCTCCATCTCGCTCCTCCCGCCACTGCAGGATTTCGCCAGAGCGCCACTGTTTGCGATTGTAGTGGCATAGTCCACCTGGAGGACCGGGGCTACTGCGCACCTTGGATTGAGGCATTCAAGGAAGTATGATGTACGGTGTTAATGGAGAAGCCGGGATGTTGGGAGACTATATTGAATGGTGGACATACCGGAATTCGGGTCGTTTCTTTTGTTCATAACTCGAAGTGCAACTATTGCATTCGGGAAGTGAAGGGCTTAGGAGAGGTGGCGTCGTGGATGAGAGACGACGTTAAGGAAGCACTCGACAAGGTATATCTCCTCTCTGACAGTTCTTGCTATATGTAGCAGCTCACTCAACAATTAATATCCGTCCATGCAGATAAAGTTGCCGTTGGACGTGGAAGATAAAACATGAACACTTAAAGGGTCAATGTTGACGGTCAAAGAGGGGGATTTTCTTTAGTGTGAGCGATTGCTTCCGTGTCTTCGCCACTCTATGGGCTGATTTTCTGGCTCAAAACCAGAAAAATATGCATTGGATGTGCTCTCCTTATCCTCTCGGGAATTCATGTCTTTTAGTGCTTCTGTTCGCTCTATGAAGGTACCGTCTGTGAAGCTTTCGTCTGCGCGCCGCGCACATTGTCGCATACATATGACATTCGAACCTAGTGTGTTTCAAATTTGATGAGTCATGACTCGTCAGGCAAACATCACAGACATCCCGGGACGAGCTTCCTAAATATTTCGATGTTATAGCAACCTTCCCAGCGACAATATCTATGGCCTTGGAAAGAAAATCTCGATGACGAGGCATACTGAGCGCTCGCTCAACAAACCGTAGACACAGGAAACTGCGTGCATCGATGGGAGACGATAGATGAATCAGCCTCTGCGGTGAGGAGAGTGTGAGGACGGTGCTCACTCAAGCGAGACGCGAGTAGGGACAACAAGGTAAGAAGGGCCTGGGTGTAGCTCGATAAGAAGGAATCGAGCCAGCATGATGTGGAACAAATACTCACGGTTGCGAGTACAGATTGGGGACGAAAAATTGTTCCCTTAGAAGGGAAGAAGAACCTGTGAATATCGCATTCATGAGCTCTTGTTACACAGATATGAATTAAATGACGAAAAACCTGACCTGGGCTGTGACCGCATCCACTCTGTTGGCAATCAACTCGGTGAAGGCAGGAAGTTTCTCTAGCTCCGTCCGACAACTCGGACAACCAGAAGAGATAGCCGTCGTCGTAGCGCGCATGGTAGCAATTCCTCGGCGAGATATCGTGTTGAAGTCTGGTGTGGTAGCCAAAGCATCCGCCATCTCCTTCCGCCACTGGATGACCCAGTTCGCCACCGGAGATGCCCAAGCAGCCGGTAAAACAATTTGTGTGTTGGGACATTTGCAGGGACGGAACGCAGTGGGAATTGGGTCATCTTGTTCCATCCACTGGAAGGAGGACGCAGCTGTGCTAGCTCTTGTCGCAACATTCTTGTGGTACCGGAGGAATTTATCGTACTGAGAGGCCGTCATGAGATCGAGGTCTTCGTCACTCTGAGAGGCATCGGAGAAGAGGGGAGATTTGAGTGATGCTTTAGCGGCGGCATTGGCGACGGCAAGGAAGTTGTAGCCGCAAGCTATCGCGCAGACCGTGGTAGGATGTTCGTTGACGGCCAACATGAGGGCTAGCCCGACAGAGTCGGGGATGCGCTGAACGTCGTACTTTCGTAAGATTTTCAGAGCACGTTTGACTTCGGACAAATCAGAGAGTGAGTGATCTTGGTTTGGATAGCATAGACTAGTTTTGGAGAATCAAAGTGGAAGGAGTGAGCGAACAGGTACTGGTACTCGGTGGTGCCAGTGTTGACTTGAACTCACCGGATGAAGAGATATAGCTCATCCTTATCCTCAGCAACGGGAACTATATCGAGCCCAACGGACGACTGAAAATCATCAATGGGTTCGTTCTGGGGCAGCGAAAACATGTCCTTGAAGAATGTGGATACTTCAGACAAGACTGACTTCCTGACGTGAAAGTTGACCGAGTCAGATGAGCGAAGGATAGCATCGGCATCTGGGTCATCGATAGTCGCATATCGTTTGTCGGAATCAAAAGCAATCTGAGACATATCACCCACTATATGGACAAGGGAGAAGACCAATACAAAAGACTCAAACGATTTGAATACAGACGAGCGTTGGACAAGCGTGAAAGATGTCGATGAAGGGGCGGACGCGATAAGCGCGTTGGACGCAAGCGCCCGATGCCGAAGTCCTCCAGATCTTTTGAAACTCCGCGCTTATCACGCCTTTTTTCTCGCCGAGTTGTTTTTGTCCTCAACATGCACTGTTCTCGTCCTCCACCATCTGCACAGACCAAAGTTCGCAATTACACATGTCGTCGCTCCATCCGGCCCCATGATTTCTAGAGCTTCAGTCTCAGCACTCACCTTAGAGCATCACTCACATCCTGGACCAATCTCGGCGCTCGGCCGTCACCTAGTGCTCAGCCTGATCTCGGCGACGGACGAACGCCCAATAGGATCACATAATATAAATGTTGGATTGATACATTCATCGAAGTCTTGAATGTCTGGCCTGAGGCATGATATGGCGCTCGATCTGCTACTCGCCTGGCAGAATGATTATATCAACGACCTCTTGTCAGCCAAGCTGACCCGCCGCCCACTCCAGATTCAGTCTTCTCTCTTTACTCCCTGAAGCTTTGCCCATTGTCCTCCACCTTTTCCCTTCTTATTGTGCCCAGAATCACTGCACTTGATTTACAAGGATGTTCTGGCTTGCCATTTCGAGAATCTCATCGAAGCACCTGCCTGCAATGCTCGTCCTCGGCTCACTCGTAACATCCGCTCCCGTCACCTCGATGCATGACGCTGGGAACCCTGTAGGGTATCATATTGATTCTGTCCTGCGAAAGAACGTAGCAGGCCCCGTCAATGTCCCTGATACCGAAACCAGGCTCGAAAATGAATCTGAAAGCATGGGTACGTTTACTGAGATGTACACGATCACGCTATTCTTTGTATCTCTGCCCCACGATGCTGCCTAACATGCACCAGCGACGGAACTGACATTTATGCCACAGAGAATTATATGGAGACCGTCTTACTCGCACGTTTAGATGAGATTTCGAGAATTATCGAAGAGCTCCGTGGGGACATGATCAATTCAGGGAGAATATCTACCTATGAGGCAACGGCAATAGACGACATGAAGAGTCAGTTTCAACGGGTATTTTTCGTGAGTACATTGCGCATTTCGATCGTGGAACAGAAGACTCATAGCGAACATTGTAGACGGAGGCGCCTCAAGATTATGTCCATGTGCAACCTCCGACATCTACGATGGTCAATATCGGGTACGTTCGCAGCCTATAGCCTAACCTCTTAGCATCCGTCATAATATACTGAATCCCTTTGTAGAGCAATCATCTCCGCTGCCATAAACGCGTGTCTCGCTCTCTTCGGCAGCATGTCCGGAGGCATCATCGGCGCTTGGATCCAAGCCTCCATCCAGAGACGCACAGAGGCCGCCATGAAGTTGGTCGAAGAGCGAGCCAAAGCAGTCGCGGAACAGGCGGCCAGTGCTGTCGCGCAGAGGGTCGAGAGCGCGGCGGAAGAGGTGAGAGAGACGGCGGTGAAGATGAAGTCGGAGATGGAGGGACGGAGGGCTGAGGAAGTAGAAGGAATTGTGGAGGGTGCCGTGGAAGGGACGATCATTGGGTTGGCGAAGGGCGTGGAGGAAGCAAACCTCCACGCCAGTTCGAGCACCGATAGCGGCACTCTAATAGGTGACAGCACTCGGGCGAAGGACTGACAGTGTGGCGGTGGCGAAGTAACCGAGGATTTTATGCCACACTGGCGCAAGCACTAGCGCTAGCCGTTATCCTAAGATCCATGCATATTTCCCTGTGCGATAGTCCTCTGTCATTCGCGGCCTGTCAATCTTTACAACCATAGAGGGAGCCACAACGAGGCTGGAGCTAGCTGGAGTTGCTTGAAAACTGCGAGAGTTAGAACGTTGTGTCTTACCGCCGACGATCAAGGTGACCGGGGAAGTGGCTCATGCGTAAGACACCCGCACTTTACGCGGAGTTTCAAATTATCCAGCATGGGTCCCAAGTGCCGCCACAACTTTTCACTTTCACCGGACCATCACTGCGTACAGAATGAGCTCTCCGCTGTCGTCCGGTATTACTCTCGTCGATTATAGCCCTGAAATTCCCGATGATAAGGATCCTCCATCCGCACCAGTAGTGCCATGCGGAATTCCGTTGAAATTCCGATGAGCAATACTCCGACAGTCGTGCGCGATTCTCAACACTACTACGAGATGGTTTGCGTCCAGGTGAGCTGCTCCTGATCGAAGTCAGTTGTTTCTAATTATATACCTTTCAGGCGGAGGACACTCTCTTCAATGTCCCAACACATCTGCTCAACAAAAAGACCCTAACCGACCTGCTCGAAAACGGCGATAAGGGCAGCGAACAAAGCCCCTTATTGCTTCACTCTTCTGTCACGGCTTCTGCTTTCCGTGCGTTTTTGATTGCTTGGTGTCCCGAGTAAGTTTTCTCTGACGATCTCATACAAGTCAAATATTCTTAATTGCAAACATGACCTCTTCCTTCTAATAGATTCGCCAGTAGCACAGAGCGGCAAATATCTAATTGCGAGCGGATCAACGTCCTCACACTTTCCTATGTTTGGAACTTGAAGAGAGACTTCCCGTTCGAATTGCATCCCCTAGACGTCCCTCTTTTCTCACAATCTCAACCGCAGTACAACGAACGGTCTCTCTCTGTCTTGGAGTTGTTGACAGAAGCATTCGCGGAGTTGGTCAAGCGGTGGGACCCTATCCTTCCATCTCAGAGAGATGCATTGGGATTGGAGTTGTACGGTGACCTCGTTGATATTCGGGAAAGATTTTGGGGAGACGCATTTACTGATTTGCATGGGAAGAAACGACGGCCCAAAAGAAAGTCTCAAACTGCACAAGAAGCTCGGACTACGACCTTCATTCAAGGCAATCAGGTCGCTGCCTTAGTCACTCAACATCTCGACAAATGGAAGAATAAGATGTGCCTTTCATCGGAGCCTGGTATCTCAATTGGTAACGGAGAATCTCGCATCGTTAACCCTCATTCTTCACTCAATCTCAATTCTTACAACATTTCGATATTCGCAGCGAATGACAAGCCGGATATCTTATGGACTTCAGTCAGTCGCGATGCACACTTCTATGGTGGCACAGTACTGTTCAAGGTCAGTCTTATCGCTAGCGATTAGAGTCCGGAACTTTAATTACTGATGATACATAACATAGGCCGGAGACGTCCTATTCAAGCTACCCCGCTACAGCGACGAAAAGATGGCTACATTGGCAGACCTTGCCACCATCGAGGTCGCGGTTTCCACACGTTCTGGCATCATGCAATTGAACGTAGTACCGCTACCAGATCACATAAGTCCCTTTGAATTTCGCGGATTCTTAAACATGCTATATCCGAGGTATAGCATCCACCATTCCAGTCTACCTCTGCACAGCGATGGCCGCTCAGCACGCTAACCTAAATCTCCATTTCTCAGAATACAGCCGCTGTCAATGCGACCGGTTTTGACTGCATCAGATGTGGAGTCAGCGCTTCACGTCGCAAATATTTTGGATTGCCATGACATTGCGAGAAAATGCAATGATTGGTTCGAGTCCTCGACCACTTTAATCACTCCATGGGAGAAAGTTCGCGCTGGGCGACGTTTCTCCACGCAAAAGTGGGTCGTAGATGGGTATCGTGCGATGATCTGCGCGAAGGAGCTCCCTCCTGCTACTTTGGCCGCAGAAGTTGGACTTGGGCTTTACTGGGACCTCAGTTCTTTGCGTCAAAAGTGGATCCAGAAGGTGTCGTTCGCAGACAGGCAAAAGGAAGGAGAAGAATTCTTGTCGGTGCTTACTGCTGATCAGAAGTCCGAGATGACAGTCGACATCGAGCGCGCCGTTCGAGACGAGTCGACTAAAGAATCCTTCGATGTATCCGAGCATCTAAGGTCATCGGTATGCGTTCGATTTATGCTTCCGCGTGCATCGGATGGTCTGCTTACTTTCGGTTATTAACACAGGACAGACCTTCCACCGAAGCATCAAGTTCGCAGCTCTCGATAGGCTACACGCCAACCGTGTTTTCGGACAGAACAGATATTGCACTGTCGAACACACCATCGCTACGAGACAGCTTGTTCTACTGTCAGGATCATATCATCTTCCTGGTGAGCTCTTCCCGACTCGGATGGACCATGATCCATGTTTCGTCTTGACAGGATACATTATATTGCTTACATTTTAGGCGGAAACGACTTTATTCAAAGTTCCTCGGCACGGTTTCACATCCTCTTTCTTCACCACACTCTTCTCGTTGCCGCAAGGACCATTCAACACCCAAAGGTACTAGCGACGATCATCCAATCCGATTGCCACCTCAGGTGACCGCACGCGCCTTCCGGACTTTCCTAAGCCTGCTTTATCCAGAGTAAGTGAAGGACTGTTTTTATGCACGTCATGTTTCTTCTCACAGAGGGTATTTGAAGGTTGATTCCAAAGGGCCAGACAGCCATATTCACCGTCGATGACTTGGCCGAATGTGCTCAGCTGGCCAGAATGTGGGACTTCGGCGACATTCGACGTACATCGATGAAGAAGATTCTCGAGTTACCGATGTCACCTTTCCATGGACTGATTATCGGAAGAAAATTACGCAGCTCCCGCTGGATAATTGACGCATACGTTAAGATCTGCAAACAAGACGCCCTTCCATCTCGAGATGAGGCCCAAGAGATTGGATGGGAGGCCTGGCGCGAAATCGTCAAACTGCGGGAGACTAAAATTCGGAAAGTGTTGTTTAATTCTGGTGAATGGAACACAAAGGATTTGGAGCTTGCTATAGAGAGAATATTTCGACATGAGTTGGTCGAGGATGAGAGATATTCGCCGAGTGGTACATCTAATGGTATTTTTTTCCTAGTCCACAATCGCTTGCCTTCGTATGTCTGACTTTCCTAATTTCAGCATAATCAGATGCAACAATGTTAGTAGGACTCCATCTATATCTCTTCGTGTGTTAGTTGCCCCCGACCATAGCTATGGAGGACAGTGGAATATGTGGCCACTGGAGTCTGGATATGATTGCTTAGATCGTCAATAAATTGATGGTCGCCACACTGTGCGAGTGGGACAGGCGTTTCAAAGACAACCTCATGCCTTCCATTTGATCAACCTTCCTTGTTTGAAGCATATTAGCAAGCCCACCGAAACGTGCTACAAATCAGTCGGACCACGGTCCTCAGGCTCGCCACCAACTCGCCACTGCTAACGTTAAGTATGGGCGTCTAACGCGTGTTGTCACCTTTGTGACACCTCGTGTTCCATGTTCAGTCCCTTTGGCGACGCGACATTGTCATCGCATCCCACGACCATCCAGACTTGCTCCAGGCTCACATTCAGTGCTCTGATCTATCGCAGACTACCATCTCATGTCTTCAATCCATTTACAACGAGCGAAACGCTGGAAAACCACCGCCTTTTACGCTGAATGGTACGCAAATGCCGCAGACTACTGCCAGTCATCGGAGGGGAAGCGAGAGTTCGAAACCTGGTACGTTTGTTGTTGCATTCTGGCAGCCCATCGAATGTTTCACGCTTAAAAGTGATTGACGCGCTTTCGATAGGGTACTGTCGACGCATGGACCAATCAAAGGTCGACAGAAGCTCCAGGATTGCGCAAAGGCTCCGCGTAAGAAATACGGGATGTCAACAGGCAATGTAGCAATGTTAAATGCTGCTGCTGTGAGGATATCACGATCTGTCGTCTTAACTTTATCCCCACTGGGCTCATTGACGTGCCGTACGGTGTGAATACAGGTCGAACTAGGTCAGTATTGACTTCTGCGGTAGTTCATGTTCCGTCAAGTAAAGGGTTATGCCTTTTGAAAGGGATTAGCGACGAGGCGTTGGTCCTGTATCATGAATTCATAGCGACATATGGTATAGGAGAACCAGCACGGACAAAGCCTGCCATTCGGTATGAACAGCTAGCATCAACCTCGACAGTGGAATCTAACACGTTTTGATTTTCAGCCGAAGACGTGGAGAAAGCTCTGGGGATTGGATAGCAGTGAGTACGGTGCCGTCACTCCCTTCATTCCACTTCTCTCATGTCATCATCTCTCCATGGTCACAGCGCCGCTATGGTGAGCATCGAATGCCAGGGATCGCATGCCTCACCTTCCTAACTCGTCCCCAGAGGCCCAAATGGACGGACACAAGATGCCGAACATCGACCTTCACTGGCTACACGCCATCGCTATATCAGAATATGTATGTCACAATCATTCCTCCCGTGCTACAAAAATCAATGATCATACCTTGCCAGGATAAAACCAAAGACACGATTGAAGTGTGGCGCACCAGTCCAGAAACATTTTTCACCCACATTGAGCGTCGAGGACAGAGTACCATTTCCTTTCCCGAGGTCGTTCGCATGTCCTCCGAGTTTGATCGTCGTGTGGCAATGATGGACGATGCATTCAGATCTAGCATTCATAGGCTATCGGTGGGTTCACTTCACCTATTTCAGACTCGTCATGATTAACCTCTCCCTCACTCTCAGCTTGCACACTGTGCTTGGTCAGAGGCTGCGGCCCTTTTTGAAGACCTGAAGATGATGGGCTTGATGACCCCTTCATCTCTGGAAAGGGCATACAAGAAGGATACAAAGTTATTGTGGCGCCTCATCAGCTGTTTTTCCAAGGAATCCGAATTCATGAGTAAGTCCTCAATACTTAGGACAGATGGATCATTTGTTAAATGTCGCTTTCTTCATAAAAGGTTGGTTACGAGGAACTTTGACTGCTGTCCTCAGCTGGTGTGACGCATTCCGGCCATATCTCAAGCGATGGAGAGTTCGTTATGAAGTATCTACTCTTGATCATTTCGTACACCGTCTGATTTAGATTTGCAGAATGCGGACGCGACTTCGGATGTTAAGATCGACGAAGATTACCTGAAATGCAACGGTTGGAAGAGCAACTTTCATCAATTTGTGGTAGTTCATATCTCAAGAGGAATGGGCAATATAGCGGGCTTCTTTGAAGGGTTGTACAAAGATTTTCTGGTACGCAATAATTTGTTATGCACGAGGCGTTCTCTACTGATCCTATCCTAGTTGAAGGACCCCACCCTTGCAAGCGCGTTCTCAGCGGAAGCTTACGATTTCCTGGGCGACACTGCGGCAGGTTTGTTTTGGTCCAAGAATTCGGCCTGGACTTAGCTGAAGAGGACATCACAGTTCTAGAATTCGACAGTTTCGTTCGCGAGTCTGACTTCGGTGTTCGCCTCAAGGAACACGCATGCCTCCTCGCTCCGACCCCTCAGGATCTTCTCCACCTTCCGCATTTCGCCTCCACCGTTCTCTTCATGAACCCTACCAAATTCAAACCTTGTCTACCCCATTACGACAAGAAGGCATGGGGCCCCGTCGGCGCTTTCACTCGAGGCCAAGCGGAAGCCTGGTCAAGTATCACTGGTCATATGGGTATTCTCAGCATAATACGCATGTGGCTGAGCGGCGAGTATCGAGATGAGGACGGGAACTTGAAGGAAGAAAAGTTGGGAATAAATTCGGACATCATGTGGATCGAGGTTGACGCTGCCATGATGGCAATGGCTAGTACGCTGGATAGAGATGGGGTCGACAATAAGGGGAGAGTGGCGAAGGCGTTTGGACTCCTCAATCCGAAAGACCCGAACAGGCCGATGACGAACAAGTATCTATTCAAGTCGTATATTCCACAGAAGGAGACGTCCAGGATCGAAGAGGTAGTCGAAGAGGTAGTGACTCCCACTTCTGTCGCTTCCTCATCGCCTGGTCGCGATGCCCCCAGCATACCGGTCGCGGCGCCAAGTGAGACAATAGCGAAGTCAGGCCACGCATACGTTTCCGAGCTGGTCAAAGAGGCTGGCCTGTTGAAGGAGAAGGTCAAAACGCGGAAGGGTCCGTCTGTTGAGGTCGTAGCTGCTAGCGGTCCCGGTGACGACGATCTAGACGAGGCCGAGAGACTCGAGTCGTTACCGGATGTTCTGCCTGCGCAGTACAAATTGGGGAAGAAAGTGATGAAGGTGCGTTATTGCCACGGTCTCGTCACTAACTGTTGCCTAATCGTTGGCATTCTAGATCTTCCATCGTATCCTCGATCTGGATGAGCAGATGAAGGATTCTTCGGACATCGCTGAGAAGAAAGGCCAATTACGTTGGGCGGATTTCGAGAGGGTAATTAAAGCTCACCGGATGCCTTCACTCAACCCTTTCTCATTACTGATGCACATACTCTTCAGGCTATGAAGAGGTCAGATAATCATACTAGAATGCGGAGGATGTGAGAGATGCTGATTCCCGTACAGAGTCGGCTTCGAGGTTTACCAGACAGCCGGTTCTTCTGTCCGTTTCGATCCGCCTGCGAAGACCGCCAGACCGATCAGCTTTCACCGAGTAGGCGACTTCAGTATCTTTGTCCTTCCTCATTTACAACTGACCTAACGATTTTACACACAAGCCTCATCCCGATTCGACATTGACGCCACAAATCATGAAGTGGTCAGTTGTTCCGTGTCCCTATTCAGTGCCGCAAGGTTCACAATCGCTGATACTATATTGATGCGTGGTAGGATTGGTGCACGATTGAAGAGATGTTACGGTTGGACAACGGCAACATTTGAGAGAGAGATGCAGGAGGGAGAGTAACATACGCGGCGAGGGACGGTATGGAAAAATGTCGATATCTTGGATTGCGCTAGAGCACACCTTGGTCGTACATGTCTCGATCTTGGATTTAGAAACCTAATAGTATACGTCACTGACAAAAAATGTCCTGGACGCGACATCAGCACCATAAAGAAAAGGATCAGAGCTCGAGTAGCGAAGGACCTTACTCATAGTGGGACGTCTACACAGCTGGCGCCTCACGCAGATGCTGCGTCACAGTCTTCCATTTCCAGCTCCTTTCGCCCGTGTTGACGAGTTCGTTTTGATTATCCTTACTAAAGTCCATCTTGCCTTCGCCCACGAGTGCCCTATGTGCATCAAAACCTCCGTTATTTGACTAAGTCAGAATAAAAAACGGATCATGATACGCACCTGATCCAGTGCGCAGGCCTTCCCTCTCCATCTCTGATAGTCGTTTCTTTGAGTTGCAATTTATATTGCACCAAGTCCTCCGTACGCAGCTCGATCTCCCTTCCAGTCCTCTCCTGAACTAACTCTCGAACCTCCTCAAAGCTGATGCTGTCGCCAGCGATGCGGATATGGTCCGGCACCTCCGAAGCGTTGACTGGTGACATACAGAGGATAGAGAGCTCAGCGACCGCACGCCCGATGTCCGATTTGGATGTGACAGAAAAGTTGGCGGAAGTCGACCCAACAGCAGAGAAAATAGATCGGCCAATGTCGAATCCGACTATATGTGGCCCCATTAGAGTCTTCGTGGTCAGTATAATACGCCAGTCGATGCTGCTCACAGAGAGGCTAGTGCGTACAGAATAAGGAGGTCGGCCAATGCCATTTTAGAGGTAGGCATATTTCAGGGAGATGGACGTACGGTTATAGCAATTTCGAGGAAGAGACCCGGATAGACCACGACGATCTTCATTTCTTTCCCGCTGTCCTTGACCTTCTCCCGCATTTGAACGTCATTCTGACGCTTGTAGATCCAGGCGGAGTGGTCGTAGCCTGGGAAGTCATTAAACCGGTGATCCCTTCGACGAGAAAACAAAAGTTCGTAAGTTAAAATAAGTACGCAGTAGAGTTCCTGAGGAGCTGGACGGCTTACACTCCGAACTCGCTCGGAAAGTACACACATACATTCTGCGCTAGTGCTGCCTCGAACAGGTCTTTGGCGAGTTCCTTGGCTTCGTGGTTGAGCACATCAATAACGACATCAATGCTCTTCAGAGCCTCGTTCAATGCCTGCTTCTGCACATGACGGTCAGACGCGGTAGGTATCTCGTGAAGAGTGGCTCCAAGGGATTCGAGTCGTCTCGCGTTGGCCGATTGAGCGCTGCGCGTGATGACGATGACTCGAGAGAAGAACGGTCTGTATGGAGACTCAAGAAAGACTGAAGCTATAGCGAAGCCTACAGGTCCGATTAGATCAATGGTTCCAGAAACACTATTCTCGACTCTCACCTAGACTGCCAGTCGCACCTGCGATGGCCACAGAAGTCTGACCTCTGCTTAGGCGGACGGCACTAGTATACGACATCTCTCGATGAAGAGGCCTGGCTAGAGCTGTGCTATTATACAACCTACAGACTGAACCACGACGAGGCGTCCTGAGACAAGGTGGTCACGAGAGGAATCGTGCGTGTGCGTATTCCAGAATATCATGACGCGAACGTGGAGCAGTATAAGAATTGCGACACTTCCCCTGTCGTTTACTGAGCTATTTATAGGCCTCTCTGTAAGATCTTATCAGATAATGTTGCGGATTGGAAGGAAACGGTCGATCCCAATTCCACCAACATTAACTCTTCAACGTTCACCATTCGACGATAATTTACGACCTATAGAGCTTTGATTTTGCGCACGGGCACTCCTGCGAATGACGATCCATCCGTGAGCTTGAAAGAGCCGACATATACGTGGGGGGCATTTCCCATTACTTGGCGTCGCGTCGCTCGATGGCTTACAACCTATGTCAAGAGCTACATATACGATTTATTGGCATACATTCCATACACTACTGTCAAACCACATAATGAAGAATAAAGGAAACATACATTGACGCCACCTTCCTCCGATTGAGATCGTACTAAGTTATCCTAAGCCTCCAATATTGCACCAACAAACAACCGTACTTCAATCTTTTTAGCTCTTCGTTAGCACTTGATTTCTTCCTTTAACTTCCCCACCCGACCTTCCCTTCACTCCGCAACAGTCGGCACATCCGGTCCCTTCACAGGGTTACCCGGTCCTTCCTTCTCCCTGTCGAACTCCCCACTCGCCCTTTCCCTCGTTCGGCTTCTCGACACCCTATCCAACAGCGCCGAGATCCCATGTCCATGTCCGTTCCTGCCCCGCTCCTTCTCTGGCTCCCTTGGCTCCCTTGAACCGTCACGAGTACGAATGTTACCAGCGCCACCGCGCCCGGTGGACTCGAAGCCGTCGTGGTTGTGCGTGGCGTGTGGATGCTCGTGTTCAATGGCGGGGGCGGGAGCGGAGGTGAGGTTGGCGATACCGCCACGACCGGTGGAGTGCCTGGAACGATAGCAAAAAACACACGGGTTAGGGTCAGATTTGAGATGTTTTTGACAGGGTAGCGATGTTCGGGGAAAGGACAGGGGCGGCGGGACAGATGCAGACGATAACGAGACGGCAGAGATACGGTCGAATAAATGTTGATAGATAGTGACACTCACGGTCCGACAGACTCATGATGATGAGCGGCCCTCTCCTCCTCTTCGATCTCGCTTATGTTCACGTCTATTCCGTCGCCAGCTTTGAGATTCCCGACTCCTCCACGTCCGGTGCTGTGTACGGCGGGATGAGCATGGTGAGGGTCTCGAGAGCGAGAACGGGAGGGCGAGCGTATGTTGCCCATGCCGCCGCGGCCAGAGGAATGCTATCGAGCCAACGCCACCGGTCAACGTCAAAGTCAGCACCACGATCTCTACATCCTTGCATCGGGCAATAGGCAATAGTGAGGGAGGATAACTGACCAGAGCACCGGCATGCTCAGCTTCCGCCTTTCTGACCACGTCTCTCTCGTGCTCGTACACCGCTTCCCTGTTCTCCGTGACGTCGCGCGAGGGCGAACGTATGTTTCCTGCTCCTCCGCGGCCGGTGGATACGATTTTGCCGGACTCTTGGACAGGATGGGGTTCGCGACCGCGGGTGATGGAATAGTCATCGGGACCATCAACTGGGCGAGCGTCGCGAGAGGCAGAGGTCGAACGGATGTTGCCTGCGCCACCGCGGCCGGAGGATTGCTAGTTGTCGAGGACAGGTAGGGTCAGTTGGACTGATGTTTCGAGCAGTGAAGGCTAGTTGAAGACGCACGAGACGACCACGAGAGGTCGAGCGGTCTTTGTGAGGTGAATCCATGATATCTACAGTCTCTGTCGATGTTTCTGGGCCACATTCGCAGTCAATAGCCATAACACGAACAACACTACAATCCTCGCTACTCACATTATACAGTAGCTTTACTGCTGATGAGCAGAAGAAAAGTGACGACGGGGTGATTCGGAGGTGTGGGTATGAAAAAATGGAGAGCAGCTTGACTCGACAGCGCTGCTTTTGAGGAAAGGTCGAAGCTTGGCCTCCATGGTCCGACGTCACTTGCATTTTTCGAAATCAATTTCGGAGCATTTCGACTTGGCCGCGGGCGCCCTGGAATGTGCCGAAGGCATTTCCTGAAAGGGAGAATATTGCGGCATTGCGGACCGACGCCACTTCACGCGTGTTTACCTCTATTTGGTCGGTGGTGTCTTGTCATGCGAGCCCTCGAGCACTTGTTTTCTACTCTCGACCCAGACTGGTAACCGAGTCTCTATAGCCCAGTATGTGACGTCTGCACGAGTACAAGGTACTCTCGACCATCATCACGTTAGATCGACCTGGGGCACTGCTCATATTTTTTGTTACATCTCCGTGCTGTGCATGATCCTCGGAAACTAGCCATTGGCATGATGACCTGTTTCGAACCTCGCACCCTTGGTATAAAATTATCTTCGGCTGCACTAGCTGGTCAAAGAGCTCGACGAGTAGAAGCACATACCATCTATCTGGAACCTGATGTGCTCTGTGGCATAATATCGCGCAAACTGCTTCACCGCTTGTGAAACTGGGAGTCCGGTCATGAAAGCAAATCGCTCACCGTTACACTCGTATACTACTGCCACTCGGACACTCGTCCCGACGGGGTGCGTGTTTTCCCCGAAGGGGTTGAACGTTTCGTTGTGTGGTGGTGCATATTGGACCTTGGTCAGAGGGTTTGCCTTCGTGCGGATATAGAGAATAGCGGCGGGTGGTGTGGGCTGTTTTCGTGCGTATATACGCGTACATTTCTCAACTGATGTATTGTCGAACCCATATCCTCCTCTGTAAAGCATGCGAAAGTCTGCATCTTTACTCCTGAGCTTAGAATCCGTAATAATTTGTGCCATGCTGAGCTTTGTTCGCGGTGCATACTTACAACTACGCCACTCCGCACTCCGCAGTCCACCCAGACGGAGGCAACCTTGCTTGGTACATCGTTGAATGCGCCTTCTGCTAGGCGAATATTTGGCAAGAAGATCATGGAAGTTGGCTTCTCTGTCCTTCTGCGTTGACATGAATATACTCGCTCCATATCCTACGATGCCTAGCTGCCTGCCTAAATAATCATCGCTCTTATAGGCCATGGAATAGCACGAATAGAGCTCCGCATCTCACGATTTTCTCAAATCTGATGGGATCATGGTGGAGGCCTATTGCCTGGTAGTCCCTTTCACAAATTTTGACGGTTCTTGGAAAATAGCGAGGCATGTACGCACATGCCTTTTATCTTTGGCACTCCACTCCACACTGCACCGCATCGTGAATATAATCATTGTTCATCGTGCTGTTACCCACACTCAAGCACTGCCCTACCCACGTTAAGTCATGTCCGTAAGTGGGGAACGTTCATTCATACTGTTCTTTCATAGACTCACACGTTGCGTATAGCGTAGCTCCTTGCCACAGTCCAGCTGCTAATGGTTCGCTGTTCAGAGTCGGCGCTGGGTCAAAGTTATGCTATAGTCGCGATGCATCTCTTCTATATGGTTGTTTCTAATTTAAAACTCTCATGAAACGCAACTGGTGCATTTGGTTACGGTACGGCATCAATTCTCCCGCTGGCTATGCTTCATTTGGAGCGAATCATCATATAACCGTTTCGAGCTCTGTTGGACCCTCAGCGGCAGTTGGTAATTACTATAAGTGAGCCACGCACTGTACATGCAACGTCACGGTAGGACTAGAAGCGAGCGAGGCCTGTTCAGACGCTTTGCAAGCTCGTGAATGGGATACCCTACCTACATCGAATAGTATTCAAACTTGTTTCTCTGTCGAGCGGTTTGGAGATGTATACGATGAGGAACAAGTTATTTGTAGAAATCCTAATTTGTCGCCCAGTCATATGCGCGTGTCCTCGTCCCCGCACTGCCAGGATGCGCTAGTAGATTGTCAGGATATAAGGTTTAGGCCTTATATAGCAGGGCGATGTCGGTAGTGCTCAGTCACCGATGCACTCATAAATAAGGACAACGATTCGCGTCACGAATAAAGTGAGCAAAATATCCGTGATTACAAAAAAAAAATTACCCTGTCGAAAGAGTCTGGTTTCTCGTACTATTCGACCACATTCATGGAAATCTAGAGTCTTTTGCATATGCTATCCATCGCTATAAATAAACCTATGATATGTCCGATATCGATAGCTGGGTCACATGAGGAAGGGTCGTGGCGCATAGCAGTATCGCCACCCTGGGCATCTTTAGAAACAGAGGATAGCCGTCCTTATCCCAGCCTATTATATAGAGCTGCAGCGTCCTTCACCCCGACACTATTGCTCTCCTCTGCTCTCGATTCCATCCTATCATCTTGCATCCCACTTGCTACTAATCGACATCATCAACAGAATAGTACCATGGCCTTGATCACTCAACGTCGTACCACGTCCGCCGAATCCCCCAGCATGGACTGGCTCGATGCCCTCATATCTACTGTTGGGGTTGTCTCGACCCTAACAGAGGCACCGTTACCATGGGTCTCTGCAGCTACCGAGGTCGTACTAACGCTTCTCAAGAGGATAAAAGTGAGCCTCAATCGCATCATCACTTTTGCACAATGCTAATACATGATCTTCAGAGCTCATTACAGAATGCAGAGGACTTGAAAGACTTAGCGTGCTCGATCGTCGACTTCGTCGTTCTCTTCCGAGATTCCACTATTCAACATACAGGCGTTTCATCGGACTCTAGCCGTGAGAATCCCTTCAAGCAGACCTGTATCGAGTTCACAAAGTACGATTAATATTGTAACCTTTTGCAAGAATATATATATATATAACATTTTAATTCGGTCCTGTAGCACACTCACAACTATCTTGAACGAACTTAACACGATGAAGAATCGAGACAAGAACTGGTTGAAGAAGTACCTGAAGGCCGAATCTATCGGAAGAAAGATCGCCAGACACAAGGACTCTTTGAGACATATCCAAGATCAACTTACCGTCAGCTGTTTTTCCTTCGTTCGCCACTCGTCGCTGTTGTAGGGCATGGAACACTGATGATGCTGGTGTGGCAGACCCGTGCTGCTGTGGAAACAGGTTTTTATCTGCCCCTCATCAAAGACGACCTCTCGTCCCATCGCGTCGAGTTTCGGGAGCACTTCCAAGAGCTGAAGTCCCACATTGTGGGCGATTATTACAGGGGCCAGGTAAGAGACATTCCTCTACCCCTTCTATGATGCGCCTAATAGATGCTGTAAATCTTATAGTTCAGGATACTAAAACGAGGAGATCTGCATCTGATACAACAGCATGCCGTGAACCGCGAATATGTTGTAGAGATACAAACTACGGGATTAGTATCCACGCAGAAGTTGACGAAGAGACAGCGCCGTCACAGAAGGTTTTATGGAGACTTTCACGTCAATTTAAAGGAATCCGTCGAGTGTATTGTTTCGGTGGCCAATGTTTTCGAAGGGCGAGACAAAAGAGTTGTCCGTCAGTACCGAGGCCCAGAATCTGCAGCTGTAAGCGATTCATTAGCACGACTGGAAATGTCAAGGCTCACGAGACGCAGAGGTTTGAACAGGATCTTGACTTCTACGAGAAGACTATGTACGTCCTACCACTTGTTTGTCAAGACTTCAAGATTTTTATGTTGCAATTGCAGGCATCCAAATATCGCACAAGTATTCGCGGTTCTACCTGACGTCCATTCAATCGTCTTCCATGACGGTAAGTGAATGCCGAACAATCGAAATAATTTCTGACCTGTGTCTACTATTACAGACACAACAGTTCACCTCCAGGATTATCTGAAGAATATACCTTCATCCGTTGATAGATTCATCACTGAATTCCGGATTGTGAGTACTCATACATAAACTGGGCACGATCGTGCAATAACATTTGTCTATGACAACAGGCAGAAGAATTATCGGTATCTACTCTTCAACTGACACTGCATATGCAATATCACTAGAGATTTACACATTTGATTGAATTTTGCAGAGTTTGGAAGAATATTTCAAGACAAAACCGTATTCTGTCGTAAATACATATCATTATCTTGTCGAACGCTGTGTGTTCATGCTGACGTGGGTATGATCCTTGTAAATAGATGATTGCTTGGGGTTCCATAGTGGACAGGTATCCTTAGCTTTCGGAGGAAGCGGTATATCCAGAGTCGTTGTATGTAACTAATTCCTCCTCTCTCTGAACAGCCTGATGACCTCAATCCGCAGGATGCTTCATACCGCAAATTTATTGTCGGAGGACTCCACCGCTATCCTCTTGACCGCATCCCGATTATCGAAAACTCCGATCTCTTCAACAAGAAGATGTCAACTCATGTGCGCCCACTGTCACTACTTCCCATGCTTTATGCTGCCATAGAGGTAGTTAAAGATTTGGCGTGGGAACGCTCTCACTATATTCATCTCGGGGCCAAACCGTATGAGACTCCATTGCCCGGCTGGGGATGTATTTATACAGCCATACCAAACGGAGTCAAGAAGATAGCACAACTTCCTCTGTGCCATGGGCCAGATATCAATTCTCGACAAAGAATCCGGTTTAGATGGTATGGTGGACGGATGACTCGAATCAGAGGTTGGACACGGTAATGGAATTCTATACACTAATGGCTGGATGCTAAAATTATGATCCGGTACTTACTTAGGTGTGAGGTTTTATCTCCAAAAGAGTTTTCCCTGATCGCTCATCCAGTCCGAGAGCCGAAAACACGAGCCGACATAATCCTTTCACAGATCCATCGTCTGGCATTGCTCACTGGTGCCCATGAAGACGACCTTCAATACGGTACGACTTTGTTCTAGTATCACGTCCATTTTCACCTTCACGTTTTGACGCGGTATGTAGCGGATCACATTTCCTTTAGCCTCCAATATAGACGAAAGCGACCTCGATCGGATACAACCAGATTGGTCGGACTCGCTGGAACATTCATGTCAGAAAATCATGATCCTATGGACGGAAGAACGAAGGAGAGAGCCTACGTATTCATAAGAGACGTGGAGATTAATATATACGACGATACTTCCCTGCTTACCACCCCGGAACTTTACTGGGCATCGGATCCGGAAGGAGTAGTACGTTGGACAGAAGAAGAGCTAACCGAATATCTGGCTGCTTGGGATCTACAAACGAGCGACTTGATACTGAAGGCGTGGTACCGTTCATATTGCTGGGATAAGGAAGATCTCGATGCCCTTCGCGAGGCCCATCAATTGTGTGGACTTGATCCCGACAGCGATGAGATAGCCAAAGCACTGGGCCATCCCATTCTCGAGGTGAAGCCCACATTTATTCCCGAGGATATCCTGGGTATGTACATCGTCATTGTCCATGTATCAAGCTGACTGTGATTTTATCCAGCGCCACGTCCTGATTCAGAAGAAAACGAAGACGTGTATCGCAAAAACTCAGGTTCTAATGTCGAGACCCGACCCGGGACGCAGAATCTTCAGTCGAGTATCGTCGAGGGTAAGCTATATTTTCCCCTGAATTATTCAAGGACTTACATTCAATCTGCGCAGTGGATGATACAGAAATCATTCCAGTGCCCATGAATCGAATAGCTTCCGGAAACTCATCCTCGCAGTCTCCTTGCGCTTCGGATAATACTTCGGGCGCTATGATGCCAGAGGATCAATGTACGGTCCTCGAAAATGCTCGAGAGCCGGTCGAGAGCAAGCAAGGGGCTGACAGTTCTAATCATCCAATTGCTGAGGGTACGTGATATACTTATTTGCTAGTGCTCGAAGCTAATCGTTACTATAAAGAGGTTTGCGAGCAAAATACCGCAACTTCAAATAAGGCATCTACGGCACAGGATCGTTTAGAATCGTGCCCTCCGAGTGACGATGTAATTCTCGATGATCCTGAGGTTACGCAATCCGAGATCGGCCCGTTGGAATCGTCGTCGCCATCTGTATCGTCTACTGAGGGTAAGCTGCAAGCATACACCACTTCCAAATTTAATTGCTTACCTTCACATAGAATGTCCTCCGCCCGTCGCGTCTATGGAAGAAGTCTCCGCCTCCAAGACGTACGGCGCGACGGAGCAGATCTGCCAATCTGAGATACAAGCATCAGCGTGCAGGAAGCGTGCGTATCTGCACTTTAGGTCGCCTAGTGTTCTCTTCTTGTGCTTATATTGCTGATTCTATAGTGCTCAAAAAGTTATTCTTGATCTTCTCGCCTATCTTCATTCTTGGCGTCCTTATTGGTATTATCTTCACTTTGGCATACCACTCGCCGTACCTCGTCATTCCGAAGATCAGTGTCCATGTCGAATTTTAATCGGAGGGTTGTCTCGTGCCATAGAGGAGGAAAGATTTATTTTTCTTTTTCGAAGTTCGAGGTGGACATACTTAAGTTGTACCGCAGGCGGAGACTATGAGGGTGTGACGCAGGAGAGCGTTTGGATCATTATTTTTCTCCTCTTTCCCTCTGTTTCTATAGAACTTTGCTACTCGATACTTTCATAGAGTCATTTGGCCTCGTCGCTGTGTCTCAGAATATTTGCTCCCATATGACGATCGTAGTTTCTGGATACATACTCCAATACTAGGTCTTGATCAGAGTCCATCTTCGCACCAATTTATGTTGCCGCATCAAGACAGTCATAAATCCATCACATTATCTCGCCACTCAACGCTAACTTGAGCACTAGCGTACACCTGCGTACACCGGGGACGGCATTGGATGGCGGTACAACAGCTCGAGATCCAACGCGACCGCGCTTGGTGCCCAGTGACTGGCATATTTACTCAAATAAAATTGCGTGCTCGCCAGAACGACATTGCGGTCTTCGTCGTCGTCTGTTATGATATGTAGCGTAAGACTCTTGGAGAAAGCCTTGAGGAAGGCATCTTTCGGATGGACAGAAAATACAGGAGTGTCGCGCTGATGAGTAAAAAAATAAAGGATATAGTCGCCATTTTGACGTTCGAGGCTGTTCCTTCTTCTCTCAGTTCTTTGCGGCTGAGGCCTGATGCCCAAAGATCACCGAATGTGCAGTTACTGTGGCCCACCTCGAAGTGGCAAACATAGAACCCTCCCGGCAAACCCCGATAAGCCGCACAAATCTTATCACTCCATCGCCGTGCCAGCTCATCGACGCGTCGTCAGCCTCCCAGGAGCCAATCGACATCCTGCCTGCCATCCTCCCTCATTCCAAGACCAGCGCGTCTTCCTCCCAACCAATCACGCCCTCCCGACCCCCTCGCCCCTTCGCCCGCCAATCACCTTTCGTTCCACTTTCGCGAGCAGGTCTGACTAAACATAAACAGTAGCCAATCGCACATCGAAAGCGACACCCCGAGCCACCGAGCCACCGAGCCACCTGTCGAGGGGAACCAATCAGTTCGCTCGACGCTCAGCCAACCAACCAACGTCCTCCAGCCCAGCCTAATCCTAATTACATCACAGTCTCTCCATGCCGAGCGGAGCTGGCGGCAGCGGTAACGGTGGCGGCGGCGGCACTAGTGGTGGGAACGCAGCTGGATCCTCGAGCCCAACGACGACGGTGACGAAGCCGTTCGTCCAGTCCGGACAGCCGCTACATGAGTTTTTGCACTCGTTCTGGCAAAGACAGGTCGATGTGGCGGAGCAGGAGACGCCGGATTATAGGCATCCGCCGTTGCCGCTTGCGAGGATTAAGAAGGTGATGAAGAACGATCCGGATGTTAAGGTGTGTTTCTTTGCTTTTTCTGCTACTTCGTTTTGTTCTTTGTGAGAGAGAAAGGGGTGTGGGCTCGTGCTGATGCTTTGCGTTTGTGAGGAAGCAGATGATTGCGGCGGACGGTGAGTGCTACTGCTCCTGATGCGGGCATATGTTTGTGTGCGAACGCGTTCGTTGACGTCGTCTCGGACAGCCCCTATCCTATTCTGTAAAGCATGCGAAAGTGCGTCTTCATACCTCAATCACACCACACCAACAACCAACTGATCTCTGCCCCTCCCTTCCCTCCACTCTCGTCCATCCACCCCCCTCGTCTCGTACCACGAACCGCCTGCAACGCATCCCGCCACCCCAGTCTTCATCGCCGAAATAACAGCCCGCGCATTCATAATCGCAGACTCCAACAAACGACGCACCCTCTCCCGCTCCGACATCGCCAAAGCACTCAATAAATCAGACCAGTTCGATTTCTTGATCGATATCGTGCCGAGGGAGGAGCCGTTTGGAGGTGGTGCTGCGGGTTCATCGGGGGGAAAGGCGGGAGGTGGGGGTGGGGGAGGAGGGCATGGGGGTGGACATGGAGGGGGAGGGGGGCATGGGAAGAAGGGGAAGGAGGGGGCGGTGAGTGTTCATTTTTTTTATATGGGGTGCGGGGGTGTGGGTGGTGGGATTGTTTGCTGATTGGTTGGTTGGGTGTGTGTTTAGAGGGAGGGTGAACATGGGGAGGGAGAGGGTATGGAGATGGATCAGCAGCAGCAACAGCAACAACAACAACAGCAACAGCAACAGCAACAGCAGCACCAGCAGGGCGGCGAAGGAGGGATGTCGTCTTCTAACGTTCTGGATCAGGTGCGTCTTTTCTCTCCTTTTCTGACGTTCTCACTGTGTTCTGATTCTCAACCTCTCGTGGTGTATTATAGCTCCAATCGCTGCTCAGTAACTCACCGGCGAATATGGAACGTCCGTCCGTCTCTGGGTGACCTTGAAGACGACGAGGGCCGGAACGCATATATCATGTTGGGCTGTTTTCTTGCTCTTTCTCTTCTCTTCGTCTTTGTCGTCGATGCTCTGTTTATTATTTTTTCTTATCGTCGCATTCTTCTGTGCTATTCGTCCGTTTACTTGTTCGTGTGTGTTTGATTGTCGTGTGTCAATCCGTTCGTGTGTGTAGACTCCCAAACGTACATAACCTCTTCGCATCTCTTTCTCCATCTCTCCATTTCTCCTCCTTCCCTGCTTTCTCGAAGATTTCTTGACTTATCTCACTCGACTCGATCCCATTCTTGATGTCTATTGCATTCTTGCTATCAACGCTATACCCCTCCACCACCTTCCCCCTCTGAAATCCTCAGCCACACGCCACTGTGGCGTCTATAAGCGCTCGTCGTCGAACATTGATGGCCGCCGGCCGCCGGTTCAAGAAGTTCGGAACCGCGAAGAGGCTTTTTTTGATCCGTCGGCGGGATTTGGGTTTGGGTTTGGGTTTTGAGTGGGGGCCGGGTTCGATCGAGATCGGTCGAGTGGCTAGAGGAAGCGATGCGGTGCGATGCATATGGGTGGCTGAGATTGAGGTGGGATAGGTTGGGGATAGGTGGAGGATGGGGGTGGGCGGATGGGCTGGGTGGGCAGGTTGATGTCGTATGCCGCGAAGGAATATATGTAGGATAATGAAGATCAAAGGAATATGTTAGGGGATGGGAATGGGGAACTTTCAAGGACGGGGAAAAGGAAAGAAGGAAAGGAAGGGCGACCATCATTGATTTGTGTATGTATGTACTTGCGGAAGGTGAACTTGCGAACGACGACGATGGGAAAGAGAGTCGGATGATGCTGCTTTTAAATTCCTTCCGGTGACCTCGTCGGACTCGACTCCTGCACTTGTCCTGCACTCGGGACAACGAAGGCAGAAGTGGCGCGCCACATCACTGCCAACACCAATTCCAACGTTGATCGGAACTTATATATTTCGCGTCAAAAATCCATGTTTGTTCGCGACGTTGACGACCTCTGTTCGACCGTCAACTGATGCGGCAGTGATTGATGGCAGCACCCATCATTGGTCTTCATCCTCTTTGATCTCAGAATTCACGCCCTCCGGCTGTCCCGACTCAGTTCAGTGCACGCTAGCGCCCACAGCCTCCTAGCCTGACGTTGAATAACGTTGACATATCGACATGGAGACGCTGATTGGGATATATAAGTAGGGCATCAAGCATCACTGGATGTGTCTTTCCCTCTTTCTCCCTCTCTCTTTCTCTCTCTCTCTTCGACTATCTAATCTCGAGTCTGTGAATCGTCACGGTTGCGTGCGTACGACTAGAGTTCTGTCTTTTCTGTGCTTGGGCCTGCCACTGGCTCGTGATCGGTTTTCTCTGCATCTCTGCATTGACGGTGTCCTGGTCGACGTCGCGTCTCGTCTCGTCTCGTATTATACCCAAAGGCCCAAGGATCAACTAATACCTAACCACTCGCGCGACTCCCCTCCCTCCTACCCCTCCCTCATACCCACCCCGTCCCGCCAATGCGTCTCCCCATCCCCCTCTCCCTCCCTTCCCCATCCCTCCTCATCCTGACATCCCTCCTCCCAAACCTCGCCTCCGCAGCCTCATGGACCGCAGACCCCTTCATCCCACACGCGTACCCCCTCGCGGTGCGGTCTCCCTACCTCTCGACTTGGCTGCCCCAGGGGAACGGGACGGCTTTGAATGGAGGGTGGCCGCAGTTTTGGGGTGGGTCGGTGCGTCTATGTTCTCCCTACCACTACTACTACGTTTCAAGTGCCGTCTAATGCTGTATTTCTTGTGTGGATTGTAATGGGTGGTGTGCTTTGGGAAACGGGAAACGGATGGCAGACGATAGGCTGGGCGGGAATCGTCCGCGTCGACGGGAGCTCGTATACGTTCCTCGGCGACCCAGCCGTCTCCAGCTCAAGTGGGACATTGGAGAAGGCGACGCAGAACGCGGCGAGGTTCACGGCGACGATGTCTGTTTTTGAGATGACGGCGGGGAGCGTGGATGTGAATGTGACGTTTTTGAGTCCGGTCGAGGTGTGTTTTTTTTGGTTTTTTGTGGGTGGTGGTGGGGTGTGAGAGGAGGGAGGGAGGATGATATGTGTTGCGTTCGACGAAATAGTCGGAAATTCCTATCCTACCCTTCTCATCACTGTTCCGCTGTCCGCTCGAGCGTGCTGCCCGTATTTCATGTCGAGAATGACGTAGAACTGACGAGGCTTTATTGCATGCATGTGTGTGTATTGGGTGGGTCGGTGTATGTAGCCGACGGATCTCGTCAAGCAATCTACTCCGTTCTCGTACATGTCCATCTCTGTCGCTCCGAACGATGGATCGGCGCACTCTGTGCAGGTACGTTTGTCTTTCTTGAAGCTGAAGGCTCCTTTTCTGTCATCTATTCTCCCCGTATCTTCACTTTCGGTCCGAGTCGATTCTCTATCCTCTCTCGCTTTCGTCTCTCCCGTCTCCCGTCTCCCGTCTCCCGTTTCCTGCTTCCTATGTCCTCCTTTCACGGTTCACCGGTGTCACCCATGCACCGCCCATCTCCTCCGCTCCTTTCCTCCTTTCCTCCTCCGCTCCTCCGCTCCTCCCTCCAACTCACACCCTTCCAACTCCAATCTGCCAACCCCTCTGACAACTAATCAAACCAATCATATCACAGGTCTACTCCGACATCTCAGCCGAATGGGTCTTCGGGAACACCTCCGCGCTCGTCAACTGGACGACGACCGCGTCCGGGAGTGACGTGATGACGCATATGGTGCAGTTGCAGGAGCAGGAGGTGTATGTGGAGAGTGGGGATCGGGTGCAACGTGAGTGTTTCGTCTTCGGTTTTTGAGTTCTTCGTTCTTCGTTCTTCGTTGGGAAGGGTCCTGAGATGTGAAGAGTCCTTTCACTGTTTCGGTTCCACTTCCTCCGTATACTTACTGACTTATCGTGTCCGTTCGTTATGATTTTTCTATGTCCGCCAATGTTCTTGCCTCGCGTCCGGTGTTGTTCCTCAACATGAATATATGCGTTTTGCGGATGCTTACTACCCGTACGCATACTCGACATATGCGCCCAAATACTCGGAATATACGTTGGCCTTACCGTCTCACTTTCGAACGTCATACCGAAACCTCTACCCCCTTGCTTCCCTCCCCTTCCTCCCTTCCTCTTCTCCTCGCCAACCCGTCCTACCCAACGACACCCCTGACACATCGACCCTCCGACCCTACCCCATCACATCCGCCAACACCTCAAAACGTACAGAGGGCGCGATCTACTACTCCGCCACCTCCTCCGCGACGTACCAGACCGGCGCAGACACGACCGTGCGTGGGCAGTTTGTCGCGAATGGGACGTTGGGGAACTCGCAGGATACGAATTTTAGGGCGATTGAGGATGATTGGTGGGTCTCATTTCTTGCCTCATTTTGCCACCCTCGACCCCCACTCTGTTCTGGTTCTATCTTCCACCCCTGCGTCCCGGCACCCTACTGCGTCGTCTTTTCTTCTTCGGTACCTATGTAGTTTTTTTTCTGCACCTTCGTTCCAACGGTGGTCGACTAACTTGACACGGTTGCGAACTGGGGGAACGTACAGGCCCGTATTCGCGTTCTCGCAAGACTTCGGCTCAGTCTCCTCTGGCTCTTCGAGCTCGATGCTTTTCTCGGTCGGCCATGTTCGCGATCCGGCGGTGCAGTATATCGTTGCGGGGGGTGCGCTGCAGGATCGGAGTTTGTATTTCTGGAGCGAGTATGATTCGGTGTCTGATCTCGTACGTTTTCTCTCCTCCTCCTCCACACATACATATATATTTCCTTTCCTTTCATGCCATCCAATTCTCCCACTAGCAATATTAATATTCCTGACTAATACGCTTAAACCCACCAGATCTCCGCCTTCCACACCTCCTTCCCCACCGCCCTCTCCACCGCCCAATCCTTCGACTCCCAAATATCCTCTGACGCCGGCGCTATCTCGGCAGAATACGAGGGTATCGTCGCGATCTCGCTGAGGCAGGTCTTCGCGGGGGTGGAACTTACGATTTCGAAGGAGCAGGGGGGCGATGGGAGTTGGAATAGTAGTGATTTGTTGGTGTTTATGAAGGAGATTTCGAGCGATGGGGTGCGTTCGGTTTTTTTTTCTTGTCGTCTTCATGTCGAGATGTAGAGGCAGGAGGGTATGGTGCTGATGGATTGATTGGGACGGGCAGAACGTGAATACCGTCGACGTGATCATGCCCGCTTGGCCGGCTTTCTTGTATACGAACCCGGCGTTGGGCAAGGCGTTGTTGCAGCCTTTGTTTGAGTATCAGGTGCCCTTTCTTTTGTGTTTCTTCTCCCATATCCCTTCTATTTCCCCGTTACCGCTTCACCTCGATCCTATCTATCCCGTTGGTGGTGGTGGAACGTTAATGCTGATAGTCGGGTTTGGATGCAGGCGACCGGTCAGTACCCGAACAAGTACAGCGTTCACGATCTCGGGGCTGCGTATCCGAAAGCTATTGGGCACAACGACGGTACGTTCCTATCATACCTTCCGTCCCTACGTTCGTTGACATCTGTGCGTTTGATGCTTGGTAGGTAAAGACGAGGCGATGCCGCTCGAGGGTGAGTCGAGTTCGCTTTGATTCAAAATGGGTGTGTCTAGTATGAGAGGGCTGACTGACGATGCTTGTTCGTGTAGAGAGCGGGAATATGCTTATCCTCACGTTGAGTCATTACCAAAAGACGAACGACAGCTCGCTCATCGAGACATATGTACGTTCCTCCCTCCCCTATCTCTCTCCTCTCCCTTGTTTCACCCACTAACACTCGCCATCACAGTCCTCCCTCCTCGACCAATGGACCCAATTCCTAATCTCCGAAGCCCTCATCCCCTCCAATCAAATCTCAACAGACGATTTCGCAGGCTCGCTCGCGAATCAGACCAACCTCGCCATCAAAGGCATCATAGGCATCCGCGCCATGGCTGAGATCTGGAGCATCCTGGGGGACGAGGGCATGGCGAGCAATTATACGAGTATTGCGGAGGGGTATGTGAGTCAGTGGGAAGGGCTGGCGATGGATTCGCAGGGGACGCATTTGACGCTTTCGGTGAGTCCGAGTGTTTTTGTTTTTGTTTGGGAGTTAGGAGGTGAAGAAGGAGGTGATGCTGATCAGGAGTGTTCTTTTTGGCTTGTTTAGTATGGGAACGATTCGAGCTGGGGGTTGGCTTATAATCTGTATGCGGACAAGTTACTTGGGTTGAACCTGTTCCCCCAGTCTATCTACGATACCCGTGCGTTATGAACGTCTCTACGTCGTCTATCAATCTCACTGACGTACGTTCGCCCTACGATTCGTAGAGGCATCATGGTACTCATCCGTGAAAGGTTCGTCCTCCCATTCCCATCTTTCCTCCCTTCTCTTTCCCCCTTCTTACCATCTCCCTCCCTTCTCAGGAACCTACGGCATCCCCCTCGACACCCGCCACACCTACACAAAATCCGACTGGCAAATCTGGATGGCCTCCGCTCTCGACTCCACCTCCACCACCGTCCGCGACACATTCATCACCGGCGTCTACGCCTACGTCTCTGGCGCGCTCGGCGGGAACAAGGAGCCGCTGAGCGATTGGTATGATACGGTTAGTGGGGTGAATGAGGGGTTTAGGGCCAGGCCGGTGGTTGGTGGGCATTTGGCTTTGGTGAGTCCCGCTTTCTTTTTATTATGTCCGAGTGGTCAGTTCGTAGAGTGGTGGGGAAATGCCTGCAGGACCCTGATGCTTATCTGGGGCGATGTGTGGCGGCTCTGCGGTTTTGCTTTCGGTTCTGATATAGTTGGCAATGCTGTATTAATCTCGCGAATCATCTCTCCCCCCTCCTCTATCGCCTCGTCTCGCTCGCACCGCCGCTACTCAATTCGGCTTGTGTAAACTACCGGACGACGTACGCCGTATCTTCGTGGACTCAAAAACAATCAACGCACGGACTCCTTTTGCTTTCTCAAATTCAACCTAAATATCACCCCCTATTTAATCTCCATCTTCGTGCATATAATCACTTCCATTTCATCCATCATCATAACACGGACTTTCGTCTCAATCTCACCCTCTCATTCCATCAAATCCTATTTTATTTTATTTTCTAATTTCCCATCTATCCCTCCTCGCTGATCACCCTTTCTCTCTCGATACTTGCCTCTCTTCAATTCACGGAACGAAGCTCGTAATCGACAACCACGGATCCGGTATGTCCAACACCCTCAATTCCTCCGACTCAGGCTCGGGCTCTGGGACCTCGGACGAGGACTCGGGTGCGTTAGGGTTGCGGATAGGGATATGGAGTTGGGGTGTGGCGATGGTTGGGGTGGGGGTTGGGATGTCGGTGTTGTGATCTGATTGGATTGATGGATGAGCTTTGGATGAGAGTGGTGGTGGTGGTGGTGGTGGTGGTGGTGGTATACCAGTGATGATCTACACGCATACGCATACCTGATTTGTTTTAATTTATTCTTTTTGGACCTTTGATGATTATGGTCTTTCATTCGCTGTCGTCTGAATGCTGGAACTTCCACTGGTAGAAGAGTTGTTGGCAGGGTGGGCAAGCCGTGTAAGTGCGCAACCACAGTGAATGTTGCACGATAACGTCGGTGGCCTGGTACTGCGCTCAAACTCCGCTCGCGAGCCCGCGATTTCGCCCGCCGCCTTTCTTTCCTTACGTAGATCTTCTCGTAATACTCATTCTGACTGTCAAGCGAGACGAAGATACCCATAGCAGTTACAGAACAAGATACGTATTTCAACATATATGATACGAATCGCATTTCATGTTCGGGTGGTGCCACAGTCTCGCTGTGGCGTAAGTAAGAACGGACAGAGCGCATTCAACAAGGGTTGGAGGTGTGCGTGTATGTAAGTACAACCTAGGGACAGAGCGCGTTGTAATATGGACTTGGATTGTTCATGAATGGATGAAACAAATAGGACATAGGAAGGGGAAAAAATAGGAAATAGATTTTGAAGACTGGTGGGCAAGACGGGTGGCATTGGACAAGAATCGCAGCTGTGTATATATGTACCGCCTAGCAACAGAGTCCGTTGTAAGATAGACCAAGATGGCTTATGTAGAATTGAAAGTATATAGAAATTAGGACGTAGGACGATGAGAATAATATGAAACAGAGTTCGAATACTGGTGGATGACTTTTTTTGTTTTCCGGAGAATATAACTGCATGAAATGGAAAGAAAATCTATCAAAGGATTGAGATGGAAAACGAGAGAGAAGTAGTATGAGACTATGAAAGGAAGACAGAGAGAGAAACAAGATATGATGTCAATGTCCATAGGGAACATCGAAGACATCGAATGATACTCCGCACTAGGGAATGAAGTTACGAGGACCATACACAGGCAATCCTTCAATTTCGGACGGTATAGTGCCTGACTGATCCTCTTCGTCGGGAGTGTAACACTCCGTCCATGACGTCCCGTACTTGAAGCGCGAAAAGTCAAGATAGATAGCATCTGCGCCGAGGATGAGTCGTGTGCGAGGTGTCATAAGACTATGCCTAGCATGATACGGCACCCATAGGATTATTTCGCCCTGAGCATTCATGATATATCCCTCGTCGAGACGACGCGACCACCGATGCCCAAGTTGAAGATGGAATGTCCAAGACAAAAGGGAGGTGTCGTGAATGCGTATATCACTTCGGATCTCATGAGTGGCATTGACGGTGTCTACCATCTCGATCGGAGCATCCCAGAGTCGTATAGTTCCATCCCTTGCTTGCGATACAATTGTCCGGCCATCTGTGGTCACAGCTATCGACGTGATTGCCTCATCATGGCCCTCCAGAGGCTCGCAGAAAAGTGTACCTGTGGCGACGTCCCAGACCCGCAGAGCTCGATCTTTTGATCCAGATATTATCATGGTTCCCTGTGCGGAGAAAGCGATGGAGTATACAGGACCGGTATGGCCCTCCAACAAATTGCCTCGGGGTTGATGGGTGTGTGCATCCCAAATTCGAATACTGCGGTCGAGTGATCCAGACGCAAGAATATGTCCGTCAGGAGAGACAGCCACTGAAGTTACAGCACTCTCATGCCCTTCAAGTGATACACTAAGCACCTCTTGGGCATTCAAAGACCAAACTCGAACTGTCCCGTCGTCACCTCCAGAAACAATCATCTCAGCCTGGGAAGAGAATGCGATGCAATTGATTGTATCAGTATGGCCGACCAGAAGGGGTCCTGAAACCTCTCCCTCGTCCATGTTGATGATTTCTATAGCGTGTGTTAAAGTAGGACATGCTACTCTCTTTCCATCAGGGGATATCGCAATGACATTATTCCACCCACTGCGTTTCAATGGTAAACCCAAGGGCTTTATTTCGTTGGCATCCCACATCCGCAATGTTTTGTCCGGAGAGCCTGAGACGATCATGGTCCCGTCAGGTGAGAATGCAAGACATTCTACAGCTCTACGATGTCCCTCGACAGAGGGGCATAGTGGATGCCCGCTATGTGCATCCCAAAGACGAATTCGGCCGTCATTGGAGCCCGAAACAATGATTTTGCCATTAGGCGCAATTGCCACAGAGCAAATCGCGCCCGCGTATGGGGTTCGCATTCTACTCGGAATGGTAGAACCACAGAAAGCAACAGTATTTTGGAAGAGAGGTCGAAATATCCTCTTGATGCCGCAATTATCTTGCAAAGATGGCAGGAGTGAAATGTAGATATGTTCACATCCCGGAAGAAATGTGGAGGGCATTCCAGAACCTCTATATCTATCAGACTTGATGAAGTCGAACATAGCTAAAGCCATGCGGATAAATCGTATAAGCTTGTTGTCCAACTGAATCATCATAAAAAAGTTCAGTAAATTTTCCAAAAGGACGAGTAGTATCTGAAACATACGAACATTCTGGATGCCGAGGACCCGCAACAGATCCTGTTCAACAACATTCCATTGATTGTCAAAGGAGATTTCTAGCCAGTAAAGAAACTTTGTGTGAAGGAATCCCAAGATATCATCAGAACGTAGTTGTGGTGTCAATAACATCGAAAAATGGTGCGGCCAGTTCCAACATGCATAAAGCAGAGCCGGATGCATATGACTGTATGTTTTGGACACATACGGTAACGCATGCGAAGAGACGGAGCCCGAGACATTGAAGCAGAGTTGAGAGTTCAGCAGATCAAGACATCGTATCAAAAGATACTCGTGTGCATAGCCTGCGTCAACATACCATGCCTCTCCTCCAGAGCGGCTCGAATCTGTAAGATAATCGCCAAATGAAGCATGGAATACATGTATGATCTCGTTTTTTCTAGATGGTGTGTCATTCGTAGCTGGAGCGAGTAAGTGGTGTTCGTTATCTTCTTTAGTTGACGGAACATGTAGCACGGAGTGCAACGACGACAACGATGTCCGTATGCAGGAATTGCTTATCCCCAGTAGCCTGGAAGCGTCATTGACAGTGAATTCCTTTCGGCCATATATGATACAACAGAGAACACATTTCATGTCTGCAATTTCTGTATCGTCCTGCTGGATCATTGCCTCATTCATAATACGGAAATAATGTTCATCGAGATGCTGTCCAGCCTTTTTTGATGGTCTTAGTCCGATTAGTAGGTTGTCCAACCGGCTTTTCGGATCCCCTGTGGCGCCCATGATGTACTCACAAGTGGTGAACGCATATATGAAAAGTCCGTTCGCACGGTGTACGAGATCTTCGAGTCGGGTCATGATCTTGCCATGAGCTGATGGGCTTTGTCCATCTAGCATCCGCCGAGGAAGGGTTGCTAGACGCTGACGGTAGTAACGCTCGATATCGGCTGAGATCAAAGACTTCTCTATGTCGTGAAGTCTAAGCACAGAATGCAGAGGTGAATGAGAATCCGCAAATTTAGCACGGATACGGGCCTCCGGTCGGCTGGTCAGGAAGAACTTCACATGGCATGAGGAAGCTTTTTTCAGAATGATATCGATCAAGATTGAAGTGACATCTGCATCCTCGCACTCATCCAATGCGTCAATAACAAGCACGGGTATCGGCATATCTGGCCTGAAAGCCCGCTGCAGTGGTTTTTCGAACAGTATTTCGAACTGAGGAGTTAACGAAAACGCGGCCGCATCACGATCCTTTACGAGAAGATCCGTCAATGATTCGGCGAAGGCAGGAAATGTGCGAGAGCAGGAAACCGCCAGCGAGGGAAATATACGTCGCGCGGATCTGCGTGCTGCAGAGCCAGTGCGCCAACAGAAAAAGCTTCCCGCTAGAATACCCTTAGAGTCCAAGATGCGACAGAAGCTTTCTGTGATGGTGGTCTTCCCAGTGCCGGCCATTCCATCCAACCAAAAAATGGCTGGACTGCTGCGGTCTAACGCCCAAGCAACTATGTCGTTCAAGAGCGCCTCTCGGGTGCCTTCCATGCAAGTTGTCCGATCGCCCCGGTCGAATTCAGCATCTGGTACATGCTGAAGCCTGTCTAGTAAAGCTGCGCGAGGGGTTACAGAGAAAATCTTGCTAGATCAAGAGTATAGGTCGACTCACCATCGCGTGCTGCTTGATTTACGGCATTCTCGGTGCTTATCGATGTATGCATCTGCTCAAGAGCCATCGTCAGAATTAAACTGGGGACGAAGAAGGCATGAATGCGCACGGTAAACACATCAATAAGGAAGGAGATGTCACGAAACGCTCTCACGATATCTTGACCGTCTCCTGACGCTTCAAGTATTCGCCGCAGCAACCCGCGTTGTTTCTTCGCATCAATCATGGCGGTATGGCCATCAATAGCCCTGTGACGGGGTAAGGAAGGAAGGAGTGGTCCAGAAGGGTAGAGCTGCTTACTTCGCAAGAGCCTCTAAGCGTTGACCGATGTGGGGCGGTACACCGTTAGCATAACGGGTGAGGATGCCGCTCAACGCCTCAATTTTACTGGCAATAGCGATGAGTTCTTCATGCGCATCCTTGATTTTCTGTTTGAAGGTCTATTCGTCACATTTATGAGTTGGTCATTGAGGATGGTCACCCACCTCCACGTATTCCATAACGCCCAAGAGACATCCTACAGCTCCCTTGAGAGGCAGACACATATCGGAGCAACGTTCGACGATCTTCAAGCTCTCTCGAAGAGCACCCCATCCTGCATCGAATTTCTTTCTAGAAGGCTGGACGTTAGCGCCTGCAGGTACGCTGGCTACGGTCGACGGTTGTGGTGTTCGTGGTCGACGTCCTAAGATACTCCGGATAGGATTCTGAGGTGGGCGCGCATTCTGAGACATGACCGTAGATACTGGGTGTGTGAGGGACGAGGCAAGGAAGGGTTGAGGGGAAAGGGGTGAGGAGGGGGGCGGAAGAGATAGCGAATCATTATATATGTGTATTTGGGGCAGTGCATGTGGATTGTTCCGCGCTGACTATTTTTACCGACGACCTGTCAGGACCCCAAAGTCCCACTGGTATGGGTAGAGGTGACCAAATACACTGCACTTTTGATGGAGTGGGAACGATGACGAGGATGTGATTCCAGTCGCATCTTCATCATACTGTGCTTCAGCCCATGTTCATGGAGGCAGCGTCTACCACACCGCACGCACACAGAGCGTACTATTTGTCATTTACAGATAACAACCGACTGATTTCGAAGCTCCGTCAAATGTAAGCATGCAAGTATATCGAAAGATGTGAAGAAATATATTATGACCGACCAAATCTAAATTATCGTAGCACTGGCGTGACTGTGAACCCAAAAGCAATCTAGAAAGAATCATCATCCTGCTTTTTGTCGTAAAACCCTCACCGATCATATCATCCATCAACTCCTCGTGTCGGCCGAGTCCTGAGAAATACTCTTTTCATTCAGAGGCTCATGACGTTCATTTTCTTCGTCTCCCATTTTCTCGTCCTCTTCTGGTACGTGTCCCACGATCCCTACGCCACGGAGGAAGAGCGACAGCACCATACCTGAGAGTGTTTCAAACGCACACACACATACCCGTTAGTAGGCTGCGCCGAGCCTTCGCTCGCATGATTATATCGAAGTAAACGGTCGAACGCACCAAGTATCCCAAACCCAAACGCAGTCCATTCCGCCGCCTGATACGCCTTCAGCTGCGCAGGCTTTGGCGCATTAGTTCCTGAAGTATCTATCGTGACACCGAGCAAGGAGGATTGTGTGGCGAGGACGCGGTCGTAGACTATTGTTGTTACGGCGAGGCCGAGAGCTGTGCCAAGCTGTGGAGTGCGCGAGTGAATTAATAAGGTTGCGTGGGAGAAGGATATGTGTACAGTGTGTATGGTTACAAAGGCAGTGGAAGTAGAAGCAAGGCAGTGAAGAGACGAACTTGGGTCATAGTTTGGAAGAGCGCGCCTGCGACGGATTGTTCATGTGGAAGGGAGACTTTGGCGATGAAGAGTGCTATATAGATATACCATGTAATGAGCATTCCTGGCACACAGCGACAGCGCTATAATGAACGTACATCCTGCAGCGAACACGAAATCTGCTCCCTATTGACGTGGTCATGGTCGAAAGAGATTATGCGTCAGTATAGAAATAAAAGTGATCTGGACTCAACGAAGCGAGACACGCACAAAGACGGAAAGAATTGCGGCGGGGAACCCGAAGGCCCAGTACGGCGCATCGGGGTTGATCATCGCAAAGAACACGTTCGAGAAACTCGTCAGCAGCGTCCCGAACACTGAGCCAAACGAATCAGTGTGTCAGTCATTGACAGTAATATAGCAACAGGTGTTCCGGACAGCAAACATACCAATAATGTACAACACGTCCACACGCCCGATAATCAGGGCGATGATCCCGTTACAAACAACACCGGTGATAAACATAGGCAGCATCCGGACCATGGTTAAGATTGGAGAAAGGTCCGCATAGTTTTGGTAGTACAACTGTTATACCAACCCATCCAAAATCAATCATCATCTCCAAACTGTCTGCAACATGTAAGTTATACGTTTTGATGGTACATACCTGAACCCAAAACGTCCAAGACATGAAACTGCACCAATTAACGCACGCAATGAGCTGCATAATCGCGAACTTTCCGTTTGCGCGCTTCCACATAGACATCTTCAGAAGAGGCGGGGGCGTCCATTTTGAGTGAGCTCGGGCCAGAGGGTTCGTTGGGTCTGCTTGGACGCGTTCGAGGTAGAGTTGCCAGAGCACGAAGAGGACCATGAAGGCGACCCCAAGAACTAGGAGGGTGATGATGTCTATAAAAGTATGATGTGGAAGGTTGGGAAGTCAGCGGGTCAACAGTGAGACGGGTCATCGAGGAGAAGGGGCGGCACGCACAAGATGTGGCCCATTGGTTGGGAGCGATCTCGCCATCGCTCAGCACGAAAACGATCAGGACAAGTCCAGCCGTAACCAAGAATGCGCCCAACCAATCCACACGCTTATCGACCTCAGTGGAGACATGATCAGGCGGAATACTGTAGAATCCAGCGGCCATGGCAAGGAGACAAAGACCAGACGTGAGGTAGAACGTCGAGCGCCATGTTGGTCTGTAGATTCGGATGCCAAGGTGAGCACAAAACGGTTCATAAAACATGATATGTGACTGAAGGGAAATGTCTGACACACTTGGACAGTTGTGTGAGAATACCACCGAGAGCCATACCTACTGCTGCGCCGACTGGAGCACCAGCAGAAAAGGTCGCGAATGCGAGAGACCGAGTGCGTGAAGGCGGGAAGGCATGTGCCAGTATACCCAGCTATATTGACAGTAAGTGTGATCGTGAGTAAGAAGGGTAAGACGACAGAGAGGAGAAAAGATGATAATACCGATGCTGGAACAATCGCTGCTCCTCCAATACCTTGAAGTCCACGAAGGACGTCGACAGTAATCTCATCTGAAGCCCATTCCTGGAATGGTCAGAACGAAGAGGACATGGCAGCAGAAGGCTTACCTTGAGCAAAGCCACAACCGAGAGAAAATACGAGCATCCATAAAAAGCCAAGCAGCCAAACTGTCTTCCTTCCGTGAAGATCCGCAATCCGACCCAAAAATATAAGGAGACATCCCTGCAAGGAAATTCAGACGCTGAATGATGCGAATACGAACGAGAGACGTACCGAGCTGAGTGAGTAACTAGATATTAGCCACTGTAGATTGTTCTCTGCAATGCTAAGTTCACGACCGATTGTGGGCAACGCCACAGAGACGGAGGTATTGTTTACGGTCTATACCGGCGCCACATCAAAGAACTTGAGAAATGAGAAAACCTTCAGGATTCAGGGACCCACATTGATCAGCATAGCAGACGTGCATGCAGCAATAAGACAAACGGCTTTGGCAGTTCCCATCGTCGGGGTAGGTTGTAACGCCTCCATCTTCGTACCCGCTGGCAGCTTCTCCTCTGCCCCTTCACGCCCACCGGCTGATTTGACAACACTGGGGACCTCGACCGACATGATTCAGGCCTGAAGGACTGAGACCCGGCGTCGATGGTGTTGGTATAGAGCAAGAAGCATTAGCTAAATCAAACCTCATTTTATAATGTCTGGCGGCCGAAACTCGCACCATTGCCCATGCCTGCGGCGAGTCGAAGACGGTGAATAATCATGAATAATCGGGTTTTAGTGGAGAAAAGTCCGGCACGTGATGGGAACAACATACCCTTTCTGAACCAGCAACGTGGCATCTCGAACTTGGTTCGTTTCGAACAACTCATTCTTCAACTCGACTTGCTGGCATCCTCATCGCTTCTCTTCACTTTCTTTTCTGTCTTTGCCGGACTAGGATGCCCACAACGATAGTGGCTCTTTGCGGTCTCTTTCTGTTCTCATTTGTAACATGTATAGCCGCGGATCCAAACGCAGGAGGGGCTCTGTACCCACCAGGATTATTGCCGCTCATTAACACTGCGAATGCATTGTTGTCTGCAGGACAGTTCAGCGACGCCGTCAAAGCCTATAGTGAAGCGATAGGTGCGTCCTATTTATGGTTCTTTATATGTATAATGCTCCCACACCAACCCCCGAGCGAAGATTTATCGCCAACAGATGCCTCATTGTACTACAAGCGCGCCACAGCGCAGTTCTCCCTTAATCGCTACGCCAATGCTCTCACAGACTTCGACCAAGTTCTCAATCTTACATCCGACAGCTTCGACAGAGCACACCTCATGAAGGCGAAAGTTCACGCAAAGGAAGGCCGGTGGGCCGACGCCCGTGATTCGCTTCGCAAATTCTCAGCGAAGGTCAAGAACGACAACGATGCGATGGCGCTTTTGCTTGATGTTTCAGATGGAGAAGCAGCGGCTAAGAAGGTTGTGCAGGCAGCGAAGGCGAAGCTGTGGACGGCGTGTGAGGAGGCTGCGACGGAGGCTTTGAGGACAGCTTCGCATTCGGTGACCATCAGGCAACAAAGAGCGTACTGTGCGATTGCTGCTGGAGATTTCGAACAGGCTGTTGGAGATCTAACGTGAGTCCGTCCTTCTACCCTATTCCCGCCTGTGAGGGGTCTGCGCGACTAGGCTTCGTGTGTCCACACTCCTATACGGTGCTGTGGCGTAGTGCGCAGTCGTACCACAACGACCTTGGTTCAATGCTTAGTGACTGTCATACTTGAGTGTAATGAGACGGCAAGCTGGATGATATCGTCGATTTATCATTCCTTGTGTCTCTGTACCGTGCGCATTTGACCAGTCGCAAATTGTTGCAACACAGAGAGCGGGATCGTTTGCATGATCCAGTCACCATCTCCACGTCTTTAGCGAGCGGTCATGTCCATGGCTATTTCCCGTCTACAATATCATAACAACCCCCGTGTTTCTTGTTCGCTAACACACTACACCAACAGCCGTCTTAGCCATATAACATCGCCATCAACCGCTGCGTTCATGCGCATATTCCGCCTCTCTTACTTCTACATGCCCGCCTCCACAACCCCAATGTCCACACTAAAGCAATGCCTCCATTACGACCCCGACTCAAAACCCTGTCTCACCGCTCACCGCCTCGTCAAAGCTCTCGACAAATCCTTCAAGAAACTCGACACACTCATGTCCTCCGAATCCTGGCGGGCCCTCATCGACTTCCTTCTCGGCACCGACGCGGACCACAAGACCGGTCTCCTCGGAACGTACGACGACGCGCTAGACGTTCATGGCTCACCTGCGTTGTTGGAGCTGCCATCGAATGTGCTGGTAGCGAGACCGCAGAGGACCAGTCCGAGGAGACAAGAGATGTTGAGGGCGCTATGTCGATCGTATTTGCAGCTTGGACAGGCGAGGGCTGGGGAAAGGTGGTGTGACGAGTTGTTGGGTATGTTGGGTGCTGACAAGGATATCGATGGGTTACTTGGGAAGGGAGAGGCGTTACTTGTGAGAGAGGAGTGGGAGGAGGCTGTAAGAGTGTTCCAGGCGGCTATGGACGCGAGCGGCAATGGCAATCGCGAGGTAAGCCGTGCTTTCGATTGTTCTGTGAATGAACGCTGAAGGATTCTGGGATGTAGATACATTCAAAGCTGCAGAGGGCACAGAAGTTGCTCAAGCAGTCAAAGCAGAAAGATTATTACAAGGTGCTCGGAGTATCCCGCGACGCTGATGAGAAGACCATCAAGAAAGCCTAGTACGTCCCACTCGCGTCTCGTGTCCCGCTCTCCCCCTGTCCTGCCTCTTCTCACATCCTTCTCTCCACTTAGCCGCAAAGCCGTCATGAAAGCACACCCGGACAAGGGCGGCTCCGAAACGAAGATGGCGGCCGTTAACGAAGCCTACGAGACCCTCACCGACCCCGAAAAACGATCCCGATTCGACCAGGGCGATGATCCTAACGATCCTACAGCGGGTCAGGGCGGCAGTCCATTTGGAGGGTTCGGAGGGGGCGGCGGACATCCGTTCTCGCAGTTCTTCCAGCAGGCCGGTAGTGGTGGTGGCGGATTCCAGTTCCACTTTGGAGGGCAGAGGGGGCGGTGAGATATTGGACAGGACGGGTGGCGTGTGGCGTGCGACATGGGGAGGCGGGGAAGGTGGGCTGGTATCGGTGGCGGAGTCGGACGTTGTGGTTGGCTTTCCGAGTTGCGTGTATTATTTGTTTTTGTTTTGGCCTTGCTTTTGTCTTTTTGCTTGTATTTGTGCATGCCTTCTCCCTCGCATATCATGGTGCTCTTCATGGAACGCTCATCGAAGGATATCTCGGTCAAGTGCCTGACGAAGTCTCAAGCTGCAGAGTTCTGTTGCGACCACGGCCTGCTGCAGCGCTACGGCTTTATGGGGAGGAATCTATGTAACATGGTAGAGCCGAACGATTGATTGCTTGTCAGTGCATTTCTCCGTCCTCTTCGATTCAAATGATTCTTAGTCTTCATGGCGGCATTGATCCTAGGTTATAGGCACTACTTGACGCTTGACGATCTTACTGCTCTCGTCGTTCTTCCTCCGTCTGGCAGCATTGCCCTAACAGTCGGGCCACACTGATGCGAAATCCAAATGCGTGACGAAGCCTCGTCAATGTCAAGCCAGGCCTGGGTTTTCGCCGTTCGACCATAGTGTTGTGACCGCTCATGTCGCCGACTTTATGGGATCCCTTTGTATAAGTCCAACCTTGTGAAGTTCGTATTGGTACAAATATACACAGGTCCTGTTGTTGTGGTGCTGAATATGTTCCCCGTTGCTCTCGTCGCCCAGCTTGGCTCAGTACGTACAAAATCGAGCGCCGTTCTCGTCACCTACACGTGTCGATGCAGGGTCCCAAATTCAACAACGAGCACCTACCGCTCTCACCCAACACTCATCGCGAGGAGGAGTCCTTTGATCGTTTTTTTTTCTTTCACGCTTTTTCAGCCCATCTGTCAGTCGATTTATTCGTAGATTTCTTCGCAGTAATGACGTCGCTCACAGGTTGATCGTAGGAAACAACCAACTGCGAAGTCCTTGTTTGACAAGTTTTTCTTGGTGCGCATTGCACGAGCTTGTCTTCTACTGAGTATGCTCAGCAGTCCTTGCCTCATAGATATTCTCGCCGACCCTCTCTCGGTCGCAATATTTCGCCATCGTTTCCTCAAACCATAAATTTTCAGAAGGATGGCATCCTCTCAGATCGCCGGGCCCCCAAAAATCAAGAAAAAGAGGATGACGGTGAGTCGACACATTGGTAGTTTCTTCGTTCCACCGTGCAGCTGTGTTTAACGTTCCTTCTGCAGTGTGCCGCTGCTCGGGCCCATAACTCCGCGTCCCTCATCATTCGAACCCTCAACTACTCTCATGAACCCTTGGCCCGTATCTTCGAGTTTTCTCTCATTCGCGGCCTCCCTCCCGGTACCAAACGCACGCGCTTCCAACGTGATTACTCGCACGTTCAGGAGTTGTGTCATGTCTGCCACGACTGGCGAACGGTAGCCAAGGGGCATCCACAACTTTGGGCGAAGTTCACTGTCGACATCGACAACACGGCCTTCGTTAAAACATCCATCATACATTCGAAAGACAGACCGCTCGACTTATTCCTTGCAGGCCCCAATGACGATACACTTCCTGCGATCGCCAAGTGCATTTCCCGCATCCGCCACATGACATTCATCGAGTCTTTTCCGCCGACAGTCCTGTGGCGATTCCTACTCCAATTAACACGCCCGGCGCCGCAACTGGAAACATTCGTTGTGAAGTTCGAGACGGAGTTTCTGGATGAGGACGACTATTATCCAACCACCCTCCCCACATTGTTCCGTGAAACATCTCCTCTCCTTCGAGCGCTACACCTCGACTGGTTCCCAGACTGGCCCACAGGCATGTTCCGCAACCTAGTCAACATATCCTTGCAGTTCCAACCTGTCCATTCCCGCATGTCGTGTGCCCGCTTCCTCTCCTTTCTAGAACTTAACCCCCGGGTCGAGACCCTAGAGTTAAGTGATGCAGGTCCCGATCCTGAGGACGCAGCGACCTATTCGAGTAAACGGATAGTATCTCTCGATAAACTCAAGTTATTGATGGTCGAGCAGACCTCCGTCGATGTTTCGTCCATGATCATGACACATTGCCGCATACCCAACACCGCCATCCTTTCGCTCTTCGGAAACAGAACGCCGTCGACTCCCGATAGCGCTATCCTCTTAGATCTCTTATCCGACGATATTTCTCGCATGTCGGTTCTTCGTCAAGTCTCTGCCCTCGAGCTTTGTCACGGACTTTCGGGATCTATCGCACTTTGCGCCTTCCTTCCTGACGGTCAAACAGCGCCCTGCTTCCACTTCGACATTATACACAGCGACTACCAAACATCAGACTGTCATTTCTCGAAGTCCTTCGCTTCCATCCTCCACAAGTTTCCCCTGCACAATGTCAGAACACTCCGTCTGGGCCCCATCCATTCTGGATGTTCGTACCTCCCTTCCGCCGCTCAGTGGGCGGAGCTTTTCAATCGGCTCCCCTCCCTCGAGCGCCTCATCATCGAGAAAAGCGCTCCTCTTCGTGACATCCTCTCTGCCCTGGAATTCCATGTCAATGAGCCGACGCGTTGCCCAAGGCTGAGGTGGTTGACCTCCTCGTGCGATGCGGAATCAGCTTGCATTGTGGATTTTAGGAGGACTCGTGCCCATTATGGGTGCCCCATCACTCAGGTTGATAAAGTGAATAACACAGGATGGGGTCAAGTGACGAAGTGGCAGCTCCGCGTTCGAGATGCGACGCAAAAGATACATCGTCCATGGTTTGACTAGATTTTCATCGTCACTTCTTATCTGCACGGGTGAGCATCTCTCGAGTTCGTGAAGTGACCAATTCTGACCTCGCTGCATCTCACAGGTGACTCGCAAAACCGGCCAGTCGTCGAACGCAAGCTAAACCGCGAGGAGTTTCGCGAGAATTTATAAACTTTGATGTGACATTTTTCTCGTATGTTGTGTGCTCTTCTTTCTCTGTTATATTCTTCTGCTGGGGCGAGCTCTGCGTGATGGTCGTACGTGCACGTGACACCTCATGTTTAACTCCAAATCGTTTGTTTTGGCGAAATCACAGCTGTTTGCTATTTTTGAAATTGCATACATTTTATTCACTATTAGACCAAGATTCCCACCTGTACAATAAATCCGTTCCGCCGCATGGTTTATTCTTCGTGATGATCCGCCTCGTTCGTGCTACCCTCAGTCTTCGGAAGAGCTTCTTGACGCAATGCAGCTCCGAGTCAAACTATACAGGCCGGTCCGTCGGGCCAAGCATTCTGTGAAAATCCCCGTTCAGATCCAATACATCCAGTCACTCTGATACAGTCCTTCGCTACGATTCGATTTCCATATGTTTCCTGTACATACTCATGAAACCGTCAAATTCGTACTCAAGAACGTCTCATCGCTCGTTCCGACTTTGACCACGAAGGTTCCAGGCTCAACGGCCCACGTATTTTTGACCGTCCAAACTGCCAGTTGTGATGACAAGACAGGGATAGACACTGTCTGCGATTGTCCGGCACTGCATTCCCCAAGTCGCATATGTCAGGCAATTCAGCGATAGAAAGAAAAAGAAAAGCAGGCAGTGCGTACGGGATGTCTACTTTCGAGAACCCGACAAGCTCCTGGTTAGGGGTAACCACGGAACTGACTACGTCCGTCAGGTATACCTGGTGTAATAATTTATTCGTGAGCGATGGCGAGATCCCATGCGAAATTCAAGCACATTCACCTGAATGACCTCCTTTCCGTCCACAGGGCCTGAGTTCGTCACAGTGACAGAGACATTGAAGTCATCGCTAGTACCGATGGTTGAGCTCGACAACGTGAGGTCGGAGCTGTGAATGAATCAATCTACAATGAGCATCATCGCCGCTAGTATTCCTCCGCTACGTACTAGTTGAACGTCGTGTAGCTCATCCCATGGCCAAAGCTCCAGATAGGAACAGGACTATTTAGAACGTACTTTACATCCGACGAGATTGTGAGTATCACTCAATTATCAGCATACAGGGTCGCAAAGCTCACGAACCTGATGCCCAAAGACAAGAGTGCCGTTGTCCGTCTGGACACCGGCGTCGATTGGTCGCGACCCCTTGAGGTAGTTGTAGAACACAGGAGTGGTTCCAACGCTACGGGGGAACGAAACAGGGAGCTTCCCTGCAATAGAATCAAGAGCAATCAGAACCCGGGTCATTTCTGCTCTGGTGGAACGCACCTGACGGATTCGCTGCTCCAAATATTATCTCTGCTAATGCTAGACCGCCAAGCTCTCCTGGGTAGAACTGCTGAATAACTGCATCCGCATCTAGATGGGTCATGAACTGCAAGTCAGTCAATCGGTCGTATATCATACTTCAGATCGGATACTCACTTTCCTGGATCCATGGTTCGGCGACAGGCTTTCCACTCACGAGAACTACAACAGTCGGCTTGCCCGTAGCCTTGATGGCCTTTATCAAATCTAACTGCGCTCCAACGAGCCCAAGGTCGGACAAGTCAACGTGTTCTCCTGTCGTAGCGTTAGTTCCCGGCGTCCAAAGCAATGTTTGGTCTAAAGTCCAAGTCCCGACCATGACCACGACGACTTCAGATGCTTGAGCAGCTGAGACAGCTTCGTCGAACCCTGACTGATCGTTCGACCAGAGCTCACACCCTTGCGCAAAGTTGATTTTGACAGAGGTGTTGGCTAGAAACTGAGTGAAGCCTTCGAGAGGGGATATGCCATTGTTCGAAGCGTTGAAGAAGACGTAGTCGCCGAGCTGAGCACAAGCGCACGAACGGATCTGAGTAATGGACAAGGCACAGGAAAGGAATGCTCACTGATACACGGTCGACCTGTGGCCCAATAAGCGCCACAGAGCTCAGGCCGGTGCTCAATGGCAGGACGTTGTCATGGTTCTCTAGTAGAACGATAGATTCTTGCTCCATCTGGTGAAGTAGGGCGCGAGTGGAACTGGTCCTCAGGGTCGCATTGTAGTCTGCATAAGGGTAAGGATCTAAAGCATCTACCGTCAGAAATATATTCAAGAAATTTATGAATCTAGGCTTACTTTCGAACAGCCCCATGGTAAGCTTTGTGCGAAGTACAGTCTTTACAGTCTCATCAATAAATGAGATGTTAACGGTCCCAGCGGAGACTTGATCTATACCATGAGAGTGAAAGATTTTCAAAAGCTATATGAGGAATGACCAGGGCAATCGAACGTACCAGGAAGAGTCAGATAGGTGTAGGTGCCACCTCCCATTTCGCCTTCAGAAATGTCATGGTCAGCTACTGCAGGCAATTGGACGCGGACTCGGAGACTGGCGCACCTTGGATATTCTCTACGGTGGTTGCTGCGGCACATTCACGGGTTTCACATGTTCCGTGAGTGGTGATTAGCAAGTCAACTGACCCAGCGTCCGTCATAGCCCAGTATTGGTAACTCCATTCGTCGCGCAACTAAAGCGAAATTGGGTCAACGTCCAAAACCAGAACGCCAACGAGCTTCAACTGACAATATCAGTCATGATGTCTGGTAACTCACTCGAAGTTAGAATGCAAGACATGCTATGCAAACGAAAACACTCACGCGTGTTGGCGATGGCAGGAATTCCATCATAACTGGAGTATGCAGTCATGATAGCCAGACTCTCGACGCAAGCGCGATTGAAAGGTTTTAGGTACATGGATCTAAGCTCGCGCTCGCCACCCGTAACCTGGGCAATATTTCTGCAAGGGGTTGATCAGGATAAGACTGCAAGTAATGCAAACACAAACGGACAGGCCTCCTTGTGGACTTCCGAATGCGGCGAAGTGCTTGCATGTTGAGGCCATACGAGCAGTCGCGGTAGAGCTGACGTTCCTTCTTTGGCCAGACTGAAGCCCAGTAACATAGGCATGACCCATTTCCCCAGTTCTGCCAACATGTAAGTTAGAAGGCTTCAAAAGGAGATGACTCGACTTCAAGACTCACAAAAATGGGTCTTCACCAAAGTTTTCTTCTACCCGTCCCCACCGCAACTCACGCGACAGATCCAGAACTGGAGCAAAAATTTGAGAAAATCCGAGCCCCTCAGCTTCGTCGGAGATAGTGGCCGCGGCTTTCTGGAGAAGCTCGGTGTTGAAGGAAGCTGAGAGACCGATAGGCGAAGGCCATATCGTCCCGTTGTTGGTAAAGCCATGCAGTCCTGGTCAAAGACTGAGCAGATATTCCGAATGAATCGTAAGAATTATAATCACCTTCAGATTGAAACATCGCGGGGATTCCCAACGTAGTATTTTCGATGAGGTAGTGCTGGCCGACATTGACACCATACACGAACTTATCCCATGGCGCCAGATAGCCGCCCCAGATAGTACCGGCTTTCGTGTCCATCATGTCAACCTAGGACAAGCAATGGGCGTCAGTCCTGATGTCTGAAGTAACTTACATGAGTACGAACAAGACCGGACGCGTTATACGTTAGAGTATCGTCTAATGGATCTGTAAAGTTCATCCAGCCATTCATATCACCTTGGATACTTTGGGTAATGTCAATCACGAGAAATACAGGCCGCAAGACTGGAAGAACACACATTTGAGCCATCTTCTCCTGTATCGTCATACGAGGCAGTAGGTCGTTGACACGATCCTCGATAGCAGCCGTAGGGTCCTTATACACCGGAGTCGATCCGTCCTTGTTCGTTGCGCGCGCATTCAGATGAAAATGCAAGTCATCGCGCACACCGCTCAGATCCTCATTTAGAGCACCCACCACTATAGCAAGAAACAGGAGGGAGGATAATGGCTGCAGCATGACTGGAGTAACGAGACTCGCGAGCTCGAGAAAGACGTGGTCAAAGAGACGAGCACAGGGTCGTCCATGACGAGTTACACCGACCTTTTATATGTTCGGATGCACGAGATACGCGTCGTTTTATTCTCGTGGGTCTCATGCGCCTCGGCTTCTTCTACGTCCACATCGTAGCCTGCATGTGACCGCGTTCGGGGTGAGTAGTCTGAGGCGGACCGCTTTCCCGACATTTCCCCGGGTCAAATGAGGTCGCATCCATGTGTGGAAATGTCGAAATCGAGGATAACAGGAGCCGGTGAAAAAAGCGACGGGCCTTCTGATACACAACTGGCATCAGGCTCGAGACCGAGAGGCACAAAACAAACCATGTTGCTTGCAGTCTGCTCTCGTGCAAGGCAGCACACACTATTCGGAGTGTTTTTGGGAAAGCAGAGGGATATTATGACAGCAAATACTCTTGGAACAATGTATCTGCCAAGAGTCCGTATATTAAAGCCTGTGTACGCCTAGGTGTCACTTTGATTTCAAGAAGATCTTCGAGAATCGCTCACCTATGATGCGACGAGACCGCTACTTGGCTATGGTGGACGAGGCCCAAGCTTCCGCTTGCTCACTCATATCAAATAAAATGTCTCCCCCGTTGGCTATTTGCTGGTGAGTGATCACAGGTTCCTTCGTAGGTTGACCATCTACGATGAGAGACTTGACATATGGTTTCGACGCTGCACCGTTCGAAGTGACCTTCAACGGTCTTGCGGCGTTAGGTAGACGGATGGTGATGGAGTCAAAGAAAGGACTGGCGAAGATCTCAGTCACGCAAGAAGTTGCCAAGGGAAAATGAAAGAGGACATACGACCCAATAACGTAGTCTCCGGACACAGGATTTACTGGATAGAAACCGAGAGCTCCGAAAATATACCATGCACTCATCTGACCGCAATCCTCATTCTGTTACGACTTGGGATGTGAGCGACGGGCGGCAAGCTGCCAGGAACATGTGTCTTACCCCTGTCAGTCCGACCACCGAGTTGTTGTAGTTCGCCTTCGTCACTTCGCGGATGCGTTCTTGACCCTTTGAGGCAGCCCCAGCCAGTGCATATAAGTACGGAATGTGGTGCGAAGGCTGTCATAACAATACTCATGTCAGGGTCTGATGAGGTTGCAAGACGGTCACGCGTACCTCGTTTGTCTGATCGTTATGACCTGGACAAATCCAAACGTAAACAAATTAAGATATCAGTAGAAGTATTGAGCTCACCTCCGTCGAAGTGCGCATCCAGACTGCGAATGAACTGGGCCTTTCCTCCTCTTGCCTCGATCAGTTCATGCACCGCATGTACGACGTCGAATGAATATGCCCATTTATCGCCTTCCGTCCAGCCCTCATCCTCACCAGCCCAAGCACCACTTGCATTGCGCGCTTCCATGAAGTCGGTCTCGTTGTTGTAGATCGTGAACGGCGCCACCATGGACCGATTCAAGAAAAACTCAGCGTCCTTGGTCTTGTTGAGAAGTTTAGCTAGAACGGCAACAGCGTAGTCATCGTCTGGCGGGTGCGTCAGGGAGACTTGGCTGGATCCCTGTGACGAAGTGGATGGTGCTCACAGGCGTAATCGAGAGTTCTAGAGGCAGACTCGGAGTGAATGTCGTCTGCTACCCAACCTTTCGTGTCATATACTGTCGATAATCCAGCCCGAACCTCGTATCCGACGTTTTCTTCGCGATCGAAGTAGCTAGAATTCAAATGTTATCATAGTGTGCAGGACGATTGGAGGAGTGGCACACGAACGAGATGGTGGAATCATCGACCGGCGGTACAGTGGCATCTTTGTAGACGGCCTCGTAGGCGGTCTCAAGGTCAAATCCGGTGATGTTCTTCAAGACCGCCTCGGCGATGAGCGAGTCTGCATGTGTACCTACCTAGAAAATACCCGGTCAATCAGGATCCAGACCTAGAAACGAAAAGACTGTACCATGATATTCGTTTCTGTAAAGGAACGTGAATGAGCCATGGCGTACGCAGTTGTAAACACGACTCACCGACGATGTTCTTCCACATGGGCAACCATCCACCCTATAACGACCGTGAGATGCGCTGCATTGCGGACGACATGGGGCACAAACCTCTTTGTAATCTTGGAGCATACTTTGTACCATCCCAGGTATACGCTCTGGTACCAACAGAATCTGCCAAGCCCATTCTGCACGGAAAGTATCCTAGACGGGTTATCTATCATGGATGGTTCAATAACGAAGAAAGCGTACACTCACCCATATTGAATAGCCAGTGTACGACACGCCTTCGTGGACCGTATCGTCATACCCAGAGTAGTATCTTCCGTATTCGTCTTGTTCATAGGGGTACTGCTCCCCAAGTCAGTGTGTGTCAGCCTCGAGACCAGAAGCGAATTAGCCATACCTGGAGAGTATGGAAGACGGCAGTGTAGAAGACAGCCAGATCGTCAGGTGTGGCGCCATCGACTTCAATACGGTCCAGCTTTTCTGCCCACTCTGTCCTCGTCTTACGAGCTGTCATCTCTAACGTCGTACCGTCCGGTATCTCAATATCGAGATTCTGCCTAGCTTGTTCGACTGAAATGAACGACACCCCCACCCTTACGTTCACCACCTCCGTATCTGGTGGGAAGGTAACATATCCACTGAGTAACGTCCCATTCCTTTCTGTCTCGTTCACATATCGGGTTCCATTAGACGCCGTGCCCCAACTGGAGAAAGGAACATCGAAGCGCGCGCAGAAATAGCCATGGAAGGAGGGCGCCGGACTTGGTCCTATGATGAAGTCCTGGCGTTCGGGATTTGATCCCGTAATTTCCATGGACGACGGGTTGAGAGAAATGGTGCCGAAAGGGTACGTGACGTTTGATGTATCTGCGGAGCCTATGATTGAAGCGCGAGTAGCTTCCAAGAGTACATAGGGGGTACTTGTCTCCGTAAAAGTGAAGCGCAAGTGTCCGACGCGAGAAGCTGTTGGATTAGTTAGTAGATCTTTCAAAGGAGACAGTGGTTCCTTACTGGCACTCTGTTCGGCAAGAATATGACCTCCATCCGTGGCTTCAAGGCTCGCGCGGTAGTAGCTCGGCGTGATTACTTCGTCATCGTGGCTGAAGGGCATGCCTCTGTCCTTAAACACGCTTTGTACTTCTCCTGCTCCGGGCACCACAACGGCCTGACCACTCTCACCCATCCAAATCGCGGGCTGATGTGTTCCTTGAAACCCATGGATACTACTGTCAGTGTAATTATAGGGAGTCATTGAGACGTAGTTCTGCCGAGTTTGCGCAACCCATCTAGTCATGGCGAACGGAGGGGCTGTCGAGGGTATCATGCCACCGGATCCATTCGGCGTATCTCCCCCATTCCCTATGAGCCTAAGAGTAATCAGCATAACATTGTGAAGAAAGACTGTCGAATAACTTACGCGTTCACATGATCCACGGCGGCACTCGGGGGGTCGTTGAAGTCACTGGGTGGTGAGCGAGTGGCCAGCACAGAGAGCACTAGCAGACATAATGTGGACAACAAAGGCGAGTTGCGAGCAAACATCTCTTCAAATGAGGAGAGCAGATCAAAGCCCAGCATGGTGGACGTCTGGCACCCTTGTGACTTTATATCTTGAACGACTGCTGTCAGCTGACGTCGATGACGAGGTGTTCGGAAAGCACAGAACTACTATACGAGAAACTTAGGCCAGTTTTATGGTACGATGAGACAAATTTAAACACAAAGCACATACCTTCAAGTACCAACTAGGCCCTGGTAGACAGCCTGCGCAAGGTTCTAACGCTGAAAACTACACAGAAAATGTGTTGTCGCTGAAGCTTCGAAAGGGATTGATATTGAACGCAGATTCTTCAATAATGGGAAAGAAATGCCCGCATCAATACCAACAGACACAAGTTAGCCACACTTCAGACTTTGACGCGAACTCAACCGAACATACTTCAAGAAAACACAAGTTTGTTCGTCGTGGTTCAACCGACCAGCGCACATTTGACGCCGGAAGCGGGGTTTCCCGGATTTAGTCACCAGCCAAATATTCTCACGATCCTGAGTGCTGACTCCGACAGCGATCTCCCCACCAGGACACCCGTTCGTTCTGGTAGCTATTTACTTCTTGACTCTCAATTCTTTTCATCCTCAAGCGGCCTTGTTGATGTTTTATCTCCCCAAGTATGGTACGCCGATACAATGATAAAAATGACCCTGATTCTGTCTTACGGCTCTCTTGACTTGGAGGCGACATCTGCTATTCCCTCACTGAACGATGACTGCGCTGTACTCATCCTATCCATGCTCGATAAATCCTCTCTTCATGCCATCGCGAACACATCAAGTGCTGGATGTGCTGCCGCAAGACGATTCCTCGTCCGGGACGTTATACTTCACAGTTTTGACCACGCCGCCACATTCTGTCGAGTGGTCCTTGCATCCGATCTGGCCCACCTCGTAAAACGGCTTATCATCGAGAAACCGATTCCTTTTCTGCAACACAGGAATCCAGGTGCACTGGAAAGGTTTGCATCTGATCTTGCCAGTCTTCTCGAGAGAGTGCAAAGTCTCGATGCCTTCGCGCTCGAATCATTCGCAGGCGCCCTGCTCATGAAGGAGCCGCGCATCGCCGTAGCGCTTCTTGCTCAGCGTCCTCGCCATCTATCACTGAACGGTGCAGATGGGAGCTCATTACTGGCCATCCGTTCCATGTCAGGCATCGTGGACCTGTCTTTGGTTGTTCAAGACACTTCCGAGGACTGTTCCCCAGCGATATCCAGTATCATCGAGAATTCCGCGAACACACTTCGGACGCTGACCCTAAAAACCCCCCTTCCCGACTTTCTTACGAACACAGAGATGGACATTCATTGCTGTCAATCTGTTCGAACGATTTTGATGGACACAGGCCGCAACATGAATCAGAGCGTTCTACGACGCTTCTCCCTTTTTTTTCCCAATCTCCAGCGCCTCTCCACGGCTCCTCAGAGCTTCGCACTTCGGGCGAGCGACATCCTGCAAGAAGATTTTCTACAATCGCCTTTGAACGCTCTAACGGCTGTGAGCGGCGATGTAGCTCTCATCGCCTTTCTCGCCCAATACCACTCGTTACGCTACATCAAGTCGACGGACGTCATCCTCAGCTTCTCCGAAGAGAGGCAGGCGCTCATGGAACGATTGGTCCATTGCCCTGTTCAAGGGGCGAAACTATCCATTTGGGCCAACCATCCCGTACGGGAGGTCCTTCTGGGTGAATTGGCTCATGCTTTGCTGCAAATCAAGTTCTTCGCGATTGCCATTCAATTCGTCACTCTGACAAACCTTTTGGGGGCCCTAGAATCTGTAAGCACCGTTCTGTTACATTTCTCTACCTGATCGTTTGCTTATAAATTTTTATTTGGCAAAACTGATTCAGTCGGTCGATATACGAGATTATACCGGCAACGTGTTCATTCCATTCACCCAACTCCGATACCTTTCTATCGAGCTTACATCTGAAATCGGCTTCGACCGGGCGGAGTCCATCGACGACGCCAAGAGACATTTCGTAGCAATCTGCTTCCGCGACGTCCCGTCATTGGAATGTGTCGACCTCCAGATATACGGCGTCGACGAGGAGAGGTCCTGGTGGAAAAGATGTTCTGATGACATAGAGGAAGAAGAGTCTGTTGAGGCGCTGGTAGAGCAGATTGGTGATGAGGAAGGCTTTTCAATGCGGACCGAGCACGAGTTAGTCCTGCCGTTGCGTCTAGTGAGGTGTATTATCGCTGATATACGCCTTCTTTGATCTAGGGGAGAGCTTGCGTATCTGGTCGAGTGAGGCGCTGCGCCGTTTGTATCTTCGTCAGCCTATCATTTCCAGTAGAAGAGTGCAGACCTAACCTTCGAGGAAGATCCAAGGTTCGACCAATTGGGCTCCTCGCCACCCTATTCTTGCATGATGGTTTGAGTGGCGCATTGTGTAGCGTTTAGTAAAGTTGTGTCCCTCGACGTGAATTGATCGGCATTTTAGCCCACAAGGTTTTGTAGTGAGTATACTACTTCCCCTATGTTTATCACGACAAGGCTTTCGAGGGCGGTGTGGTATTTCGTGGCCAAGAGGGTGGTACACGCTGCCATTTGGAGGGGGAAGGGTATTTGGTTCCGCTTCGTGCTACTTGTATCAACTACGAAGATATACATCCGTTCGGAACCAATATCGAGAAACGGGCCCAAGAGTACAGTACGGACTACAGTGCGGTCGTCAACATTAGGGGTTCACTATGATAGTTAGCATACTGGTACACAGTCAATTTCCATTGCTAAAAGTACACACGCAATCGTACACGCAATCGTACGGCCCATAGGAGTACAGTTGTCCGTGGTAGCAGACAGAGTCACAAGAAGTCAAAGTGATGTGGGTGGAATGCGAAAACAATAGTCAAGATATGAGGAAGTGAGGATGACGATGGCGCCATCGACTCGTCGCAGCTTTTGAGGCATTGGAAGGGGTCAGAGTGGCAGTCACAAGTTGTGCTTAGCGATGTGCCGCATAATCGTCAACGTCGCGAGAAACTCTATAGGACAGAAGCAAAGTTGTTTGTTCAGAAGACCGAAGACTATCGAAGATGGGATACGAGGGAGAGAGCATATGTAGATAACGCGAACGAACCGGTGGATAGGTGCGCGAAGGCTTCGTAGACTGTGAACACGTTTCCAGAAGTGCTGTAGGCTGGTCGATTAGGGTGCTTTAGGGAATACTGGGCTACGACTTCGTCGTCGACGTTGACGCACTGAAAAAGAGATGTCGGTCTCAGTAACGGGTAACTCTGCGAGGGATGGTCGATGATGCCGCTCACAGTCCACTCTTGATCTGCCTCCATGCCGTAACCCCAGCGGTACTCGCGTCCGTCTGAAGCAGTGAACTTGCGAGATCGCGAGCTGCGGATGTAACATCTCGTTAGAAAATGGCACACTGGATCTAATCGTTGCAAGGACGCGTACCCTCCGAATAAAGAAATCTTCCGTAGATAGCGATACATGGGCATCGATGTTCGTTCTTTCATGAACCAAATTGTGCCCAATGCTCCATTCGTGCCAAACTCCATGATGAAGGAGGGCTCGTGGGGCGAACGCTCTTGATGGCGGGAGCTTGTCGATCGTCGTCCCGTTTCAAAGACGGAGATCGATGGACCCTGCGTACGGTGAAGTTTGGAGGATGTACGGAGGAACATGCGGTCGTACACCTCGTCGAAGTCTGAGTCCTCAACTGCACCGGTGCGGTCCTCGAAGAAGTATGCTGGTGGAAGCGTGGTGCGCGTCATGATGGATGAGGGAGGCAGAGGGGATACTAGTGGAGAATGAAGATGGTGGTGGTGGTACAAGAGGTAGTTGAGGGTGGTGAAGGTCGTACAAGAAGTGGAGCTCAAGCGTAGATATATGGATTGGCTGAGCGGGGCCGATTGACTGGCCGCAATCAATCCGTGGCGTTTGACATGGAGTGTGCTTTATGCGTATAGATCGGGCCATGCCTGATACGGCGGCTAATGGTCTTTTCAAAGAAGCCTTTCCTTATGCGACAGCCTTCCCTGGTGTGAACGTTAACCGCAGAACCGTAGCAAGCTTCCCGAAGTTCCAAGGGTTTTGCAATGGGATCCTAGTCAGCATAGCACGCCTCCAGCGCCGCGATGTGACTGGCACTTCGGGCTGCGCTCCTGGAACGGCTTGGCAGTGTTCTACATGGCTACAAAGGTGGTCTTCAAGGCGCATCGGGCGATGGTCCTATGGCTGAATCAGACGATGAGAAGAGTACACTCACGCGGCTCCAGAAGAGAACCAGTATGAAGTGATCATCTCTCATGCTGAGAAAGAGAAGGGATAACTAGATCAGCTGGGGACAGCGGATTGAAGGGCGTTCTGCGTCGTATACTCACAAACACTGACAACAGGCGAAGAATGAGAGCCGTGAGGCGCATGTACTGTACATAAACGACAGATAAGCCACAGAGGTGATCCTGTGGCCCGGACACACAGGACCGTCGACTGCCCACTTGGGTAAGATGCGATTGAGCGCCTCTCGTTCCCGACTTGAACGCCTTCCGATTACCGTGTATTTAGACTGAGCGTTTACTTCTGTGCCTCGGACACGAATAGTTGTACCTGTAAGAAGCTGGGCGAGATCGACATTGCTGTGAGACTAGCACGCCACTTTAGAGACGCATAGGTGTCGAAAAACAAAGAATGTACCTGGAAAATCTCCTTTGGTGGATGCGAGTCCTGGAGTCTGAAGCTCTATGTGTTTGAGGTCGTAAGCACACTTTCGCCTTATGCCCACCCGAAACCACGGAACAGACACGAAATCCCGCCCCGATCTGGAAGAAGTCGAAGATGGCATATACACGCTGTAACCTGCGGAAGTATATCTAGTAAGTGCTTGCATCCCCTGACCCAATTGAAATACAGCTAACATTGAAGATTGATGGAAGGCTTGTTATAACTTCAACCAGATGACTGAACCGTTGAGTGGTTGCCCACGATAGGAAGCAATAGTGGAGGATCTGTTCCCTCACTCGGCAAAGACGAGGTCCCTCGAAGAGTCAGTCCGCCCATCCGTGCCCAGGAATAGATGTTCGGCTTCGAGAAACAATCGCCATGGGGAACGAAGTCACTATATCGAAGAGAAACCAAGGCCCTACCGAATAAAAGCCAGGATCAGCGTTTCTTGGGTTGAACGTGGATGGCAGCACTATGGCAGCTGGCCTAGCAAGGTACGAGAACTTGAACAATAACCAGCAGGCGACACCGTCGAGACCTTGGCCTATTCATTATTCGCGCACTGCGCAGTCGATCCCGTGCAGTCTTATCGACCATGCCATCGACCAACGCAGGTTCCGTCTCCCGACAGCGGAATCTCAGCGCTATTCGGGGGTAAGTAGGTAGGGCGCCACATACTATGGAGTGCAAAATGACTTCTTCTGTGGATTTCCTTGCAACCGTACGCTCGCCAATTCTCCTTGGCGGTAAGACGACTGAGGTAGAGCAGCCTCGGCTCTTCCATGAGATCTGGCAAAATCTGCGGGCGAGAAAAAGGAGGACGACTGCCACAACCACTCTGGTCACGGCGTGTAGACTTCCACCTAACGAAGGTCGCGTGAGCAAATCTCAACCTCACTATCCTCGTATGAATAGAACTATACCACTTCAGAGCCATCGTATTCGCATCAGTACACAGGTATAGGTACGCCCGTGTGTTTCATACAACAATCTTGACCCTCATCCCGTCCGATGGGGTCGAAGGATGCTGTCAAGCCGGTCAAACAACATTAGCAGTTCTCATAGAAGCGGAAAACACGAACGCTAGAAACGTACACATGTCCTTTGTTCCCGAGCGTCAATCTCGGGCTTGGGAAAATATAGCATACACCGTAGGAACATGAAGGTCCCGTGTTTGTTTCGAGGCAAAGAAGGCGGACATACCTGGAATAAGCGATAGATGGGCAACGCTCGAAGAGTAAGATCGGATGGTGAGATGCAAAGTTGTATGTCAAGTCGGCTTCTTGACGCTCCCGGAGGTATGTACATGAGTTGGCCCGCCCTGGGTGCGTTCAAAGCGAACGCGCATGGGGCAAGAACGTGGTAGAGTCAGATGCAGCGAAGGAAAGAGGGTACGATACACGAGATGCCACATCCGGGTTTTGACTTGCATTCATTCGATGTGCTGTTACATCCGAAGGGGCTCGAGGAGTCGTACGACTGATGCCTCGTTCAGTTCCACGTAAACTGGTCGCATATCGACTGATCCTGTGGCACAGAAGTTCATATGAAGCCGTAATTTTAAGGAAGGCCTGGACAAAAAGACACCAAGTCAGTGCTCGTGAAAGCTCGGCCTCAGCTCTGATACAAGAGTTAGAGTAGAGCGGCCACCCGGTCACAATCTTGGAACACCATCCGTCCAATTGGATTCTACTTCTGTCTACCCCGCGATCGCTGATCGTGTGTTATGGAAGGGGTATAATAAGCTTCGTCGCCTGCATGTGGGCCGTGGCGTGTTCAGGTGATTGGAAACTAGTCCGAGATAGTTCATTGCACAATGAATTAGTAGGGAGGTCGACATCGAGGGGTGTGAGAGTTGCCATAGACTTGTTCCTGTCAAACGAAAAGATACACATTCTTCGATCTTGCGGCAGTAGTCACGCGGGGTGCTGGGAAGTTAATAGCATCGTAATCCGCTCATTCATCCCGCTCAGACCGCAACGCGCCAGTCAAGATTAGCAATACTTTTAATAGTCAAGATCACGATACATCGACAACATAGCGAACCTATGAAAATAGTCAGCCGGGGCCAAAAGGTCTCGCGGACAAGAATCAGTAAGATTTGCCAGATGAAGCGTCTCACCACGAAAGCAAGCCACAGCGCAAGCAGGAAGCCACCCCCACCATTCATGAGCATTCTTTTCAACTCTGCATCGCGTCCGCTTCCGATGGTTTTCCGGGTGCGCCACCGTTGCTTATTATCCCCGCAGACGTCTTCGCATCTAGGAATAGCTCTCCCATCTCGCTGATATCGTCCATCTCGATCTGCTGTCGGCCCGCAAGACCGGCAAGGATGGACGCCGGTGTGAGTAGTTGCAGAGCATATCTAAAGGAGAATAAACCGCGCCGCAGGTTTAGAGTCTATCACAAAAGGAGAGAAAGAAATGGCGAATGAATATAGGCGACTGGAAGGACGTACCGGAGCGAGCTCTTCTCGCCCTCTGCGGCGAGACGGTCGAGCACGCCGTCGCCCAGCTTGAGGCCTTCGACGGTAGCCCGTACTTGCACGACCTTGCTGACTTGCTCGCGTGTGTACCCGTCCGTTTTGACGATGAGACACCTGACCATCCGCAGTGAGGACCATAGTTTAATGAACGGCGAAATAGGTTTGAAACGCCCTACCGGTCGAGCAGATCGACTGGAATGCCATGAGGAGAAAGGATGTCGGTTGTTCCACGGACGAGCGAGTGACCCCTATTTGTGGCGAATATGACCGTCGGGGCCATAGGCGATTCGAGCAATGCATTCAAATATGTGAAACACTCGATGTCGAGCATATGCACCTACGCAGACGAAAACACGACAGTCAGTGGAAGTGCCCGCAATCTAGTTAAATTCCTCGACATACCTCATCGATGAAGACTACACCCGGCACAACCTCCGCCACGCCCTGATCGACATAGCCCTTCACTACCTTATTCACCTCTCTCCGAAGCTTGTCTGTCACCTCTGTCCTTCCGCTCTTCACCAAGCTGCCCATCACGCTCATAATGTCCTGCCCACCCTGTGGCCGCGCATTTGCTGCGTCAAGGTCGCCCAGCGTCACGTCCTGCACCAGCTCCTTCTTCTTATGCACATCGCCTTTCGGGAGCGGGACGTACGTCTCGGACTCGAGGTCGTACGACGATGCATACGCGTCCGAGCGACCTACACGCTGAAAACTTATTTTCGATACGTAGGTTTGATGGGAAGTTTGGGAATACGCACCTTGACAGCACCGGTGTTGGCTTCGACGTAGACGACGTCGCCAACGACGATTTTTTCTTTGAGGATAGCCTCGTAGATGCTTGGGTCTAGTCGGAGTTGTTTTGTCCCTTTCACGGTTTTGAGGCCGACTATGACGTGCGAGACCGTCTTTCCGTACCCGCTCAGAGGGTTCTCTGCCTCGGCTGGGGTCAACTCCGTGACCTCTCCTTCGTAGACCTCCTTTGTCTCTTTTATCCGAAGACCTGGAAAATAAAATCGCTTAGATAGAATTCAAATGATGTAGAAGTGATGAGTAGGACGATGTTTCGATCCCCTCGAACAAGATACAGTGTGTTGTCTCTGCTTGGGCCACAGAAGAACGCGTACGCACCTATAGCTCTCCTGAACGCCTCAGCTAGTACCTCTGTCTTCTTCACCTCTGTACTGTACACCTCAGATCCCACCATCGGACAAAATGGTACCTTTGCGCCCAGTTCATGTGATACAGCCAAAGCTAGTGCCGTTTTTCCTGTCCCGGGCGCGCCAACCAGAAGCAAGGCGCGTCCCGAGAATTTTCGAGATTTGATGAGGTCGACGACCACACCACAAGCCTGAAAAGCCGGTATCAGTTACAAATAAAAGAGAGCAACGACTGGCGCGTACGCACCTCTCTGGCATTGGTTTGGCCAACAAATCCAGCACCATCCGAGCTCGCGAAGCCTTCAGGAGTCAAACCAAGACCTTTGATGTGAGAATGTGGAGCAATGCGCGACGAGCGCGCAGCTGATGTCGTGGATGGTGGAGGGAGAGCGTTGTGGGCTACTGGTGTTGATGAGGAAGCCATTTATGTGCTTTGTCGTCGTCGTCGTCGTGGAAGACGGTGAAGAAGTGTTTGGGTCGAAATTGGTGGCGAGGGGAGTGGCGACGCGTGTAGTGGCTCTACAGTTTGCGCTTTCGGAGTTTGAAAGACCTCACTCTTTCCCAATCCTTCCCAATCTATCTTGGCTCGCACCCCAACACCGTTCCCAACTAATCCGTTACATCGTCTTCGGTTTGCTGGGCAGAAAGCACTATTGTATCTCCTCCTAACTATCTCGATTGCAAGTGTATTTACTGCGACCGCTGTGAAGCTAGGTATTACTAGGTGATCGCCCCCGGTCACCTGTTTCACGGGCACTGGCAGAAGGGTACAGTTGGCCTTTGTTATACTGACACTCGTCAAACCGACATTAAATTTGTATCTGGCGGATGGAAGAGGGGGCTAACCTCATCTGCATCTCTTGCTCGAAGCGAGTATCAAGCTACTTCATGTCAACGTCTTGCCACCAGTCTGTCAATTTTCTTAACACTGGCACGCTCTTACTTACTACGATATCACTGGATATCAGTGTAGGCTGTACTCTTGGTGGACTGTTATTATCCAGTATTGAGATCAACCTTGGTGAGTGTGCCACTTGATTAATGCAATCTACGTCTCCAATGCCGAATTTTCTAATAATTTTATCATGCTTTTCACCTTATGGGATGTGCCGTCTCAAGGGCTGTGGTCTCAGTCTGAGAACGTTGGCCAGTTGACCACGACGTCTCTGTCATTTTACTTCCGAGATATTGGACGACATCTGTCTGAACTATCACTGTTGCAAGTTCTCTTATCGTCATGTCGTCCCAGTTCTCATTTTCGCCGGTCTCTTCCTCTGTTTCATGAAAGAGATATCGGAGTTGAAATGTTCAGATAGGCCAGGTTACGTTTTGCTAGAGAAAGAGCTCGAATTCGGACCCCTCTGGCACCACCCTTCCCTTGCCCACCTGTCAATGCTAGAGATTCTTCTACATACATACTAGCGTATTGGATCGCTGAGGACGCTCAAGCATATCTTCCCCCGTTGACCCTGACCCGGACTGTCTTGGTGATGACATCCGGTCCATGCATACCGTCATCACATGCTTTTCCTCCGCATGGCTGCATCTTCATGTTCAGTGCTCGAGTGAAGAGTGTTTCGGAATAGGCTCTGCTGAACCTCGCTCGGCTCACTGTCAGCTGTTGACAGATAACTGGTACTATACGGTCTCCTCGCTATGTGAAAAGCTCTAGCCATCAGTGTTATGTAGTTGGCCGCGCAAGAGCCTGCGGTTAGCATATACTTTCCTTGCCGAAGATTAAGCGGCTAGTTTGACTTCGCGTCTCAATTCACCGGTAGAATGTCAGGATCTATTGGGCTGGACCACTCGGACAGTAATATATACTCTCTACCCTTGCGATTTTCCTCTACAGTCTTCCAAAGGACAGACACTGCGTGCTAGACCATCTTGTTCAACGACACAATGAAGTCCATCTTCCGATCTTATGCTTCAGCGACTCTTTTCGTTGGGTTTGTGTCCGGCCACACCATCTTCCAAGTAGGCTCATCTATGCTTTGATACTCATCAGCATTATTCTGCCTACTTACCTGTTTGTTTGTGGTACTCTTGCTAGGAAGTGTATGTGAATGGTGTCGATCAGGGGCATGAAGTTGGTATTCGTGTACCCAGCTACGATGGGGTGAGGAGCCCTATGTTCCCTCGCTGCATATTCCCCGCTGACTAGATCATCCTTACCTTCATAGCCTATCACAGACGTCACTTCGTGAGTAACAAAATGCGAGGACTGATCCGCAGACGTTGAGAAGTTGCTTATCAGGAACGACATCATCTGCAACGGTGGTATCAACCCTTACCAGGAGCCAGTCTCATCGGCCATCATCTCAGTTCCGGCTGGTTAGAATACCTTCTTTCTCTAGTTCCCAATCCACTATCTTAATTTACTCCTCCATATGTAGGTGCTAGCGTTACCGCTGAGTGGCACCACACCCTCGCTGGTGCAGACCCCACCGACCCCGCCGACCCCATTGATTCGAGCCACAAGGTCCTCTTCTACGCCATCCTCATTGGGTGACCGACGCTGATATTCCTTTCTCTGCGCTGACATGACATCATGATAGGGACCAATCATGACTTACCTCGCCAAAGTCGATAATGCCACCCAAACGGACGTCACAGGTCTGAAATGGTTCAAGATCTACGAAGACGGACTTACGGCCAGTACTCAGCAGTGGGCTGTGGACCGCATGATTGCGAACGCTGGAAAGGTCACATTTACTATCCCGGAGTGTATTGAGGACGGACAGTATCTGATGAGGCATGAGCTGATTGGTATGATAAATTGGCCCTCCTGTCTGTGGGGTGTCTACTAACACGCTCTTATGGATATTATCGTAGCTCTCCATGGCGCGAGTACTTATCCTGGTGCTCAGTTCTACGTAAGTTGCCATCTCCTTGAGCAGATAGATGAAGCTCTGCTGACGACATTACCCGTTTACAGCTGGAATGCGCTCAGCTTCAGATTACCGGTGGCGGCAGCGCCTCCCCCGCCACCGTCAGTTTCCCCGGTGCTTACGCTGGTGAGCCGTTTTATTTTGTTTCTACCCACTTTTTTATATGAATGCTGACAACGTTTCTGGTGCTACAAGGCTCCGATCCCGGCATCACTGTTAACATCTATTACCCTACTTTGACTAACTACACGATCCCTGGTGCGTACTTCAATCTGTATGTTCCATGGAGTATCCAAATATTTGCTGACTCTCATATTACGACATATTGTCCTACAACGAACAGGACCAGATGTCTTCACTTGCTGAGTGTATATAACTTAACCGTGTAGGTTGAAGGATGTTCTTCGTGATTTTGTCCATCCGTCTCTTCTTGTTCATATATAGCCTCCAATTTTATATCCTATCACAGGGTTGAATCATGTCCAGGGCCGTCGAATGGGACCATTTACGGGAGGAACTACCTGTCGTTCCAAGTCTATCTTTCCGGTATATCGAGATGGTGGAGGGACTTCCCACCCACACTTAGCGCACTACGAAGTGCCAGTGAGAAGGAAGACGATGGTATCGCCTGCTAAGTAAGCCCGTAATATATTCCTTTGCCTAAAGTCTGTGGACATAATCGTATGCGTGTCATTTCCTTGTCGTATACATGGTGTTCTATATGTACAGTACACTTGATTTGCTGGCATCTTATACCTTGCGTCGTGGTTATGTCGGTTCAACTTGAATCCGTAAGTGGAGGCCCATCTATATTTCAGAGTTCGATTATATATAGTAAGCGCTATGACTCAAACATGAAGCGGAAACTGTTTAAACGTACGTGCGGTTTTTGTTACTGCTCAATGGATTCGAAGTGGATACTAGCTTCACTGTCACCGTACTCGAAGACTATGATGTGGCACCCAATTATCGTTTGTTCTCACGTTCTGTGCCACCTCCTGTCCTACTGGACAGCGATTGAAATTGCATCCGAGTCGTCTGTCTGTCTTCCCCACCTCTTTTGCCATAGCTCCGTATTTTATTTTATATATAACTGGTAGCGTGAAGGTGAGTCGCTCTTGCCGTGCTATTCTTGCTTCAACTGTTACAGTACCACGTCCTTGGGAGACGTTTGAGACCCACTTCCGGACCATCTTTCCCCCACCATCATGTCTGACCAACAGAGACCCGTCCCGCCACTGCTCTTTCAAACTCTTTCCTAATACACGCTATCTGGTATCATCGAATGAAATGTATAAGAATGACATCGCGCTCTCTCACCATCTGGCGTGCTACTTATCTTCGACCCATCTAACGCTCATCCCATAAATCTCTTCCTCACGTCTTTCACTTCATCTAACTAGATTTTTCGTCATGCCCGCTATCTCAGCACCCGCCAAGGTCCTCGTCTCCGGCGCGAACGGATACATCGCAGTATGGGTCGTGCAGACCCTTCTTGAGAAGGGATACTCGGTTCGCGGAACAGTCCGGTCGGCGGATAAGGGAAAGCATCTGCAGGAGCTATTTGGGAAGTATGGTGATAAGTTTGAGTTTGTTGTTGTGGAGGATATCACGAAGGTGCGTTTCTATCCATCGGTTTACGTTTGTTAGATTTTGACTCGCGGGCTATGATGTGCGTAGGAAGGTGCCTTTGATGAGGCAGTGAAAGGTGTTGACGCGATCGAGCATACTGCGAGCCCGTTCCACTTCAAGTTCAAAGAGCCAGAAGGTTAGCTTTTCTCTAAGTCTACACTTTTGGATCTCATTGAGGTACGCATCGTCCAGAGCTTATCACCCCGGCTGTCAAGGGCACTGTCGGTATTCTCGAATCGACAAAGAAATACGGGTACGTTCTCGCCCTCTATTCCGGCTCATCCTCATCCTCACCGTCCTACACATGCTCATTTATCGGCCCTTCAACTGCCAAACATGAAAATAGCAAATCAGTCAAACGTGTCGTCGTAACTGCGTCTTGTGCTTCTGTCCTCCAATCCGGCTACAAGATTCCATCTAAATTCGATGAAACGTCCTGGAACGAACCCGCCATCAAGGATGTGACCGAGAATGGAAACAAGGCGAACCCCGGGAACATCTACCGTGCGTCGAAGACTTTGGCTGAGAAAGGTACGTTGTCTGAGTCCTTATGTGGAGGTTGTTGTGCGTGGAGTTGAGAGCGATCTCGCAACACAGCTGCTTGGGAGTTTTATGAGAAGAACAAGTCCGAGATTGGTTGGGACCTGACGGTGTTGAACCCTCCGTTCGTTTTCGGTGTACGTTCTACTCTTGTTCCCTCCTTCCTCCTCCGCCATCGGCTGATCGCCACATCATCCACATCGATATATAGCCCCCAATTCACGAAGTCTCATCCCTCTCCTCCCTGAACACATCCATGCAACAACTCTACGACGCCGTCGTCGCCGGTAAACTCTCCAACGAGGCCCTGGCCTCGGCCTCAAACTGCTGGATCGATGTGCGGGATCTCGCTAATGCACATGTGTTGGCGGCAGAGAAGGAGGCGGCGGGCGGGGAGAGGATGATCGTTGCCTCGGGGTGTTATTGGTGGCAGGATTTCGGTGCGTTTATTTGTTTTTGTGCCCTTAATCTCCATGCGTTCTTTCGTTTGTCCACTTTATCTTCGTTTGCGTACAATTCCTTTGCTTTGGGTGTCTTCTTTTTTTCCACTTTCTTCACGACCATTCGGAGAGCTGACGTAAATACATACATTCAGTCGACATCGCCAATGCCATAACACCTCCCATCCTTCCCAACCTCCCAAAGGGAAACCCCGGCAGCACCAAAGCAAAGAAATACGAGCTCTTGTATGATGTCTCGAAAGCGGAGAGAATTTTGGGGATCAAGTACATAGGCGTAGAGCAGATGATAAAGGATTGTTTGGAGGATTTCAAGAAGAGAGGGGAGGCGTGAGGGCATGGGGATCCAGAGTATGTATTCAATTCGGATGGGTAGGAGTGTATGGAAGGAATGGAGTTGAGGAAGTGGAGACAGGGTTTGGAGACTTGAGGAATGTGTACTGAATATGTAAGTTCAGGTTTTTTGGAGGATGTGGAAAAGAATACTTGTATCTTTAAGGACAGCTGTACAATCTATGTGACAAACACGCTAGTATCATTGACAAGGAAGTGTATGCAGTTTGTCGTCCGAATGAATAGCCATGTTTTGATGGCCTATGTTTTGAGCTCTGCTCCTCCACGAATGACGGATTCTTGCAGAAAAATGGTCGATTATTATATTCAGATTAATCGCGAGCAGTTCAGTCGAAGATTAGTCGAAGAGGATGAGGGGTGGCGCAGGTCAACCAACGCCACATCTCAGGAATCCGATTTTGATCTCACGTAGCTGTCGTCCAACCGCGCTACACCACGGCGAGGATTCCACCACTTGTGCAATAGACGGCATTGGTATTTCAGACAGAACAAACAAAAATGTATTTATACGGCGCGCACTGGATTGTACAGGTATCAGGCCAGACAACAGACAACATGTAGAGTCAAATTCGGACGAGTAGTGTGGCAATTCCAAGCGCAAGACGAGCAAAGGGGTAAATGTTGAACAATAGAAAACAACAGGGGAAAAAGAAGAAAGAAAACAACAAGCAGAAAACGAGCTCAGGAGTCGTGCAGTCATCCATCCATCAGAGTAGTGTATCGTACGAATCGTGCATATCATAAATATTCGTGCAAAAAGAAGCATAAGAGGTCTTGCAATCGTACACTCATTCCGCACTGAGATTGACTCAGATCAGATCGGTACACTCGGTTTGGGAGCCTTCAGCCCAGGTGAATCGCCTGCGCTATACCCCCTCCGATGACCTTGAACCGGTGCCCCACCACCGACGCTCTCCGGCATGCCGCCCATTCCATTCATACTGTTCACACTTCCCATACCACCCAAACTGCTCATTGATCCGATCCCGGGCATGCTCATTCCCATACTTCCCATGTTAGGACCACCGCCCATCCCGACGCCAAGAACCTGACCAAGCAGCAGTTCCACCTTCTCTCTATCCTCATCCAACCTCCTCATTTCCTCTACCCACCTCATCTCCCTCCTCTCATAGATGCCCCCCAATGCACTCAAACTCCCCAATGCAGCCTCCAATGCCCTCCTCAACTCTTCTTCTCTCTCTCTTCCACCCTCTCCATTGGTCGTAGGAGATCCGTCAGAGGAAAGGGATGAGCCTCCGGCAAGGGAGAGGCGGTCGAGGAGAGATGTTACCTGGGAACGAGCGGCTTGACGTTTGGAGGCGAGATGAGAGAAGGAAGAGCGGATCGTGGACATTTCGGGGGAGCGGGTGAAGGCGTGGGGTGAGCGACGGAGGGAACGGGATGACAGGGAGTGGAGGGTGTTGTTGTGTGATGGAGAGGCGAGAAGGACGAGCGTGGCGTCTGTTTCTCTGTCAAGAGCTTGGAACTACATGCGAGCGTAAAAATAAGTATATGCGTTGATGGAAATCGAAACAGTATAAAATCAGCACGTACAGCACGGACCAAACCCTCCCACCTCGTCTTCCACCGCCTCCGTCTCTTATCTAGATTGCTCACATAACTCGGATGATACTCCAACTGCAACATTTCATCCTCTTCCCCATCTATGCCTCCTGTCATCGCCAAATCGTCCTCCTCATCCACCCACTCACCCTCTTCGAAGTCCTCCGGCTCACTCAACGTACTATCCTCCGCTCCCCACGCGTTATCTATCCTCTCGGCGGAAACGGAGGGGGTACGGCCATACCGCTCACTGGGCGCAGCTTTCGAATCGAGTTCCCCAGCCGTCTCTTCACCAGAACTCAATTCGGGACTCGTCTCCCTGGGTTGCGTACTCTCAACCCTAGGCGGTGGCTTCCTCGTCCCATCTCCCTTCGTCCCGCCTCCCTTCGGACCTCTGACCGTCCCACCCTGCGTCATTCGTAGGTTAATTGATCGTTCCCGTTTCCGTAACGCTCGACTTCGAAGTTGTGGTGGGATCGGCAGATGGACGGGTTCGTGACTCGGTGACGAGCGAATACTTGCGGCTGAATCCATACGTCCTCTTCCGCCAGCACCGTTACCAGCGCCATATCCGCCGCCCATGCCCATGCCCATTCTCCCATACCCACCTGCTCCGTTCATCCCATACCCACCGTTCATCCCATTCATGGCACCCATCATACCACCTCCACCAACGGTTCCAGGGCCTCCAAAGACACGCGTAGTCTGCAAGAACTGCCAAGGATTATACCCTGGACCGGGGAAGGGCGTCGAGCTCGGACTGAGCGTCGAATCCGAGACCATCCCTCCGTTGTTCAAGGCCCATATCTGCCTCTGTAACGCCATCTGTTGTCGGATCGCTTCCTCGTCATAAAGAACGCTCATCCTCCCTCCTGCGTCGCCTCCACCTTCGCTCATGCTCATCCCACCTGGTCCACCTCCGCCTCCAGCACCGTTCACGCCACCACCACCGCCGTTCATACCAGCCATGCCCATGCCCATCCCATCAAACCCATCCAGGCCCGTCCCCGTATTCGTCCCCGCATGCGACTCTGCATATCCCATCCCTCTCCTAATATGTCCATAAGGATACGGGTACGGCGAGCCACCCGGCGGAATTGGACTATACGGCGGAAGGACCGGTTTCGAAGAGTTGTTTCCTGCGAGGTTCGCGTGGCCTGAGATCAGAGGCGAGGGAGAGGGAGGCGCGGTTTGGCTATGCGGAGTCGGGGGAATGGGCGCTCCGGGGCGGGAGTTGGCGGAGGTGAGGTTCGAGTGGGTGTTCAGGTTGTTTGAGTTGGGATTGAGATGCGAGGAGTCGTGCGAGTTGGAGTTGGAGTGCTGAGAATTGTTGGTGGCGTAGGCGTTTAGATTGGAGGGAACGGTCTGAGCGTTGAAGTGATAATTCGCGCGAGAAGCGATGGGTGAGTTCAGGTAGTCTTGGTAAAACGCCGCAATGGGATCCTCGAAGTGTTCGGTTTCGAGGTAAGGCCCCATTTGACGAAGGACATGATCTGGGATTCGAACATCAGGTCGATGATGAGGTTGTAGTGGCGGATAACCTGAACGTATTTGTAACAATCGTCAGTTCGCTTGCATCTGCTGAGCAACCAGATGATGACGATACTCACTCTGCCCGTACCCCCTCTGTCCATCCTGCTCTCGCCGTGAACCATGCTGCTCCCTCTCCTCATGTTCGTGCTCATGCTGTGGCGTTTCCCCGCCAGCTCTCAACCTATCCACCACCGTACTCTCAAACAAATGACTATCGAACGTCCTCAAACCCACATGATCCGTCGACCCATTCCTATTCTTCACCCTCGGGAGCTGCTGTCTAAACGGTGAGTTCTTCCCACCGCTCGCACCGATACTGTCCCCACGAGAGTGGCCGAAACTGTCGCCGCGAGCGTGGCCCGTACTATCTCCGCGAGAGTGGCCTGCACCATTACTATCCCCGCGACTGTGGCCTCCGATCCCTGTACCATCCGCACGAGCAGCGCCAGTCGACCCAGACCTCGGATTCGCATTAGGGACGGGAATATCAGGCGGAAGCGCCTGCACAGGCGACCTCGGCGTATAACTCTCATCGCTCTGATCGACTTCCTGCTCCTGCTCCCTTTCCCTCTGTCGCTCTTCGTCCCTCCCTCTGCTACCCTGGCTATGCGGCGACCGTGCGGGTGACTCATGTCCATGCCGGCTCCTTCGCCCGTCTTCTTCGAGATCAAAATCGTCAGAATCGGAGGGGAGAGGGACGTCGTCGAATCGGTGGAGGTTGATGTCCGCGGAAGGACGGGGGGAGTAGATGTGCCGGGCTGGATCCCTGCGCGGATCGTCTTGCTGCTGCTGGGTCTGGGTCTGAGGATGCTGCTGTCGATAGTCATTCCCAGCGGCGGAAGTAGGCGAATGCCACCTCTGCGACTGAGGTTGCGCGGGGGGCTGCGAAGGCCGTCCGAAGTCCCGTTCGTGCTCGTGCTCGTGCTCGTCCTCCGGTTCTTCCTGGAACGGTAGAGACTTGTCGGGTGTGCGCGCCATGGACTGGAGAGGGGGGGTTTGGCCTGCGTTCGTCGTGGTCTGGTACACGTGCTGTTGCTGGGACGAATGTTGCGAGGGTACGGAAGTCGTGGAGGAAAGCCTCGACACGGCGGGTGGTGTGCCTCGAGCCTCTCCTGCTCCTCCTCCAGTCCCGTGTTCAGGCGAGCCAACGGGCGTACGATATGCCGGAGAGTTATCCCTTTCCCGCTCGCGATCACGGGAAGGCGAGGTCGAAGAAATGACCTGAGGCTGAGGTGGAAGTTCGCGCTTGACGGATCCTCGACGCTGCAAGCTCTCCCTTTCCCTCTCCCTCTCGCGCGGACTCAACTCCCTACTCTCCCGCTTACTCCCTCTATCTCTGTCCCCCCTTCCCCCATCCACACCTCCCATACTTCCCATCGACCCGGCACCACCGCCCATACTTCCACCACCACCCATACTGCCTATGATACCCTCCCTGGGTGGACTCCCACTCTCGAATAACGCACTCCTCGGCAACGAGTTCGAAGACGCGCCACCCGCATACGCCACCCCCGACGTCCCGTACAGATTTTGGTTCGGAGGCGAATGACTATCGCCTCTTCCCGCTCCAGTTCCAGTACCAGTTCCGGTTCCAGTACCGATACCACCAGCACTTCCAGGTAGCGGCACATTATGCGGCTGTGGCATCCCAGAACCAGCAAGTATCCCCCCACTGGCCGGATAAACGCTCGCCATGCCCATGCCCATACCCATGCCCATACCGCTTCCTACGGGTCCCATCCCGACGCTCGAGAGATTGCTCCCTACGCTCCCGACGCTGCTGAGCGTCCCGTGTTGCTGGGCGGCGTGCGCTTTATCGATATCGGCCATCAACTGGGGCGTCATCTGGAACGAATCCATCCTGTCCATTCTGTCCAGCGGAGGCACGGGGATACGGCGTGGGAGGGTTCCTCCTCCGCCCTGTTGTTGTTGCGACTGGAATTGCTGCTGGAACTGGGCTTGTTGTGATTGGAACTGTTGTTGTTGTTGCTGTTGGGCGTACGCGGGATGTAAAGGCACCGAAGGCTGCGATAACGAATGTTGCGGACCCATCGGCATCTGGTGTCCCTGGCCCTGCATATGCATCTGCATCGGAAGCGACATCGACGAACCGTGGTGGATGTTCACGTTCGGTTGTGACATGGAATGGACGGGTCCCGGTGGCGGGGGGCCGTGTGGGAATGAGGAGGATGGGGGTGGCGGGGTGTAGCTGTGGCGCTCCCTTTCTCTGTCCCTTTCTCTTTCTCTGTCCCTTTCACGCTGAGGATCGCGTTCACGATCACGATCACGGTCGCGCTCGCGGTCTTGGACTTGGACTTGAGCCTGCGCCTGCGCCTGTCTTTCCGGGCTCGGCGACTCAGCTTTCGGAGACCTCGAAGCGTTCGGCGAAGGTAACTTCCTCGCACTCGGTTGTAACGGCGCCACTCCTGCTCCTCCCCCTCCTCCTCCTCCTCCCATACCCATCCCTCCTCCTCCCGTCCCCATCCCCATCCCCGATCCCATGCCCATCCCCGTTCCCATCCCCGTCAACGTCCCCGGCAAAGTCAATGGCGAACTCGCCCTCCTACTCGTAGAAACATGCGATCCTGAGCCAATAGATCCAACGCTCCCGATCGACCCCGTGTGGGAGGCTATGGAGGTGGTGGGGGAGGGTTGTTGGTTGTGGGCTTGGGCTAGTTGGGCGTGGTTGTGTGCTTGTGCTTGGGAGAGTTGGGTGTGTGTTTGTGCTTGGGCGTGTGTTTGGGAGAGTTGGATTTGGGACTGCGAGGCGGATTGGGAGGTGGGTTGGGAGGCGGATTGGGATGGAGGGGATTGGGTGGTGGAAGAAGAGGAGGGGAGGGTGTTGGTGGAGGAGATGGATTGGCCGCGGGTGGGGCGGTTGCGGTCGCGTTCGCGGTCTGCGTTGGGATTTCGTGCCATGGTGGGTCAGAGTCGGAGAGGGTTTAGGTTGGAGGTAGGGAAGAGTTGGAAGAGGGTGGCGTTGAAGTTGGAGTTCGGGTTCGAGTTGGAGTTGGAGTTATGATCGAGGGTGGCGCATAGAAACAAAAAAAAATGTAAGAGAATGGAAGACAAGAAGGAGAAGAAGTTAATAACACGGGACGGAGAACTCAAAGTTACGAAAGTTCGGATGAGAGGAAAGAAAAAAAGAACGAAAAAAGAAAGAGGAAGAAAGAAAGAAAGGCTCACCTCGTTCCCGCTCCGCTCTCTCGCGTTCACGGAAGGAAGGCGAGGGCGAGGCCGTTCGGGGAGACATGTTCGGACCTGTTGGCGTGCGTTTCATGAACATTGTGAGTACGATGACAGTGAGCAAAAGAGAGAGAAAGACGCCGTTAGTCTTGTGACTGGAAATTGTAAAGGGACGGGTGTAAACGTGGATAAGGGTTATGGTTGCGTAGAGAAGAGGAAGGTGGCGCAATGGAGCTGAACACCACCAACAACACACAAGCCCCAGCAGACAAAAACACAGGACCACAGGACCACAAGTCGAGCCCCCGTGGTGTGTCCTTCGAAGGGGGTTCAAACGAGGCAGGAGAGGGCCACGCAAGCGCTGACCTCACTGAAGTTTTACACTCGGATCTCAACGAGCGATCGAGTTCGATCTTTCTTTCTTTGTGACGGCGAGGCGATGACGAAGTTGATAGCGAAAAGGTAAAATAAAGATAGAAAAAAAAATAAAGGAAGGAAGTGAAGTTGAAGTGACAGGAAATAGCCTTACCTTGCATGGCCGCCAGTTTCCTATTCAGCGGAGGCGATTGCGTGGTCATTTTGGGAGGGTGGCCGTGATGAGTACGTAGTACGTAGTCGGGGCGATTTCGATTGGATGGGATGGCAAGTTCAAATCGAGTGAGCGATGCGTCTTATTCGGACTAATAAGAAGCGAACAGGAGATAGACGAGCGGACAGGTGGCAGTGAAAGGAGGATGTGAGGGCGGGGGCGAGGTAGAGAGTAGAAAGGGAGTCGGGGGAAGGTAGATAGGACAACAGGATGGGATCTGTATCGGAGCGTGAAAAGGGACGTACAAAAGGATGACTGTGCGGCTAGTCGACTGTACTCGCGGTTCCAACGAGGCCTGGGACGCGGCTGGCTGGTGAGATTCGCGAGAGGGAAGAGAAGGAAGAAGAGGACGGGAGGCAAGCGAAGGCGTGCAGCCTGCAGGCGGAGCACAATTGCAACGAGGTAGGTGCTCAGTGGGCGGCCTCGTATGGCAATCTACGCCTCGAGGCAGATCACAGCTGCAGACGCCTCGGTCCGGATACAATTCGATGTCAGTCTGATTATTTCGCCTCGCGCACGCGAATATAAAGCCAGGCCGTCTTCATGCCCAAATAGTACACCCTTGTTGACCTCGCCGAATCGGGACACAAGGAGGAGAACAAAGACGGCGGTCGACGTGCGATGTGGCGACTCGCGGAAGCAACAGACGATCATCGCCAGCCAGACGGCGGGTTACGTCACCACGCTCGCCGACGTCCGTTTCCCGCGAGCCTTGTTTCCGACTCTGGGACGCTCGAGCCTTTGTTAGACGCCCCTTCGTCCCTATCGATGCTCGTATATGAACGTGTCCTTCGAGGAACGTAGGAGGCACGCCGCATCGCTATCAGTAGCGTCGGCGATGATGCCTCGTATGGCGTAGACGACGCTTCGGAGATTCATGCAAAGTTGGGTGGCGTGCCTCGAGGAGACGGTCAGTACGGCTATAACGTCTTTGTACCGACGTGGGTGACGTTGTCGTCGCCAACGCAAACTGACCATTCCTCTTTCACCAATAATGCTTTGCTACACAGGTCCCGGACACATTACGTCAACCATTCCGCGTGGCAAAGGACTCACAACTTGAAGCGCCTGTGAGCCCGAGGTCGTCGCTCGAACGATTAGCCCCTATTCATTCTCTCTGCAGTCTAAACATACACAGCCTTCCTCCTCCCGACCCTTCAAAGCGTGATCCACGCGTTCGCTGGGTGGCAAGTTCTATCCCGGAACGCTAGCGACGTTCCGCTCCGCCGACTCTTGGTTCTCGCCAGTGACCCTCCGGACTCTCATAGATGGGGTTGTTATCACTCAAGCTTGAGAATGGACGTTCATTCATGTAACGAGATGAACGACTGTCGCACTATTCATGCATTTCATGTCCCTGTACCGGACCTCTCGCCTTCATTCTCTCCATATGCTCATGCCTATCAGTGCGCACACAGGCTACCACTATGTACATTTCCCAGGGCCCGTACAGTTGTCGGTCACTGCCAACCCACACCCGGCGCACTTCGCCCTCCTCATCCAGTCTCGTAACACGCACAACAGGTCAGGAAGCTCTAGAGCCTACCTCTCATCCGGGATCCCCATCCTCTTACACTTCAGTAGCCTCAAAGTCCGACTCGTCGAGTTCGAGACTTTCGCCGCTCAATCAAGTTTACTGTAACGCTTGAAAGAGCAGGCCGAAGCGTGCGTCGGGCGTGTGGTGGCGTTTGAACTTAGAGTTGGAGGTACCACTCGGACTCATCTTTCACTGGCGGTTATGGTCATTGCCCCTGTACACTTCTCGTCTCTGAATCATCGACGCCCGTTGACTCGAACGCATGTTTGCGACTATACCGGACGTCGAGGTACAATTGTACGTACTTCGCGTACACAGATCATACTGTAGATGTCTAACTGCGGACTCGGAAGGGCGCTCAAAGTCTAAGGTTCAGAACATACATATGCTCATTCTGAGCAGCTTACCTTTACTGTGTGTACTTCAAGTCGTATAGGATCATACGTCCACTACTTACTACGTCACCGTTGAGTTAAGAGGAGTCTGCTTGACAGCCTGAGATACGACATCATAAGTACATGTATGTATGCTAATCACAGACAGAAAGTCGAGTTTGATTCTAACTCGAATATTATCAATATAAGTACCTTACATCGAGGAAACTGGAGGTTGAAGATCCCGTGAACGTGCTATGTCTCCGTTCAAAGCGTCGGTCAGGTGAGAAGGAAGTGGACTCACTTCATTCGCAAGAAAACCAACCAACCAAATGTCCATGCTCGCAGAGTCGAGTAGCTATAATCCTTCCAACTCATCTAAGGCTTCCGCACAACAAGTAAAAGAATCGCAGGGAGAGCAAAAAGATGAGATTGATAATAGCCAAGTGGTCTAACTGCCCCAGTGAGGCTCGAACTCACGACCTTCCGATGTTAACTGCTCTCGCGAGAGAAAGAACATAACAGTCGGACGCTGTAACCAACTCAGCCATGGGGCAGATGAAATAGAAATTGCTGTAATGAGTATGACGCAATACGGCGATGGAGAAGGCGAACGCGGTTTTCCACGGGTAAAGCTGACCCGACCTTCGCATTCAAGCTTGTTTCCCCTGTCTGTTTTCTTCACTTCTTTCTCTTCGCTGTTGTCGCACATGATATTGACATCAAGATGGATGCAAGACCAGTGGTGGAATACACAGAGACACCGCCATATCTCGCACAATACCTGCATTACTTACTTCTAACTTGAAGTCCCCGAGTTCAAGTTGTGCACCTCCGAAGCTGCATTCTCTTCTGACTGGGATCTGGAAGTCAACACCAAAATCGCAAAGTCGCCGCCAGCTCAAGCAAAATGTGGCTCTAACATCGACCGATTGTCAATTCAGTCGAGTCGGCTCGCCAGAGTTCTGATGTGTGAGGACTTAACACCACACTTAGAGCTCATCTTTGACCCTTTCCTCGTCAGCCTTCCCATCCGACGAACCCACAGCCTCCTCTTCCGTCGCCCTCGTTCCTCTCTTCTCCAGCCCCTCCAACCAGCTCCTCATGACTTTATTAGTCTCGACTGGATTCTCAAGGTGTACCCAGTGCGCGCCGTGGAGTTCCTGTATATATAATATACAAAAGAAGAAGAGGATGGTGTCGTGGAAATTAGTATGAGTGTCGATGATTCGATGGGTTCGGTGTTGGTCAGTCAAAGCCGGTCCGGGGGAGGATAACGATGAACGTACATGCATCTCATAATCCGGCAAGAAATCCGCCGAATGTAATAGTTTCGCAGCGAGGACCCAGTTCGCTACGGGATCCTATAAATAGTCAAGTGTTCAGGTTCATCAGTCAGCGAATTCGCATTGTTCTACCAAGAAGATGGAGATGGATAGGAGCGGAAGAAAGGAGGGGAGAGTGAACTTGAATGAGGGGGATTGTGAAAGAGCTTACCTGGTCAGGCAGGATACTCAGCACTGGTTGGGGGATCGTGTGATTCCCGTGATCATGCGCGATTTTCCAGGATGCTTTGCGGTTCTAGGGATTAAAATTTAGGTTAGTTCATCTGTCGTCCAGGAATTATGATACAGTAACAAAAGGACAGACCTCGGTAGTGTAGAACTGCAACGCTGTATGTCCGAACGAACACGTAGACAAGCATGAGGAGAGAGTCAGCAACGTGATCAACTATGATAAAAAATAGGTGAACAGATAGATAGAAGGAGATGAAGACGTACTATTCCTAAACCCCTGAATCGCATACTGTTCCACCCAGTAATCCTCCTCGTCCGGCGTAAAGAACGGAATCGGGTCGATCTACAAAATCACACCCCCCCACGCACGCATCAGCACACACTCCTTCGCTCTCCTCCTCACATCACAAAACGCCAAAGTCAACAAAAGAACACACCTCCCCAACCTCCCTCCACCCCTCCAAAAAGCTCTCCCGACTCTCCAAAAACCCACTCGGCGGCGCAGTCTCCACAGTCCTCAACGTGCCCCTCAACGTCCTCCGTACGTCCTTCTCGAGCTCTGCGATCGCGGCCGGCGTCGCGCTATCGAAGAAGATCTGGTAGGAGAGGCGGGGGAGTTGCGTGGTTAGGGCTGCGATGGGGATGAAGGGGCCGTGGGAGGGAATGTACTGTTCCGTGTCCGCGCGATGTTAGCATGGTGTGCAGGATGCTGTATTGTATTAGGAAAGACGCACGGGGATCGCGATTCCGACGATTGCGGTGAATATATCAGGTCTCGACCTCGCCGCCTCGTAACAGATCTGGGAACCCCAATCGTGCCTGCAAGTCAGATCACGAGCCATAGTCAGCACTTCATGTTATCTTGATCGTGGAAAAATGTGATGAAGTTCGGAGGCGAAGGACCAAGAGACATCACCCAATTTTAGGTAGGACGAAGGAAAAAAGAAAAACGGCGAGGAAGATGACAACGCATACTCACCCAACACAAATCGCCTTTTCGACGCCCGCCTTCTCCAACACACAAACAAGATCGGAGACCATATCGCCCATATTTCCCGAGGACTTGACATCGTCTGGATGTGTCGACGAGCCGAACCCACGGAGGTCGGGGACGAGGAGGCGGTAGTCATCCTGCAGAAGAGGGAAGGTGAGTAATATGTATAGGAAGATTAGAATGATATAGTGTGGGTGGGATGGCGAGTGAGGAGAGGGATGGGTGGATGAAGTGTGGAGGGACAGGGGTTGGACGGATATGATGCACGTTAGGAGTAAATGAGCTATTGGTTTAGATGTATATGAGGGGTATGTGAAGAAGTGGTGGTATATTTGCTGCTCATTGAAGAAGAAAAGTTTGTGAATGCCAAGATATACCTTAAATTCCTCGATCTGGTACTTCCAGCTACTCCAGAGACTGGGCCACCCATGAACGAAGATCATTGTCTGTTCCGCTTCGGGGTTTATATCCACATAATCTACAAGACGGTAGTGTCAGTAACAATTATCATCGAGGAGAAGTAAGTCCACGATAGAGCATAAAGGGTCATTGATGTGTAGGAGGAAACAATAGGGGCTAGAGCGAACTGTGGCGTATTTTTTGGGCGCGGAGGGTGGCGCTCGAGATTACGCCAGTCCCTCTCTTCGTCGTACAAACGGTGTTACCTCCGAGAGGTCGTAACGACAAGAGTCTAATCCATTGTGCAACGACATGGGGTTTCCACCCATTGAATCGTCTAATTTGAGGCATCCGGGTCATGCGGGTGGTCATAAAAGACTGACCGAGCAGTGCCGTCTTTCAACGACGTCTCCCTACGTTCAATGCATAAACCTCTTCAACGCTTACAAATCCTTTTAAATCCTTTTAAATCACACGTAGTTTCCAACCACCCATGTAACCCACCTCCAACAAACTCCGTCCACCTCTATCGAGCACAAATGAACAAAAAGGCAAAGAAACAACACGCACGAATATCGATGTCCACATCCTTCCCTTCTGCCCTATGCACAGCTTTACACGTCGCCACCTCTTTTTTGTAGCTTCGAGGATTAAACGGCTCTGCAGAAGACGAAGCAAGGACGACAGAGAACACGGATAGGAGCGTCGCGAGTCTGAGGAAGGAGGTAGAGAGTATCATTTTGTTCTTCAGTCTGAGACGCTGAGCCTGGTATCCAAGTTGAGAGAATGGTCGTTGGGAATAGTCCTGAAGCGCAAGTTGTCGTCGTCGTCGTTCAAGACAGTGAGCAGATTGGAATGGAACAATGGCGAGCGCCAAAGATAGAATGATCGTCGAACAGAAAGTTCCGGAGCCGGACGCAAAAATGGAGGCATATCGCCGGACCGGTTTACTTGTTAGGCACCACCCGTCTTCATGTGAAAGTCATGGTCAATTAATATTGGCAATGAGGTATGGTACAAAGGTCGAGAGGGCTGTGGACATGAGAGAAGAAGGGGAAAGTGGTGAATGTGTGCGTGCGTTGTGAGAATGTCAGAGAAAAAGAAATTTAGATGTGGCGTAACCGAGTCGGCACCGGGCCACACCACTATTACGCCTCCGAGCTCTCGCCGTAAGGTAATTACATGCGATGAATGCAAGTATGTAGTGATGTGAAATTATAGACCAAGTAATACGTGCGTACAGTGAACCAGGAAAATGGATATACAGTTGCAACGAAAGCCTGTCCTTGAGACCAACGCAAAGCGATTCGCGAAGGCCTGAGCAAAATATGCATGAAGAGGAAGAAGAAAAGAAGATGCCACCCCAGGTCGAAGGAAAGACCAAACACCCCCAAAAATATCGTCCACTGCTCAAAAGCCGATCCCTACAGCACATTTCCATCCAGCTCTGAACACTACTCACTCAACTCTCCCCCAAGCCGTTCCCCATCCCTCCGACAGCAACTCCGGCACACTCCCCCACAAGTCATCTTCCACCTTCTCCCTCTCCCGCTTCAACGCCTCCGTCCGACTCACACCCCCAGAAACGTAGTCCGCACCCCCAATGCCACCGCCTCCATCCCCAAGTGTCTCGTCGACTTCGACGCAATGCACCTCCAAAGTGCCCACCAAGCCGCGAATCCTCTCTATCGCCTCTGCATGCTCTTCAGCAATTGCTGGATCCACAACAAACAGCTTCACCATCCCAATCCTCCCGCTCTGCCCCATTCCCATCCCCGCCGCCAAACTCGTTCCGATCCCCGTCCTAGTCACACCACCCGCCCTCTCCCTTCTCGCCAAAACCCTCGCCAACAACTCGATCGTGCCCATCGTCCTTCTCCCCCCACTCCTACCACTATTCATACTGTCGTCTCCATCGCTATCTCCATCGCCATTCCTCCCGACCCTTTCGAACGGTCCAACGACACTCAAGACTTCCAACGACCTCGGATACCCCTCCCCCAACCTCTCCCAAACATCATACCGCAGCGCGCGCTCACAGACCGTCAATTCACGAAGACTGGGCGCTTGCAGCAGACCGTTCGTGCTACACGACTGGAGGACGTAGGGCTCGGTTTGATTTTGGTCGGTGAGCGAGAGCAGAGGATGCGGGAGGATGAGTGCGAGGGAGGTGAGATGTGTGAAGTCGAGGGGGGTAACCATGTGTGGGGGGTTGTATATGTTCGGTTCGGGGTCGTTTTCGTGAATGGCGTGTACGTCGTCAATGTCGAAGGAGCTGGAACCGGAACCGGAACCGGAGCTCGATGACGTTCCTGTTGACGAAGAAAATGTCGAAGGCGGGAAGGATGATGATGACGATGAGGCGGACGGTAAATTCCATTCCCTCTGTCTCGAATACTTCAACACTTCCCTCCCTCCCTGTCCACCCTGCCCTCCTCCTCCTCCTTCACCACCACCACCACCCGCGCTCCCCGGCGGATCCGAAAAACACGCGATCCCGCCCTTTCCATCCCTATCCAACGCAAAAAGCTGCACGTCCCTCTTCCGAATCTCTACATTCTTCGCGCCCCTGAGCTCCGACTCTGAATCGTGTGGAGAGCGCGGGTGGAGGTACGGTCTGGACCGGGATAGGAGGAGGATACGGGAGAAGATCGTGCTGGGTGAGAAGTGCGAGACGGATGCTGAGTGGGATACAGCGTCGGGGTCTGCGTTGGTTGTGTTGGGGGGACCAGGAGGGACGGGAGCTGGGAGGAAGCGGCGGGCTGGTGGCGATTGTTCGAGACGGATGGCGGTAAAGGCTGGGAGACGGAGTTGGGCGAGCAAGGTGTGGAATGCCTGGATCGTTCGTTGTTCGAGCGTTAGATGCTTCAGTCTATCCAACACGACCGGCTCGTACCCTCGTCTCTCACCTCCCCCTGCTCCTGCCACTCTCCCACCACCACCACCACCACCGGTAGCTCTATCGTCGGGCTCCGGATCAGCTTTTGGGAACCACTCCGACAAAACCAAAACCTCCAGCCCCGCACACCTCCTCAACAGATCCAAAAACTCGCCCAAGCCCACTTCCGGCCTCTCACAGCCGCTCAGCGCTAAATGCGTCAGTCTCTCAAAATGGTGTCCCGGCCACGCACTCACGCCCTTGAAATACAACCTCCTCAACTTCGGAAACCTGCTCCTAAACACAACCTCCGGGAAAATCGTCCCCTCCCTCTCCCCCTCTCCCGTGCCCGTCGCAGCGGAACTAGCATCACAAACGAGCGACTCCAGTATTGGCATCGAAAGCCCATCGAGCAGATTACCACGATATATTTGCCTCGAGGTGCAGAGCGATTTGAGACGGTTCGAGTGCAGGAAGATGGTGCGAGGCATGGAGCAGTGTATGTCCGAGATGTAGAGCGGGGCGTTCTTGGAGCGTTCGAGGCAGAGGTTGACGAGACCCCATTCGTTCTTTTCGGGTTCCCAGGCGCGCGGCCAGTCGTTCGTGCTCATCGATGCCTGGGGCGATCCACCATCGCCTCCACCGCCGCCGCCGCCACTACCACTGCCAGGACCGACGCCGAGCCCATACCCAAACCGAAACCCATACCCGCCCATACCCACATCCACCCCGCTACCTTCAGCCAACAAATCCGGACTCGGCACCGGCCCATACCTCGGCCCATCTATCCTCGCCCAAAGGCCCGTATGCAACAACGCAGCATGCCTCCATTTCCGACATACGTGCGAGAGCGAAAGCGCGGTGCGGGCGCGTATGTTGAGGCGGAGGGAGATGGAGTGCGGGTCTTCGCCCCGGAGGTAGCGTTCGACGGAGCAGGGGTGGGCGGAGGTGAAGGAGAAGATGGAGCCGAGGAGTTCGGCGGGGAGGCGGTGGATGTGGGGGATGGGGAGTGGAAGGGGTAGTGGGAGTGGAAGTGATTGCGAGGTGGGGATGGAGGGTGGGGGGAACGAAGTTGAGGCGATATTTTGGGAGGATACTGATGTAGGTGCGAGGTTGGAGTTGAGGATCTGAATAAGAAGGGGATGAACGGTCAGCATGCAGGGGCTTACGAGAAGAATGATGAGGTTTAAACCTGTTGGGAATTAGAGCTCCGACCGTCAGTATCCAGCCTCAGTCTGAAAAGTTAGCGATAGCGAACCCGCGCCAAGCTCGGTCACTGAGAATCATCAGCGACTCCCGAAAGCAAAGGTAGAATCAACGCACCCCGGCTGTGGCTGTACGTCCAAGTGCATTCGAGTCGGTAACAATCTTGAAGACGACGCGATATTTGCGGCCCCAGTGTGCAGAAAGTAGGGATAAGTGTGGGATGATTCTGACGGTAAGGCGGTGAGCAGTGTTTGTGAGTAGTCTGACAACCTGGCGAGAGAATGAGAAGTTGCCTGTAAAGATGAAACGATTCAGCATATCGCTCCGTCAGTGGTATCCGAAAAGCAACGTGAAGAGGGCGAATGTCAAACCTGACTGCCCGGAGCAATACGAACCTCACCGGAATACCTGGAGAATAAACAATTGCACAACGATGAGCCCAGCGAGTAGGAATCCACATCCACCTTAAATAAAGAATTTATGCTCACTGCGACTGTCTGGACGGTTGATCATCCTCTACCATAGAGAATGGAAAAACGCCAGCTCCCTGCTGTCGTTGAATGGCCGACTCTTCAGGTCCAACAGGACTTGTCGGAATGTCAGTCGTCGGGGGTACTACAATTCGTGGCGGAGTCAGCCACGACGACGAACTGTGCACATTCAACGGAGTCGCGGTCACGGTACCAGTAGTAGTAAGTTCATCTTGGTTTTGGAGTACAGGTTCGGAGTCGGAGTCACGGTCACCCATCCTCGACGTCATAGCAGGAACGGATCGACGGCTGTCGATGATGGACGATCACGGTCGATGGCGGGCGGAGAACGAGTAAGGTTTTTATGAAGTCCTGCGGATCGAGCACAATCAGAACACGCGTGAGTCCTCGTGCCGGGAACAAGGTGCTTGTGTGGTTGGTGATAGTAGAACGTACTGTTTGTTTGACTAGGATATCTCAACACCTTATGGAATGCCTAGTAAAAGGACAGTCGAAGGCTTTTTGTCTGAGAGGGTATGTTGCGTCGAATGGTCCAGAGGACTTCGGCTATGCTCAGTGGACACGCAAGCGTATATCGCGCATCCGTATACGACTTCGGCGGATACTTATAAGACGAAGGCCTCAGAGAACGGTCTAGGCTACCTACGCAGCTGCACTCCCAATCACACGTGGAATCAACGTCGGACTCCACAAACAGCAGCCTTGGAGGAGTCAGTTTAGTTCGGGGTGCCCAGGGTGACCGGAGGTATTTGAAGTTTAGAGGTTGGAGAAGGACGTCGGTTCGAAGAGGGTGCGTTCGGACGGTCCATAAGTGAGTGTGGCCCGTGATAAAGAGCGTGGAGGATTATGACAATGCGCGAATCTTGATGTGTCGAAGAACCAAGGGCCATCGGGAGCGAATCAGCACCACGATCCTTCTTCACATTGACTGTCCATCATTTCGTCACCTCTGACCGACTCGGGCTGCATTCAACAACGTAAGTTAGCGTCGAGGTGTTTAGAGAAGCCTGGACCGGTGGGGTGATACAGCGTCAGCCAGGAAACACGTCAACAAGCGCTAAGAGGAAACAAGACGAGGAAGGAAATAGAGAAAAACATAACGTACATCTGGAGCCGCTTGGGGAAACAAATTCAGGAACGAGGGCGAACCACGAACGATTGAACATTGATTGAACGGGAAGAGTGGAAGAGTGACGTCGTGGGGCCAAACCATTGATGGGTTCGTCGGGTTCAAATTCCGCGGCCCCACCAATAAAGTTCGCGTGGCGCTCGGCTACCTAGTCTTTCGAAAGATGGTTGCTTACATAGGTGGCGTTCGCGTATTGGAGGAAGGGCTGCGAAGGGAAGCATGAGAAGGAGGGATGCGGTGAAGACGCTGCGTCATAGCTGTTGAACTTTGGTGGGCGTACGTAAAAGGAAGTTGGTGAGGTTGAATGACGGTGTTATGTAGCACCACCCGACCATGTTTGGCGAGTCGTCGGGCGGTCACTGCTTTTGCTTTAGAGGTTATGCAGTCTCCACTGGAACTCAGATATAAACCTCAGATCCAGATCCGTCCGCTCATCTAGAGATTGTGGTCATAATATAGTACATGTACAAGCGCCACACGCCCAGACCCAGAAGTAACCCTCCACTGCTGAATACATAATCACGTCGCCCTATCATACACCAATAATCGAACAACCAACACCTCATAGAGGTTGTTGCAATTACCACAAAGAACTCCATCCATCGGAGCAAGCTATCGCCACCCAACGACCCGAAGCAAACGCCAGTCTCATCAGTACCCCAAGTATCATACACCAGTCCAAATCCCAACCCAAGTCCAGAACGCAGTCCAACCCCAATAAAATCTAGCATCCCATCGAACTTAATACCTCCACGTAGGCCTCACCACTCCATCGCCACCCACACACTCACCCATACTTCTCGGCCTCCCAGACCCCCTCGCCCGACTCGCCACCGTTTCCCTCCTCAAGGACCCCGACCCCCTCCCAATCCCAACCATCCTGACCCCCTGACCCCTCTCGTTCCCAGCACTCGGTGACCTCCCAACCGAACTCCCGCTCGACACACTATACGACCGACTCCTCTCCTCCGAATCCTCACAAAAATCGAGGGCTTCGCACAAGCCGTGTACCTGAAGAAGACCTGAGCGAACCTTGACCGTCGATGGCGAGCTCGCGAATAAGGCGCCACGCGAAGCGATGGGCGATCTACTGGTGTTACCACCAGCGTCCTGCACACGAGACGGAGTATGAGAAGCGATAAAAATATCGCAAGTCGACTCGGAGTTCGAAGGCGTGAGAGGCATGGCCTGAGGGCGAGCAGCAGTAGCAGCAGAAGACGAAAGGAGGACAGAATCGGAGAACGTCGCCAAGATCTCTTCGAGGAAGATACGTGTAGGTGGCTTGGGTGGCGAGCTGGAGATAGAACCGCCACCGCTGCTGGAAGAAGACGATTCCGACGAATGCGAGCTGGATCGTAAGCGCAGATGTAAGGGTGTACGCGGAACGAGTCCTAGTCCGTCGAACGCTTCGCCAGAGTCTTTGTAGAGGCCGTGAACTCCTAATCCCTGTCCGTGGACGCCTCCGTTAACGAGTCCAGCCCCGAGACCTAGACCTAGACCAAGCCGACCAGGACTGTGGAAGAGGGGGCTGCTAGTCGGGGTGAGAATCTCGAGGTCGCCGCCGGAGGAGTTAGAAGAGTTGGACGAGTTGGACGAAGTCCCAGTCGAAGCCGCGAAGGAGTAGAGCGGGGGCGGAGCGGGGGTCGTGGGAACAGGGACAGAGACGTAGGGCACAGGCCGACGAAGCGAGAGGGAGAAAGGGTCGTTAGAGAAGGAACCAGACGAGGTAGAGGATGTGGCGGAGGCGGAGGGAAGGAGCATAAGATCTTGATTCAGGAGGCTGGGGGTGTCGTCGGTACTGAGAGAGGATAGGACGATGAAGGACGAGGACGTAGAAGAGGCGGAACACATGACATCCTCCGAGGGCATAGTAGCCACGTTCGACGCGAATTCGGAGACTTCTTCGGCGATGGACGGAAGAGGATACAATGACGTCGTAGCCGCCGCAGAGCAGCTACGGCTCCGGCTCCTCGTTCGACGAGTTCGTTCGATGTTGGTTTCTTCCGGTACCGGCGTAGGGGACCTCGGCACAGGCTCCACCGACTCGAGTTGAAGTTCGGGAAGTATGGTATCGCCGACGACGCCGTCGAGGGGAAGCGATAGACTGCGTTTGTTGCCCCTAGGCATGGAGTAAGGGCTGGGGCCGCGAACAATGTCGGCGAGTTCGAGGGCATCGAGAGCGCGGTTGGATGGGTATGGATTGATATTGGAGTCGAGACAAGCCATGAAGAGTTGAGAGAGCGATTGAATGCGTTTGTTGGCGTAATACAAGACACGCATGTTGTAATATGGATTGATACGTCGGTAGACGAGTGTGGATATGGGCGGGATACGCGAGTGTAAACGGGTGGATAGAGTGATTGTTGATAGTGATAAATGATCGGCGGAAGAGTTAGGCTGAAAAGAGAAGAGTCTAGTGATGTTAGAACAAGGGCGTAGAGATGGACAGAAAGGACGGCGGGGCACGAGGTAGTGCTGTGTGTTGAGCTAGAGCTTGTGGTGAACGTCGAGCGGGCGTTGGGAAGAGCATTCAAACTCGAACCACCCGGGTTATAAGTATAGTTCGGCGGCCAGCAGATTTCCCGATCGGCGGTCTGGAGATTGTGATCCGCTGAAATTGAATGGGGAGCGATGGTCGAAGAGGCGCGGAAGGAAATACATGCAGACTCTACTTATCCAGGCTAGCGATAGACCAAGTGTATTGACCTCCGGGGTCGGCGGCTTGAATAGGTCGGATTCAGTGGAATCGCGGTGTGCATTCGGAGCACAAGGCAGCATACGACAACTAAACCAAGCCAGTACCTCACTATGATTCGTTTGGATCATATCAATAGGGAGTACTACTACGCGTACCACCGAGGAAAAGTACGCGGACTGCTCTTGAAAAGTGGTGGTGCAGACTGAGAAGACCACTCGAAAAGCGAAAGATCGATACGGGTATGGAAGACATCGATATCATTAGGGTGTTCTCCAGGTCCAAAAAGTGCCGTGAGCGCTGAAAAGAGTCCATAGAACCGAGTATCCTAAGGGCAACATCGACGGGGGGAAAAGCAATGACCATCTAGTTCGAGGTTCTACCACCGAGTTTTGCAGGATGTGATGGTTGGAGTCAAACCTCGAGGAGAGCCTTTCGGGGAGACCCGGCGCATTGGTTTCCGATGGGCCGAGACGCCACACATACCGGCCTTGTTTGGGCCACAGCAAAAGTTATGATCCCGATTGGTCTTTAACACAGACAATATGGCCATAACTTATTATCGTATAAATCTACGGGTTGATTCTCATTCTTTCGCTTCAGAGAAGACAAGACAAGCACGAAAAGAAAAGGGAAATGGGCTGCCGGCGGAGTTGCGGCGGAGCTCAAACTTGGCTCAGTGAGGCGATTGTGAGGCGCGTCATTGACATGATATCTGCACTCTTTCGCTGTCGATTTCGCCGTGCAGGATTCTTGTCATCTATACTGACAGCTTCCCGGGGCTGCAAATATGCGTGGCGTACTCAATATGTCCAATCCCTGACGAGGCCACTCTTCCACCGCAATTGAGTGTGCGCAGAGCGGTTATCTTTACGGAACACCATTGCTTTGCCTTCGCCCTCGACTCTCATGCTTCGTCTCTTCTCTGGCTCTTGGGTACGACATGGAAAACATTAGTTTTATATACTTCTGTGAACTGAGCCCGCACGCCCGCCGCTCACGCAAAACCTTGACGCTCCAGTGGAACTCCGAACCCGAGTTGCTGAGCACAAACAGAAATAGCGCATATAGGTAAGTGGTATCAGTAAGTCCGTCACAACTATATATCCAAACGCTATCCCAACCGGTTCGAAGAAAACATATCATGCGTTAGCCGCGCAAAATCCATTGAACGTGGCGGCGGAAGAAGCGATGCTCCAGAGAAGGTAGAGGCACGAGTGTATCTGCTGCTGCCCCAATTAGCGGGATAAAATCCTTGGCGGGACGTATTTTTAAGGGAGTGACACATTCGTCTATCTGTGTTGTGCTACATTTGTAGACATGTGTCCATTCCGCTTTTCATTCGACCTACAACGGTACGAGAAACCGCCGGCGATGTCACAATTGCTCGTCTATACCACTTCATCCGGGGTATGACCAAGGACGCGAGTTTATTCAGCGTTTCTACCTAGCCTCCATATAGCTTTGAGAAGTGTCCAAAGCACTCTTGGCGGATAGAACGGTCTGAGGTGTCATCACCGCGTAGCTGAAATAAAGATACGAGTGAATGTGAACATCTACTCGAATGTTCTACTCATGAGCCCAAGAGTATAACGGGCACCTGAAACGGTTGTCCCGCTCTCTTTGACGACGTTCAGTTGGCACAGACATTATGCTATCGGAGTGCGCTTTGCTGTTATGAGTTTGTGATGTTTGTGAGTTTTGTTCGATGCATTGACCATGCATACGAGCATCCCTTTTTCATCGACAAGATCATGCTTGGTGTATCAAGCGCGCTCAGCCTCCACTGTCACCCCAACTCTTCTGCCAGACGTGTTCTTGCGGCGTGTTGCTCGATATCTCACTATCACTCATATTCTTCGTGATCCCGCAGTTGTTGAGCTCAGGTATAGAAGAATGAAATTGGTCGAGAACGTGTGCGGTGTGGTATTACTTACCAAGGTAATAACCGTGCTATAGCCGCATCAGCTTCTACGGCGAAGAACTTTCTTCGCTAGGAAAACTCCAGGAACAGACGTGACAGGATTAAGACCGTCTGGATTCTCTTCTCTTGCTGATGTGTTCCCCGATTGAAGCGGAATCTGTAGGTGCAGTCTTTGTTTTGCAGCGTACTGAAAGCATACCTCCAGGTGCACAAGCATCTCCAGAGGCAGGAAAACCAGTTTCCGGGTTTTCGTCCTTCTTCTGAGGGCCTGTAGACGGTAATTCAGTATATTAGCGGAATCACGCGTCTATAATGCAGGCTGCTGATGTCCAGATGTGTTGAGCAGGAAAAGCTTTGACGAAGGTCATCATCAAAAATTGATACTTGCTATTACATCATGAAGTCCTCCCTTTTATGGTCTTTGGTCATAATTGTTGTCCCCATATTGCTCGTAAGAATCAGATATGGATGAAAATCAAGTGGCCATGCGCACAACAATCTCTCTCTTTCGATTTCGTCCCCTCTTATTCGAATGTAAGCACGAGAATGACAATGGGCGGATTTCTCAGGCCCATAGACGTATAAAACGAGGTCTTTCACCTTGGAGAATAGACAGCAACAGCTTCACAATGCAGTTCTCTACCAAACTCTCCACTCTCTTCGCTGCTGTTGCCCTCGTCGTAGCCGTTGCGAGTCCGACTGTCGTGCGTACCTGCCCATGAGGTAGAATTAGCCTCTCCCTGTTGTTAACTCTATGTACTGGTTGTAGGTCAAAGCCACCATCGTCGAGCAGAGGACTACCTCGGAGTTCGCTGCACGGGACAGCAACGAGGTAAGATCGACCCGCACGTTCTGTGAATCCTGACTGACAGCATACACTGAGCAGATCACCACCTTCATCGTCACTGAGGCCGAAATGAAGAACTGGATCGCGACCACCGACGCTAACCTCACCTTCTTCGGAGAACCGATCACCTACGACATCGTTCCGCGTTCGGCCCAGAATACCATTGTCACCTACTGCAGCTCCCGCGTCGGCAATGTTTGCGGTGGGCAATGCAGCGTCTACAACGGCGGCGCTACCTGTCTCAACGCTCCGGATACCCAATGCCTCTCTGCAACGAACAACGTCGGGTTCTGCAACACGAGCGGATGCGGCGGGATCTGCAACCAGTTTTCGACCTGTGGGGTGAGGTTGGAGAACAACTTCTGCGACACGCCCGGGACAGAATCCATTATCGTCAGCAACGCCTAATCCTGCAATGCCAGGTAAGTGCCGCATAGGACTCTACGTGGTGCTTAGCGCTGACTTAGTTAAGCTTCGAAGGTCTGTGGAGTCTAGGGATGGTTCACCGCCGTATTCAGCCTTTGCCTTCGATTCTGAAGGAGCCTGGGTCGGGAAGTCGGTTGTAAATGTATCGCTGCTCTTTTTCTTTGAACGTAGCTTTCTTCTTGACGTTCCTACGGCTCTTCGTGCGACTGTTTAATCAGATGGCGATCAGTCGAGTCTAAGTTCAGCCAAGTATTGAGTATGTATGCTGTTTAGACCTTTGCAAAAATTCAAATTTGACTTGTCTGACGGTGTGCTGAAATCCGTGTGTAGCCGCGGCTCTCGGTGAAGTACGCACATACTATTCCTCTAACTGCGCATGCTATCTCATGTGAGTTCAGGTCCAGTCGTCCCAGGTCGTCTCTTCACCCCATGAGTTGTGTGCCTCCTGGTCTAGCAGTGGTTCTTATCGAGTCCTTGTTAGCCACGCATACTCAAGCTGCGACGAGACACCATCGTAAACGAAAACCATAAAAATCAATTAGGTTTCTCTCCGAGTAATCTCAGAGTCAAGTCTTCCTCTCAGGTAGCTGAAATATGGTCGGATCCCAAAGAAGTCTGGTTGACGGGCGCACGGTACAAGAGACAGTGCTTGGCTGCTCATGCAAAGTGTTGGTGCAGACCGAGAAGACCACTAGAAAGGCGAGAGATCGATACAGGTATATGGGAAATGTCATTAGGGTCTCCTCCAGGTCCAAGAAGTGTCGTGGGTCCATAGAGCCGAGTATCCTGAAAGCAACAGTAAAACGAAGCATTTACGATCAAAGTTCGACCCCCGAGTTTTGCAGGATGTGATAGTTGGAATCAAGCCTCGAGGAGAGCAGCTTCGGAGGGTCCCGGGACTCCCGGCGGAGTTGTATTCGTGACGCCACACGCGATGCCTTTGTTTGGGCCACAGCAAAAGTTGTGACCTTCGGGCTTGAATACTGCATAGGAAATATAGTCATAGGTTTCTATTGTATATATCTACGAGTTACTTCTCATCTCATCTATAGACCAGGTAAGGTCAGCCTCCTATCCTACCGTACATCTTGCCCTCTTGACTTCACTCTGCCTACCCGGCTTTTACACCACCATCTATCCTCTCGAGGCCGAGTCCCTTAATTCGAGAAATACTCAGGCAAAATATACTTCAGCTTCTGCCTATCCTCCTCCTTCGTAGCCACGCTCCTCGGCATGATACTAAACTTCATGCTCCCTTTCTCTTCCTCCAACAAATCTCCCTTCAGAGCCTCTTGGTGCAACTCCTCGAGGATCGTTGCAGCGACGTGGCGGGAGGTATCGGCGTTGGCTTTGAGGGTTTTGAAGACTTCGGCCGCGGTTACGGAGGCGGAGTGTGGGCGCCAGGAGTCGTAGTCTGTGGCGGTGGCGACGAGGGCGTAACTGTAGGAGACGAAGGAGTGCGGTTAGGTCAAGCCATCGCGTGCATTAGGCAATGATAACAAGCAGTAAGATGAGGGGCAGTGGGGTGATGGTAATTCGATCGGACATGGTCCACGCATGAATAGAATATATACCTGATCTCCGCCTCCCTAGCCAACTTCGCCTCCGGCAACACACTCATGTTAATCAAGTCCCCTCCCCACTGCCTATACATCAGACTCTCCGCCCGTGTAGAGAATTGAGGTCCTTCCATGCAGACAATGGTTTTGCCTGTGTGAAGTTTGACGTTGCGGCCTTCTGAGGCAAATGCCTTGAGGATAGGGGCCTCAAGCCATTTCATAAGGCTATCATACCGTACCAAAACGCATATCGAACATCGAATGACGATCAATACTTGAGTAGACCGAGGCGAAAGAAAGGAAAGACGCACCGGTTCGAGAACGGGTCGCCAAACATCGCATGCGCGACCACACTCGTCCCCTCAAAGAAACTCGCCGGCCTCACACCCTTCGTGCGATCAATAATCTGCTCACACAGCGCGAAATCGCCCGGTGCGATCTCCTCCCTCAGACTTCCGACGGCACTGAACGCGAGTATCGCACGGACGCCGAGAGACTTGAGCGCTGCGATGTTCGCGCGCGAGGGGACGGCGGATGGGTTGATTGAGTGTCCTGCGCCGTGGCGGGCGAGGAAGGCGATGAGTGTGCCGGAGGGGAGAGAGCAGATTTGGAGCGGAGCGGAGGGGTAACCCCAGGGCTGGTGAGTAGAAGGATGAGTAACCTGCCTGCGTAATGAGGAAGGTGGATTCTGATAATGAGAGACGTACCGTCTCTGGGTTAACCTCTTTCCTGTGGAAACTATGAGTATGTTGTAAGAAGTATAGCAGAAGAAAACACGTACACGAAGGTGAGGTTATCGAGGTGGTACAAGCCACTTCCACCGATGACACCAATGAGAACTAGGTGATAATCATGACCAAGCCCAAAAATGATTTCTCAATATATGTTCCATCTCCTTCGTCTCCTCGCCCTTTACTCAAAGGACATCTGGAGCTCACCATTCTCAGATCCAGTGCTAGCCATTTTTTTGAGTGATCGTCTTGAAGTCGATATAAAGCTATGTCCAGTTCCAAGTCCAAGTTGTTGGTTGTATCGTAGCCTCAGAGAGATATGAAAGCCTAGTTTCGGGAAAGCCAGAACCAAGGGATGGTCGAGGACGAGAAGAGGAGATAATTCATGAAGGAATCCATTTTGGACAAATCTTCTGCAGTTGACCGATCACTCAAGATCGATGGAGCCAGACGCACGTTCGAGAGAGAAAGGGTTATCTTATCTCTAAATTCCGATCTCCGAGCTGGTGGCACAGTGGCAACGGCGCCATTCCTTCAGGCTGGTACTATACTGCCATGACTGTTTATAGCGGAAGATATTGAAACCTGGAGAGCCAAAAATTAAGAAAAACGAAAGCATGACAGCGGCGAGAGGCATTGAAATTTGAGAGCATGTGCGTGAGACAAGCTAGGAAGAGAAGCAGTAACAAAGCATTTGCAGAGCATTGAGATCGAAAATGTAACAGCGTGCAATATTCATCGTCAGTCCAACACGATAACCTCCCTCGCTGCTTCCGCCGCACGTCGAACCTCATCTTCCTTGGCCACCCTCTTTCTTGTCTCTCGTATTCCTTCCTCATCCATTCCCGCCAGGCTGTCACAAAGCTTTGGACCATGTACGTCCTGACAGTGACCCTTGAGAGTTTCAAAGGTGGCGACCAAGTTCGAGACGGTGTAGATTGGGTGCTCAGAATCGCTGTTGGCTCTACGGTATCTGTGAGACGGATGCCATTTAAAGATGGGGATGCATGGTCGATGTCAACATGTTGGAAAGGTAGGAGCTGCATTAGAAATATTTCACGAAAAAGAGATGACGAAGTGACGTACTCGCACAAACGACATATTAAATCCTCAGTTGTAAACCGATACACGAGCTCCATGTGCACAGGAGCTAACTGCCCCGAGGTAGGCATCCATTCTTCCTCATTACCTCCAACTCCGTCTCCGCCCATGATATCGCCTTCGCCCTTATTCTCATTCTCGACCTTATCCCCATCGCCGTGCTCATGCCTCTCCGAATCATGATTAGGTTGAGTTGAGGCTATGGCCACCGATCTAAAGTCAGCACCATCCATCGAAAATTCTGGCCCACCCTCCAGTCTCCGCCTTTTTCTCGGACTAGGATTCGGTTCCATCTGAACCTCTTGAACCTTTGAATCCCCGTCCTTCGATATTGATGTGCCTAAGCCCACGCGAGATACATTCTCTGCTCCACGATGGATGTGTTTCCATGTAGACAGGATACGATGTTGCGCCATAGACGACGTTGTGCCAGGTGCAGCAGTAGAAACCGAAAACGGACTCCTCTGGGAGAGGCCGGGTGCAGAACTCTGGTGCGAGCTCGATGCTGCAGTTGAAGACATATGAGACACAGGGCAAAAAGTGAAAACAAAGGGATCCCTACCTTCTAAACCCTGCATCAGCTCCCGCCGCTGTGCTTTCCTCTTCCTGAGCAACACAACTTCTTCCAAGATCTCCTTTCTCTCTGCCTCCATCGATGTCAAAGCCTCCCGAGAATCCCGTGCTGTACTGTAGAGCCTTTGGCAGTCTTTCTTGGTCGACTCGTTCTCCTGCTCCAGCCGTTGGTTCTCAACCTTCAGGGTCCCGATCGTCTTCTGCGTTTCTTCGTTCGTAGCAGCAAAGTCATCGCGTTCGCGGCCAACGCGTACGTTCTCTGCCTTGAGCCTGTCTTCCTCTTGTGTCCGCCGCGAGCATTCTGCCCTCAGCCGACCCATCTCCTCCAAGAGGTCCTTCGACCGCACCTGAAGGCCCTCGTTCTGCGTCTGGATATCGCCGAATTTTCGTTGTAAGTCATTCCTTGCTCCAACCACCTTTTCGTGTTTCGTCTCCAGCTTCTGAATCTCGGCCTTGACCCTCTCGTTCTCCAGCATCATGCGACGTTCACTCTCCATCAGCGCTGCACTTTCCCCTTTCAACAGCTCGTTCCGCTCCCTCAACTTCTCCATTTCCGTTCCAAACGCAATATTGTCCTCCCCCGAGCGTTCGGCTTCCGTCTTCAGTTCTCCGTACTGGCCCCTGAGCGTTTCCAACTGGGCCTGAAGTGCCCCGCGTAGCATCTCCATCGCAGCCTTCTCCATGACCTCTCGTTTCTGCTCTTCTTTCAGCTCCTCGATCTCGTTCTGCATTGCCACACACCTCGAAGCCTCCGTCGTCAGCGTCCCATTCGCCTGCCGCAATCTCTCTATCGCAGCGTTGAGATCAGCGACCTCTTTCTTCGTACGATCGGCGTTAATCCGGAGATTGCTGTTCGACTGCCTCATCCCCTCAAGCTCCGCACGAAGTCGATCTCTTTCCCCCACCACTTTCACGCTCGTTTCATCCGCTCGCTCCTTCTCTGCCCTCAAGTCGTCGATCTTCTTCCGTGATGCCTCCGTGCTCGCGCGAAACTGGGACGATTCCCTCATCAGCTTCTCCGTCTCTGCCTTCAGAACGATGAAGTCCCTCTGCATTGTTTTTGTCGTGGCCTCTAACTCCCTCCGAAGACTATCCCTCTCCTTTGCCATCTCCTCTTTCGCCAGGTCCGCTCGTTCCTGTCCCGCCTTCAACTCGTCGATCCGTCTCGTCAAACGTTCACTCTCGCCTCGCAGGTTGTATTTCTCTTCTTTCATGTCGCCCATCTCCCGAGCCAGCCTCTGGTTCTCCGCCGTCAACGACGCGTGCTCCAGCTTCAAGGATTCCATCCGACCGCACCTCGATCGGAGACCTGCTACCTCTGCCAAGGAGGCGTCCAATTGACCACGGATGGCGACCGTCTCCACAACAAGTCTGGAGTTTTCCAGGCCTGACTTCTGCACCTCCGCTTTCGCTCCCTGCAACTCTATGACCTCCAGGCGAAGTCCATCTCGTTCCTGCGTCAGCTTAGCATTCTCCATCCCCACTCGCTGCTTTCCCTCCCGAAGATCTCCATTCGCCCTTCGCTCCTCCTCGAACTTCTTCCGTAGCTCGCCTTCCGCCATAGCCATCTTAGCGTTCTCCTGCTCCAGATGCTCAACGTGACTGGCCCTGAGCTTCACTTCTAACCTAGCCAGCCTATCGCGATCAAAGGTAACCGCATCGGCGAGGTTCTGCATGTGCTCCTTTGTAGTCAACATGACTCCCCTTTGCTGAAGCTGCGCATGGATAGACTCTATGTCCTCCCTCTGTCCCTGCGTCCGCGCCGGATCGTCGATCTTGCTCTGATAATACTGCTCAAGACGACTTTGTCCTTCTTTCCGAACTTCCTTGAACAACGGCAATCGGTCCAGAACGAGCCTGGAAAGGTCATGGTCCGAGAGGAAGATCCAATCCTCGTTGTGAAGCTCCTTGATTCTGCTCCATATCTTAGGGAGATCTTCGGAAGTAGTTTGGTCGAGGCAACCGTAGACTTTATGCCGAGTAGTGACGCTTGAGTCCTGGTTCGCAGACGAGCTTGGAGCTGTCGGAGTACCGGTGTCTTTGAGTATGTTGAAGATCTCGATGAAAGTTGACAATGGGGGACGTGACGATTTGGGGTGAAGGAGAGCGAGGCTGTGGCTGGGGGAGGTATCAACGGGATCTAGAGCGGGATATGCTTGTAGAACTGCTTGCGACTAGAACAACGTTGTGGAAGGAGCTCGATCAGTAATTCTGTGGTCTGAGAAATGAGATGCGACAGACCAGCACTTCGGACTGAGCGCCACCTTGACTAGGCTGTTCAACCTATTGAAGTATAAGAGCTTTCAGTCTTCCCAGCAAGATGCGCACTCCATGTAAATCAGGAGACTCACGGGCAGCGACGAGCTTTTGTCTTGTTTGGTCGGAATTACCGAAGTTTCATGCCGAGGAGCCGGCTGGACATCTTCCATCTCTACGTCCGCCGATAGGGAAGAACGTGGCAGGTCGGACGAGGGCAACATTGTCGAAGTGTCCAGGCTCACAACCGAGACGGGGACATGTCCTGTACGTGGCAAGGTGTCGGCGGGCAGGTTTGAAAAACGCAAGACCAGAAGAACGAGTTAGTGTCTGACAAGAGTGGTCTGAGTTCTCACCAAGATTCATACCTCCAGTTCCGGAGGTTGACAGTTCACTCGTCACCGAAGGACGTGTCGCCGGTGCGGGTACGATAGCATCCACCGGCCCCGCGACATTGTTACTGGTACTTGCAGCGGGAGCGCCTTTCATCAGCTCTACCATGCGTAGCGTTCCTAGTGTGTGCACACACACGTCAGACATGCACAAACCTATCTCAAGTCAAGCGGACCTAGAACGCACCTTCAGCGATGCTCTTAAACCAGCCGCCAACCGCCAAATCATCTCGGAGGCCTCGCGCTCTAGGTCCCAAGCAAGGCAATGTATTCCAATCCTTGATCAAACTCGACAATTCGTCTTCGGGCTCACTTCCGCAGGCTATAGCGAAGACTGCCATCCAGATCCTATGCTCGAGATCCTGTATTACTTGAGGGCGAGGAGCATTCCCGAGGTGCTGAGCCAACTACAACAAAGGAATTGTATCAAGACTGTTAGTGTGGCGACCCGGGCTTTAAACGTGAACATGGTCGTTGCGAACCTGCAACAGATCCATATTGGAGGACTGATTCTGATAAGAAGCATCCTTTTCGGAAAGAAGGACGATGGGAGAGATACATAAGGACATGATCAGTGGTTTGGGGACCTGTTCGGCTGTAAATGTGGGCACTATGTCGCTTGGAACAGACACTATGTTTGCATCGTTCTGAAGTTTTCGATAACGGCTGGAAAGAAAGCATGTTAGATGACGAAGAGATATCTCCCTCATCATTACTGTCATCCATACCTCTGCAGAGCAGTCCAGTAGTGTGCCATCATGCGGTTCCGTGCACCGTCGGTCTCTGTGGGGGTCTAGAAAATCATAAAGTCTTTCTATAGTGTGAACAAAGGATAACATACGTACTTCGATTAGGTGTAGAACGTAGTGCGCCGCGAGGGCAAGATTGTGCAGCACCACCGGATATCCAGCTATCTTCTGGCGCCACGCGCAACCGCCAAGAAGAGCGATCTGGTTGCGGAGTAAACTCACTGAGTCTGGACCGGTAAAAGGAGTCATTTTGATGCCTTCAGGCTTCGGCTCTGGCGGATGGACACTCGATGCGTCAAAGGTCAGTCTATCCATGACTTCGATCCAGTCATTTAAACATGATGTCCATATCTATAAGAGGAAGCAATGTGAATTAGTAGATCAGGAAACGACGGCGATCTCTACAAGGGATCTTACCGTTTGCAATGTCGAATACTTTTTCCTCGTGAAGAAGGGATGTAACTTGGCCACATTCGGTGCGACCGTGATAGTCGGCTGCTTGTCCGTCAACGTCGTGGTATAAGAACTGTTGACGCCTAGTGGGTGTCGACCATAGCCCAGGGCAATAACGTCGAGCAGCATATGCTCCCATACTACGCGCGAGCATCTGTTGAACTTCGATAATTCATCAGGATTGAGATGTGCGCCTATAGAGGCACCCTGTGACGCCCCAGGAAGTCCGAGAAGCCCCCAAACGAACTTCAAGAGGCTATGCTGGAAGATCCTGAGCACCGCCCAGCCGTCTAAGCTGCATGCAAGTCTCTACAGTGCATAGTGGGGTCGGATGGAATTTTGAGTCATGATAATTCCAAATGCTCCCAGGATTATTGATGAGAAATGGCTATACGAACTTTGACGAGGAAATCAATCGCGCTTGGATCACAGCCGAGTCTCGCCCAGTTATCGCTGCCATGGTACTGCACACGGTATATTTGCCGATGAAGCCAGTCTTCTAGTGATGACGCGCTCTGCACAGCAGATGTCCTCCACGGAAATGATTGCAGACTTCGCATCTCACGACGCAGGTTTCTCGGGGGGTCCGCGGCCATCGCCTCTACTATGGCGAGGTCAACTGTATCATGCTCATTTGGCAGAGGGCGATTTGATTTGCCCATGGTTAGTACTTAATCGAATCGGATACTGACAAGGTTTCCAGGTAGGCTTGATCGATGCGAGCCTGAACGAGTTGTCTTTGCCCAGGACTGAGAGAACATCATAAGTCTCACGCTTGAAGTGGCAAGCGCAGAGGTTTTAACTTTTGATTGCCATACGCACCTGCCTGTCCAAATACTCTTCACGGAGCCCCGATGTCAACTGTGTAGTAGGTCAATGACTGCGACAAGATTGCGATGTCAACGTTGTGGTGAGAAACACTACACTGACCGTGACGTTGCCTGATGCTAGTCTGATGTACAGTGCGTGGACGCCATCCTATTTCGGTCAGCAACAAATCAGATAAGGCTATTTACAGCCGCTTCACGTACATGAAATCAATTCTTTAAGCATTCAAAAGATTACCTGCCTAGAGCTTCGGTAAGAGGTGATAGAATTCTGGATGCGGCGACCTTCAGCGAAGGATTTGTGGGCATGGCGTTCTTTGGTCTCCGAAGGCCCGTGGCGCTTGATGACGTCTAAGCGCTCTGAGGCCGTTACCGGGGCCGTGGTAGCAGGTTGCCTCAGGTTTGAATCATAGTTCGAACAAGGTGCGGAATACGGATGGCATGAAGCAATCTGACATCAGGAAAGGTAAGTATAAGTGTCCATTTTGGCAGCGACCGTTCTATCGAAGAGACAGCGGCTCTAAATGAAGATTGAAGCGGAGGATAAGTAATTTCGAGCTCCGTTCGCAATATGGCGGCGCGGCTTGCTTTCAATGCCGACCCTCATCCGACCGAGCACCCTTCGCTCAACTTGCGCTGCTAGTGCTCAAAATGGTGTGCTTATTTCGGAATTTCTCCGCCGGATTTGCTAGAGCGCTGTTCACGATGGACCCTACTTCTTTTTAACAGGTTTTTTTGTCGAACGTCAACGAGGACTGCGCTAGAGAGATAGTGGCATAAGTATCTCGACATGCAATCTCTGAAGTCTCTTTCCCAAGTCTCAACAAACCATGCACTACTCACCAGTGGCCTGCGATTTCGATTCGTGACTTTCGGTGCTATCAGTGGGCGTCGAGTCGACCCTGAAAAAATCACGAGTTATTGTGAATACGTGCTGCAGAAGAACCTCGCTCATAACATCAAACGTATCACTGTCGGCGCGCCCGAGATTACCAGCGAAGGAACCCCTATCGACAAACCTCTGTTCTGCTGTAGTCTCGACGCACATCATTCTCATCTCTTAGCGAGCCTCGTATTGCGTGCCATCCGCCTGTGCGAATTCTCGTTCCATTGCGACAGGCAGAGCACAATGTCGTTCATGGGCAATCTGAGTATCATCAATGCCCTCACCGCATGCCCGCTCGTCAAGCTCTCTCTGACGGGAGCAACTCCATCGGTTGTCAATGCCATTGGAAACATACAATCCCTCCGTACTCTTCGACTCATTATGGAAGATAGGTCGTCGGAGACCGTCGCAGCTGGCCTCTCGGCGATCTTGCGCAACTCATCAGACACCCTCGTCCATCTCACTATTTCAGCCCCAGAAACGAGCCTCGTTCCAGATCCCTTGGAAAAAACAATCACTCTCCCTTATGTTCGGTCCCTGGCTTGGCATGTCCATACTCTCGCAGGATCCTCACCCGCCGATCTGCATCGGGCTTTCCCAAGCATACGGAGTCTCTCCACGACGAGTCGCATCCTCGCACGCCCTCCAAGGCCAAACGATTTCGCTTCGACTACCGTATTCCCGATTTCTGTCGCTGGAGACCGAAATGCAGTCATGGCATATGGTGATCTAGGCGGAGTCGTTCACGCCATGTCTAGTCCTACCGCACCCTTGGGTATGGTTGAAAGTGTTCGAAGTCTTTGGACCCACGCGAGCAGTCTCTTTCCGAGATGCCAGCTGAACAGCCAAATGCTCATGCAGCTCGAGTTCATTCACATTTACCATTGGCCAACAAACTATGTTCTCGAGAAGGTGAATAGCAAAATTTGTATATTTTAATGTGTTGCGAAGTTAACGCACCTTCAGGGATTGGAATCCCCGCCCTTTTTAAACAGGCATTACTTCCCTCGATTGTCCTACCTCTGCTTCTGCGGTCGGTCGGAGGACGATGTTTCAAACGCAAGAAGAGTCAGATGGTTCAACAGGACAATAGAATTCATCAAGGGTGCAACGTTGATGCACGGGTCACCGAGCGGCAGTTATGACGAGCCTTTCACCTTCGAATTTCGCGTCATCAATGAACGGAATGGCACCATGTCCAGATCTTGGCTCGAAGTTGCCTTAGGGGGCCCTGTGCTAGGGAGGACAGAGCTATCAGAAGATGAGGGGCTTCTTAGACGGCAAAATCATGCGTGAGTATCTCTGGTTCGGCATATTCTTCGATTACATTTCTTGCACAACCTCACTGACCACCATTTCGCTTGAGTAGTGGCACGGGTCATTTCTTAGCTTGAGATCTTGTGGTCGGTACAGTGTTGCATCATCTAAACATGGTTCGTAGTATGCTTTTGGGGGAATGTTTCCTAATGTTTCCGTTGCCGTAGACGAAATAAATCGAGGTTAGGAGATGAGGAAGGGATGTCACTGTACGGTATGTACGTGCTTAAGTTAAAACGATGATGCCCTACTGACACAAGACTGGCAGTAGCTACTTAGAAGAGATGTAGACGAAGAAATTTTGTGTACCAAGAAATTGAAAGCCGGCCGATATAGAGATTCACCACTTTGGAGTGGACTTCAGGTATGAGTCAACCCGAGCACAAGAAAAAATGGGATGATTAGTAATAGACGTCAGTCGAAGAAAGACCCTACAGACTGTTAGATATCCCGAAGCTGAGCTTGGTATCCGTCGTATACTCAAAGTTCACCGCGTTGGCACGGTCAACCCGCGGCACACTAGTACCCGGCTCGTCTTCGTTCAGTTACCAGTTCTTGCAAGCAAGTTCAAGGCAAACATACCTTCTCCAGAGATTCGAGTTAAGTGATTTGAAAGAGCACACGAAGCAAAGTGAGGTGGAATAGTACACTATTACTTAGGAAGAAGAGCCTGAGGGGACAAAGTCGGGGAGGAGCGCCACCAAGATCGTCTTGCCGGACATATCCGGCGGATACTGCCAGGTGTGGCGGTGGCACAACGCTGCGGGAAAGGAACCAAGTTCGAGAACACCAGCGCACTGCAACACTAGGAAGAGATCGGTCAGGAGAGAAAGCTTAAGGAAACCAAGATGAAGATAGCCTTATACGCACCCGGTCAATATACAGTACGGCCCATAATACCAAGTGAACGACGGACAACCGACAAAAAGAAATCAAGGCTTGCACTGTCCTAAGCACTGCTCGCCCTGGCCTCTGAGATCTGAGATTTAGTACTATGGAAGGGCGACAGGTCCACTCATCTCCGGGATACCCAGCGTATATAAGCGTTCAAATAGACTTCCAATCTCTAACGGGAGTATAGATCTCTGGGGCATCGTCCATCCAGTCACTTTCCGAATGGGAGACATTAGCGATGAATGATATCACGCCACCTCATGGATAGACTTGGAGTAATGTAGACATCTGATATTAACCCGTAGGGGAGGCGTAGGAAGTGGAGAGACTATTAAGGGTTTGAAGCCCAAGAAGTACACCGTATGAGATATGTGTGTTCTGTGGGAGATTATAAACACGAATGCAGGAACGTTGAGCAAACTCGTTCTGTGACACTCGATGGGATCCTTCAGGCAGGTTGATGGGAAGATCATACGCACCTTTGCAATCCGACGTCCTGGGAAGACTAATCTTATGAGCAACGCGGCCTCTTGATCGCAGACCTGGTGTTGTAGTTGATCGAGCTAGGGCCTGCAAGGAGCGCCTTAACATCTTCTTCCGATGTATCCGGACGGAGAGAAGCCTTGTTATCCTGCTCATCGTCCTCGATAACAACCACTTCCACATCTGCGATACTTCGTTTCGGTTGTTGTATAGTCTTTGTCCCAGCATGAGACGATCCCTTAGATTTTGGATACGTCAATAGCCCTTCCCAGAGATTTATGATCGTTGCTAATTGTGCGTAGACCGTCAGATGCAGGGGGTTCCCCAAATGTGCATGAAAGTGCGCGAGCGCGCCGTGTATGACGAAGAATGGGTGCAATGTACAGCTTAGAGAAGGGAAGTCGGCTTTGAAGGTGGTGGACGAGGTTTTGTAGCTTTTGATTTCGCCGGTGGGCTGAAGTGTTTCCGCGGTGCGGGTGGTGCGGATGATGGGATAATTGTTCAGTTTAAGCGGGAGGAGGGTGAAGTAGTAGGTGTTTCCAGCGGCGCGGTTCAGTAAAGGACAGATCTGTAGATATGTCAGCGGAAGCGGTCAGAAATTAATATTCTGGCAGAAGGTTTGGAGAGACAGAGCTGAACCAACATCATTCATGGTAGGTCTAAGGCGTTTCGCTTTCCATTGCAGGAGAGCAGTAAGCGTCTTTTCAAGACGGAGTTGCACAGGAATCAAGGTCCACAAATGGGCCTCTAAGGTTGCGGCCCAGTCCTTTCTCACTTCGTTGACCGTGATCAGAAATGACAGAATCTCACGAAAGTAACAAACGCGAACTTACACCATACCGTATTCAGTGGAGAGTCCAAGTCAAAATCCGGGCCCCATATTGTCTTCCATTTTGCGATCTGCATATGAAAGAATCTCTTCAGTGAGTGTCTTATCTGTCCGGAGGGTAGTAATGGAGCACAGTTCACGCACCTGGTCCTTGTCTGCAGAGTCAAGAAAACGAACGCGTGCCAAGGCCTGTACCGGACACGGGTCTTGGGTCACAAGACAAAAAGGGCCTTTATCTACCGCAGAAGCGTGTGGTGGTGTAGCTGGTGCTGCCATACTAGCCTTCCGCGATGCCAGAAAGCGTGGTGTTCAATCACACGAACAAGAAACCGGCGCGAGTGAACGAGCACAGCTTAACTTACGAGGTTAACTTTTTCCTTTGAATTTCGTTTCGTAATTGTCAAAAAGCTAGATATCTAGATATTCCACTACAAAGTGGTAGATGAACAAAGGAACTGTTGAAATGCGCCGAACAAAGACGGTTCCTCGGTTCACCGGGCGCACGCCACCCTCCAGAACGATGGCTTTCGTCCGCGAACAACGCTGCATCGGGCCAGAATTATGAGCCAATGACTAGTCCTGCCGGCGGCGACGCGCTTGACGACGGCGACGAAGCTCGGTGGCAACGAGCCAACGCCAACCACAATCATCTTGTCACTCTTCAACGTGGCACCGAACCTACAAAAGGCTCTCAGGTTTCTGCTGGTGCGCTCGTGCTCCTTATTTTGCCTTGTTTACGCCTTCAATTGTTGCTCAGACTTGCTTTCTGCCACAGAACCTTTGCCTTCATTTCAACCAACATACACTCATATCCACCCGCGCCGCGGTTCCGCCAAGCTAAATTCGTTCTTGGGAAGCGTCATCTTTGGAAATATTCGGCAGGCCTCTTTTTCTTTTACGACGACGACCTGGCTAGCATATCTTGAAGCGAACAACACGCCACTTTCTCCCCGAACGAACTCGTACGAACACGGAGTGAAGGATGGGTACACAAGTCGACAGCGGCTCGATGCTGAAAGGTGAGTGTCATCTTTGAGCTTGAAGCTGTGTGAAGCAGTAGTTTTCAGGCGAGGAACTACTTGAGCCTCAGCCTTTCTGGCTTCTTCGGCGGGAGATTCGCTCAACCCTGTTCTGGTCACACGCGCATGGAATATCTACTAATAAACATATCTTCTCCAGACAAGTATACAAATCCGACCCCCACGACTCCTTCTCATCCTCCACCACAACCAAACGGTGTCTCTCCTACCACATCCACGAAACCCTCACACTCATCGAGTGCATCAAATACCTCCTCTAGCCCCTCGCTCTCTATCTCCGTCCATTCAACACACCCATCTTCTTCACCGTTCCCTTCACCATCGTCTTCCTTCCTACCACCACCAATCCCCGGCGCACACGAATTCGCGTTGAAAAGCGCGCCAGTTGGGACAGGTTCTGGAGCAGGTTCAAGGAGAGGAAGTCATGTCGATACCAGCGCTGAAGGGTCCCTGAAGGATGAGGGGCCGAAGGATGTGGTGAAAACAGCTGGAAGTGGTGGTGATCGCGAGGTCCAGCAAGAAGGGCGCGACAAGGAAGAGAAGAAAGTGGATGGGATCGAGAGCAAAGGAGCGGATGAGATTCTGGAAGAGAGCCATACCGCGGAAGTCGTCCTTCCGGACCTTTCGTCACTTGCCAGTCCCATCGAAACGAAGCCCGTATTCAGCATCGCGCCCCCTACAACGCCTTCGCCTACGACACCGACACATAACGCCACGGACACGTCCACCGCAGCTAAAGACGCCTCGCCCACAACTCCGACGACTCCTACGAAAGCGAAGCCTTCGGCTTCGAACTCTACGCCTTCCAATCCCGCTTCGGCCACTACACTGACACCGAACGCCTCCAGCACAACCAGTACAGCGACACCTCCAACACCCTCTCTCGAATTTACGCCGTCTTCCTCTCTCTCCAGATCCACCACTCAACGCAACAGTCACCGTGACTCTCTAACATCCACCCGTCCCGCTCCCCCCTCGCCCGCCCAATCACGTCGCACGTCCACCGCTCTGTCCTCCCTCTCGAGACATTCGTCTACTTCTAACCGGGATAAAGATAAGGAGAGTACTAGTGCGAGCAGCCAGCGCTCGAGGCCCAATTCGAGCGTCATATCGCCTTCATCGCTCCGTCGCAGTACATCCGGGAAGAACGCCAACACCAACACCTCCGCCTCTCATCTCAGTCCCCGCGCACAAGTTGAACCTGAATCCGGCGCATCCGAAACAGCGGGGGGAGGAACGACGACGCCGACGAAGAACACTAAACGCCGCTCCATCATCGTCAAAATCCGAGACTTTGCCTTCCACGACACGGACGCGCGACACGTCGGCCACGGACCCGACGTTCCAAAACCGAACCGGAGACTATCGAGGTGGTCTTTGTCGATGTTCAAAAACAAGGGCAAAGGTGCGGAGGAAGACAGCAGCGAGGATGAGGATGAGGATGAGAAGGCGGGGAGCGGCGGTGGCGGTGGGGGAGGCAGTGGATGGGGAGGATTTAGGTGGGGTGGCATGGGAGTGGCTATGAATGGGTGGTTTGGTGGTGGAGGGAATAATGCGGTTGCGGTGGATGCACCGAGTGCGGGTGATTTCGCGAGGAATTTCGATATGGCGAGTCCGGATGCGTCGGAGATAGATGATCCGTACGACGCGCAAGGCGATGATGAAGAGTACTACGATGGAGAGGAGGGCGACCATCATGCTTGGGATGATCATGAAGACGATGAGGGTGACTACGATGACTACGAGCGTGACGGAGAGGAGGGAGGTGACGACGTTCCGTTGGTCCCCGGCACGTATAGAGCGATATACTCTTTTGAGCCGGAGGGGACGGCGGAGATGGCGTTGGAGGAGGATCAGGTTGTGAAAGTTGTGGGGAGGGGTGGAGGGGTCGGGTGGGCAATCGTTGAGAGGGAGGGCACGGGGGAGCATGCGCTCGTGCCGGAGGGGTATTTGGAGTTAGTGGAGGCGGCTGAGGATTGAGGGATGTGAAGATGTGGATGTTAGGCCGCGCTGGCGCGGAAGCTGACAGTGATGTTGATGTTGAGAATGACGGTAGAGAACGAAAGTCTTGTGTAGTCGTGTTTGAATATTCTTGATTGTTTATTTCCTTTTCTTTCCAGCCTCCAGCTACATCTCTTTCGCATTCTCTTGTTGTCTTCTCAAGAACCGTTCCGTTTCATTCCTTATTTTCTCATATCTTTTTCCCCTTCAATCCTGTGCCTGTGTTGTCCTCTATTCAAGTTATTCGCTGATCCCGTGTCAGTTCCAGTACCTACATCTGCCTCGTCTCGTCTGTTTATCTGTTTACATAACTGTCTTAGTCTCAGTCTCAGTCTGTCTGCTCGTCCTCGCATATATATCCACCTGCAGAATGTCAACTTGTTTTTTACTGTAACGATGATGAGTAGTGGCGGACGGTCGGTTCGAGAGGGTGTTCAGGTGAGTTGTGTGGCGTGTGGCCTAAGTTCACCGTTCGGGAGATGCCGGATCCCCAACCTCAACTTAAATCGCATAATTTCGATGAGGCGGGTGATTCTCCAATGATTCTCAGTCCGTGGTTTACACAAAAAATATGGGATAGCAGAGCGACTAGGTGTAGAGACGAGGTTGAGGATGACCATAAAACGGAGACATAGGCGAAAAATAAGGGAAAATATGGGCATGGGAAAGAAGGCGACTCATGAGAGTGAGGGAGATCTGGTATGATGATAAATACGAATGTGTATACGAATACAAACGTGGGCCTCTACACGTTAAAGTAGATCAGAGTACAACAACTAATAAGATACGCTGGTAGCAGGATTCTGAGGAGGGGACAACTACAGTTACACAAGACTACAAGTTGGGGTCACCAAGCAAGCTTGACAGCCTGGACTGAAGCCCTAGTATATGAGGGACTATCAAATGCGCATACTCGAGAATGTCCTGTAAATTCAGCTCAAAAATTTTGTGAGAGGCCAAATGAAGAATATAGGCCGTATGGATGGGACGCAGCGGCGTTGCGGTGAATGCGTGGCGCCGACCCCAGTCCTGCACGAGGCGGTGGAACGAGATGTGTCCTTCGGGGGTGATCTCCACTAGAGAATACGAGCAAAGGGAAGCGACGATACGATCGAAAGTGTCCGATATTTCTGGAGTGGGTGTGATAAACGGCGCTAAGAACTCTTGAACGAGGGAATAGGATATTGCCTCATTCGGAGTTATGACCGCAGCGCTGGAGGCTGCGTTGGTGAACATGGACTTGGATATATTTTTATGATGGAGGAAGGAGCACAGATAGAGAAACGTGGCAGCTTCGGGATGTGCAGCCGAGAGTTGCTCGAGACTGATATTCCAAGTCGTATACACGGTCCTTTCGTAGTCGTCGGGCCTGTTGATTATGTCGTGAGAGGCCTCCAGGGCCTTCTGTCGGTCGGAGCGGAACCTTGCTAGATATTGTTTGAGGGTGCACGTTGGGTTAACATGGAGGTACGCGGCAGCCTGGACAATCCCGAGAGCAAGTGCATCGAGTTCCTTCAGGAAAATTCCCATGTTAAACAACAGTATACATATGCTAGCGGAGATAATGCACATACCTCAATCAGTTCCGTGATGAGCTTGTCGGTCTCCTCATCGTCTGGGGTTTTGATTAGGGAACGGCGCAGAAAGAGGGCCTTTGCATCGTCTGGGGGCATCCGTAAGATCTGACATGATTTGTCCGGTGTTCGTAGCTGCTCGTTACGGGTAGTGATGATGATATTCCCGTGCGAGCACTGAGGAATAAACGGACGAAGATCTAGAGTTGGATCATCGGCATTATCCAGGACGAGAAGCCAATGCTCGTGAGTGCGGACAAGCCAATCGATGGTGTGTTGATAGTTATCTCCGAGCTTCTTGTCCTGAGCGATACCGTCGAGATTGAGGCGGATAGTGTCTTTAGAACTGGCGTCGACGTAGAAAACTTCCGAGAACCTGGAGAAATCGCAGACATATATGAGGATTTCGTTTAATGGTATGTCGACTCGGATAACGAATGGTCATTTAATACTTACCTGGGGTCCCCCTCCGTCGACGCGCTCGATTGTGCTACGAACATCTTCATGATCTCGCTTTTCCCGCTCCCGCCCATGCCATATAAGACAAACACGCGTTGATCATTGTTTGTTCTAGAGAAATAGTCGTCCATCGTAGACAAGATATCTCTTCGTCCAGTGAATACCCGTGACGGTCGAGGACAACTTCTGCGGCCGGGATTCAGCGGTGCGTCTCCAGCAGAGAAAATTCCATCTACCGCAAGAACTGAGTGTCAGTGTTCAAGTGACCGCACTACGTCATGTCGAATTCCTCACTGGCTTCGGATACAGTCAACAAGGCCTGCTGCTCCGCAAGAGCCTTCACTGCCAGCTCCAGCTTCGGTCTCACGTCTTCGCTTCTCAGATACTTCTCCGTGTGCGACATCACCCCATCCAGTTTATTCCACTCGTCCATCCCAATATCCTGCATCCCTTCATCGACGGTGAAGCGAAAATAGATGCCAGGGCGTGAATTAAAACGATGTTGTAAGGCCTGGTGTGTCTCCTCGGTATCTGTGGCGATTTTGACCATAGCTTTGGCAACGTCGACGGGGATGAAGCGGCCGAACAGGCCTTGTCTCGGTACGTGGTTCGTGCGAAGTTTTCCTGTACCGATGCTGATGAGACAGGAGACCTGTCTGTTCTTGCCGAACACGCGATGTGCCTCCTGGAGCACAACATTGGTCGGATTGTTTTGGACGACTCCACCGTCCAGATAGGTCCGATCGATTCCCTGATCATTGATGACTGCGCGTTTGAAGAATGTTGGGGCTGCGGTGGTAGCACGCGCCGCTTGGACGATCGTGCAAGGGATATAACGCTCAGAAGGCGGTTCGTAGGAACGGATGATCGAGGGCATTCGTGCGCCCAGATTGGTCGCAGGGACGGCGCAGACGAATCTGCAGTATCGAAGGACGTCGTCAACGAGGTAAAGCATGAGATGGAAGCGTGGAAAATCTACACTCGACAGATAGCATCTTCTGGACGGAGATCCAACATTGCCGCCTCGGCGTCGTGGGCGTATTTCTCGACAATCTTCCTCACGGCAGCCTCCAAATTCGTTGCTTTGTACTTGCCATCTCCGCGTATTTTCACTTTCGAAAACACCTTCTTCGCCAGGGCCGTATACGCACAGATTGCATCGTCTACTGACATGCGAAGGCGGCCAAGCATAAGAGCTATAAGGCTATAAGTGAAAGACGGCGAGTATTAACACATGTACAAATCTACACGTTGGGACGCATAGACTTACCCTCCCGTACTCGTACCGCCGATGAGATCAAAGTATTCACAAGGACGAGGTACTCGAGGCAGTTTGAGTCGGTTTTTGATCGAAACCATGATGACCTGTAGTATGAAGAGGGACGACAATCCACGTATGCCGCCTCCATCTCATCTCGCAAACCCGTCAGGCTCGTGAAGTAGAAAAAAGAGAATATACCATACCGATTGCAAGTAACCTCAGGCCTTTTGTCTCAGTTTCGACCATGATTTTGGATGAACGGCAAGTGAAGTATAGGTGAACGGAGAAAAACGAGCAGACCCCTGTCTCCGACGGTGGGCGCAGAAAGAAACGCCTCGAAACGCTTCAAGACTCGGGTTGGGCTTGGGGCGACCCTAAGGGATCCTACGTCGTTAAGTATGGTCAGTCAAAAGCAACTTGAGGATACCGCATGTTCGAGAGTTGTGTACCTTCATTTCTGTGTTTCCTTCCATTCATGAGTCCTCACTCTCCGGTGTCGACCTTTTGCGGGTTGGACTACTCAGGCTGTCAATTAATGGACCCGCCTCCAAAACCTTGACTCTTGCTGTCTGTATGAGATAGCTTTCACAGGTAAACTTCACAGATAGCGGAGGTACACCATACAAATCAATTATGCGGGAAAACACGAACATTTCAATTTCTAACAAGAAAATGAGAGCACCGATATGCAGTCTCTGTTCCCGCATCTACTCGAATCGGGTGTATCCTCGCATCTGATATCGACAAAATCGCCGGTGCACGTCGACAGAAAATGAACATACCATTGATGCCAGATGGTGACAATACTAAGCGAGATGGGGTGGAGGGGACTCGGAGTGTTGGTGTTTCTGGTCATCGTGCATTGATATCCATATTTAGAATAAGCGTACACACGAACTTTGATCGCGAGGTCGCCGCAATGCCAGGCTGCTGTTGAAGGGCGTGAACGGTTAAGGTCATAGTGGCGACGACCGCCACCTGGCAATGCGTCAGAACCTGCAATCGGAATCTGCCGGAGAAACCTTTCTTTTCAATCTCCGCGACCAACCGAAGAGTTCGATTGTCAAGAACACACAGACAGCTCATCGCTTCGGAGTCCTTGAGGCGATAACGACGCATAAAATACACTCAAGCACTTGGGCCTTCATTTGGCGATCACTTGCCTTGGCCCACCCGCCGTTGGCACGCCGTCGCTTCTCTAAATGTTTCTCTATAGCATAGTGATTTGATAGTGATGTTGTGAACATCGGTGGAGCTGGTGACAACGTCACGATCCGTTTCACCACTGATAACCCTGGTCCGTGGATTATGCACTGGTAAGTGGTTCGCTATCTAGTAGAGGTGCATGTGCGAGTGTGTTGCTGATAGAGGCGTTCACTGTAAATACAGCCACATCGATTGACATCTTCGCGAGGGTTTCGGCCTGGTATTTGCTGAAGGAACGCAAGATATCATCTCGAACGATGTTGATTCGGTCAACACGGCATGGAAAGGTTTATGCACGACATACGATACTCTTCCTGTATCCGAGCAATGAGGACCCCGGGTGTGATGGTTTCTCGTTTGATGACTCTAATGAAGACACTTCCCACTCTTACACTACCTTACGCGTGGACTTCATCTCATGATTACGCTCCTTTGCATCAGTAGGAAGTATTTCTGAATGGACACTGAAGCTATATTTTGATCAATATTGTAGTTATTATGGAATGGCGTACCTACTCTTGAACTCTCGGAGACTTTCGATCCTTCTCATTCCTTCGCGATTGGACATTTGGCAGATGATACCTTCGTTTAGGACTTTGGGTGGCTCTAATACCTTGGATTTTCGGTTTACTTTATGGGTTCGTAACGCGTCTTCGGGGCTTATCATACAGACAATATACTCGTCACAGGGATGTGATACATTACGCTGGCTTACAGCCTGTATTATTTGTGTCTTCATGAACGGATGCAGAGATTTGAAGAGCAGTAGTGTTCGTCTTCGCAAAGGACTACTATGAGTCCTCAGAGACTTGATTCCATAGAAGCATATCGTGCGGTGGTAAGTTGGGATCGGAGTGAGTCAAACCATTAGGAAGTAAAACGGTGCGAGCATTGGTTTTATTCAAAAAGGCACATCCCTTTGACGTTCGAGCACTTTTACACGGATATATAGGACAAGACTATGGTGAATGCGCACTATGCCGAAACAGTTGTCCTGAACTACAGGTTCTTCATTAAAGGCGTGATCTGGGCTAGACCAGGGTAGTATGTCGATGGAATCGTGCTGTAATCGCGCAACAGTCAGTTGGAGCATATCAGGAAGGGTTGAAGGCGACTGACGGCGTAGCGATAGAAGCAGTCGACCCAAAGCCGGCCGTGAGATCTCCGGCAAGAGTGGGGACTGCAGTCATACTGATGGGCTTATTGTATGCGGTCGACGTTGCAGCATAGCTGGTGGCTGCAACGGAAGAGTGAAGGCATGCACCAGTGCCAAAGGCAGATTCACACTTGTACACCGCAGATCCAGTATCGGACCACAAGTACACATCTATGAGGGTCACTGAGAGAATAACGTTCAGCGATCATCGAAATCAAGGTTGTGTTAATGTTGCACGTACTGTCAGTGCAGGGAACCTCATCTGCACAAAGAAATTGGACCGGCGGACGGCTGACGCCGTTAGCAACTGTGCCGTCCCAGTTCTATCAACGTGAGGGGTGAGTGAAGACTTGATAGCCTCCGAGATGGGTCACGACGCACCTTGAAGGTAATATTCGAGAGTGAGACACCATCACCGTCGAGAGTAGACATGCTTGACCAGTACTGGTTCACATCTAGAGCATATGCACTACCGCCCGTGACGAGGAAATCATCGAAGAGCACGTTCTTGACAGAGCCAGAGCCCCCATTGCTCTTGATCATCATCGCCTGGTTGCATCCATTCGTGTATACGTGCCTAAAATGCGGGTCCTAAGGAACGATATAAAGAAGTGAATGTCTGCTTAGAACGTACACATATTGTATGTTAGATATGTCACAGTCCACAGGCAAGCTACCAAGCGCACATCCTCCGGACTGATTGCACCAGATCTGTTCGATGAGGAAGTTACTCGCAGGCGACTTCACAGTGACACATTCGTCTCTGTTTGTGACCATGACGTCGTGAACCCCTGCTCAGCTTCATGAGACACAGAAAAGTAACGCAAGGACAATATGGTTCAGACTCACAATGATTGTCACCACTGATGTCGACACCATCGCTCCCACCGATGTCAGCCCCTCGGATGGCAAGGTTGTAAAGCTCTCCGCTAGAACCTCCGTCGATGGTGATGTGGAACTCCGGCGAGTCGACGAAGATCAAATCATGAAGAGAAAAGTTAGTAGAGTCGATGATACGAAGAAGTCGGGGACTAGATGAAACAAGTGATCCTCTCAGATATCATACAGCGTGAATAGGACTTAATGAAAGCCACATACCCGGCATTGCGACACTGGTAACCCAGTCCTTGGATCCCACCTGCGGAGGTAGAGCTGTACATTTCAAAATCTTCGGCATTCTCGATGGCGAACATGTTTCCACTTGTGGTCGCTAAGGCCCATCTTCAACCGAAGGACGGATTTAACCATGTGTAAAAGGACGGCGACGTACATGCACGTGTGATCAGGCCATCGAGTCTAAAAGCCCATTTGGTTCCTACCAATTGATGCTCGTGAGTCTATAGATTAGAAATATAGGATAGACGAACGCCCACCTCCCGTAAGAGTAACCCAAGTTTTCATGTTGTAATTTCCTGCCGGGACGTAGAGAACGGCACCGGAGTTTTTCAACACGCAATTCTGAGAAAAACAACTGATCGGTCAGGGAGAAAATATATATGACAGGATCCAAGAGTCAAAAAACGAACCTCGAAGGCCTCCAAAATGGCAGGACCGATGTCGCTGCTACCCACGGATCCCCCGTAGTCCAAGACACTGCAAGTGACAGTTTTAGAAGAGAGCGGCGTGGTAGGACCAGTCGATCCTGTCAACTGTCCTTGGACGAAACCAGTGAAAGCCAAGACAGTGAGAGCTACAGTCGTCGGAAGCGAGAACATGGCGGATATGATGATCTGAGGGCGGGTGGGGCGCCAAGCCTGTATCGGAAGACTCTGCTTTATACAAGCTTGTGCCTGTGGACCGGAGGATTCTAAAAGACCAACGTATCACCATGGTCGGAAGTAGTTTGATATAATATTTGCACGCATGGCGTTTGGCCGTTCTTCGGACAGAAAGAAGCCGCATACCGAGGAGCCGCAGCGCCGTGGGGTGGCAGCAACCTGCAGTATCGAGCCCGTTACCTTCTGCATATACCCAGAGTTCTGCCGAAGAGGGTTCAAACCACTGTTGAGAGTTGGTGTGACCATATCATGAGGAGATGGCTAGCATGCTTTACGGTCTGCGGTTGCCGTTCCGTAACTATGAGACAGACTGCCCAAAAGGAAGGCAGCCTTACTGTCAGAGGCTCAAGTGCGTGACTTGAGAATGGAGACAATAAAGACGGAGTAATATGTGCGTAGAAGCCATCAAGGAGATTGTCCCTGGGGATTCATGGAACTTTTCCGGTCGTTGACGGAGTCTGACACCGACTGGAGACCCTCCACAGGGTGCTACGGGGCCGATTCGGAGGAGATTGCATCACGCACCTGAACCTGAGCATTTCGGTCGACTTCCCTTGCGAATTTATGAACTGCATCATGCAACGCTAGGTTGCGGCTGTCTCGTCGAAAGTCCGGGTACATATCTTTTCCCCGTCTCTGCACCCATGGCAACCTGGATAAACAAGGGGCGGCGTGATGAGCGGCCGTGTCAGAAATGTTGAAAATAGTGTGCATACAATATGAGCTAGGGAGCGTCGAGGACTGTGAAAGATGCCGCTGGTGTACATGTGGCTGAAGAAGAAGAGAAGAAAGCCCAATTCCTGTGAGGGCCGGACATGTGTGGCAATGGCCCATGTGACAAAGTCAGGCTGCGATTTACCGCAAGTGTCCAGGAGATACTTGGATCACAAAAAAGTGGTTGTGGGGCTAAAAAATGTTCAGGGCTCAAATGTTCACAAGGCAGACCTACAAGGCAAGTATGGATCACTCTAGGAGGCGCAGTGAATCGTAGAATACATATCATTTTCTGCCTTGCTGTCGAGATTCTTGGTTCCGACGATGGGTCGCCTTTGCTTCTATCTATTTTACGCAGTGAAGGTGCACCCGAGATTAGAACTAAGATTTGGGACCTGCTTTCCGGCGGTGACGGTACTCCCGAAATACCTCCACGAGTGGGGCTCAGAAGACAAACATAATTTTTGTCGGTGGGGTCATAATCAAAGAAACAAAACCGTATGAGATCAATAGACAACACAATGATTGATTTTCTACCGCAAGAAACGTCAGTAGTGACGCTTGGGAAGAGCTACAAAGAGCGAGAGGAAATCAAGGACATACAGTCATGGGGGGCCAATATGTGGTCCCTAGCCGCTTTCTCCTTCGCTGCTGCCTCTAACTCCGCGAACATCCCACTCTTCAAACACATCGTCCTAAATATCCCATCCTCCTTCTCCAACAACTTCGCCGGCGTATCAAACTCCGCCACAGCTCCCTTCTCCAACACAATCAACCTATCGTAATCAATGACCGTCCTCAGACGATGCGCTACGGTCAATAACAACGACCCGCCGAACTCTTCCCGGATCGTCGCCTGGATCTTCGCGTCCGTGGCGAAATCAATCGAGCTCGTGGCTTCGTCGAGAACTATTATGGCTGAACGACGGAGGAGGGCTCGGGCCATTGCGATCAACTGCCTTTGACCCTGCGAGAAGTTGATTCCTCCGGGAGAAACTTGCGTGTCCAACGTGATCGGTGCGCGGCTCTCGACTTCGGTGACAGAAGGAGCACCGACAGTAGGAGATGACGACGACGTAGCTGAGGAGGGGCGATCAGGATGTGAGGGAGAGGACGGCCTCGTATTGGCGCGCGAGGCTTGACGAGAGGTGCGTTGAGATTCGTAGGCGTTTTCGGTAAGCATTTGGACGCGATACAAGACGTCCAGGCATTCGAAATCGTCATGTTCGTCTATGAAGGCAGTCAGATATTGTTTGCGTTCAGGGCGTGGGGGTACGTACTAAACGGATCAAGGTTCTTCCTCAGCGTTCCCGAGAAAAGTGTAGCATCTTGTGGAATGAACGTCTGCAAAACATGTATTAGTCGCCACAAAAGCGTGACATCACAAATACCACTCACAATCCTCGATCTCAAATCATGCAACCCAATCGTCGAAATATCAATCCCATCCACCAAAATTCTTCCGCCCGCAGGATTGACCTGAAACACAACCGAGGCAGCCACCCAGGGACACGACATTAATACCTGAACCTTCGGCCCTTACTAAATGGACCAGGGCACTCACGAATCTCAGAATACTCATTGCTAGCGTCGATTTCCCCGACCCTGTCCTTCCCAAAAGCCCAATCCTTTCCTTCGCCTTCAGCGAGAACGACACGTCATGCAACACGAGCGGCAACTCTGGCGCGTACTTGATGTCAAGGTTCTCCACTACGATCAAGTTTTCGCCTTCAGAGGACGGCGAGTAGGCGGGCGGGCGGTTGTTTTCGATGATTGCGGGAGGTTCTTGTGGAAGGTCGAGGTATTCGACCACACGTTCAACGGAGCTATACAACCAGCGATTTCAATGACGTGAGCATCATGCGACATATGAATGGGATCAATGGGAAGGAGGTATGGATGTGGAGGTAAGCGTACTTGAGATCGAGCTCGAGCGCTGTCCAGAACCGACAGGCCCAGTATATACTGGTCGTGAATGCCATCGCCGAAGTGATACACATACCCGCAGTTCCCGCGCTCACGAAGCCCGAAAGCGCGAAGAGCGTCGTGATGAGCACGGCGACGGCACCGAGGCAATCGAAATTCAGGAGCAGCCAGCGGTTCGTCATCCAGAAGCTGTACCACATCTATGTTCGGCAAGTATTCGTCGGTTAGTCGAGTGCTCGGGAGAAGAATGAATAGAGAGACGCCTACCTTCGTAGTCTGGTCGATCTTCTGGTGCAACCCATCTAAGAACTTCTGTTCCGCAGAGAACGCCCTCACGGTAACAATCCCCTCCAACAACTCTCCGAACCCAGAAAAGATGGGCGAACGAGTGTTGGACTCCATGCGACGGAGATCACGACCGGTGTTGAGATACCCTATGGCGAATTGGCGGTAGGCGAGACCAATTATTGAGGCGGGGATGAGGAAGAGGGGGAATATGAAACTAAACACTCGGACAGAATATAAGCCATCAGTCGGAAAGGAGCATAGAGAAGAGTCACTTACGCCACTGTGAGAACCGAGGCCGCGAATGGTGAGGGAGGTATTGACGGCCTGGAGCGAACCTGCTAGGGACGAGTCGACCGTCTCGACATCCTGTATAATTTGGACTCCATGAGCATTGGGCATATTGAGCTCGTAAGAGAAACCATCTCTTACCTTACTGAACCTATTCAACATTCGACCTACGCACGACGGACACCGATTAGATCCAGCTCATCCCACAGACTCGAAGAATACGACGTACCCTGCGGCGTCGTATCATGCCACCTCATAGTCGCCCTAACCACTGTCTCCAACAACTTCCTGAACAAAACTCTACTGGCTCTCAAAGCTCCTGTGTACTGCGTCACCACCGACAGAATACTGACCAACGCCGTCAAGAACCCGATACCCGCATAGACACCGATATAGAAAAGAGGATGTTCCTTTGGGCTGAGTAGGATAGAGGGCTGGACGTTCGTGAGGACAATCTGAGAAGTGGGGGTGTAGGGAGAGGCGGTGGTGGTGTTCGGTACCTTGAGTGTGTCGGAGAAGTTGAAAGCGCTGAAGGTGTAGACATGCGGGATATGATGAGAGCTGTGGACTGCATGCGGAAGGTAATGCGGGGTGAGGGAACCACCGAAGAGGCTTTCATGTTCGACGGTTGAGAAGGAAGTGAATGAGTAGGTCGTCGTGGAAGCCACGAAACTGTTATCGCCGTAGGCTTCACCCCAGAACTAGACGACACTGCATCAACCACTGTGTACACTCTGGCGAGGACGTGGCAGAGGACATACCTTGATCCAGAGCTTCTCGGTAACACCCAGCAACTGTGCCAGCACGATTAGCGACGCCAACCCAATCCACGTCCAATACGACCTACGTAGCCACGGATCAGCATTCTCGTCACTCCCCTAATACCATTAATAAACTCACGAAGCCTTCAAATAAGTCCTATATATCGGCCACTTCACCCCACCCGTCAGCCTTTGCTCATCCTTGACCAACTTCCTCGGTTTCTTCCCTCCCTTACCCTTGGCCTTCTTCACTGCCTCTCCTTCTCCTACTCCCTCGTCGTTGTCATTACCTTCAACAGCCCCCTCCATTGCTTCCTCCTCCGCAGTCTTCTCCCCGATCCCCATCTCCTCCGCCACAACCTTCTCCTCCTGCACGACCTGCACCTCGCTCTCCTGCTCGATAGCCTCAAGGATACCTTGTTCGCGAAGGGCGGCTACCGTTCCGTGTGTGTCGATGCGGCCATCGAGCATGCGGATGAGGTAGTGTGTCCCAGGTAGGACGAGTTCGACGTGATGGGTTACGAGGATCTGTCGTGGAGGGGTTTGTTGGGGGAAGATATGCAGCAGAGGGTAAGTGGAGTAGGAAGAGTAAACGTACAACCGTGCGATTGGCTAGTAATGGGCCCTTGAGGAGTTTCTCGAACAGCACGCGAGCGGTGTGGCTGTCCTGTATATTCGTTGTGTATCAGCGTTGATCGACAGACTGACTAGGCGAAGGGAGGGTATCAAACATGGAACATACGTACCACAGCACTTAACGGGTCGTCTAAAAGCGCATACTTCGTCGGAGCATACACTGCCCTCGCAAGCGCCACCCTAGACTCCGGCTCCATCTGCGCTTTGACCAACGATTCTGTTGACACCATATAGAAATAAACAGTACGAAAAATTAGAGCGATGGACTGCGTACTAGTGCATGAGAGGAGAAATCGAGCCAATGGCACTTTTTGGTAGAGTACGGCGACGTCCTCCCTCAGGGGTTTTCTTTCCCCTTTCTTTCCCCCTTCGAACAAGGCATCGCGTAAGACGATCGGTGGTATCGGCACTGCCGATTCTCGCGCGCGTCTTCCAGACGCGAAGAATGCTGGGGAAAGGTCGTACGCGATAATATCCTCTACGATCTGCGCAAACTCCTCCGGTTTTGCATCCTTGAGATATCTCCAAGGAGGCGAATTTTCAGGAAGTAAGCGAAGCCAATCTTCGACCTCACGCTCGCCCGGGACTTTTGATCATGAAGAGGGCATTGGCGATTCTGGCGGCATAGTGTGAAGGTACTCGAAATCAAGTGAGAGGCCGCGATACTAATTACTTAGGATGACGCTTAGTAGACTCGAGACAGGACGAGGATACAGATAGTCGTGAGAGAGAGGGAGAATGTCAGCCGAGGAAGTGCCTTTACCTTATATGCATGTGCGATGTTCTTTTGTTCAACTGCAATGGCACGGTGTCAGGCTTTACATGATACATCGATTGAACTTGGTTGAAGTTGGTGTCGAGGGCCGGAGTTGCAACGGTTCAAGCGCCGCTCTCCGAATCACGCTCAAAATGAGAACCGGGAAATGCCGGATGCTTTGTCGATTACGACAATGACCACGTAAGAACAGGCCATTCTTCTATCGCTTTGGGGCTTATTTTAGCTCGATATGCGCAAAGGCATTGATGCATACTGTCTATTTGCAGCTCGCTTTGAGACCTGAGTAGTATTCCTCATTTGGCCATCATCGTTCGCTTGGTGCTGGCACTCTGTCCACGCGTCGCCGCTTCTGTGAATGTCTCTCCCTTTGCTTCGTACAAAATCTGAACAGGCTGTTGAGTCTCCGAGTCCGCATATGTTGGATCAGCTAAGCATGGCTGCACCGTCTCTGCGTGTGTGACCCGTCTCCGGAACAGCTGTGATTATAATGGGAGACCTTCATCCGTCTCCGAAGATCCCTCTTCCGCTCCTCGGGCAATCCAGGCTGGCAGTTGAACTGAATGGACGGCCTTGGCGCCACCCCCATCCCGCCTCTTTTGAGCTCACTGGAAGTCTTTTGCATTCGCTCGTCTCCCTCTTGCAACCTTCGTGACAGCGACGACGACCAACGAGCATTGAGGCCGCTCGAAGACGCCCTGGTATTCTTCAACATAACTTTCAGGACAAGATGGCAGGCTACACTAGGCCGTCGTTTGCCAGGCATCTGACTGAGGAGCCTGTAGAGGATGGTGAGGTAGAGATGACGCCGGCGAGCGTCGCTCAGGCAGGAATCGTGTTTCCGAGCCTTGAGCGAGCGGATGAGTTGGTTCCAGGTACGTTGTTCGTTAAGTTTTGTGGAATGACTGTTGCGTGGCGGACACGTCGATCGACGAGAGCTTTATAATAGGGGCCTCTAGCGAGTCGTATCGTCGTTCTCATCATGCACGCCGTTCGGGGGACGAGCGGTGTCTTACCCCATGTTTTGCGGTTTTCAAGTTATTCAATCCATATCTATATCCATCGCCTGAATTGCATCCTTATCATACCATCGGGAGTCGTCGATGTAGACTGTAGACGACTGAAAATGCTCTTTCAATGGGTACCTGCACGATCTGACCTACACAGGCAGATGGTTTTGCTTCACGTATAACATGGCTTTCGTGTCTTCCTTTTGCAGCTCAAGAATAATATTCTCTTTGGCACTTGTACTGATTTCAATCGAATCTCTAACAGACCTCCCCTCATCCACAACCCTCTCTTCCCACAAATCCGAAGCCCAATCCGCCCTCACCTCCTCCGACAAACTCTCCGCCCTCCCGTCCCAAGCTCTCCCCTCGTCTTCCTCCCTCGGTCATACCAACACCAACAACGCCTACTCGCACTCGCACTCGCACTCCAATCTCCATAGTCTCAACCGCAGTCCGAGTCTCGGAGGCCGCGGTAGGAGCTCGAGTGTCGGGTACGGAAATCGGAGTCCCAATTCAGGGTACGGAAACCGCAGCCCGAGTCTGGGACGGGCGAATAGGAGTCCACGATTGAGTTTTGGGCGGGCGGCAGGGACGAGGACGCCGTCGACGAGATCACCGACGCCTACGAGGGCTTATCATCGTTCGTTTGATGCTGGCCCTGTTTCACATCTTGGTTTTGGTCCTGGGACTGAGCATGGGTCTGGTGCTGATACTGGTACTGGTACCGGTACTGGTAATAGTTCCGGGGCTGGCAATAGATCTGGAGCTGCTAGAGGCATAGGCTTGGGAAGAGTAGAAGGTATGAGCACGACGTCGGTGTCTGTCCCGAATATCGCTTTGGCGAGTGGCGGTGGCGGTACGTCGAACCAGAACACGAGTACGAATCAGATCCCGCGGAGCCAGATGTTTACCTTCGCAATGAGGGCGGCTGATCGTTCGGAGGGCGGCTCTCGGTCTATGGTTGCGACGAGGGGCAGAAGAGGAGGGCCAGGAACAGGAGTGGGAATTGGTGGGGGGGCGGAATCGCCGACGAAAAACGAAGGTAGAGGGGGTCCGAGGGTTTCGTTTGATAGTGAGGGCGAGAGCGAACGAGGAAGAGGAAGGGATAGAGAGAGGACAGAGAGGGCGTCGGGCACGACAAACACGAACACGAACACGAACACGAACACCAATACGGGCACGTATAACTCCCGACACGCTGGTCAGTTTAATCCTCCATCCCTCTTGTGCTCTCTTTGACATGACTCTTGTTATGAACTTGGCATAGGAACCCTCCGCCAACCAGCCTTTCCCGTCTCCTCCTCCGACCCCGGAACACTCGCGCACGGCCACGGCTACAGTCCCAACTCGACCTACGCCCAACGTGACCGTGAATCGCTCACCTCCCTCATCGCAACTCGTCTCCAGCAACTGCACGATACAGTCAACGCACGCACCTCCGACCACGGCAGCAGTCCACGCCACTCCCACAATCTGAATCTGAATCAACAGCATCAGAGTCAGAGTCAGAGTCAGCATAGGAGGTCGCTCTCGAGACAGAGCCGACATAGAGATTCGCCGAGGCCGCCTTCGTTGACGCGGTACGAAGATCAGAATCAGAATCGTACGCATGGCCATAACTATAACCGATCCCGCTCGCATTCTCGAAGAGAGAGCGCCCAGGGCCACACGCCCGCCATTGGGACGAATGCGAACCAAAACCAGAACCAGAACCAAAGCCCACGTCTACGCACCCTCTCCGCTTCATCCCGTGCCGCGTCTCCCCTCCGATCCTTACTCGATCGTATCTCCCTGCCTATCCATGGCCTCCGTGATCGTGAGCGAGACGGGAGGGGTATGGGTATGGGTGGCGTGGACGAAGGAGTCGGAAGAGGGAGAGGGAGAGGGAGAAGAGGGTATAGACATGGGCATGGGCGGAGGAGAGAGAGGGAGGAGTTGTTCGTCCCTGTGGATCCGTGGAGGACGTTGAGTTCGGATGTGGAGGGTGGGATGGGGTGGGGGTTTGATTTGGGATTTGGAATGGGGTGGTTGAAGTGGCCGTTTGGGAGGGGGTTGAGGAAGCAGGGTAAGGAAGGAGATGTTGAGCGGCAAGCAGGTGTGGTTGAGGATGGTGTGGCGGATGGAGGTGGAGGAGGAAGAACGGAAGGAGAAGAAGTAAGAAGGGTGAATTCGTTGGTCACGAATCCGAGTCTGAACAACTTCCCGATCGAACTCGAGGGGGACATCGAATCGCTGAACCTCTCTTGCCCCGTCCCTTCATGCGCACTCCCTCTCCCCTTCTGTCCTCACTTCACATCCCTCCGCACCCACGCTCGACCTCCCGCCGCCCCTCCCCATCCCGACACAACCACACACCCCGTCCCCGCTCCCCCACCCCTCGTCCCAGTCCGCACAAAAAGCACGACCGCCTCCTCCTGGCTCACCTTCCTCTCCGACACCGTCCCGCGCCAGATATACCTGCACCTCCTCATGCGTCTCCCGCGTATGTACTTCGGGCGGGTAGCAAGGATATTCGAGGATGCGGAGGTGAGCAGGCCGGATGTGGGGCGGTTGAGGGAGTTGGTTGGGAATGGTGGGGGCGTGGGTGGAATTGGTGGCGTGGGAGGAGGAGGAGGAGGAGGGGAGAGAATGGGAAGGAGAGGGTGGGAGTTTGAGGAGGAGGTGGATAGGGAGGTGGATAGGGAGATGGAGTGGATGGGGGAGAGGGAGTTTGGTGCGTATGGGTTTGGTGGGTATAGGGATTATTACGAGGCGAGGAGTCCCTACGAAATCAGGAGCCCAAGATCTGCACATGAACGTCTGGAGAGTCGGAGTCGGGCGGGCGAAGGGGTAGACGAGAGGGGGAGGAGTATGACTATGAGGAGTCCGAGAAATGGTCGGGAGAGAGATGTCAGGAGTCCCGGAGGAGACGCGGACGATTGGGACGACGGTATGAGTCGTGTTGAGGCGGGAATGGGCGTGGGGGTGGGCGCGGTGTCGCCGGCGTTGGTGAGGTTCAAGAGGAGCTGGGAGACGTTTGTGGATTCGTTGATCAAGGAGTGGAAGACGTTTAATTTGGTTTCTGCGTTATTGCTATCGTGCGTATTCTCCGTTCCTCTGATCTTCCGTGTCTTTCGTTGCTGATATTTGTCGTTTCCTCTCGACGCGTGGCGTCCTCAGCGCTATCCTGACAATGTTCCAAATCCCAACCGCCGCGGTCGACACCGTCGTCCGCACGCCCGCACTGTTGAGCATGGTCTGTGCGCTGATGAGTCTTTGTTACGGGTGTGTGTATATCGTCAGATTCGGGACGATGAGAGGGATGGGCAGGGCCAGTCGGTGGGCGGAGGTGCGTGCTTTCTTTTTATCACCCCATTTCCCCCCCGCATCTCTCATCCCAATTCCCCTTGTTTGCCACCCCACCCACAGGAGGCCCAAAAAACAAAAACCTCCATCCTCTGGAACGTCTGGGTCCTCCTCGCCGCGCCCGCGATCTGGCTCGCGTGGTCCATGATCGCCTTCATTGTCGCCATCCTCGCGTTCGTGTGGCGCTCAGGCTCGACGGCGGATCCGAGCAGTAATTCGGCGGAGAGCGCGGGGGATGGAGGGGGGGCTGGGGGGGCGCCGAATACCAATACCAACGCTGCGAGTACGTTTGGGGAGTTTATAGGAAGCGGTGTGGTAGGTGGTGTTGCAGGTGTGGTAGGTGTGAGTGGAGGCGAAGGAAGCGGGAATGGAGGGGCGGAGGACGCGCAGGGCGGGACGGACGGGGGGAGGGTGTTGGATGCGATACAGGCGATAGGACCGAGGGTTGCGGTTACGGGGGTTGTGGTCCTGGGATTGGTGTGGTTTGGGTTGATTGTGAGGACGTTTAGGAGGTATGGGGATGGGTATGCGAGGAAACATGGGGGGTCTGTCGGGGTGGATGTTGGGGAGAGGGGGAGGAGGGAGAGGAGGGAGAGGGAGGGGTTGTTGGGGCGGGATGGGGACGGGGAGGGGGATGAGAGGATGGAGGGGAATGAGGAAGTAGGGAGGGAAGAAGCGGAGAGGAGAAGAGGTCGTAGTAGGGAGGTCGTCGGAGATAGAGCTGGGGAGGCTTTGGAAGCGACGGCGCCGACGAGCGAGGAGGCGCAGGTTATGTCGCCTGCGAGTGGGGTGCAGGGGCTGGGGCTGGTTAATCTCGGTGTCGAAGCCGAATCAGAAGAGAAAGATGCGAATGAGGGGGATGGGGATGAGGTGTTTGTCGTTGGAGACGAGGATGAGAAGGAAGGGGGTGTGGAGGAGGTGGAGGAGGTCCAAGTTGACGAGAAGGGGATGCAGTCGATGGAGTCGTTGGATGGACATGGGACTGGAAATGGGATGGTGTAGTGTGTCTTTTTTTCTTCGAGTTGTTTTGCATATGTTATGCTCTGCTAAGTTTGCCTTTCTGATTTGCATATTTGCTGGAGTCGTCTGTTTTTTTTTTATTCCTTGCATTGATATCCTTGCCGTTGCCCGGATCACGACATTTTACGACCATAGATACCATACGTAGCTTACTTATACCTCAGCATAAACCGTGCCCATCGCAATACATCCCGTACGTTCTCGTTACCCACTCTCAGCGCTAGCGCCACCGAAGTCGAACATTTACCGCCACACGGTGATTACGCACCCAGACCGCCGTCAGCAGCCGGCAAAACTGACCAATCATCACGTCGCCGTCGATCCATCAAAATTCGGCAAACTGCAAAAAGACGCGCTTCGCGATTGGCGCGCCGCTGCTCTGTTTTACCGTGATTGGCGATATTCGCCGTCCTGTTTCAAGTTTCTGCGTAGGTCTGCGTGTGGGGAACTGTTTGCTTGCCTCGACCTCGACGACTACTCATCTGGGCGGTTTATTCGACGAGTCGTGGTTTATGGTCTTAGGCTGGTTTTAATTTACAGGATAATTCGAGTCCTCCAGGCCTGCCAGCGTATTATATATATCGCGAAGGGATCCACGGTCGTCGGTCATTTCAGACATGGAAGGTGATCCTACGAGCGACGAACGCGCCTTTGCGGCATTCGTCGCACAAGTCACCAATGGAGCATACACTTCCCCGACTTCCGTAGACGAGCATCAACAACAGCAGTATCAGCAACAGCAGGAGTCTTCGACGGCCGTCCCACAGACCACAGTCTCGCCTGGCGCGTTACAGAGGCCTGCATCTTCTCAGGATCAGACTTCTGGCCGTCTTGAGGTTGAACGATCATTGCGTTCGCATTCGAGTCAGCATCAGGAGCAGGAGGCAAGGCCACATGGAGATAGTATCGACGCCGTCCACGCCCAGGCTGAACAGAGGCAACGCACTTCCGGATCCCCTTCGCCTTCCTCTCCATCCATCTTCGTATCCACCCCCGCTCAACGACTCGCGACTTCGAATTCGTTCCCCTCCGAGTCATCGAGCATACCTACTCCTCCGCCCTCCTCGCACGGGAGGCCTCCTCAGCCCCCCTCACAGCAGCAAGATCAGGAAACTAACGTCATCCAGAGGCCCGGTAACGATTCAGACGCCACAAGTCCAAGCGAAAGGAACTATACGTACAACCGTTACGGGAACAATTCAGTACATCCTTTGCTCGGAGGTCCGACATCAGATTCTGCGAGTTCTGGCGTCGTGATGGTGGACTCGGACGCAAACCCAAACTTAAATTCGCGGGCGCAGGCGCAGGGGGCATCAGCTTCTGTGGAGATGGGGAAAGGAGAGGAGGCTGCGTCTTCCCAGCAGACTACCACCACCACCACCACCACCACCAACACCAACACCAACGCGACCTCTACCACCAACGGTATGACCACAAATACTAGTGCGAGAGATAGTGGACAGAGATCGGACGCGGAGTGGATGAGCAAGTTCATGGTTCTCTCCAAATCGGGCGCGGAGGGGGCGAAACAGGAGGTGCGTTGTTGTTTCTGTCTCTTTCTGTCTCTATTCCCACTCCCTTCTGTCCTGCTTCCGACCTGAGTATAGAGCTGACGAAAACGACGTTGTTTTAATCGTATGGCGTGTGTGGCGTGTGTGGCGTGGTGTTGTGGCCCGTCCACCCAGCTTCCGGCTTTCTCGTCTTCGGCCCCACCGACAAACACGAACACGAACGCAAACGCGATTAACATCCCACACATCTTCCCACCCTCCTCCCATGCCCACGTATCCCAATCCCCGACTTCACATCATCTTCCACAAATTCCCTCCCGACGCGCCTCCACTTCCACCTCCGCCTCCGCCTCGAATTCTAATCCCTATTCGAATGCGAACTCTTATCCGACCCCGAATCCAACTGCGAACCCGAGCGGGCCCTCTACGTCTACGTCGACGGTTACTTCTCCGAGTAGCATCGTACCGCACCAACCCAACCGTCCTTCCTCGCAAGTATCAACTCATGCGCAAACTCCGACTCAGGCTCAAAGTCCAACGCAGACCCATGGCCAGAACCAAAATCAAATTCTAAACCCAGCGCAACACCAACCCCTCCCTCCGCAAAACCCGACTCAACACCCCGCTCCAATCCCGACTCCGAACCAAAACCAACCCCAATCCCAACCGCAAACTCAAAACACCCATCCCGAGCTCGCGCAAGCGTTCAGCCATCAAAACCGTAACGCACAGGAACAGGAGGCTCGATTGCGATATATGGTGCAGGTAGCGGCGGAGGAGAATCGGCAGCAGTATGAGTATGCAATCGGGCAGCAGCGGCAGTTGAAGCAGAAACGGCTGCAGCAGGAGCAACAACAGCAACAACTCGGTCAACAGCAGCAGCAGGCGTCTTCGTCGGCGCAGGGTGCGCAGATGGGTGGTAATGGCCAAGGATTAACAGCCCAGCAGATTGAGGAGTTAGCGCGGAAGCATGGATATGGGGCTGACGGTTCGTTGCAGGTACGGGTGGCGTCCCAGCAGGGCCAGCAGATCCAACAGCAGCCTTTGCCGCAACAACAGCATGTAGAACCTCTGCTCCACCACCAACAACAACAGCAACAGCCACAACAACAACCTCTGCCCGTCCAATATCCGCAATCACAGTACCCGCAATCATCACCACAGCAGCCGCTCACGCCACAGCAGATCCGACAGCAACAGCTCATGCGGCAGATCGCGCTGCAGCAGCAATTCGCCCAACAACAACAACAACAACGACAACAACAGGCCTCGTCTTCATCACAGTCCCATTCCCGGTCCCAGTCACAAGCGGGCTCATCGAGACCTTCGTCTGCGCATTCGGCACATCAGCGGGTTCAATCCCTCGGGAACGCAAACGGACAATATACGGCGGAACAGATCCAGGGGTGGCAAGCGCAAGGACAGGGACAGACGTATCAGAACGTTCAACCGCCCGGTCATGGGCAACAACGCGTTCGTCAGGTCTCTGGTTCGTCGAACGGACAGGGACAGGTTCAGTCAACTTTTTCGCCTGCGTCGTGGCCGTCTACGGGCGTGAATGCGAATGCGAATGGATCGCCCCCTATTCCGGTCCCTGCTCCTGCTTCTGTTCCGGATACGAGTGGACATGGACATGTTCGTAGGGAGTTGGTCGGCCAGCAGCAGTACGCTGGAGTGCAGCCGATGGCGATCGCGGGGCAAGGAATGGGGCCGAGGAGGATCATATTGACTAACGCGCATGCGAGTGGGTCCGGGTCGTCGCAGAGGCAGAGGACGGTGTCGGGTTCGAGCACAGGAGGAGGGATGCCGGTTCCGTATCCGCAGAACGTGCAGGGGATCCCTCAGCCGATGACAGGTCCTGTGCCCGTGCCAGTGCCAGTGCCAGTTCCGGGGACTACGACTGCTCCTTTGAATGGGCATGGGCATCCGCAGCAACAGCAGCAACAGAGGAGGCTTTCGGGACAGCAGGTGCAGTATGTGCAGATGCAGCAGGTGCCGCAACAACAGTTCCAGCATCCACATCAGGCGCAGTTCCAGCAGCCGCATCCACAACAGCATCCAAATCCAAACCACCAACAGCAGCAGCAGCAGTATCAGGTCCAAGGCCAAGGTCAACCCCAAGGTCAACCACCGACGCCTACACATCCCAATGGCCCGCATATGTGGCCTCCTACGCCGATCACGCCTACGGGTTCTGTCCCTCCACCTCCGACAAATTCGGGCGCCTCTACATCTTCTCATACGCCGAATCCGATGCCGAATCCGAATGCCCCTCCGCCACGTCCCAACGCTCCGCAAATTATCGCGCAGCGCCCACCGAACTCGCATCCTCCGAACCCCAATGCCGCGCAGCCTCCACGGACTGTTTCGTCGCATCCTCCTAACTCACAGCCTCCTAATGCACATTCACCGCTGCGTCCACCACCGCACCCAACCGGCCCCCTCCCCCACTCCACGAACGTCGCACTCTTCCCCGACCCCACCTCGCTCGCTTACGGCATCCTACATAACACAAAAACCAAACTCGAAGAAACCTGGCAGACGGCGGTGAGGGATACCGCGGCGGAGGTGCGTGCATGGAACGTGGGCTTTGCGAAGGTTTTCGGGGAGCGGGAGACGTTCGCTGCGGAGAGGGATGCGGCGAGGAGGGAGTTGGAGGGCGCGAGGAAGGAGTTCGAGAGCGTGAGGAAGGAGTTGGCGAGGGCGAGGGAGGGCGCGCAGGGGATAAATGGTGGGAAAGAGAGGAAGGAGATCGAGATGATGAGGGGACAGATTGGGCAGATGAGGAGAGAGCAGAATATGTTGGTTGTGATGAATAATGCGTTGGCGGCGGAGAATGCGCGCTTGAGGGAGCGCATGGGGCTTGGTGACGCTGACGGGTCCAGTTCCGCTGCCGGCACTGTGCAAGGCCAGCCAGGATCAGGACAAGCTGGGCAGAACTACGGCACGAGCGGCGTTGGCGCGCAAGTCTTCGCGGAGCTCAAGTGGTACAAGGATAATTATGCGAAGTTGTCGGAAACGTGCAAGGAGATAAAGAAGAAGGAAGAGAAGAAGTGGAAAGTTATTGAGGGGTTGTTGACCCAGAGGGGGTTTTGTGGCGAGGTTTTCAGGGAGGTGAGTTTTGTTTTCTCTTTTCTTCTTTTGACGACGTGGCGTTCGAGTCTTCGGGCATACTTTCGTCTGACGCATGAAACCATCATCTCGGGGATCACTCGCTGATATGTTTATCTATCTAGGTCGTGAAATCGTGCAAATGTGGCGCCGCGTTGCTGATCCCGCCACAATGCACTGAGCTTCCACCAGCGTCGGAACTTCTCTCTCAGTCTCGGACCCAATCACAGCCCCAGGGCCAACCTCCCAATCCCTCCATAGATCCTAACGCCCCCGCAGGAAATGCACCGGGCTCTGAGCCTGCACCTATTTCAGCCTATGCTCCAGGTCCACCACCGAGCGCGAGTCCCTCCCCATCCATCGCTCGATCCGAAACGTCGATCGGTATGGCGAACGGAAGTGCGAAAGAAGGAACCTCGACGGCTGCGACGTCGCCTATGAGTGCGAATAAGGAGACTGTGGTGGCTCGGACTATGCCTGGGAATGGGATAAGGGCGAGCTCGCATCCGCTGGGAGCAGCTTCGATCTCAACGGCGGGACCTGGGATGCAGAGGAGGAGTGTGGACGGGTCGATGCCTCCGCCGAGTAGTACTCAACGCTCGTCCGTCCCTCCCAACCCTTCGCGATCGACCGCCCCTGTATTTCTGTCCTCGACGTCGGCGTTCTTACCGCCACCTACGACTTCTTCGACGGACCAACCGGCGCAGGGTACGGACCAGGCGGGAATTGCACACGATACGGCCTTGACGGCACGGTGGAAGCACCAGATGGACATGGAGGTGATCGACCTAACGGATCTGGCTGATGATTCCGACGACTTCAGCCAGTTTGTCTCACCGGAGAGGGCAGCTGCATTGGCGAGAGGGGAGGTAAAAGTGGAGCCGGAGGTGGAGAGTCCTTCGGCCTTGGGTGTCAGAACTAGGGAGGGGATGGAGGAAGAAGATGAGGTGCAAGAGGTTGGCGGTGGAGATGAGGGTGGAGATGGAGAGCGGAGGAGAAAAAGGAGGAGGACGGATGAGTTCGTGGGTGGGTGTGGAGATGGTGGGGTGCAGGTGAAGAGGGAGATTGTGGAGGCGGCGATGGAGGGACAGACAGTGTATCCGCCGGAGCCTTATCCTCCGGTGCAATCCACGCGCGATCAGGATGTGCAAATGGAGGGTCTTGGAGGAGAGCCTTCGCAATTGGTGGAGGCGACTCAGTCGGGTCCTATCCAGTCGGCATCTCCAAGTTCGCTCTTTCCACAGTATCAGCATCTCCCTCAACCGAACGGCGCGCAAAACCAAAACCTGAACTTTGTCGTCAAAGCTGAAGTAGACGACCGGTCCTTGAATCTCGACTTAGGCCCTTCGTTTGAGCCGTTGACAAACACGAACAACGGTCAGCAACCTGGAGAGGGAGAGCAGTTACAGTCTGGGCAGGTTCAGGATGATGTGGGTGACCAGGCTGATGGTGAGGGGGAAGGCGAGGAGAGTGAAGAGGAAGAAGAGGAGGATCCAGAGGTGGCGGCGGCCAAGCTGGAGGAGAAGCATATGCAGCTTGTGTATAAGAGTGTCGACGAGCAGTTGGTTTGCCGATTTTGTTTGTGAGTGCTGTTATCCTTCTCATCTTTCCTCCGAAGCTAGTAGCATTTCTGACGCTTGAGTTCCGATAGATACCGCAGAGAAAGAGATCTAGCAGAAGGTCGTGATACCATCATCGTACCGTCGTTCCCACCACCGGCGTCATGGGAGGTCCAAATTGGTCACTGCATCGAGACTCACGCGAGCGCTATCAAAGACTTACTCGGTATGAGCGATGAACAAATCGTGCAGATGAAGAAGGAGATGCTGGAGAAGGATCGTTCCGACGCTCAGGATGACTCCGAGGCGGGTGCGTCGACATGAAATCGGTCTGGTTTAAGCTCTCTCAGTTTCTTATTCTTCCTTTCTTGGGGTCGTTGTGTCACCGTTCCGTTGGTTCGATTTGTCTATCGTTTGTTCATCTGTTTCTTGCATGCATTCTTGTTCTTGGTGAATCGGACACGTCTCTTTGCTCCATATTTCGCCTTTGTTGTCTGTCTCGCACATCTGCTCGTTTCTATACTATCGTCGCGTATATTTGTTTCTATTATCCACGTCATACGAACTCATGAATAAGTACATACCATAATATGTTTATTGTAAGCTTTATGTCTGATACGTCTCTCCTCATCCTGCCTCGTCTTGTCTTGTGCCACCTATTCTTGATGTTCTTGCTATATGCCATACTTATGCGCGACGTGCTGGCTCTTATACTCTATAAATCAGGAATCATATCTCTCCTATGTAGGTTCGCCCTCCAGACCTCCTCGTGCACGCTTTTTGCCCGACAACGTCCTCATGAACCGTTTTCGTTTCTGGGGGTGTGCATATGTGGCGCCGCCTGTTTGTCTTTTTCTGGCTCCGCCGGAATTGTCCAGCGACTGAACTTCAACCGAACTTGGTGGCAATTATGCGACTCAAACTATTTGCGGAAAGACATCATCGCTCAAAACATAACAGACAACTAAACCGCAATCTTCTGAGCATTTCGCGACACGACAATTTGTACACTACCGACAAGGAAATGGAGAAAAACAAAGCATTTGGAACGCAAACTGGAAAGTGATTACAGCAGTACGGCCCGGCAAGGGTAAGGAAAACAGAGTACAATTCAACGGTCAAACAGGAGATAAGCAGGTACGCCGCAGTTGCTTTACGACCTTCGCTTCTTGTCCGGAGTGCGTACCCCGGCCGCTTTGGAAGGAGAAGAGATCGTGCTCGACGTATTCTTGTCGCTTGCAGAACGAGCAGACCGCCTTGCTTTGCGGGATGGGCTCTTGGGTACGTTCGAGGGACCGGGGCCCGCGATCTGAGCTGAGGAAGCGGACGGAACTGGGCCCTTCTTTCTTCCCTTGGACCCATGGGACGGGGAACTTTCCTCCCGCGATTGTTGGTTTGATCGTCTGGTCTTGCGGGCAGGAGAACCGTCGGGAACGATCGAAGGATGGTGGGTAGAAGTAGACGACGATGCTGCCTGCCCTTCGTCCTCCGTGTGTTTACGCTTCTTGTCGGGTAGAGGCGTAGCCCATATTTCCAACTGAGTTTCGCGCCTGTGCGTCTCAGCTGCCTCTTGGGCTAGATAGTCGGGGTTGGTCGCGTTGTGATTGAGTATCGGGGGGCGAATTTGAGCGTCGTCGAATATTTTGATGACTCGGGCGTAGACGTCTTCGGTGGGGTATGCCGGAAGGTCTACAGAGGACCTGTACGCACGACGCAGCGTCTGGTAAAATATGCCGGCCACGGAGCGGAGAGGAGCACAGAACGCCGTGAATATGTCGGAGAGCGTAGACCTGAAGATCGTAGGCCAGCACATCAGTTGACGCTTCGCCGCTGCAATTCCAGCCATATTTTTGATCTCGAAAACGTTCGAGGCGTCTCTTCGCATACGCTTTCGATCGTCTTCGGTCTCACCCCAATTTTTGCGTTCGTGAGCGGGTCCATCGCGGAATATACATAGCCAGCAGAGAACCCAGAAGAAGGATTCCAAGTCGTGAATTGGCTGATGTTTGACACCACCTGAAGGGGAGAACAGCGTCCCCTCAGAGGGAGGCTCCGTCACAGCTGTGGTTGTCGATGGAGAAGCGATATACTCCTTTGGGATGACAATATCATCGTCGACATCAGGGGTGAAATATCTGTACTCATCGAGTACCTCTGCGCTCATGAACGCCAACGTTCCCTGTAAAAAGAAGAAATTTGAGACCGATCAGGTCGTCGAGAATGAAGATGAAATCATTGACTTACACCACGTTCTTCACCCTTGAGTCGTTTATGCTCCTCCCAGCTGATTGCAAAGTCGAAGTCGATGAGGACTCCTCGGTTTCCCGTCTTACCATCAGGGACGATTAGGATATTTCCATAGCTTATATCGCGGTGAAGAACACCTTTCTGGAAGATAAACTGGTGACCTGGAGAGGATCAAGGGGTAAGTTGTAGTTGCAGAAAGGCTTACGTGAGGCTTACCGGCAATAGCATCGCGCATAACACCCATAAGTTCTGGTAAGGATTTGTAATATTTTACTGACCATCCGAACGTTGACATAACCAGCCGAGAATGGATGCGGTTATATGGTGAACGGTAGTCGTCTTCTTCTTCGAAGTCGTACATGTCTTGCGACCACTCGTGTGTATGGTCTTGGAAAAGATACATACTATTAGCAACCAGTCTAATAGCATGTCCTTCAACCGACACCTTCTTGCGGATCAGGTTCAGTGTATCGTCCGCTTTCCCGCCGATGCTAACGCTGCTGAAAGAATACAACCGTGCGACGCCGTCACCGCTGTTACCGTCCACGAACGCCTTAGCGTAGAGCTCCCCTTCTGACCCGCGGCATTCGTCTCGCCACACGTCCTTGAACACATACGTCTGTGGTAATTGAAATCAGGAGGTGGTGACACAGTAGTCCGCGCGAATGAGAATTACCTTCCGTTCTTTGGCAGGTAGATCCATATCCGTGAATTTCCATGCCAGCCAGATCCGCGTCGCGCGGCCACGAAGGACCTCAGCACGAGCAAGACTGAGAGCGTGATAGAGCACGAATTTCTCTTGATCATTATCGGACGTGCTTGTGTTTGAGTTCGGTTTGTCTACAGATACGAGCCACATGCGCCTATATGTAGAAAATGTCGGAGACAGATTGCTGTGCTCTTCGACTTCATATGAATACCGACTCAAGCCATACTCACCGTGGCCCGGGGTCTGTGGCGGGAAGTAGATCTGTATGGTGGGATCCCATCCAAGGTCGCTGCGAGGAAGAAGGATTAGACCAACGATGATACGGATGAACTGCTCCGGGTCCTGTGTTAAGTACGTTGAGCGAGGCAAGAACGAAAGAACTCTGAAAATCGAACCTCATGAATGTCGAAGGATTTCGACGCCATGGCGCCAGAACGATCTATGAGCCACAGGCTAAGGTCGCGTTTCCCGAACATCATCCCGAACATGAAACGCCGATCGACCTGTTCCTTCAGCGCTGTGCGTATATGTTGTAGAAGCTGGGTGATGGAAACAGTAGTGGCATATTCCGACTTTTTGACTATGAGGATGGCATGGAAAAGTCGCCACCAAGTCGCCCCCCTGAAGGAAGCAACGATATCTGGCCTGGTGTCCAGCGCAGACCGTGATGGAATATTCTTACTATGTTCGTCGCTCCATGCGATGAGACAGGGGTGACCATCGGTCTGAGTTTTGCTAAATTCGACGGCGATCCGAGTAATGGTGTTCATAATATCGGTCAATGGCATGTAGAGCTCTGATTCGTCCTTGGGCTTCTTCGGTAAGCCTTTCCATGACTTATCGCTGAAGCGCCATATACGTCGCTTCTCGATTTCTTTGAGAACGTGTGCGACCACAGGAGTGAGAAGAGGGGAGTCTCTAGGGAAGAATGTGTCCACCATGTAAGGCGTGTCGACGAATGTATGCAAGCGCATACTATCATGAATGTCCGCTCTGACCGTGGCCGTACTGCTGCGATATTGACTAGAAATGAATCGTTAAGTGGGACATGAATTTCGGTGTTCTCTTTGTTCAACATACCAAGGATCTGGAAGTGAGAGTTGATGTAGGGGCCGAGCGCTCTGGACGGCTTTATCTATTGCTGCATTATCGGAAGACCCTGACACGAGTATCATCGGAAATGAGCAGGGATAATGTGAAAGACGAAAAGGGAACGCACCATTCTCACGTGTGTCGTCCTCCTGTGTTGCTTCGAAACTACCGATATTGTGCATGTGGACCTCTACAGAAGATGAGCTATCGCCTCGTACCTTCAGAAAGTAAGAGCGAGATGCAGTACTGACAAAGTACTGACGATAGTACGAATTTGCGGTACAAATTGGTTGTTACTTGCGGCTTATAGAGAGGCAAAAGTTGATCTGAATAGCGATCAGGGACGTCTTCGCGCGAAGTGGCAAGAAGATTGTTGACGACGTCGTGGGCAAAGGAGAGGAATAGTCGGCAAGTGACGGCGAACATGGAAGTTCAACAGTGCCGCCACGTGGGTGTCATCGCGATCGGAGCTTGAAAATGGAGTTTCATTTCACCTTTTACCAGCAAGCAGCTCATAAACAAATCCAGAATCCTTGGAGGGCTGAACACTTCTTTTCTACATCATCTATTCATTGACAACCATTCTGATCACACTTACATAAGCTGCTTTTTATCCGCGATTTACTCGCTGGCATGGCTAAAAATTTCCACTGCAATACCACCAGTGGAACTATTTTCCCGGACAATTTCACCTAAGCAATTTGCTATCGGGGCCGACGTCGTCTTCTACCGCGCCCCTGCCCAAACGCTTCTCTGAAATGATATCTGGTGTCGCTATTCTCACTTACAACTGTGACGAGTCGACGTGAGGACATCCACTCAAGAAGCTTGGCTTTGGGATCACTCTGACAAGAAGATGAGCTCACTTTGCCGTACTCGTTATTCGAACGTGTAACTTGGGCTTCAATACTAATACGTTGCTTGGCAACAGTTCAACCCCCTGCCTTGCACATACGTCGATTATGAGAATCTCGGTCAGCATCGACATCGACGGCATTCACAACAAATCTTCCTACTAGTCAATTCGACACCGCTGTAAAATGAGTACGACGAACTCGGATCTGAACAATGAGTCCGAACGGACGAATTTTGCTCCCGCGGATGACGGTAAGAGTCGAGAGACACATCCCATCTATCGCTTTCCTGAGAATAGAGACGCTCTTTCGAACGTCTCGTTTTCAGACAATCCCTCTGACCACTCCACAAACGTAGAGACGCTGCCGGAGGAAGAGAGACTTCGCCAAGAGCATAAGCGACTGCGACGCGAGAACATGGAGTTGATAGGGAAGGTGACCACTTTGGAGAAAGCGAGCGAGGATTTGCGAATAGACAAGGAACGACTGGAGAAGGATGCTAGAGCGGTCGAAGCAAAGTTCGAGAGGTTGCACCGTGACCATATATCCTGCGTCGAGGATTGTCGAAATCTCTGGATTACGGCAGCGAGCCTGCGAGAAATTGTGGCGAGGTTGGAGATCGAGAGGAAGGGGCTGTGGGAGGAGGTTTGGGTGCATAGGAATAGGGCGGCGCAGCTGGCTGGGGCGTCAAGCAGCCCTGGTTTTGAAGGTGCGTATGATATCTTAGCTTCACCCATACGTCTTTTAGACCTCCTTTCCCTACGTCTAAAACGCTGATACAACACCCGTACTTCTTACCCTGACTGATATACTAGCAATTGTGAGGGAGGGTTCATCCTCGCATCCTTACCTCGGTCACCCAGTTTCCACTTCCACGCCTACGTCGACTCCAATTCTCGACACCCATTCGACCACCATACCAACAGTTCAGACTTCGAATTCTGCCTATTATCCGCCTTCGATAACAATGCTTTCTACCTCCCCATCGAGTTCACTCACCATGTCACCCTCGACCATATCTTCGCTACCGAATTTTTCCGCCAGACCCTCGTCGCCACACGTGAGCCAACAGAGTCCCCATTCGACTCCGCCACATTCAGAGTCGGTGTCAAGAGACGAATCGAACATCACGGGGCGTGTTACTGGCCGGAGTAATGCGAAGCAGACTGAGCCCGGTGCCTCAGTTCAGAATGATGCAGATCGAGGAGAAAGGCAGACCCATCAGCTGGAGCCGGTACACATGGAGTTGGTGTATAGACATGTAGGGAAGTTGTTGGTTTGTCGGCTTTGCGAGTACGTCTTTCCAGCCTTTTACTTTTGAAACAAGTTGGAAACAAGTATATATGCCAACGTACAAACGCTCACGACGCCTTATATTCATGCGCCGTCTCTCTATTCACAGGTACCGTAAAGCAAATGGCTCCAGAGAACATCCGATCCGTATTTTCCCAGACGCGGCCTCCTTCGAAACCTTGACAAGCCATTGCAGGGATATCCACGGCTCGAGGCTATGTGATGAGCTGGCCGGTATGGACGACGAAGGTATACGTCAGACGAGGGACAGGGTGGCTCGGGAGGACGAATTTCGTCGTGCAGAGGCAACGGGCCAGATCATTGTGGTGGACTGAGGATAGGTTTCGTTGTGGTATGTCATTTCTTGCGTGGCGATCTTGTATCCTCCTTGTGGCTCATTATAGGCCAGTCTCACGTTCTATATTCATCAGTTAATTGCAACTACATTTATCTGAGTCTTTTTTGACTGAACTGATATGGACATGCTGTTTCTCGTGGCGAAAACGACACGACGTTCTTCAGTCCGCGCGCCGAAGATTCGGACTTCACAGATAAGATAACCTCAGGGGTATATTTAGCAGTCGTGACTCATTCAACTTGGATTTCATCATCTGAAATGATCGTCATGAACTGTTGACGCACCATGTTGACATCCCGTATCGAGCTCCGTTTCCGATATAAATGTAGGTATTCGCAGTGACTCCAGTTATCATCAGCATTGCACCCCGTCCCCTTCTTCCTTGTACCCGTCTACTCACTCCCGAACCACACGATGCCCGCCATAGCCCCATCCTCTCCCATAACTGCCCTCGTCACAGGCGCAAACGGTTACATCGCGGCCCACACAATCCGCACTCTCCTCTCGCGCAGCCCTCAGTGGCAGGTCGTCGGAACTGTCCGCTCTGCCTCCAAGGGAATATATCTCACGGAGACGCTATTCAAGGAGGCAACGCAAGAAGGGCGGTTTAGAGTTGTGGTTGTGGAGGACATTGGATTGGATGGGGCGTTTGATGAGATTTTCAAGGATGGTGATATTGAGGTTGTGTTTCATATGGCGAGCCCGGTGACGTATCAGTTTGAAGAGACGGACGGTTCGTACTCTATACTTGACGATGGACCTGGGGACAGTCTGGCTGAGACGTTCCGATCGTCTATGACAGACATCATAGTTCCAGCTTTGAAGGGGACGACGTCCATTCTTGCTTCAGCTCTTAGATATGGGTATGTTTTGGTCTTTGTGTCGTAAAGATCGACTTTCCCTTCAAAGAGCTCACTTCTACCCACACAGGACCTCGCTCAAACGCATAGTTCTCACCGCCTCCACCGCAACTATAATAACGCCCGACGCGCCCCCTCCCGCCACATTCGATGAAACATGTTGGAACGAGGCGTCAGTGAAGGAGGTCGAAGAGAAAGGGAAGAATGCGAACCCCAGGGAGGTTTATAGGGCGAGCAAGGTGCTAGCGGAGAAGGGTATGTGCTCATTTTCTTTTTCATTCGTTTGTTCTGTGGGAGGAGAGTAGCGAGACGCCCTCGGCGTGTAGCAGCGTGTTAACTGGGACTGAAGTTTCCCGTTATGATATGTCGATTCTCAGCGGCCTGGAAATTCGTCGAAGACCATAAACATGAGATTGGCTGGGATTTGGTGGTCATGTGCCCTCCACTAGTATGTCTGACCTAGCTTCGAGTCTCCGCTGCCTTGGTCTCTGTACGCTGATCTGACCGGCTTCCTTCTTCTATTCTCTTCGTACAGGTTCTCGGTGTAAGCACCACCATTTTTACTCTGTATCATCTCCTTTATAGCTCATATGAAATATGCTGTCGTCATTCATCGTGTCCTACTATCTGTATCCAAACCACCTCCACACATTTCATCAGCCTCCCATCCACGACACAACAGGCCCAAGTGGTCCTCTCTCCGCCATAAATATGACCATGCAAACATTCTACAACAATGTCGTCCTTGGCCCAACATCGCCATCCACGTTGAACACTGCGTCAAACTGCTGGGTAGACGTGCGTGATATCGCAGAGGCGGAGGTACGTGCTGCGGAGAGGGAGGCGTGCGGTGGAGAGAGGATCGTGCTTAGCGGTGGGGAGTATTGGTGGCAGGATATAGGTGTGTTTCTTCCTTTCCCGGCAGTTTTCCGTCATTCCGTTCGAACGTTTCATCGACCGCCGCAAAGAGCATTGTTGACGTTATATCAACTTGTACAAAAAGTCGACGTAGCGCATACTATCACTCCTCCCCCAATTCCCAACCTACCACTCGGCCTTCCCGGCTCTACGAAAGACAAACCATTTGAAGTCATCTACAATACATCCAAGGCCTACCGGCTTCTCGGGATGGGACGTGCCGATAGCAGTAGCACCAGCGACAATGGAAGGCGGGGGAAGGTGAATGGGATGAAAACGCTGGGCGAGATGGTTAGTGATAGTATAGAGTGGTTTGCGACAGTGGGCGGTGTTAAGGAGGGCGGAAGAGGACTGTTGGAGGCGAAGTGACGTGCGCAGGATTTTTAGGTATCTGTCGACGAAGAAATATCTTTGCTCTGAACTCCTTCGATTATTGACCCTCGAGGTCGTTATTTCGAAACCAACACTCGGCTCCCCAGACAATATACATATGTCGGTACCTTGTCTGTCGGACTTCGCATGCGCCACACTGGCGATGGCGCTTGAATGTGACGTATGTAGATCCTCGCATCCGGTTAACGCCCGTCTCCCGCAAGTTCCTCAGCGGTGAATATGGTGGCAGCTGTCAGGATCCTTTTCCGTCAATATCGAAAGAAAACCTCAAGAAACACGGGCGGAAACATTGGTTCTATTATAGTCTTCTTCTACATCCTCAGGCTCCCGCCCAACCGGGTGCTGTGGGGCCTTGGTACGAAACAATCCCGTTAGATGAGGGTGATGCGCCGGACGGGGCACATCACTCGTTTGCGCGTATTAGGTCCGATAGATGGTTGTATGTTGGTGATTATGAGTTGGTGGTCACTGAGGCGTTGACGCGGACAGAATGGTTACTTCAGACTGACAGCGTAAGTCTACAGGGATTATATGGCTGTTTGATTGTTTGCACATATTGAATACTTATTATATGTTGGTGACAGGTACGACGTGCTTGGGAAAAATATATCCAGAAATGTGGCTGGGGCTGCCAGGTTCGAGCGATGATCTATTTTCGACAGATATACAGCCGAGAGCCCACAGAGGACGAGATTACTCTCGCTCTAACCGACAAGGATGTGGAGGCGAAGAACGAATACAAGAGTGTCACGGCACAGGAAGTCGAGAGAGCGTACGACGAAGGGAAACAGGTATTTCTTGTCCTCGCTGTCATTCTACATTTTTTCTCGATGCGAGAGTCACTGAAGTCTATGCTACCATAGCGCCTTGGTCTCGTGAGCCTGAAGTGCGTCGGTTATGACGAAGACTTTCAGAGGGAGCTCGTTGAAGGGTTCGCCAATTGGGTGCCTCCCCCACCGAGGAAAAAAGGGAAGACACCGACGCCGAAGCCGAAGCCTAAGGGGAAGAAGAAATCAAAGGTCGTGAAATCCGGAGAGACTGAGGACGACAGTGACGGCGACGCTGTGGCCAAAGATGCCGAACCCGAGGCTATCGAAGCAGATACGGATGACGGAGAACGGATCGGAATGCTAGAGTTGAATGACGACGAACGCGAAGACGACGATGAAGATGACGGCAGTTATGAGCGTAGACGTTACAGACATGAAGGGACGAGGAGTCGACCACAGAGGTCTGGATAGAATGTCTTACAGGAAACTTTCATGTCCGACTGCAGATATCCATGATGCTCTACTGTTCCCGTGCTCAAGATTCCGAACGAGTTCCATTGTGCTTGCGAATACATAAATAGTCCAGATACATATCATAATACTATAAATCCTACACTTCCTCGGAGCTCCGAATCAGTCACAGTCCGTAGTCGTTACACGACAGAAGGCTGCCTCCATGATTACCTGTCTAGGCCAAAAAATGAGCCTTCCCACTATTCAAATCGAAAAGGTCAGCCAACAATTCACTTCACAAGAAAAAAGTGCAAAAAACACGCACACAAGCTCCTCCCGCCTAGCGAGCCCCTCGTCCTCTTCCAGCAATCTCCACTCGCCATCGACGACCTCGAACCAGGACCACTCGATTAGCTCGCCGGTCTTATTATCAATGGATCGTACCTCCAGCGTGAAGGTTGTTCGGTGTAGTGGTCGTCCTGAGGGTCCGGAGAGTCTGTTCAGCATCATCGACGTCCAGGAGTCTTCTTCGGATCTGTTGACGATCGCATGCCTGCAGAGGCAGAGGTACGACAGGCGCGGGAATACTTGTTGGTCAAGGATGGTCAAGAAAGCGTTCTGTGATGAGATGGGATGGGTGTCGGCCGAGGTCAGTTGGACGAGGTCTTTTGGGCTCACGACGACGGAGGGGAACACTCACCGATTTACGCCCGAATTTCTTAAAATTCCTCGGTATGTCATTGATTTGGAGGAACCTGAGCCCTGCGACGCCAGCCCAGGGGATCTTGCATTTCGGGATAAAAAAATTCGCGGGCACACAGAGGCTCTCGAGTGGGATCTGGAGCTCTTGCGTCCAAGCCAAGGGAGGATCGCCGTCGGTGGGGTACGCATGCTCGAGGCCGCCTAGACGAGCGTAGGCCTCAGCTAGTTTCGAGTCTGCTGTCACGGCCAACGGCGATCGGATTGCGGGGGTGAAATCGGTCTGTAACGGTTTGCGCGCGAGGAAGGAGGAGTGGGTCGAGAGACTTCGTAGGTTTGGGAAGACCTGGTGAAGAGCAGGGGGTGACGGCTTGACAAGGCTCTCTACGCGCCAAGTGAGCGACTGGACCCGAGGGAAGATGATCCTTTTCGAGGTAAACAACTCAGAACCCCAGACACAGTCCGGGAAAGAAAGAGTAAGATGGGTTAATGTAGAAGAGGAGGCTCGCAGGAGCGTGGTGACCTGAGCTGGAGCTTGTTCCCCTGGAGTACAGCTAGTCGCCATGACGAGGCGAAGGATCCGTAGAGAGGAGAGACACGAGAGAGCATTGATAGCTGGAGCAGTTGCTCCTGTTAAAGTCAGGCTCGAGAGCGAACGAGCACCCAGAGCTTTAGAGACTCCCGGGAGACACATAAACTCCGTCGTGCTCTTTCCACCACAGTTGAACGCAAACGACTGCAGATTCTCAGAAACAACGATGAGTTTTTGGAGCAGACGAAAAAGACGCGGATCGATAATGAGAGTGGACGCAGGTTCTTCGACGGGTTTGCAGTCTCCGGTGGTATCTGGCCTGTTCTCGCCTACGGTGATGCGCTTGATGTAGCTGGCGAGGTCGTGCTCGAATACGAATGCACAGTAGGCCTTGATTGTGTCTCCGTCGACAATTCCATCAATACTTCCAAACGTTACCGACTCGAAGCGCCGGCATCTCGTCACTCGGGCATTTTTCTTCGATGTCCGAGAAAGTGACCCGCAGGAGGCTCCGTCGAGCCAAGATATGATCTCGAGAACGCAGTCTTCGTTGATGCTGGATAGCGAGGCCTGTGTGCAGCATCGATCCATCAGTATGCGAATCCATACACGCGTCGTCAATAAAAGCATACCATGTTGTAGTAGTAGATGCGGTTGAAGTTTGAGGTTGAAGACGCCACGAGAGCGATGGTCGAAGGTGGAAGTGCGACGTCCAGTTGGGGCGTCACGGGATAAGTACATGTCGGAGTTTGAATATAAAATTCGACCTCCGCCTGAAAACACGCCCCCGCCACCTGTGTGCCACAACATACCAGAACACTCTTGTTCACGGTCAGCAAAGTCGACAATTGACGGCAGCCAGTACTAGTAGAGGTGCGTCCGGAGAAAGCGTTGAGAATAAGTGCGTAGTCCACTGATTCTCGGTACTCACCTTACCAGAGTCTGCCAACGAGAACGACCCCGACGTTCTTCTAGAGTAGTATTGGTGCGTGTCTTCTTTGGGTCCCTTGCAGCTTTCGACCTGTACAAAATTAACATCCGACTGCAGGACTATGCCACCTACTTTTCGACTTCGCACTATGGATAATGTATCGTTGATGCCTGCCTCTGTCTGTTACGGAGAGCCGAAGACTGGTCGGGCCATCGTGGCCGAGGTCCACGGCTCGATGGGAGAGGAGTTCCTAGTACGCGAAGTCGACAATTAACGATAGCATAGCAAGCAGTAGAGGTGCGTGTCGAGGTACGTCCGGAGAAAGTGCTTTAGAATAAGCCAGGAGCCTTATAATTCTAAATACTCACCTTACCATGGTCCGTCGACGCGAACGACCCCGACGTTCTCCTAGCAGTATCCGTTGAGTGTTTTCTTTGGCGTCCTCTTACAGTTTTCGCCCTAAGCAAAATGGCCAGTCAACTGCAGAGGTACACCACCTACTTTTCAACTGCGCTCTATCATAATGATATGCATATTGTGTCGTATAGTTTTCCATACATGCCGCTGTGAGTGACCGTGATGCAGAGTAGAACGCTATGTCCGGAGTCGAGGGAGTATGAAATAAGTAAGTCGACAACTGACATCATATTGAAGATGCGTGTCGTTCTCGTCGACGAACCTTGGTTAGGTGAGTACCCGAAGGCAGACGACTTCAGATTTTTTTATAGGCAAATCTCCCCCGACGTACCTGTGAGTGTCTTCTTTCGCGTCCCCTTTCAACTGCAAGACTATACATACTTCCTGACTTTCCTCCGTGAATCTCGAATCGTTTTTGCTATTCAGGATTTTAATGTCTGCCTCTGTGTGTTACGAAGAGTGCCATGGTATTTGGAAGGCTGGTCGGGTCGTCGGGTCATGGTCGACAGGTTGAACGCGATGTCGATGATTGACGGTAGCGTAGTAATCTAGTAGAGATACGTCCGGGCAAAGTGTATGAGTGACGAGTGCTCTGATTCTGAGTACTCACCCTTACGACAGTCCTTGAGCGAGAACGATCCCGACGTTCTTTCTAGAAAGCCATTAGGTGAGTCTCTTCTTTGGTATTCCCATGAGCGTTCGATAAATTATAATTGACGACATCATAGTAAGACTCAAGAGATAGATGGTACAATCCGGTAAGAGGTTCCTGGAGTGATCAGTGAGTCCTCTGAATGTTGGTATTCACCTTGCCACAGTCCGTCGACGAGAACGATCCCGATGTTCTTCTTCTTCTAGTAGCCGTGAGTGTCTTCTTATATATTGAAGGCGGTAACTTATCACCATGCAGCTTTTCGTCCTATGCAACATGCCATGACGTTCGACCGCAGGACTTTGCGGTACACTTCCAGGTTCGCTCTACGCATATTGTATCGTTTTGCGATTCGAGGCTCGCATCTCGGAGAGCGGAAGAGGAAGGAGTATGGGAGGGTCAGTACTTGTCCGCATCGAACATACGGTAGGTGAGTCGACAAATCATACATATCACAAAAAACACGACTACTCACCGTGCTTTATAATGCAGGCAACGAGTGAACACATGCATGCTAGTCCAGGGTCACCTATAAATCCACGACCATAAGTTACCTGTATCTCTCGAAGCTCTTCGAGAGCAACGCCCGTGAATTGCAAATTCACTCCGACGACCGACGTGAACGCGTTAACGACCCACCTTTTCTTTCTGTCTCTGCAATTACCATAAACATAAGTCAATCATGACCGCCAACAACTCGAAGTACCCAGAAAGTCCGCGGCGTCTACCATACCTACGCGAACTCCTCGCTCTCGTCGCCGTCGTACTCACGACCATCAACGTCTTCGCAACAACTAGTACTACGAGCGGTCGTAGAGTACGAATACGGACGTATGTGGAGTCACCTACAGCTCATGGTGAGCACCTAGTACCATTGCCATTCGCAGAACTGTTCGAAGTTCTCTACTCACCACTCACCGCCCAACCAAAAACGGTGTGCGTGGTTCCGTCAGATGCGGATGCGGATACAACGAACATATGGACTAGCGCAGACTCGCTCCGACTTCAAAGAGTCGCAATGACGCCCGAAGAAAGCGTGCATTATAACCTCGACACGAACGCAGGAGGGGTCGAATGGGTATCCGTGCTCCCACACGGTCGGGGCGTCGTATTCCTCAACTCCTCCTCCACCTCCTCCTCCTCGGACCCTTCCTCGCATTCGTCTGTTTCGGCTAGGAATGGGAATGGGAAGGCACCGTACCGCGTTGCGATGTTTCACCAATTGGACTGTCTTAACGTTCTTCGGGAGGAAATGGTCCTCCTCCAGCACACCCGCACCCGCACCTCCACCCACTCCCACACAGCCTCAGAGAGTCAGGACCGCGCACAATTCTGCCTAAACTACCTTCGCGAATCGATCTTATGTCACGCAGACTCGCATCTCGAAAGGGTCCGGAGCGAATTTGGGCTTGAGTCTGAGGAAAGGGGACGGGGAAGGGGGAGGGCGGTGGTGCTGGGGACGGAGAGGACGGATTGTGTGGATTGGGAGGGGGTGTGGAGGGGTGTTGAGGAGAATTGGGGGGAGGTTATGCGGGAGGAAGGGAGGGAGGGTTGAATGTGTTCCTAGGAGAGCAGTTTTGTTTTGTTTGGTAGAGGTATGGGTTCGCTTTTGTCGTGGTAGCGGAAGATGGAAACAAACTTGAGTGGCGGATGAAACGCAATGAGATGCACAAAAGCAGTGATTGTATTGCAGAACAAAGGACGCTCGATAACTGCCCCATGGCTGAGTTGGTTACAGCGTCCGACTGTTATCCTTTCTCCCACCTTGGAAAGCTATATACATCGGAAGGTCGTGAGTTCGAGCCTCACTGGGGCAGAGTGTAACCGGGTCGTCTGAGTTTTTTGTCCTCTGTAGTAGGCTAGTAGTTACTCATCTGAGGAGCATTGATGAGCCCGTGAGATCTATGTTCCCGGTGTATGAAGCATGGTTTCGAGTGGAATGCATTTTATACTGTCTATCGGGCTGATCCCTAACATAAATTCATGCTGTTCGTACGATTATACACGCTTATAATGATAAATCCCCTGCTCCCAAGTAAGTTATCTATAGCTCCATCTATATCTATGTACTCTACATAACTACACGCCGTCTATCATGCATCATGGCGATTCAGACTCAACGAACGGCAACACACACTCCTTCACGAAATACTCATGGAACCGATGATCCCTTGTAAGCTCGGGATGGAACGTAGTGAGCAGATGACGGCCTTGGCGGAGTGCGACGATGGTTTCGTCGGGGTGGGGTTGTGCGGTTTCGATTTCAGTTGAGGGTAAGGTGGAGGTTGGATGTGGTGGGGGGAGGATTCCGGGCGGGAGACGGGCGACGATTTTTATTGGGGGGGAGGAGGGGGTGGGGGTGAGGTGTTGGATTACCTGTGGGGAGGAGTTTGGATGAGGAGCGATAGGATGGGTGTGGATGGTGGAGGGAGAGGTGGAGATGTGTGTTCGTACCGGTGCACGGATGAATATGCCAATGAAGGGTATATTCGAATCACGAAGCCCGTCAATCTCCAACGGCGCTTCAAACGACTCGACCTAAACGACGTACATATAAGCCCGTCCTCTCTTCTTTCTTCACCCTCTAAGTAACGAGAAAAGAAACACACCTGGGATCCCCACCCATTCCGCGCAACAGTCAGAGTCATACCACCAAGGACTTCCTGGCCTCCTTTCTTCGGGTTCGAAACATGTTGAGCGAGGAGGATAGCGCCTGCACATGTCCCCCATACGACTTTCGTTTGGACGAATTCTTTCAGGGGTTCGAGGAGGCCGGAGAGTTTAGCGAGGAGTGCGATTGTTGTGGATTCTGTGGTAGTGGTAGTGGTCGTGTGTGTCAGCGTTGAGAGGTGTGGTTGAGGAGGAGGGAGGAGGGAGGGTGCGCACCTCCGCCTGGGATGATCAGGGCATCACATTGCGCTAGGTCTTCGGGAGTGCGGACGAGGATCGTGGTGACTTGGTGCTTGGATACTTTCTGGAGCATCGTCTGGTGCTCCGCGAATGCTCCTTGCAGCGCTATCGTAAATCGTAAATCAAAGCGGTCAGGAAAAGTACTTGAGCATGATCAGTGAGGGAAAGTTGCTCACCGAGGATACCGATGGTAGCATGGCTAGAAGATCCCTGAGTGTCCTGCATTATTCAGAATTCGAACTGGAACTCGTTCGGGATCGAACGTCGGGGATGAAGATGAAGTTTGACTCACCTGCAAAAGAGACGGGAGCTGTGGGCAATTGCAAGTGGGGATTAGGAAAGTTTTGGGTGGCCTTACAAATGAAGGCTCCGAACCGGAAGTGGCGTAGTCGAGCCCCTTTCGGAGTTTGAAGATGATTGTAGAGTCACAAGGACATCAGATATTGGCGTAATCAAAGCTTCACCCTCGACCGCCACCACACTGACACTTTGCCTTCTGCTCATCACTTCCACCACACAAACTGTAGGTATCTATTCACTTTCATGATGCGTATCGTATAATAAAGTATAACAAACCTGGAAATAGCATACAAGGCATAGTTCTTACCTGTCCACACGCCCTGACACGAAAGACGCTCTCGGACGCTCACGAACAAGGACCGTGTCCTTGTCACAACAGGTCAGACTCGACATCTCTTCCGCGTAACTGTCTTCAAGCTAAACCTAGAAAAGCTCGAGAGTAGTGTCATTTCGCCATCGATTCTTCCCCAAAACCACTGTATTTCTCGCCCCTGACAGGCGCCTGTACCATCTCCTCGACATCCGCGCATTGTCCATCGTCGATATTGTATCTGTTCTTCTTAGTCTACCATCATGTCAGAGACGTCGACCAGTAACCCAGAGACGTCGACCAGTAACCCAGAGGCCTCGACTAGCCAGTCACCCTCCTCCAGCTCACGGTACGTCCGACATACACCCGCCCCACTCCGCGATGCAAACGAAACTAATACGTCCCTCCCAGCTTCTTAGAGATCTACGACACCCTCCCTGCCGATGCCCGCTTCCACCTCATAGAACAACACCTCCTCCCCCTCCTCAACACCGCTCCCCCAGAAACCACCTCCACCATCCTCGCCTCCATATCCTCCTACAAGTCTCGCTTCGCAGGCATGCCCGACCTGAACTACGAAGGCAAGAAGATGGAGATCGACGGGCTGCTTCAGGCCATCGACAGGGATGCGAAACGATCGTTGTTGAAGGGAAGGTCGGAGAGGGCGGAACTGTTGCAGGGGACGATGGAGAGTATTGGGCGGTGGATGGGCGATATTTGGAGGGTTGTGTTTGAGTATGAGACGGATTTTACGTATGGGCATGAGTGTTTGTTGATGGCGGGGAGGACGCTCGAGGCGTTGTCCATGACGCGCGGAGGGTACGTTTTCTCTTTCTCTTTCCCTTTCTTTCATTGTTTCTGTCTATCCTTCTTGAGCGGTGGTGGAAATGAGAAGGTCGTTGTTGAAGACATGCATGGTCTCATAGGTTCCTTGATGACAGGTGCAAGTGCTCGTTCCTCAATCTCTACCTGAACGTCATCATCAAGCAACGCTCAGCCAAAGTCGTCAAATCCTTCTATCTGACCGGCGCGGCGGCGTTCGACAGGGTCTTGCACTGGGTGTGGCGCGACCTGTTCTTGTCCCTTTTGGCGACCGGTACGGAGCGACAGAAGAAACATATACCGGAGATGTTGGGCGAGATTGAGAAGATGATGGGATGGCACGGTCTTGAGCGCCTGTTGCATGGTGGTAAAAGACGTAAGTCCACTTCTACTAACCCGTTCTGTGTCGTGGTTAACGAACGGCATAGCGCCCGGAGCCTTCGGCGACGATGATGACGATGATGATGACGACGTGACCGAGTGCGGCGATGACCCAGACCAGTGGTTCGACGAAGACGAGGACGAAGACGAAGAGCGGGAACACATGCGCGTTTGCTCCTTCCACGAGGAACACTGGGACCCGAAACACAAAGCCGAGATCCCCACTCTCCGCGAACACATCTCGAATCACCTCCTCTCCGTCTTCGCCCTCACGCCCACCCTCGACCTCTACCTAACCATCCAGAACCTCGCCATCAAACCCCTCGACACCGAAGTCCAGCTCCTCAAACTCCTCAACGAAAACGCCACGACATCTTCAGATTCGTTCGCCGGCGCTTTAGAAATCTACGCATACAACCAGAGCCCTAACAAGATCTGCGAACTCCTCGACTCGCACTCTCACCTCCTCCGACCCCGAGACCACACCTCACTCCGGAAAGCTCTCCTCTCCCTCTCCCGAAACCGACACTTCCGCGCCCGCGCGTCCACCCTGATCGAAAAAGAACTCATCGACACCGCACGGCACATCCACGCCGCTCTCCTGCCCTCCTACTCCTCCATCACCGACCCCATCCGTCTCGCTGAACTCAAGCGCGTGCTTCAATTACGCGTAGGCTCAACGACGCGTCAGGATCGTGTGTTGTCATGGTTAGATGCAGTGAGCACTCCGGGTTCACAAACGCCGAATGGACCGATGGCGTTCGCGGCGATGATGATGGGATTGCCGATCGCGCCTGTGAGCGTCGAGGACGAGATGGAGGATCCGATGGGGATTTTGGATGGGGATGTGGCGGATGCGGATTTGGATGATTTGAGGGAGGAACTGAAGCCGAGGTTGAGGGAGAGGTGGGAGGGATGGGTGGAGACGGCGGGGGAGGTGGGGGGGAGTGGGGGGGTGCTGGGGAGGGTTTATGAGGAGATGGTGAGGATTATGCCGTGGCTTGGGGGACAGGATATCGTGGAGGAGATGATTAATCGGTGCGTTATTTTTTTCGCACTGTGATTAACAATACGAAGTGCTGATTGAGTTTATTGTAGGTTGACGGATAGGCCAAGTAAACATTATCTGTGCGACGCGCTGGAAGCTCTATCGGCTTTCGTCAAGAAACAGAGGAAGAAGGCGGCCAGCCAAGCTGCGAAACGCAAGAAAGCGGCCGCGGCCGCTTTTGTGTCAACCTCAGCCTTTACTTCAGCGTCAGCCTCAGCATCCACATCAACCTCAGCGTCGACCTCACACACGCCCACTCAGACTCCACGTTCTCCTACCCCTGCTCCTCCGCCGGTGGTGCCCACATTCGCAGATGAAGACGACGACGACGAGCCGCCGCCGCTGGAGCCTATCACTGGACCCATGGGGAGCAACAGCAACACCGACAACACTAGTACTGTGATCCCGAATACGTTTGGCGGTGGGATCCCGAGTACGTTTGGGGGGATTGAGGACGTTGATTGACTTGAATTGTTGTCGTTGATTGAGTTTTTGGTGTTGGTTTTGGTGATGGTGGTGGTGTTTATGTGGTTGTTGTTGCTGTCGATTCGGGGACGGTGATGGCCCGATCGCTAAGGCTGTTCTTGCGCTTCATTTTTTACATCTTGACGAGCTTTTTTTTTGTTGTGAACCATACATCGTAATATACATTGCAAGTGAAGAATATAAGAAAATGTGAGGGGTTTTTGTGGGAGGAGTTATGTATACAGATGAAGGATCACACTTCGCTGTTCACGGGCGCTTGAAACCGGCAATCGCCACTGGCGGAAACCCCAACTTGAGCTCGACTTGTTCGTCCAAACTACCTCATTCTCCTAGGCACCCTCATGGTAATCGCCTACGCAAAATACTCTCTTAATTCTGAAAATTACTGACTACAGATCCCTCCACTATCGTAGGCATCTCTGCTAACGATCAACGAAGATTGCATCAGAAAGATCTTGGAATATTTGGACCTCGCATCCGTTCTTGCGTTGTCCTACACCTCGAAATTCGCCGCTCTCCTCACCGAACACATTCGATTCCAATATCTATTTTTCAGTGGCCGACATTGGCAACGCAAGCTAGATCCTGAACGACTCAAGGAATGCCGCACTCACGTCTTAGCTCACAACCTCGCTGGCCACGTACGTCGCATCACCATGGGCACCCGTGATGCCTTCACACTCGAGGGCTATCGTTTTGTGGGCCTTCAGCTTTTTTCCTTCGATAATAAGTGCCTCCCCCATCTAAAAGAGCTCATTACTCATGCACGTGGATTACGTGCGCTACGTCTGCATTGCAACACAAAGCCGAGCATGGTCGGACTCCTGACGGATCCTGAAGTTCTCAGCGCCCTTGCTACATGCCCGCTCACTGAACTTTCTATCACTGGAGTCACCACAGTCGTACTCGATGCTCTTCGATCTTTTGCCAACCCATCCATTCGCCGGATTCAATTCGACTGTGCCAGGTTTTATCGAAATCGGCAGCCCGTGCCATCCTCCAATATATCAGATATTCTAAACAACTTCTCTGCTCGCCTCACACATCTCACTCTCTTCAGCTCCTACAGCGCCACAGTCTGGAATCCTCTCGAGAATCCCATCACATTTCCTTGTCTCCACTCGCTCACATGGGAGCATAAACTACCTATACCTTACTTTGTATCCCCCGCGGACTTTCACCGATGTGTTCCAGCATTACGCAGCCTCACCTCCTACTCCTCGCTCTTCATCAGACCTCCAAGCCTTTCCGACTTTCCTTCGGGGACTGTACCTCCAGTGGCTGTATACGGAGACGCAAAGCTGGTCGCTGACTACGCTCTCCTCGGCGCACAGACCGCGATGCTTCGACTCGAGGATCGCGGAAGCTTCATCCCCTTGAACTCGACCGACTCGACGATCACTCTGCGCGGTCTTTGTCTTCCGATGGATCGGCTTTTCCCGATGCATGAGTCGAACTGCGAGAATGGCGTCTTTCGTCGTGTCGGGTTTCTGCAGGTCTATCGCGTGCAGACTACGCTGTTGGGAGATATTGTAAGCCCCTCAGGCGCAACCTGTGATAGAACTGACTGTCAAAATCGTTGCAGGGACAAAGTGGATACCCGGCGTTTCTGGATAATCGCGAATTTCCTCTACTGTCGTATTTGTGCCTGCACCGACGATGGAAAGTGTATCTGTATGTTGAAGACTCGGATGAGACCATGGAGCGGAGACGTCGCGAGGAGTTGGATTGGACGACTTCGATGATGCAGAGGCTGACGGAGCTCAGCTCGTCTAGCTTGGACGGTACATTACCGGCAGTCACGGTTGAGTTCAGGCTTGTCGTGGACGATAGCGGGAAGTTGATGGTCTCTTGGTATGAGGTGGTTGCTGGTCAGTTTAGGAGGTTAAATGACGAGGAAGGGTTGATACGGAGAGAGAGCCATGTGTGAGTCCTGTTTTCATTTGTGTCGTCCCCTATGTTAATTTTGTTTCAAAAAGGGACGGCGCACATTTTCTATGAAAAATGTACTGATGTGACAAAGGAAGTCGACTTCATTAAAGTCCATGGCGCATTACGCTACTCATTCTACAAGCTCATGTCAACCATGTTTGGTTGAGCCATGAATACGGCGCATACAATGGTTGTTGTGGTGATCCTACAATGTTGACCCCTTGTCCGAGATTCCATGTATTCAATAGGTCGCATATAACCATCGTTAATACGTGAACCTCTCCCTCATGACAGCTTCCTCATCGACTCCCGCCGCCGCCAAACCTTCCATCGCAGCCCTCACAAACGGGAAAGGCCCACAGATATGCGACTCTCGCTCGATCGCCTTTATCTCTTTACTCTCCCAAAATTCTCCGGCTCTTCTCATCCTTCCGCCACATAACCTCAGCTCAACAAACTCCGGGACAATCCCTCTCCAACTCTCCACCATCGCCTTTTTATCTTCATCGCCCTCTAACGATGAATCGAAGATATGGATCAAATACCGAAGAGACTCGCGAACTTCCTTGGAATCGGGGGACCTGCTTCGTGCCTGGCCAAGTGCATCGTTGACTAGACGAAGCATCACCTCCGTCTCGCGCGTCGATACCACGAGTGCGACATCCCACACCCCGAAAGGTCCCTTCGGATGTCCGACTAACCCCGCCACATATCTGCTCAAACCCAGGAACGGCGTCAATCCGATTCCTCCTGCAATCCAGAGAAGTCTTCGTCCTTCTGGGGCATCACACCTCGCTAGAGGTTGAGGGACAGGGAGATTCCCGCCTATGCCTCGAAGATCGATCGAGATGTCCAGCTGGGAAAGGTCGACGGTCTTGCCCAAGGTTGCATTAGTGACGAACTGGGGATTCTGAGTGGCGTATGAGTCGACAAGGCGGTAAAGAATCGGAGTGAGGAATCCGCCTTTGACTGAACGAACGGTGATTCCGAATGTCGACGGCTCGGCGTCGGTAGGCGGTACAGAAACCGTCCAAGTCCTCACACAGTCGTCGTTTACAGCTGTATCCGGCTCTTCCCAATACATCACCTCGTGCGATTTCCCTCTCATGAACCTAGACAGATCCAACACCACGTTCTGGCTCGGTCGTATCTCGATCGGCTTGTCCGCTTTGAGCGTATATGTGACGAGTAAGTCGTTATGGATTTGCGCTTTTACGAGTCGGGCTTCGACGTCGCCCCACCTGACCGTGGGAGGTGTTTCTTCGGCGAGGTAACGAATGGGTGGGCAGTACGGGCTGGTTTCTGCTGTACCGGGTCGTTCGCGGAGTGGGAGGGCGTTGTGGACGAAGGAGAAGCCTGTAGTGCGGATGGTAGTGACTACCTTTATGCCGGGCATGAGAGATTGGGCGGAGTCGCCGAATAAAGTCTGGGCGGTTCCCGTGACGTAGAGGATGGAGCCGGAGGTGAAGGACGGGAAGACGAGGGACGCGACTGGAGTTATATGGATGTTTCCGAGGGAGTTCATGACTCGATTGCCTGAATAATATAGAAACATGTTAACGAATATATCGTGTTACCGTAGATGGACAAGGGACAGACCGGCATAGTTAGGAAGAACGAGAGTTCGCTCGTCTCTGCGCACTCTTACAAAACCAGGACGTCCACCTCGGTGATTCGTCCCGAGACGAGACGGATGCATATCCTCATCGTTTGGAGAAGCAACGTAGGACGTAGCGAGATATGCTGTATCGGTATTGTGGACGTAGTCAATCACTTTCACCGGAAGTCGATCGTTCTCTTCGAGGATCCATTTTTGCGAGGAGACGCGAGGGCCGGCTTCAACAGACTCAAGGTCATGAACGTTGATGTATTTGGGGCAAAGCCTGCAGGGCACCAGTTCAGCATTTAAGGCTCAGAAAGAAATTTCATAGAACCTACCCAAGTGCAGAGCTCACTGAAATTCCAAGTGAAAGCGTGCGATCACGAAGAGATGCCGTCACAATCGAACCGCCAAACTTGTTCCGTCTGCGCGTCGAAGTCTCCAGCCCGATGGCAGAAATAAGTGGTCGTTTGCCTGCTCCCAGCGACGTCTTGAAGGCTGGGACGTTCCGCACAACGGGATCTCCATCCCACACATGAGCCTTGATTTCCAGGGATGTCGAAGACGGACTAGAAATGAATGAAGGGGATCCATCCTTCGAGCATAAAACAGATGCCCAAGGTCTTCCTTGTTCATCCAGGGTCGTGACTGAAAGAAATCGAAGGGCTGAAGAGTGAAAGATGCGGTGTTGCTCTGGGAGCTTGTCGACGATGGCTTCGATAGGAACTCGAGCACCGAGATTCATAGTGGCTTGCACCGACGCTTCGCCAGGATGCCAATCGATGTAAGCAACATTTGGCTTACGTGTAGCGAGCATTGTGAGCTCTGGAGGGCAAGAAGTCGGATGGACAACACAACAAGAGAACGAAGATATATGACGGGTCAAGCTCTGAAACTGGTGTGCGGAATGGAGCGAAGTTCATCTGAGCTCACACGCTGATGGAGAACGATGACCGAGACGGGGTTGGGACTTAAACATTTTCGACAGAACTGCGCAACCTGAGATAAGAAGACGCAATTGAGCATGCGTATCCCCGTGAACTGATCCTAGGAGCAAGCAGCATCCGATGTAGTCGGAATGTTCGGGGCCACCTGACACGCCAGCCTGAAGTCAGTGCAGCGTTCGCTGCGGCATCCAGGAGCAAGTGGAAGAACGCAGTCACGCATGCTTCCCAGTCGCCAGTGCTTCAGAACTGAGATAATTGTGAGATGAAACAGAGAAACAGATATGAGATGGGGACAAGAGCAAAATAGTCGGAAGACGAAATTCCTTAGGATGGGTCACCTTGTGACTATGATATCATGTGATTTGTGACGTTACGCGTTGTCGAGCAAAGGAAAATCTGAAGAAATTCGGAGGTTTCGAATCCGACACTTCCAGCCCAAAGGATCTCTCGGCATTCTTCTCTCGACCGAAGGATTCCCTGTGGCCTCCGCGTACTTTTTGTAGACCAGGTACACGTCCGCAACATATTCCGAACAACGCTATTGAGAAAAACAACGAGATAGTTTTCGCACCGGCGTCGAGAAGATCAAACCATACCATCGTCGAAATGCAATGGAGTTGGCACCATGACGCAGGGGAATTATCTCAGCATATTCGGTACAGAGGGACAGAAGAGGAACGAGACTTCTGTGACGATTTTTGATTTTTTTTTGACATTCCTATGTAGCTTACACGAAGCGTAACTGAACAAAGTGGGAGTCAGAACCGTTTGTGTAGGTTTCATAACAGAGAAAAGTGGAGCGCTCACACCAAATGCTCAAGATCTGCACCTACCTCGACTCCATGGTCTTTGTGTATACACGAACTTAACGCTGCAATTCATCATCCGTTGTCCTCCAAAACTGACACCTCGAGACCAAGGCATCATCGGTCTCCATAGCGACTGCATCAGGGTGGAACAAGATCCTAGACATTCCCGTCGTCGTATTGACCGGCTGGGCGAAAACATCGTGAGACATGGACTAATAGCGCGAGGGTGTCATTAACGAATCCAGAACCTACCTCCCAAGTAGCATTATTGCTGGGATCATCAAGAGTAGCAACTGGAGCCCCGCCGGTGGCGAATGAGGTGAAGTACTGCCTCATAGCTGTGAAGAGCGGCAGAGAAGAGTCTGCGAAAGTGAAGAAGGCAGGGAGCTCAGAACTGTGTACGCTGAAGCCCTCAGCGTCAGGATTGTCGTAGCTAGGGCCAGCGATCAATGACATAAACAAATAAAAGAAAGGAGCAAAACGCACTGATACCCATGTGCCGTGATGCTGTAGTTTGTTGCAGAGCCCGTGATCATCATCGCGGTGCAGATGTATCTCGCCTCTCCATAGATGGCAGAGGTTTGGCGTATTAAAGAGTTGTTATAACTCTCGATAGGGTACTGTCCTTCAATCTGGTGGAATGTCTCTTGTGTTACGTTAGGGAACTGGCCAGCGAAGAACGTGAAAAGGGTTTGGTTCGTGGCTCCTGGCTCTGAGACGTTAGCAGACGGCGAAGGGAGGTCTTGGGACCAGTTGTTTCCCTCGTTGGTATTGGAACTGAGAAATAGTCAGCTTGTCTGCAGATGTAAAGGAAGGAGAACGACTAGTGTGAGAACGAACCCGAAAGAGACTGGGACTTTGGCAAATCGACCATTTGCGAACGCCACACTTGGCCTCTCGAGGAGAAATTTTCCGTCTACGATTGGAGCGAATGGGTAGAGAGAAGTGGGACGGGCCGCGAGCGTAACACTGCTCGCATTCGCCAAGGTGTTGACATCGGCCGCTCGCAAGCACGCGAGGGTATCATTCGCGTCGCCACATCCACTGTCAAATACCCGCGAAGGACGTCAGGGGAGTTGACATGTATATTAGATGGTATCACTTACGCATTGATAGTGAATTGCTGGTACAAGGTCTCCACAGCTCCGTCGTTATACGGAGGAAGAAAATTAAGGCTAGGCGAATCCCCCATTACTCGAGCGAAGAGCCCCTCGTTGTCCCCCCCATTGGCCATCAGTTGGAACATCGTGGATCCAGCACCAGCGGATTGTCCCCATATTGTCACGTTCCTACAGTACAAGGGAAAGTCAAAGAGTACCCGGTCAGAAATAGTGGTAGAGGTTTTCATAGACACAGAGCAGACTCACGCGCTGTTTCCACCAAACGCAGAGACATAGGTTTGGACCCAGCGAAGAGCAGCACGCTACGTATATCATGGTCAATCCCCTTCAACACTGCTCTTGCAAAGGGCTACCCACCTGGTCCAGCAATCCTGCGTTCCCATCACCGTTCGCGAAGACCTCCGAGCCACCTAGAGAGGAAGATGAGTATATAATATGTATGAGCCTCGAAACCATTCAAGACTCACTGAGAAATCCGAATGCGCCTAGTCGATAAGCGAAGGTAGCAAAAATGACGGGTTCCGCTGAAGTATCGAGCAGCAAGTCCGGGAGGTAAGATTTCGTACTTCCTCCTTGGAAACCTCCACCTATCGAAAAGATGCTGATCATTTTCAACACCAATTATGGAAGGAAAAGACCCAGATATACCGTGGAAAAAGACGAGAACAGGCAGTTTTGAATCAGGGGTGGTTCCAACAGGGACATAAATCTGTTATAAATAGAACGAAGATTTGAGTGTGATCAAGATCAGATTCGAAAGCGAAAGCCCAACGTTTCCAAAGAGACAATCTTCCGACGCATCTCCTGTAACATTGCTTGAAGTTGCTTGGATGCATATGTCTGCAAACTACGATACGACGGCCATGAAAGTGGGGTGTCAGTCCAAATATAGTATTCACAGACGAGAATGCCATGTTACATACCTTGGTAGCATTGACAGTCCCAAGATGTGTAGTTGGAGGCGAGACGGGGGCACGGAAACGAGTATCTCCAGTAGGCGCATCGGCATAACGAACACCTTCGAATGAGAGTATGCCGCTGGTGGTGTTCCTCGATCCAATGAAAGTCCCGTCTAAATCGGAAGCATGGAGACGTTAATGTGTTTGTCGACAAGATCGTCGTACTAGAGCAAAGTAGCCGAGCACGCACAGTCCAAGGTTATCGTCGTGTTCAATGGGGCCGCACTTGATGCCCGGGCTGAGGTGGTCGGACTAGATATTGAGCATGCCGCTGGGACGAGGCATAGCGCCAACGCGATGATAATCACGTTAGAGAATACACTGCGAGGATGAGATATCATCGAATATACAAGTCAGGCGTCGATACAGCCTTGACCGTAGTTGAGGGCGATGGGTGTTTGAAGTTGGTTCGGATGAGATCATGGTGTACCTCTTTCTTTTATACGAGGGCCGTAAATGAAAGGATGGCGTCTAGTCGGCCTACGAAAATAGCACCGGTGACAATTTCCATTGAGGACACCTGACGCAATAGGATTGCCTGAACCATCCCTCGAGGCAATGAATGCGTCATAAGATTTGTGGGACGGGCGTCCGATGAGAAATTCATTACTGGACCAACATTCTGAACAAATGATGAAGTGCACTGCTGATCAAGGGGTAACAGCACCGCACGCTTCCAGTCGGAGACGTTTGACTATAATCCGTCGAAAGAGTAAGTTGACCGCTGCAAACCGGGAGAGAGGATGTCATGGGATAGCCAACGGGCCACAATGCCGCCGGACTCCGCGGTGGGCCAGACGTGGATAAGACCAGGAACGAAGGATATCGTCGAGTGAAAGTGAAGAGTAAACGAGCATGGGATGATGTTGACGATCGGTGGAGGCCTCTTAATCCTTCCCGAGTGAGAAAAAAAAACAAAAGGCAAGACTTCGACATCTAATAAGTACACAAGCCAGCGGGGATCAAACGACCACGAGGCACAAAACAGCACAAACGAATGCAAGAACAAAGCAAGATGCAAGATACCACAAACCTACATAGCTATGGACCTCACTTTTTCCCCTTCGCCCCTCCCGATGCCTTCCCCTTGCCCTTCGTGTCCGCCGTGGTTGCTTTCTTTGCTTTCGCGCCAGCCTGCTTGATCATCTTGTCGTTCTCGATACTATCGTCTTCCTGCGATCCTTTTGGCTCCTCGGGTTCGTCCACATCCTCAACCTGAAAAAAAAAAGTGACAAACAAGAGTGTTTAGTGTCATAGATGGACGAGGAGGAATATGAGACGTACGTCGAAGGCCTCTTCGAGATCTGGTGCCGGGCCGCCTTGTAGTTTCTTCGGTATCTTGCCCAGATCTTGGGCTTTATGGAACGGTATAGGGTGCTCTCTGGCATTATACCTATTGGATTGCACACATCACCGCGTCAACAATGAGCCCCTTTACATAGAGGATGAGAGATAAGTAAAGCAAACGCACTTCTTCGTCAACGCCGTCTTCGTGGCCGCCGAGATCTCTTTCCCGACGACAGCCTCGCGTCTTTCTCCAACGCCAACTTCCACGAGCGTGTCGAAATCTTCTCTGGATAGGTAATACTCATCCATGTAATCAATCACGCCTTCTACCGCGCTCTACGCACGTTCCAATAAAATCCGATATTAGTTCTGTAGGAAGTGGGGCGGAACGAAGAATGAACAATACTACTCACCGCACCACGATCCATAAGCGGCTGCACAATATGCGGGAACAGTGCCGGGACGTAACTCTGTCGAATTTCGTTCTTGTCGCCGCAGACCTTGAGCCGCATGTGGATCTGAATATCGCCCAGTTGTCGACTGAGCTTGTTCTGCTTCGAGTTCTGGCCAAGCCATCTACGAGCAAAACCATCAGTTTTCGCCGAGCGAGATTATGAAGGTAAACACGGAGAGCGTACTGAGGGAACGACATGGCATTAGGCCCTGCATATCCCTGTCCAGGTCCATAAAGGAACGAAGCGGGTCGAACAGTAGAGAGGACGGAATGGGTGGGCATGAGCGTCCAGTGTTGTTCGGGCCCATGGATCAGCGCATCCACCAAATCCCCATCTGATATCGACTCCGAAGCCTTCTCCATCAGGTCCAACACCTTCAATTCTTTCATCGGCCCCTCTTCGTTCCTCGCCCGCACCGGGGTCGTCTTCAGATAATTCTCCTACACGGTCGTGGCACATTGTCAGTGCCAGGACACACTTGAAAACGGGAAAACAGAATGCAACGTGCGGAAAGGGAGTGAAGAAAAAAAAGAAAACGTACCTGGACGAACAGAGGCACAAACGAATAATCCTGGAAATAAAGCTCCATTTTATCGCCCAGCGTCTCCCTCGAAGTCGGCCCAAACATGTAAGGCCCGAGCATCTTCTGGATAATGTTGAACGGTGTCATCACCGCGTATTTCTCATTCATTTTCGCCCTGTGGCCCATCATCCATTACCCGCCATTAGCACTCGCAGGTGTGACGTAACAGAACCCGGGAGAGACGAGCACAGCACAAAGAGAATGCGAGAAGGGAGAAGAGTCCAATGGAGATACTCACAGCGACTTGCCCTCGTCAAAGTCCATCGTACTGCTTGAAAGCTTCCACGTTGAAAGCATATTCAACACTTGACGAATATCGGAGTTGACGCCGGTGACGAGCTGGTCGATCACGTTCGCTGGGATCTTCATCTTCTCTCTGTGGGGCCGGGTTCGGTAACGAGGAAGAAAGAGGAAAGGTCAGAGCTACTTTCGTTGAAGCTAAGAGACGAGAATACTGACTTGAAGGCGATGGTGAGCATCCTAGAGCGGATAGCTGCAGCGTCCGGTCTGTCGTGGCAATATCAGCGACTATCCTACCATGAACCTACTCTACTGAGAGCCAATGCAGGAGGAAAGACGCACTTGCGGAACTTAAGATCGAAAGTAACGTTCGTCAACGGCTTCATCTTCTGCGCTGACCTGTCGTTTGCGATACATATAATCGGAATCTGCACCATGTCATCCCAACTACCCATTAGCTTATCGCCACACCAGAAAAATAAAAAGGAAATAACGAGACGGGATGACATACCTTGGTCTTCTTGATCAACGCCGCTAAGGCCCCAACACCACCCCGATCTCCAGCAGACATCCCGTCTACCTCGTCCATGATGAGACAGGACTTGTCTGTGATCGGTATCCCAGCCGCGTTCATCATCTACACAAACATAATCACATTCAGCTTTGACTCATAAATGGCGAATATGAGCTCGTACCTCGCCACCGCCCATCCATCCATCCAAAGAAGTATTCGTGATGTTTGTGCTGTTCTACTCCACCAACTCACGAGTCAGTCCGACCCGAGTAATAAACAGAAAAGGCGCAGAGCACAAAGAGATGCGCACCTCAACGAGCTTCTTACTCCTTGTATCACTCGCATTCAGCTCGATCGGCGTGAACCCCGCGAGTTTCGCAACGAGATGGGCGCTCGTAGTCTTGCCTATCCCGGGAGGACCGGAGAGCATGACGCCGCGGAAGATATTCATCCCGTCTTTGCCCGGTTTTTTGAAGTTTGCTTTCAAGGAGTTTGGCCTGATGTGAAGAGAGGACAGATAGAGTCGATTCGGAAGATGGACCACGGTCAAAGAGAAGATCAGAATGTCAGAAGGGTAGAAGAAGACAAGGAGGCAAAGGGAGCGAACGAACCAGGAACTCAACCAATTCTGCAACCGCTCTACCTGGGCCTTATTGCCGCATATCTCTTTCAGCGTCTGCGGCGCGTACCGATCCGTCCAAAGCTGTGTCTTCGCGTCCACGACTTTCGCACCTCCAGACCCCGACCTGCTCAAAGTAGCAAAAACCGCATCACGTCAGCCCTGCTCAACATCGTAAAACAAAATAAGAACAAGAACACGTACCCCGTACCCTTCCCTTTCTCAACGACCTTCTCTCTCCTCTCCATCTCCTTCGCACTCTCCCTAATTGCCTTCATCTCCTTCTCCCTCTTCTTCTTCGCCTTCTCGTCCTCCTCACCGCCCGCGCTCGGGCCTTCCCTCGTCGCTATCAGCTCGAGGAACTCGTCCTCCGAAAGAGTCTTGAGCTGATGTTTGGCGATGGCATTGAGTTTGGACTGGCCCGCGTTGGAGCCGAGAACGACGAAGTTGGTTTTGGAGGAGGGTTGGGCGACGACACGACTGTATGTTAAGGAACGAGCGTGGATCAAGGGTGACGGTCATGGTGGTTCGTCAGCATGCGATGCGGGATACGGGAGACGTCATGGAGGGTAACGTGTGAGGTGGCATGCGAGGAAAAGGGGCAGGAGGAAAGAAGGACCGGAGAAAGGGAGAATATAGGACATAACGAAACGCGTACCCTCCAAACCGCTTCGCCAGATCAACAGCCTCGTCCCTCGAGAACGCCGACAGTTCACCCGTGAACACGAACGATAACCCAGCCAGACAATCCGGTGAAGCCGGTTCGGGGACGGCCTTGGAGCCTGGGGCAACGGGCCCTGCGAGGCGGGCGGCTCTGATGGCGGCCCAGCTACGGTAGGAGGTACGAAGGAAGTCAGTATAACATTTATACTTCGGTACGTTGATGGTGTAAACTCGAGCTGGGGGAGTGTGCAAGAAACGTACTTGGGTTTCGGTTTCGCGGGCTCCTCTGTCTTCGCCTCCTTCTCCTTCTCTTTTGCATCTGCTTTCTCCTTCGCTGGCTTAGTTTTTGACGATGACGCCTCGGTCTTCTTCGTAGAACCCGTACTCGCCCTCGGCTTCGCGGGCGTCTTCTTCTTCGGCGCGGGCACGGGCTCGTCGTCTTCCACTTCCATATAATCGTCATCGTCACCATCAACAACGTCGCCGTCTTCGTCCTCATAATCGTCATCGAACGATTTCTTTGATTTTGACGCAGACTTTGACAGAGCTTTAGGTTTGGATGTAGATTTGGACGGCGTAGGCTTGGCCTGCGCTTTTGGTTTACTGGATGACGGAGTGGTCGATACGGCGGCTTTCTTCTTTGGAGGGGGTGAGGGTTTGGCGTCCCCGTCTGAGTCAGAATCAGGGTCGGAGAGGATGACTGTGTTTTTGCGTTTGATGCCGTGTGTGGGGGGCGTTGCTGTTGGTTTGGTCTCGCTGGGGGTAAAAGAGGGATGGATTAGATGAGAACTGAGGACAGAGGGCAGACGATGAAGGAAGGAGGATGGTGGATACCTACGTCGTCTTTTTCTTGGGGGGAGGGACTGGAGGTCTGGACAGAGTAGTTTATCAGCATCCCGCCACCGACAAAGTAAGTATGAGTGGATTTGAGACTGGACGACCGACGAAGAAGAAAGAACGTGGGATGTATGAATAAGCTATCGAAGAATGCATAACGCCGTCGTCGATGACTTCGGGACGGTAACGGCCCAAGTTGCTGATAGACAACAATGCGCTATACAACATGATGGCAGCAATGTGGAACAAACGCCAGAAGTCTTCGATGTTGGACGTAGTCTGACGCATTTCGAGGGAATAACACCCTATATGAAGAAGCAGAGACCAGTTCTACCAAACACGGTCCCGACACATCACTGGCAAAATCGACAAGGACAAGGCATTCATTTCTGAATGCACAGACACAGTGTCGAAAGGCACCGTCCGCAATGCACGATCGACTCACTCGTCTTCATCTTCGCCACCTACAGACACACCAATCAATAAATCAGCATAAATCAGACAATAAATCATACGCACTGCTAATCTCAATTGCGTTCTTCTTCGACCCCTGTCGTCGTGAAGACCGGTGAAGGCGCGCACGCGAGCAAGCATCGCAAGTTATTGGAGCAGCAATTAGCATCTATTGCTTTCATAGTGATTATGAATAAAAAATACGCGCACCTTCGAAGAGCCTACGGTCGCCCTCTGCTGCGAGCTCTTCTGTGACGCACTCCCTGACGCACCGCCAAAGAACATCCTAAGATCAGCACCCGCTGGCTTCGCTGTCGTCTTCGTTTTAGAGGAAGGCGGAGGCATCGTGGTTCAGAAGCGAAAGAAATCCAAGCAAAAAAGTCACGCCAAAGTCAGGCCAATGTTGGTGTGCTGAGAGTTGCTTGTGCGTGGACCGCGATTAAGCGGTTAAGCGCTGGGATGTGACATGGTCAGCGGAACCTTGACGCGGAGTCACAAAGACGCGTTCGGCACGTGTGACTGTGACCTCACGCGTCGTTGGACCGCTCGCCACTGACTCGGTTTGATTCGCGTCGCTCGTGGGCGCCACACAGCGCGTCTTGGTAACGACTTTGCGCGCAAAGTCTGTCGGTATATGAGCTTGGGGGTTTCGCTCGCCAAATGTCACCTAGTCATCCTTGTCCTCGATAAAATCTGATATTGCCATGTCTGGTGCTAAGACGCCCTTGAAGTCTTTTGACCTTTCGTCCTTCCGCTACGACCCACTTCGACGCGAAGCGAAAGGTACGAATATTACCGCGACTCGGACGCGTTTTGAACGCGAAGATGGCGAGTTGGACGTCAACGAGGGGGCGTTGGCCAAGCTCCAGAGTAGCCAGCCTACCAGTCAGTCTTATTCATTACACTATACTCTACAGAATAGTACCATATTCATCCAATCTACACAGTGGTACCAGTGGTCTCAGACCCAATCATTTACCCAACCTCTCCCTCCCACCGCTCCACCTATCTCCACCCAACGACTCACAAATCGCTTACCACCCATCAATGGGCTGTCTACGACCTAACACTCCAGATCCCCATTGGCAAGATAACGACCTACAAAGAAGTCGCACTCGCACTTGGGTCTGGATCACCAAGATCTGTGGGCTCGGCGTTGAGGAATAATCCGTTCGCGCCGTATGTGCCTTGTCATAGGGTTGTTGCGTCGAATATGTTTGTGGGTGGGTTCTTTGGAGAGTGGACGGATTTGAAAGGGAAGGCTTCCAATGGACGCGGCAAAGTGGGTGTAAAGGAGGAAGATGAAGAGATGAAGAGAGTCGAAGAGCAGGATCAGGCTTTGGAGGCTGGTATTGAGAGGAACTGGCACTTGAAGGTCAAGGGTAAAGGAAGTGGAATAGTGCAAAGGGAGAAAATTAAGTTGTTGGGGACGGAAGGTGTGCCGTTCAGCAAGGAAGGGAAGCTGATGGGAGGGGAGGAGTTTGTGTGGCGCTTTCCGAAGACTCAAGTACCGCGTTCAGAAGACTATACCTAGTTACGCTCCTGTCTAAGTAGAGTGGGTTGAGGGAGGGCAGGCTGTGAATGCATGAGGATGGCTTGGAATCCTTATGCCCTTAGGAACAACGCCGCGATGCCGAGGCCGATTTCGAACTCCGCTCCAATTAAAGTACTGACCCCAAAGTCGACCCCCATTCCAACAACATTCCAGCAGCATCATATAAATACAACTCAGACTTGTCTTTTGGCTACTCATGGTATGTCTGGCTCTATCTAATTCTCAGTGAACAAAGCATTGGATTTCTAACTGAAGCATCGTACGATATCGATGGTGCTCAGCCACTCTCGAATCTCAACGATGACTGTTTGGCCGAAATCGCAGCGCACCTAGATGTATCATCACTGAAATCCCTCGCCCTCGTGTCCACCCTTGGTGCACGAACCGCTCGCGACCTCCGCTTCCAATACATCACTTTCGGAGGTCATGGTTACCACGTCGAACCGGACAAACTCACATTCGTCCTCCAACGCAACCTTGCGCGCATCCTGAAGCGTATCACCGTCGGCGCGTCCCAAATTACCGTCAAAGACGAGTACATGCCCCAAAAGAGAAAGACAAACAGTTTTACTCTCGATCAGGATCTTTGGCATACGTTGAGAGAGATCGTCATGCGTGCCACGCATCTGGAGTCATTCTCATTCCATTGCGATCGGGAAAGTTTGATTGCGCTCATGACCGATCCTTCCGTCGTCTCCGCACTCAATTTGTGTCCACTCTCGACGCTCTCACTCACCGGAGTGACAACCCGCGTCGTCAACGCCATACGCTCCATGCATCCCCTTCGCGTCCTTCGTCTCTTCATCGAGCCCGACATCGAAGCCTACGCTGGGTCTTACCCTCCCCCAATCGACGTGTCTGGCATATTGGCAGGTTCAGCCTCCGCGCTCGAGGAACTCGCCCTCGTAAATCGAGCACCCAGTGCTCTCATCCAGAACTTATTTGGCACGATAGCCTCAGCCTCGCCGATCCTTTTCCCACGAGTTCGCTCCTTGACGTGGCACGCCAATTTCCTCCCTCCGATCTCGTCCACCGAGTTACACGGCGCTTTCCCTGCTTTGCGCAGCTTAGCTATAGATCCTTACTCCATGTCCACTGCTCCAGGTCCTTCTGACTTTGTCCAGTCGCCCACACATGTCCACCCGGTCGCAATCCGCGGGGACAGGCAAGTCGTATTCGCATACTCGTGTCTGTTCAACCCAAACTTGGATGCGAACAATCGAGTCGTACATGCGATGCCGACGACTGGGCTAGAGGGGCTGGGGGGTATGAATCCTGTCAGGTTCAAGAGTCTTTGTCTGCCTGCAGTCATCGTGCTTCGTCCTCCCCCTCAGGCTCAGAGGGAGATGATTAGCCAAGTTGAGTTTCTGCAGCTGGATGATATGCCGGGAACAGGTGTGATGACGCCTGCGCGCTTCGTGAGTATCATATTCAATTTAATAATTCAGATTAAGTGTCAAGGCGAACCAGAGTCCAGGCATTGATGACTTCGCTTCATTATATATAAATTAGAGAGACCACCTCCCGCACTTCCTAGACGAAGAAACATTCCCGAACCTCATCTATCTTTGTATCTCCAGGACATGGAATCCTCCCTCTTTGGCTGAATACGGTATCCCCAGTCTGCCGTACGACGAAGCCCAGCGAGATCGTGATAAAGTGGAATGGAACGCCCGTCTCGTCACCGTGCTTCTCGAGATGCGGAATACACAGACGTGGCCGAAGGCGAGGGGGCCTGTTACGCTGGAGTTTCGGGTGGTGGCGAGTGAGGCGGATGGGGGGAGGGTGCTTGCGAGGGATTGGGTTGAGGCTTGGAGAGGGGCGTGGAGGGAAGTGATCGAGAAGGAGGGGGTGAGGAGGAGAGAGGCGATTGTGTGAGTCGTTTTTCATCCTTTCTGTTTTTGTTTGGGTAGCTTTTGGGGTGAGTTAATTACTGATGCTGATGCATTTTTCTTTCTTTGTTTATATGTGATTTATAGGGGCGAGGCGCATTTCTTTGTTTGACTTGAGATACGTATACGGCTCGGGGGCGTTCTAGTTACCAGCGTAAGTGTATCGGATGCAGAGCTCTCGTGTGCTCATTCATTAGGTACGTCCTCCTTTTTTTCCTGTTCGGCGAAAACAGAATGTGTTCGTTGAATGAAGCTTTTCCTGCTGAAGTCTCGGCTCCGTGAGATGTAGTAATAGCGAATAGTATCTTGCTTGTACTTATCATATCGTCTGATCAATCGAATAGCAAGGTGTTCCAGAGTTATTATATTATATTATGATGGTTATAGAAGTTTGATAGGGACGAGTAAAATATTCTGATGCAATGTCCAGGCAGACGTCTGCACCAAACTTTCCATCCCAAATATCGTACAGGCTTGCACTATCACCTGCCCGTTCGACCACACCCCTTCGTCCACATAAGCATTTGTAGTGTGTAAGTCCCATAGTCCAAAAAGCCCCCCAAACCCAAAATATGAATTTATGCAACATAGGTGAGCCCTAACGCCTGCACATTCGCGTCCGTATAATCCACAGCGGAGCTGCCGTCGGCACTGACGGAGAGGCAATCCACGCGTGCGGTACCTACGTCATCGAATCCATGATCCAATGACAAAACACAGAGATAAGTGTGACCAGAAACCGTCAGCGTTCTATACTCGTGGAGAGGAAGGATCGAAGAGGGCTCGGAGAAATATGCAAGGGTGAATGGAAAACGCAGACAACCTTACGAAAGAAAGGATATAAGAAGATAAAACGTACCTGCACCATCATATCCATCACCGCATCTCACGTATGAGGTGCCCGTGTTGCCGACAACGGTGGTACAGCTAGCATCCCACGAGCGGCAGAATATGTCGGAACTCTCGCCATTGGGTGTCTAGAACGTATGAAAACCCAATAATCAGCCATGAAACAGTAAATTGGCGGATGTAGAAATCGAGAAGTGCGTACGTATACTTCGCGAGTGTTATCGACGGCGTAAACGAACGCAGCTGCAGAGAGGGCGACAGCGAGGATGGAGCGGAAGAACATGATTGGAAGGGTCTTGTGTTTTGGTGAGTTTGAGTGGTAAATGCTGATGAGCGACGCAACAGCTGGTCGTCACTTTATACCCTCTGCAACAGGCGCGCCATGCATGCCATTATTGCATGAAGCGCAACGTTGGACGGGAAGTAATCACCGTGGGCGGGCAGAATGCAATGATGTGAGCCACAATGATCCCCTTAAGCCGTTGGAAGTGATTCAAGGCGGAGTCCGAGCTTGTCATGGGTACATGGATCATACGGCGTGCTGTGTGTGGAATGCGCGTGTGTACGGGGAGAGGGACCCGTGAAGTGCTTGGCACCGTTGAGTGCAGCTAGAGTGAGGGAGGAAAGAGCGCGACTTCATGGAGCCTGAGAGAGCACCGCAAGGCATGATGGTGAAATGATGAAGCGTAAGCTTTGAAGGCTGCAGAATTCTGGCCAGAGCGAGCCGGTACGTGGGCCCTGGAACGGAGGCGTCAGCTTACTGTGACTCGTACTCTAGGCAATTCCTCATCGGCCTCTCTCGTCTCTAGCGTGCACACTAGAGACAGTTGTTCGTCTGCATCTACCGCCAACCCTTCAAACTGATGAAGGCACCATGCAAATCTAGAGACAAGATACCAGGATCATTCTCGACGTGCCATAGCGTCAATGAATGAACTCGACAGAAAACGATCGGCATGAGTGAGGCCATGCCAATTACGTTATGAGCGATATTACTAGGTGCTCGATTCACGAGGGCCAATTACTCGAGTGTGGAGGCTGAACCGGTTGATACAGTAAGTACGTCCGACACATCGACGACGAGAGGGGTTCGTAGACTTCGGCGAAGAGACGCAGAATGCGAAGGGGTTGGTGAGTGAGAGCGTGGAGAGAAGATACGGATTGACTGCGAGGATAACGGAAGGATTGGCCAGCGCAACAGCTTGAGGTTGCATGAGGCCAGACGTACCATGACTAGCTAGAAAGACAGTTTGATACGTACAGAAGTTTCGTTTGGGAATCTAGTCGAGCACCGTGGCCTTCGATGTTGGACATGTTCTTCATGGATGGAAAAGTTTCTGACAGACAAATGCACGTCACAGATATATCAGAGGTCGATGGAGGCGGAGTTGGCATTTCATCTCGACATGAGGTGGAGGTGGAGGTGGAAACGTGGAACTCCAGAAAGTAAATTCATCCTCATAGCAATCGCCGTATAGGCTCAAGGAAGGTCTGTAACCTGTATGAGCTATGCCATTAATATTGGTGGTCTACATGAAAAGTCAGCCCTGAAAAAGCCAAGGTGTCTCGAGCAGGGTCGTGGCGCGCCACAAAGCGTAAACGATGAAGGCTTTCCTCAAATGGCATGCCCGGCATCCAACACGCGGGCCGGAGCTTGCCGTGGGCAAATTGCTTGGCGCAAGACGGGGACGACGAGTGTAAACGCGCACAGAAAAACGCTCTGCCCTTCGTTCGAAACGTCCACCAACACGACGCAGGATCTTCTCGTGTATCGTCTTCAACAACGCCCTTTTACTCGATTTTTTCCCGAATTTTCTCGTTGTTTTTGGGCTCGACATGACTCTTCGGATTCTGTGCTTTCGAATGCGCATCTTCCAAGACCAAGAGTGCCGGAAAACAGAGGATGGGATGAGGAAATGTATGAGGGGAGGCCGGGGGAGGAGACGAGGTTCACGGCGTGTCACGCTGACGCGGCAGCTGCGTGGGGATGCGTGACTGATGTGACCCTTCGTGACTCGCGTTGTCTCTGTCACGATCTCCTTGCGCGTTTCCCTCCTACGAACGGCCACGACAAGCCTATTCCTGCTCGTGCTGTAGCTCGAAGGTATGTTTTCTTTGTCGAGGGCCATTAAGACGTGTATTCAAAGGATTGTGTGGTTTATTTATTGACTACTGTCCATTCTTGCTTTGTTTCCATAGTCGCGAATCGTGACACCGCTCACCCACTCCAGGGCCACCCAGCGCTACGAAGTCATCTCTATCCTCTTGTATATCTTTCACGCGTCTCGGTACGTTCACCTTCATCTTCTACGGTCTATTTTCCTGGAAGGGCTGGATCCATGCTTGGTTGGGTGGCTTCTTTGTGGTTCTATGGCTGGGTGTCGATGGAGGGGGTGACCAAGTGTCCAGGCTGTCTTGTTTGGACATCCTGTGTGGCGCGCCCGACGATGAAGCGGCGTTGATGCCCATCGTTGGCCTGTATCACATCCTTGCGGTGTTTTTGGTATCTTTGTTGACGGGCCATCACGAAGCCTCGCCTACCCACTTTTGTTCTCTAAACGCTACTCTCCCATATCCCTGTCTTCCTGGAGGACAGCCTTTCCCGACCTTGTGTTTGTCGGGTTGGTTCTGGACGGCGACGAGCAGCGGTGCTCGCAGACGTTGTCACGCTGATGACACGTATAATGCGACTGGCTCGAGGGTTGACAAAATACGCCATACCCACACTCGCCAGGCACGGACAACTTACGCCACCTTCCGTTTTGGGCACATCTGCGTCTGCTTGTCGAGGACTTATCCCGCCCAAAAGAAACATTCTTTTTTCGTTTATTCTCGCGTTAAATCTCGGTGGATCGCGCGCTCGAGCTAGGTTCCGCGTCAGCGGAGACCTAGCTCGAGCGTGCGATCCACCGGTTAGGTTGGTTAGGTTCTGGTTAGGTTCTGGTTAGGTTAGTTAGGTTCAGTTAGGTTCAGTTAGGGTTAGGTTCCCCCCGAGCGTTAGCGAGGCCGAACATAAAAAAATGCCCGAACGAGTCTTTAGTGTGCCCACCTGAGAGGATCCGGCTTGGGGGACCCCCCGAGCGCAGCGAGGGAGGGGAGGATCCTCGAACGGTGGGTACTCTTCGGGCGCAACAACGAAAAACATTGTTAAACAATATCTCAGTCTTCCCAAACCGGTGACAGAAATGAGCAGTTAAATTCTCTGATAAGTGTCGATGTTGCCCACTGTGGCGCATCTCGTCGTGTGCCTGGTGCCCCTGCCGAGTATGACTGTGGCGTATGTTGTATATACTCA